CACGACAATCAATCAATCAATCGGTTGTATTTTTTCATAGAAAGAAGTGGAAATAGTGTTATTGTTTGTCAAAAGAATAGTTTAAATGTGTGTGTGTGTGTTTGTGTATTTGTGTTTTTGTTTATGTTTTTGCGACAAATAACAGTTTTTACCAAGAAAAATGAAAAATTTAATCAGAAAAAAGCCGCTATTTAAAGGCCAATTATTTTTCTTATTACCTTTTTTCAAATCCATCAAATTTGAAAAAGGTCATCGGTCTTTTTTTTTTGCTTTGAAAAATGACATGGAACATGATGCTCAACACTGTTTTTTTTTATTATTATTTTGGATGGGTATTTTTTTTCATTTGGCTAGGTTCACAATTGCTTGGATTTTGTTTTCATCATTTAGTTTTTAGTGGAAGCGGTGAAACTTTCTCATATGTTGTAATATGAGGATGTTATTCACGATACATAATATCTCTTTTGTTACGAAAGTGTAACATTATTTTTCCATTGTTCATCACCATATACCATACAATAGGAAAATTAACACTTCATTCTTTTGACATTTTGATGACCTCAAAAGAAAAAATAAAATAAAATCGAAACAATGAAACTTCAGATGAATGAATGGTCATTTTATTTCCAATCAAATTTCGGTTGTAATTGTCCATCATAGTTTACTGCCTTAGGAATATGTAATGTTTCATCATTTTTTTTATCTTGTTATATTTCAGATTTTTTTTTCAAAACTTTTTTTCCAATTGATCGATGATTCACTTTGAATCATATCGAATAGGATTGTAGGTCAAGTTTTCGTTGTTATCGTTGTTGTTGCAATTTGATTCTTGTCTTTTTTTTTTTTGATTGTATCTGTGATGATGAAATACAAATCATTATTGTAACAATAATATTTGAATGAAATTGTTTCGAATATGATTTGTATAAACATGAAAGTTTTTGGCAAGATGACAAAAAAATTTTTGTCTTTTAATTTTATTTTTTGTTTAGCATGTAGAATGTTGACCATTATCGTTGGTGTGTGTGTTGTGTGTTTTCAATTAACACTATTATATTAAATATATATGCCTGCTGCGTGAATATCATTTAGCTGCAATTAACACTCAATCAGTGGAATTCCTCAAGACAACAAGAAAATTGTAGTTTTAGTATTCGAAAAATATCTTTTTTTTACTGCGTAAAAAAAAACGTAAAAAATGTTATTTACAGCATGACAATGGACACAGATAATCAACGAAAAACGACGACGACAAGTCAAATATTTTGATTTCTGATTAGTTTAGACCCATATTTCTATGCGTGTATATTTAGTTGGCATAGGTTTGTATATATCTATTCCATATGGGAATATATAACAATAGAAAAAAATAACATGCAGAATAGCAATTTCTAATAGGCTTGAAAAGCATTCATAAGCAGCTTACAAATACAACGACAACAACATGAATCTGAACCAAAAGACAGAGAGAGAGAGAGAGAGAGAAACATTTCGAGTAAAAACAAAACAGAAGACATTTATTTATTTTTACAGAAAGACAGATAAAGATATTGTAAAAAAATTGCCAAATGGCACGAGATCAAAGAATTCATTTTTTTTACATTTCTTTTTTTATTCTAAATGATAATTTGGTTAATAATAATATACTATTATTTCAATCAAGTAAACACTATGTGTATGGGTATTTTTTGTTGTTGTTGTTGCTACTATTAGTGTCTAATTCAAGTATATTAGCTACCCATAAATGATAATGACCATTTTAATCCATTTTGTCGTCAACATGATTTATTCTTCATGGTTAATAATAATAATCACAATATATATGAAGCATTTTCAGGTTGTTATCTTCAAAGTCATCATATTCAATGACATTGTTTCATTAGTCTTTTTTTTGCTAAGATTAAGGCTATTGAAAATTTCAATTATATCTATTTGTTTGATACTAATTCTGATGATTTTAATAAAGATTTAAATAATTACATAATATAATTGGATCAAATGATTTTTTCTATAAAAATTCAAGGTGATGTTTAAGATGATTTGAGATAATATGATTATATATAGTCATATATAATTGTATTAAGTAATTTATCATTAAAATATTAATTGTCACCATATTTATATGGTATTGAATGACAACAAATGAAAAATCCTTCTTATCAACATAATAATCTGTATGCTTTATATAATACAATTGGCTTGTTTTTAATATGTTTTAATCATGGATCATATCAATCCGATAAAAATACATTACATTTAGTAAAAAATATACAAGGGTTGTCGTTCATACACAAGAAAACCACATTCATCCTCTAAATTGGATTCATTTACACCATTCATACAACTGTGCTTGTATATCAATCTTTGTTTAATTTAATAGGTAATCTCATCTATCTTTGTATGTGTGTGTGTGTGTGTATATTTTGATATTGATTCTTTCACCATATAATAGCATCATTTTATAATAATAATCATCAATTTTTTTTTGTGAACAATCATCCAACAAGAAGTATAAGAAAAAGATGCTTGTTCACAAGTCTTATTTTCAAAGTTAAGTAGGGATCAATTTTCGTTTCGCTATATCAATAGCTTTAGAAAAAAAGGGCGATAATCTGGTGATAAGCTTTACCAAGATACACAGTTGAACATACTTTATTATCATTATTACGACCAAAAATGTGTGTGTGTGTGTGTGTTCATTTACGGTGACGGGATCGTTATTGTATATTGTAAATAGATTTAATAGACAGATACGTTGTGTTTTTTCTGCTCTCTCTATCTATCTATCTATTTTTTTCTTTTTTTATTTTAAGATGAAAACATGATGATAATCATAATGATGAAGATGAACATTAAGAACTTAATGTGATTATATCAAACACACATACATGCATTATTGAAGTAAAAATTGATTCCGGCTTTTTCTCTTCTTCCACCAAGTAAAAATAGAATATAAAAATATATTTTCTGTCTATTCACTGTTATCAATCAATTTTTAAAGCTATAGAAGATTCCGATTACTTTTTTTTGCTGTTATCGATTAGCCTCCGAATAGATTCTTGTATATATCCTTTTTTTCTCTTTTTCTTTCGTTGATCAATAATGATAATGAGAAATTTGAGCAAACTATTCTCATTCACACTGATTCATTCTGATCATCATTGTTGTCATCAATTAATTTGATGTGGAAAGGAAATGTATGAGAGTCAGAGAAAGTATTAATTTTGTTCTAAACGACCAATACGAAAACGATACAATTTTTTTTTTGCTTACTGTTGTTTGTTCGGATTATTCTTTTCAATCATTCATCGTCATCGTCTTGTGTAAGTGGTGTGTGTTTGTTGCCTTAGCTGGTTGATTGCGCCGGGGATTTACTTTTTGGTTTTTCATATGTTTGTTTCTTTTCTTGCTTGTCTTGTGCAAAATTTTTTTGTTTGTTATTATTGTCGGGTCCCGCCATCATTGCCGTATATTTGAGATCAATTAAAATAAGATTGATCATAAGAGACGCCAAGCGCAAGTCTATTTTTTAGGTTAGTTGTTTGGTGGTGGTTTGTTCAGTTTACGATTTATAAAATTGGGCGTCCAATTGGTTGATTGACGAATGAGCCAAACTGAATGACTTGAATATACGAATTATTGCTAAATGGGTGGATCAAACATGTTTGACAAGGCGGAGCATATGATGCATGTATAAATGTATCGATGGGCTGGAAATTAATATTGATAACTACCAATCCAAAACGAGTATGACTAGTGCTTACAATGCATACAAAAAAATAACTGGAACAAAAAGCTGCCAAACAACAACAATAACATACAAGGACCTATGGCTTGTATGTGTAAACACAATCTGTTTGTTGTCGTCATTTATTCGTTTGCTGTAGATCTTAAAATATTATCATCGTGTATATTCGTCCAAACATACATACATACATAGATACAAAAAAAAAATCCCTTAAAATAACCATCGTTACCGAATCGAAACCATGTCTTCACTTTAGAGTTTGAATTTCATGAGTGTAGTTCAGTTGTTTGATCGTCATCTTCATTGAAACAGCACATAACATCGAAACAAACAAACGAACGAGAAAGAGCAAGAGCGAGCTAGGAAAAAAGAAGCGATTAAATTACGAATGCTAAATACGATTATTTGATTAGCAGCCATTGATCAACCACATATATACACATAGATATTTAGAGTATCTGTCGTCTGAATCTCCTATATATTTATATACACCACCTTAAACTCTTAATCGTATTTGTCCAGATCAAGATTATCTTCTTTCATCTTTTCATATATTATTCCAAATTTTTTCTTCTTCTGGTTTAACCGTTCACCTTGTTGTCCGTGTTGGCTATTGTGTGCATGTGTGTGAGTGTGTGTGTGTGTGTGTTTGTCTAACTACTTTTTTTTCATCTATCGACAATAACTTTTTAATCTATCGACACACACACATACAATATTGTATTAAATTATAATCACACTAAACAACAACAAAGATTTTTGTTTCATGCAAAAAGAGTCAATTTTCGGATGTGGTTATTATTATTATTGGATTTTTGGATTTTCTTTCAATTTTTGTCGTCTTCATCCTCTTGATCATCATCATCATCATCATTATAATCATTTAATTCGATTTGATTTTTACGGATTTTTACTCTTCTGGTTTTTATCAATGTTTTTTTTATGAGGGATTCGGTTTGTTTTTTTTTAAGTGATACTCATCATATTGATCATTCATTCTTTGGCCATAATCTATCGACACCTTTGATATACTAATTATAATCTCTCAATAAAAAAAATCGATAACAAAGACAATAATTTGCAACAAAAAAAAAACCATCAAGATCATCATAGCTAAATGACACCTACATTTTCTAATCGTTATTACTTGTAAATATATAGTTTATTTTTTCTAATTGATAATAATTTAATTATTGTTCTTTTTTAATCAATTATATTCTCATTATCATTTGTTCAAATCTAATATTTTCAGATCAAATTTGACCAATACCAGTCAATTTCCATATCCCGGTTACGCATTCAATCATCATCCGCAGCAACATCCACATTCAAATTATTATAATTATCCACATAATAATCAAACATTGCGAGTCGATACATTGGGTTTTTCATCGCCAACATCAACAATCACGTCATCTTCATCCTCATCATCAACACCTATTCGATCATCAACGAAACAAGAATATACTGAAACTGATCAACAACAAGAAACGTTGATTATTTCAAAATATAAAATAAAATCTGACATTGATACAACATATAGTGATTCATACGAATCACTCATACAACCACATCAATCGATTGTAGGAAACGGACCAGCAAATCTTGAGAATCTGATCCAAAAAAAATTACAACGACCATCGCCTACATCCACACCTATTAGCAATATTAGTACAACAGAAGATATATCATTGTCTTCCAATCCTAACTGTTCATCGACATCCACATCATCGGCATCACCATCTACCATTAATCTTCATAACAATCAAACGGCTAATTTGAACATTACTAGTTATCCTCCTTCATCATCACTTCAATCACATTATCGTAATCAACAACACCAACAATCACCATCATCATTGGCTACGAATTTTTCTGGCGACTTTTCTACAAGATCGGCCGCTAGCCATACAAATTTTACTTCCCCAACAACCATGAATAGTAGCCATCATGCAATGTCTGCCTATCTGAAATCAAATCCTTATGCTATGAATGGAATCGCTGGTATAACATCACCAAGTGATCTATTACATCCAAGCGTTGGCTATCCTGGTAAGTATATAAAATTTGTCATTTTTATATGAAAATTCTGGAATTGTAAAAAAAAATCCAAATTGGTTGTAAATAAAAAGATCACTCACTCCACTTAGATTGTTTTATGGTGTCTGACCAATTCAAAAGTTTACTTTGTTCCAGCACGACAATCACTCATGGTAAATTGAATCTATTGTGTCTCGCCAACCTAAGAACCACTGATAGGCAATTTTTTTCTTTGAATTCATTCGTGAGCAAATACATTATTGATTTCCATAAAAACAAATTTTGTCCGAGACGTTTCCGATATGCATTTCCGATACTGTCTAGTAACAAACAGCCTAAAAAACAACAATTATACTTGTGTTTCGATTTTTCCAAAGATAATTTTTTTTTTACTTTTTTTTGTAAATCTCAATTCTCAATAAGTTAATAGAATTTATTCGGTTGACACTTTATCCGATTGACATTTGTCGAAATCATATATTTGAATATCATGATGATGAACACATTAAGAATTCACATCATTCATTTTGTTTTTTTTTATGATCTTGGCTCTTTTTTCTGACACTAAAAAAAATATATATTAGTGTATCTCGAAGCTATAATATGCAAAAAAAATCGTTCCAGGTGGTAGTAATGTTTGATTTTCAATCAGTGGTGTAAAATTTGTCAAACAACAATTTTAGTTTTAGTAATCATTGTTGTTAATTATTATTAAAGCTTTAGATTTTTTTTCTGGTCAACTAGGTATGTCTCGTTCGTTCGGTGGTGGGTCACCATTATTTATGAAACGGGTATCGTCGATTCAAGCTCATTGTAAATGAGTGTGAAAGGAGAGTGAAAAGAAAAATTATTAGGATAGAACACAGCCAAGCAAGTCTTATATGAGGATCGAGAAAATGGTCGGATTAAAAAAATTGAGCTGAACAAAATGAATTTAATCCTGTTTTGAATTGAATGAATGTTCATTGTGATATGTTTCATGATAGGTATGATATATATATATACACAGCCAAAGCTAGACTAAGGGTCCTGGTCCAGGTTATATCGATTACAGATCCTATCGTATCATTGATGATTTGACCGTCAACAACAACAATGATCACTAATCTGGCTATTGTATTTGTTGGTTAGGTCGACCTATAATCCTTGTATTCATTTTTTTTCCACCCACCACCCTTGTGATGGAAACTAGATGAATTTAAAAAAAAATAATTCAAGCCATGTATTTATTACATCTGAAAAGAAAATTTTCCAACTCTATATATATAAAACGACGACATATACCTGGATTTATATCTTGTTTTGATTGTTCTTATTGTTATTATTATTTTGGTATGCAAATTTTCAATTTTGAAATAGCTGCGACGACCTCGATCATTGAAAGTGATGCTTATTACAATTATTATTATTATTATGACTATTACTTCTGTCACTATTCAATCAATTACGGCTTTCCATCATGATGATGATGATGACGATTAAGATTACTGGTTCGTTCTAGGACTTTGTTAAAGCGTATATATAGATTGTACAGTAGTAGTAGTAGTTTTAGTAGGACTACAGTTGACCCAAGACCAAATCTAATTGTTTATCGGATTAAGATTTTGAAATTGTAAAAAATGAATGAGAGAAAAAAAAATAGGATCCAGCCTGGTTTGTTGTTGAACAGCAAAATGTCAATTTTCATACATCTGCCAATGGCAATGAATACGAATTTTTCTCCTCTTTTTTTTCGACCCAACTTTTGATGGCAGGGTAGATTCTTTCTTTTCCAAGATGAGTGATCCTATATATGTACCAAAATTTACAATTCAATGTTAATCCTGCTGACTGTTTTTCGTTTTGAGTTCTGTTCTGCATATGGCAGATTTATTTTCTGGTTATTTTTATTTTGACCCAACTTTTTTTGTCGACACGATGGCGATGTGTATGTGAACCGTGTGAAAGCCATACCCAAATCTTTTGCTGTCGGATTAAAATTCTCTTTTGATTGGAAGTTTTTTTCTTCAATGATTGCTTTGAATGTGTGTGTGTGTTCATGTTTCCTGTTCCAAACAATTGTTGTAATCATCAACCAGATTAATGGCAGCTAGCATAACACAGCATTTGGTTTGATCTTGACCGTTGTATTATTTTCATCGTCATCAACAAATGTCATTCTATGTAGCTACTACATTCAAACTTCTATCACACAAACCATATCATTAACTATTCGGTTTTTACATATTGATTTGAATGTAGAAATGATTCGTTTTCAATAAATTTATCAAAGAAAAAAAAATTTTAATTTCAACTCCATTTACTGGCCTGTTTTCAGGTACATTATCACCCAGTGGACCAAATCAACCACCACGAAAACAACGTCGTGAACGTACAACATTTACTCGTGCTCAATTGGATATATTGGAAGCATTATTTGGCAAAACAAGATATCCAGACATATTTATGCGTGAAGAGGTTGCATTAAAAATTAATCTACCCGAATCTAGAGTACAGGTAAGTGATTTTAAAACAGATTCTTCCGATTTAGATTAATATTCATTATTTCATTATATACTAATTATGACCATTAAAGGTATGGTTCAAAAATCGACGTGCTAAATGCCGTCAACAAGCTCAACAAGCACAAAATGGTAATCAAAATGCAACGAATAAGAATCGGCCTAAAAAAGCAAAAAGTCCCACTGCTACAGGATCATCAACTAGTTCTCCACCAGCATCAATCAATCGCGATTCACCATATAAACCACCATCATTGACTAGTATTACATCTAGTAGTAATAGCACCGGATCACTTTGTTCATCAGTCACATCAAACAATTCAAGGTATGGATAATAGTAATGTAATATGTATATAGATCACGTTTGATTAATAATTCATTTTCATTCATAGTGCCAACATGTCATATAGTTCAATATGGAGTCCAGCAGCGATAGCGCCCGTATCAGATCTTATGGCCGGAAATAGCTGCATGCAACGAGCAACTGCAGCCTATCATCATCATCAAATGGCAAGCAATGCCCCGACTACTAGTGGCCCTTGTTATCCATCACAAGGATATGGACATCCGTCCGCATATCATTATGGTAACGCAATGGATTATCATGCCATGTCGGCTATGCCATCCATGTCACATCATCATACACAATTAGGAGCATCGATGAGTTCAGCTTCATTAGCAAATCAAATGGTAGCCGGTGGTCCTTCGCCGATGAGTGCACATATGAATCCAATGTCTTCACATGCTAGCCTACATGCTAGTAATCATGTAGCATCATCACAATCACGAACATCACCACCGAATGGATCATTAACAGGCGGCCCCAACGAATGTATTGATTATAATACGGAAAAAGCCAATTGGAAATTTCAAGTATTATGAAAAAAAATTGCTTAGAAATGTTCATCAATCAAAACCACCCAAAGAAAAAAAAAATTCTCTCATAAAAAACCGTGATTCTCATCATCAATGATCTATCAATGAAGCCCTCATCGTGACATTATACTGATGACAATTTTGCTAACAAAAAAATTCAACAAAAAAACCAGCTGAATTTTTCTGAAATCATCTCGTCATCAGCATCATTGTTTTTTTTTTAAATATCACATTGACTAAATATTGATCTCATCTGATTTGATCATCATTCATTTGGATGGATCTGATTTTATCATTATCATCACATAAACATGTACACATATATTTTTCCATACAAACCTACTACAAATCGATGGACTTGCAAAACCTCAATTGATAATTTCATTATATTATTATTATATACATACTTACACACACACACACACACACACACACACACACACACACACACAAACAACACACAAAAAATACAAGATAATTGTTGTAAAATAGTATGAATTACTTCATCATACAAATTAGAATAACTATTTCATACAATAGATTTCTATTTTCGGCCATTTTAAAGCTGGCATTTTTCTAAATTCATTCAACTGATATTTGAATTATATGCAACTAATTAATTATCAACTTACACTAGTTATAAATGTGTCATTTATTCTGTCCATCAAATAAATAAGACAAAAACGACAAACCTTTTCTTGTTAATATAATCCAATCATTGCTTCGACTTTTTTTTTAATTTTTTTCTTTTTGGTCTACTCATTATTTCTTGATTCATTTATCATTATCATCATCAAGATTATACAATTTGTAAATAAATTCTTTAGGTTTATAATAGGCATGATCATCCATTTCTTTACAACAAAATCACTAAATCAAATAGCAAATCAAATAACCATTCGAATATGAATAAACAAAAAAAAATCAATCGATTTTCATAATAATAATAAATTAAATCAATTTCAACAATTTTGAAATTAAAAAAAAAATTGATTTTAAATTTTTAACATTTGACGCTAGATGGCGACAGTAAAACTTTTATGAAATATGTTTATCATCATTCAATTAAATGATGATGGATGATGGATGGACATTCACCTTCAGTTTACAATGTTGATAAAAAATGATGATGATAAGTATTTTTTCTAACGTAATCATAGGAAATGTATAAATCACTCACGAGGCTTTTAACTAATAATGCACCATAGTCTATTTCTATCAGTATTTTTTTTATCAACATCCTTCCGCTCAATGATGACGTCCTAAATTCAATTTTGATAACTTTCATTTTGTCAATTTTTGATTATGAGAAATTTATGGTTTCTCATATATCATCATAATCAATGTTTATGTAAATACCCACCCACACACACATACATCTATAGAAAGAAAGAAAAATAGATAGAGGAATCCATGGAAACAATAAACAAAACATACACTACGATTTGTTTACGACTGTTGATATTATTGGTAATTTATTGGTTACAATTGACAAAATGATCGAAACACAATAATAATGATGATGCCGTTTATCAAATGAAATAGTGGCTCATTTTAGAAATAGACGCCATTCGAATTTCCGAATATTCGAAAAAACTAACAATTATAATCGTTGAAAGAAAAAAAAACTCAATTTTTATGTTTGTTGTCGCGTTATTAGAACAATTTTCTTTTGTAAACACACATGAATTTTAAACAACAAAAAATAATATATGATTATCATAGTCATTGAAATCTGTTTCTCTTTTTTTTCGTATGTATGAAACCTAGTTGTTTCAACAGTTTCATCATCATGTTAAACTAGGACAGTTCAATACTCGTTGAAGCTCGTATCAAAAAAAAAAAAAATTGAATTGAATATTAAACAAAACAACGACAACAACGAAATAAAGAGACAATTAGTAAGCGTATTTGATTACAATCTCCGAGTTTTTTTTCTCTCTTTTTTATCATTGTCCTGTTGTTTTTTTTGTTTGTTTCGTTTTTCGTCCATAACAAATAAATCAACATGACCACAATCATCATCCTGTTTGAATATAATATACATGTATTGTCAGACGGTTTGATCGTTGTCAAATTGATTATTTGAAAAAAAAAAATTAAATTTCAAGTAAATATAAATCATTTAATGTCAATTTTTTTGTTCTGATTTTATTTATTTCAAAGGATCGGTAAATATTATTATAAAATAAAGAATGGCTCCTATCGATGGCTATTGGGGCCATCCAACTTCTACAATCGATTGGTGTGAAGAAAATTATGTAACCACTGTATATATAGCCGAATTCTGGAATACCATATCCAATTTGGCCATGATCATACCATCTATTACCGGTTTCTATTATGCATATCGTAATAATCTTCATACACGATTTATGTTATGTTTTATGGGCATTACTTTTGTCGGTTTTGGTTCATGGAATTTTCATATGACTCTTCTTTATGAGATGCAATTATTTGACGAAATACCCATGATATGGGGGAGCTTAATGTTGGTCTATTGTCTTATGATCCATTATTATCCAGTGTTACAGCAAAATTATTATAAAAACATGATGCTCAAAGCAATTCTTGTCACCTATGGTGTTTTATCATTGCTCACCTATCTATACCTTAAAACACCAATTCTATTTCAAGCTTCATATGTTATTCTGGTCACTTACATGCTTTATCTCACCATTTTATTGCTCAAATATCGTCCATGTAATAAAACAGTGTTTTATGTTGCCACTATCATCTACTATTTTGGAGCATTTCTATGGATGATCGATAATTTCTATTGTAATCAATTGAGATTATTCCGTCAAACCAATAGCATTTTACCGTTCATACTGAATCCATTAACACAGTTACATGCTTGGTGGCATCTGTTTGCTGGCTATGGATCTTATCTACATATTCTTTTCTGTACTCATTCCACTTATCTAGCTACAGATAAACCGCTGGTATTCAAATTCATTTGGTATATTGGTCTGGTACTTGATCGTTGCGAATCTAATCAACAAACTACGAATAATGGCCCATCAACGAAAAAAAAGTCAACATGATTTTTTCTGATTGATTCATTTACTAATCACAATTTATTTAAATTATTTAGAAACGAAAACTAATAAAAATTATAAAATCGAGATATCATTGAATTATAAGATTCCTTAAGAATACCAGAATATTATTTGAAAAAATTGTCACCATCATCATCGTCAATATTATCCATCAGCTGAGAAAGAATACCCAATACCCAATTAATGTACCTTTAATATATCCGTAACAATCAAGTTTGCCGTTACAACAAACACACACACACACACACAAAGATGCTGCTAGTTCACTAAAAAGGATTTGGATCGCGTGCGCATTAATTTTTTCTTGTTATTGACTGCTATTGTGTATTTTTTTCTGGTTCAATTCTTAGATTCTCGCATTGAAACAATTGATTAAAACGAATATTTTTGTTTGGTATTTTTATTTTGTTGTCGTTATTCTGTGATCATCATCATCATCATTAAGCACCCATTTAGTCATTGAATGAAACAAAAAAACTTGTGATACTATTCTATTTGGCTTTATTTTATTTGGCAATTTTTCATGTTCATTGATCCATACAAATCCAAATAATCGTCAAGGTATTATATATGGTTAAAGTTATTGGACTACATAATAATTACTATATTGTCATTTTAAATACAGGCTAATTTTATAATGATATTAGTTGGAAAAACTTTTCTAGTTTATCATCGCACAACCATTCAATGCTAGAATTCTTTTTGTAGCTAAATGGTAATGACATTCTGATTTTATGTTTGAATATGATTTTATTTTTCATATCTTTAATAATTTATTATAGTTTGAACCAATGCCTACTCGGATTGTCATTACGAATCAATCTAATCTTCATCAATCAAATGATCATCATCTTAATTACCAACAAATACCTCCACCTCATTCAATCCTATTACCTGCTGGTCGACAACGTCAGCAAGATCAGCAACCATCATCAGAAACGGATATAAATGTCGATACCAATGCAACAGTTGATGCAATCTCGACTGCCAAACAGCCATTAACTCAACAAGATCAATCAACGTATCAATCATTTGCCGATATTGCAGATCCTGTACAGAATCCTCATCTCTTCATTCATGTAGCATCGGGACAGAAAATTTATCGACCATGGCAAGCATATATCAGCGATTTAGATGATTTTTTCGAACGAATCTATTATTACTATCAAAAATCTGGTTTTACCTGTATTGTGGTGGAAAATATTCTGGAATTGATTGAAGTTATATTAGTCGTATTGTTCACCGTTTTCTTTCTACATTGTATTGATTATCAAGTGTTGTTTAAAAACAAAATACCAGATGGACATCCATCGGATGCACCATTGAAAATAACTATAAGCGATGTATTGATTCCATTGAATCAAATTCGATTAAGTTCACTTGAAGTGTTCTTGTTGCTATTTTCTGCTGGATTTTGGTTTTACAAGTTTGGTATTGCTATCCATACAATACTGAGCAACTATGCTATACGATCATTCTTTATAGAAGCTCTTCAAATTCATGATCCATCGTTATATTCATGGCAAGAGGTGCAACTAAGACTTATAAATGCACAATCACAATGTCTGCTTAGAGAAACGCATTTGGATGAGCTAGCCATTCATAATCGATTATTACGACGAGCCAACTATATGATTGCATTGATTAACAAAGGTGTACTTCCAATCTATTATCGTGTGCCATTACTCGGCGAATATATTTACTTCACATCGGGATTAGAATTTAATTTTCGAATTCTTTTGTTTCGAGGCGTGTTTTCGTTATTTGATAAAAACTGGAGACTTCGCGATGAAATCAAATCACCAGCCGAACGTTTAGAATGTGCTCGTCGTTTTTCCAATCGTTGTTTGGCCGTAGGTCTGCTTAATTTAATTTTATTGCCAATGATATTTTTATGGCAATCATTATATGCGTTTTACACTTATGTTGAAGCTGCCAAACGAGAACCAACAATATTTGCATTACGTACCTGGTCAAGATATGGTCAATGGTTTTGTCGTCATTTTAATGAATTGGATCATGAAGTTGATGAACGATTGAATCGTGCATATCGTCCAGCTGTCCGTTATATGAATTCATTTCGTGCACCATTGTTAGAGATATTTGCACGTTTTGTACAAACGATTGCGGCAATTTTATTATCAGTGTTGATTGCATTGACAGTTTATGACGAAGATGTTATCACTGTTGAACATGTTTTACTGCTATTTACCGGCTTGGGTGCGACGATTGCCATTGCGAAAACATTCTTGCCCGATCCTGAACCTAATCGGTGGACGTCTGGAGAGTTAGATGCAGCTATTCTACAACACATACACTATCGCCCACATAATCATCCACCGCATACAATTCAAGCCCGTAACGCTATGGGCAATATATTTGTTTACAAAAGTACGACTATATTGGAAGAATTGCTAAGCCCTTTAATCGTTCCATACATCCTAATACGCCATCTTCGATCACGATCATTAGAAATAATTGATTTTTTCCGTGTCTACACATTGGAATTAACCGATATTGGTGATGTTTGTACTTTTTCACAATTTAATTTTCATCAAAATGGTCATCGAATCTTTACAAATCCAGATCAACATAAAAACGAAAACAATCAATCTGTCGATCAATCAATGATGTCGATGAATACATCAAGGAATAATAATGCAGAAGTCTTATCTGATGACCGTAATACGACACGCAATGGTAAATTGGAATTAAGTCTGATTAATTTCAAATTGAAAAATCCAAAGTGGCAACCCCCAGATCTATCACAGATGCAATTTATTGATCTTTTCACTCGTCAATCTTGTGATGATCCGGTTGTTCCAAATTTAATTTTTCCTGTTGGACAATCGGCCACACAACCGCAAGCAACGATTGCTGAATCCAAATCTACAATTGATTTTTGTTCACCGACAACATCAGCCTACCAGGCTATTATTCAAACACAACCAGGATCGTCGTCGTCAGTTAGACCAGATAATCAGCAAAGACTGTCTCAAATAATGAACAGAACTAGTCAAATGAGCGATTCATCGACCGGTATGCTTGAATCTACTGGTTTTGGCTTCAATGAAACAAGGCGTCGTCTATTACAGCTTCGTTATGGTCATCTGTTTAGCGAACAAGAAAAACGCGATAATCAAATGGCATTGAGTTCGTTGTATTTTCATCAATTAGTCTCCGAATCACAATCTTCACGTCAACAATCGCAGAATTTTCCATCACCACAGCAGCAGCAGCAACAGTTATCTCAATCGACATCATACAGCGGCCAACTTATAGATGGATCACGAAACAATGAGTCAATACCATTATTACGTTCCGATCATGAAGGAGGACGAATACATGGTAGCAAAGGAAATTGCAAAAATATTCTTAAATATGATGATGACGATGATAATGGTCATTATGACTAGAAAGACAAATAAATAATAGATTAATACTCCTTTTTAAAAAAAAAGATTTTGTGTTCCATACTTTATAAATTAAATAACCGAACGTCGTTTAGAATTGCCACATGATGATGGTGGAGGTAATGAAGATGATATGACATTGGTCTGATTACGGTTACAGTTGGTGGTTCGTAAATTGACTGTTTTCAATGGCAATTCTCGTGAAGTGTTTGTAAATAGGAAAGATTTCTTTGATTGACTCAATTTACTGGGGTCGTATTCGTCCCAATTGGGGTTTGATTGAGTTTGAATCTCGGAAATATTTTCCGCTGTTTTTGAACGGATCATTGATTTAGTTGGACATCTGTTAATCTTGGTGGCTCCCGATTCATATTTAGTATTTCCATTGCAACTGTTTTTGCAATGATCATCCTCTTCATCATTGTCATGAACATCAACAAAATGCAATTCTTTCAAACGATGATTATTGTCTAGCTGTTTTTTCTCCAGTTTTAATCGATCCAATTCTTTGTGCATGTTCGATATTATCTTTTTACTACTTGCTAATTGTAATTCCAATTGTGAGCAATGACATTTTTGTCGTTCATAATCCGATTTCAATCGGTCAATCTCTTTTTCTTTCGATTTTAATTGTTGTAGGCAAAGCTTTAGATCTAAACTCAACCTTTCGACTGTCGATTCTTTTATACCGACAATTTCTTCTTGTTTATCTGTGACTTCATTTAGTGTGTTGATTTTTTCCTGGCAAGATTTAACTTCATTCTGTAATTTACGAATAATTTCATTTGCTTTGATTAAATCGTTACGAATCGATTGCATTTCCGTTTCGTTTTTAACAACTATCTGATTAGTTTGCTCTTTTTCTATTTTTAAAATACCCATTTCGGCATTCAATTGCTGATTTCTTTCATCCAATTCTTTCAATTTATTATTACGTTTGACCACTTCTTCATTTAATTTTTCTTTCCATTCATGATACTGTTTTTCATGCTCTTTACGTTCTATGTTCAACGTTTCTTCACGATTTCTCGATTCAGTTTGTAGTTTTTGACATTTCGATTTTAAAATTCTTTCCATATCATCCCATTTGGTCTGCTCTTGTGTATATCTTTGCTCGACATCTTTCAGTTTTTTCTCAATAGATTGTTTTTCCAAATCGAATTCTAACTTCAAACTTTGTACCTCTTTAGCTTTTACGATAGTCATTGTGCTTAGTTGATCTTCCAACGACGCGATCCGCATTTGCAAAGATTCGATTTCAGTTTTTGATTTTCGATAGATTGTACAATAATTACTTCGAACAAATTCTTCACTTGCCGATGGAATTTCGAATGATAAATGGATAATATTTTTGAATTCATTCAATTCGACAATATCCATTGTGAGCATTGTTCGGCACAAATTTCGCATACATAGAATGTAACTGCTAATAATATTGAAATAAGGTTAAATTGATATTTCCGAAATTGAAAAACTATTCCAACCTTGATCCAGTATCGGAATGAAGAATTCCTGATGTACGGGTACTAGTGGCAGAACCAGAAGATGATATTGAACATTTTTCAAACATATTAATCAATTTGTCTGAAAACTTTTCGAACGAAACCAATAGATTTTGCGTTTGCTTGATCCTATAACAGATATTATGAAAAAGAAAATGTACAATCATTTAATACATAATTAATAAATTTATAAACAAGCTTTACTTTTTATATTCATTAAAATCGATTGAATAAAGATAGATGAAAAACGGATCATTCGGATCCAATATACGAACAGAAATCTCTTCACGAATTTCATTGAATCGGGTGTCCACTTCGAGCAACAGCTGGATTGTTTTACTATAATTCCGAAATTAAATTATCCATTAAAAACAAGTCTATAATAGAACAAAAATCATACTTAATGGAAAAATTTGTTGATTCCTGAAGATGAAAAGTGACCAAACGAGAAAATGCTATATGAGGAGCATTGGCATTGACGTGAACTGTATTTGAACACGATGTTAATGTATGTAAATGAGCAGGTATTGGTGTATAAGATATTGTTACACTTGATGTTGATCCACCGCTACCACCGGATGTTCGAGATCGAAAATCATCGCCATTTAAATGCTGATGATTTGAAGACATTTTTAAATCAAAAAGAAAACTGTAGATTCTCACTTTAAGGTTCAAGAAACAATAACAATGATTTCACCATCACCAACGGTAACCAAGGAGAAAATAAATCAAAAACATGAACAAACCTGTGATCTAAATAAACAATTCATTCAATCAACTCTATTGTCATGGTCACGAACAATTAAATGCTCTGGCAACCAAACGATTGAATATATTCCGACTCTCAGAGCTGAGTTGCCGCGCCAAAAGCAAATCGGCTCGTCTAGCATCCTGTTCATAAATGACAGATCTTTGGCATTTATGAACAGGAATTTTTTACGATTCATATCAAGTTCGAATTTGTGGTAATTATCGATTTTAAAAATTAAAAATTTTGTAAGTAGCTAGGTATAAAAACGCTTATATTATCCCAAAAAATAAACAATTTTATAGATCAGTATATAACGCTTTATACTTGTCATTATATAAGTAATGAATGAATTTGATAAAAAATCTATTTTCCGGTTCGATGATGCATGTTGACTTTATGTGATATATCATGGATATTAATAGCAATCGTAACAGCTCCATAACTTGTAAACATTCAAAATTATTACCTGAGATTACATAATTGATCAATAATAAATTGACCAGTGGGAATACAATGTTATTCGTTTACTATATTTTTTTTTATATTTAGAAAAATGACAATTCAATTACCTAGAAGGCTGAATTTTTTGACTTAAAATTTATGATGATAAAAACTAATCTCATCTTGGCCTCAAGGAAATAATAATCACAAGACAATGTTTTTCTAACTGTTTGTTTAAATTGAATTTGATTTCAAGCACTGTCAAATGCAGAAATTTCCGGAAAAGACATTTGTTATCATCATAATCATGAGCCAACAGTAATTGAAAAACTTTGAAATCAAAACATACGAACCAGATATGTGTCCACTTGGTTGAATTGGACACACACGCACACTTTTAATAAAACTTTTTAATCAAAAAAAATTGTTTACCGTGAATTCGGTAACTTAAAAAAAAAGAAATATTGAATTTAAGAGCAAACAAACATACGTGTTGCCCGAAATATCGTCATATTGACTTATGATAAGATTGTTTGTCTGTTATTACATGTTATGTCGGCATATACAAATGGTCTAAGATCATTGTGCGCATCGTTCCAACAAAACAAAAAAAAAGAATTTGGCTTGTTTTATCATTATGATTATGGTGGTGGTCATAGTATTCATTTGTATGATAATCATCTCTATACAATACGACGATTTGATTCTCTCAGGTATTTATTTGATGAATTTGCCCAACAATTTTTTCATTTCAATCGTGTACGAATTTCTTTCAATGTGCTTTCCAGTGGCATCCATTTTTTCTCCAGATTTCTTTGTTCCAAACTTTAAAATCTACAATTTTTCGAAAAATAAAATTTAGAATCATTGTTCTGTTGTGTCGTCAAAAATAATCGATAAATTATTGAAATTGGTTAGAGCTTTTTCAATTATACGCCATACAGTTGCTATATGACAATGAATCGTTTGATATTGACCTCTACTTTCACTATGATCATATTCGAATTGATCATGGCCATGGGCGATAGTACAAATAAATTTGGTGGACCATTGTTTGTAGAAGGATCATTGAATGATGTGAATAAACTATGGAAATGTGCTGATGTTATATCCAATCGTAGGCTATTTTGTTAGAATTCAAAAATTTCTATCACTAACTTTAATTAATTAATTTATTTCATTATTATTTTCATTAGCTGCTGCTGTTCGTGGAGAATTGGTCAATCGCAAAATGAAAGGTGATCAAAAAATACGTCGATTTATTGAGAATTGTATCAAATGGGGTGATGGTTGGCGATTCAAAAAAGATGGCACATCTTTAAATTTCCGATTTCCATCATCATCGTTATCGATGACAGATTATAATGACAATGCTAATGGATCATTAGATGCCAAAATTGAATCGGTAATCAATGATCATAAATGAACATCAACAATCAACATATAGCCATTTGGTAATGCTTCAATATTACGTTTTCTATTATTCGAAAATTTTATGAAAAATTTGTCATTGATTCAGCCGAATACCAAATGATCGATTCTCTCTGATGGATAGAAATGGCAATAAAAATAACCTATAAAAAATGTTCTTTTTTTCTTCATACTCAAATGAAATAAATTTTTTCTTCAAATATTAATAATGATGACATTTTTTTTCTATTTCTATTATAAAATATACTATTCTGTATGATCTGTCATAAGTATGACAAAGATAAAATAACATAATATCAAACACGTTTATCGAAAAATGACAATTATTGTGTCTAAAAAATAATAATGATAAAATCATTTTGATGAACAAATTATTGATCAGACAACCAAATTGACTCGAATTGAATCGAAGAAATCTTTAAAAATATTTTTTTTTTTTTTTGTAAACAAAAACGTGTTACGTGTCGTCTCTCTTTTAACAAAATTTTCAATGCTTTTCAGTTCATATCTTGTTACTATAACTATTAAATCATTTCCGTTGGTTAGAGAAATCCATATTGATGATAAACATATGAAAATGATCAGACTATTCAATCAGAATGAATAAAAACTAAAAAATCATTAGTTGGTAATAATTAAATCCAAACGTTTTCGATTTGATTTATCATCTACATTCAACAATTTTTATAGTTGTACGCAATGCTTAAAAGCATTATCAACATTATGTTGAATTTTAAATCGATCCATCTGATATGGATCGGATTCTTTCTACTTGTTAGTATTAGAATGTTTGTAGAATCTGAATCAAGCACGTCTCAACATCGTAACAAATATGATTTTAAAAAACTATTGGAATGCTTCAACAATGAATGCTTAAATGAAATTTGCGTCACTAGCAAAGGATATATTGGTCTTCAAACACAAAAATTATCGCCGGGTATATTCGATGAAATAGACGGAGAATTTTTTGAAAATCATCAATCTATAGAAGAACGATCATACGCTGGAAAAAGTTGTGTTAGTGGTAAGTTCTGGCCTTATAAATGATGGAAACATGCTAAAATGAATTTGAATACCAATTTTTCAGTTGTATATCAAATAATATCAATGCCCAAAATTGCCACCAATCAATTGACAACAGTTCACGGGGATCATGTCATGAATCTGATTCCAGATAATGTTCAATATAATGCAGGTGATTATCGTATAAAAATTAAACGATCATCCGATATTATGCAATATAAAATAGTGATGAATTTGCGCAATGTATCTGGATCGAATGCATTCATTAAATTTGACAATTATGAAAGTTACCATGAAAAGATAAAATTGTCCGAATTCGTCGGTACAACTTTACACTCATGTATGTTGTATAAATGTTACTCTTAAATATATGATGAGATAATTGTTTGTTTTTATATCATAGTTTATCTGGATGCCAATATTAATAAGGATTTACAAATTCATTTAAACGTAAAAAGATCAACATTTTTGGATTTCTATATTGTTGTTATACCGATTCGCGCAGATTCTCCATGTTTAGGTGAGTTTAATTTGAATCAATAAAGTTAAAAAAATTAATAAATATCTATATTTTCATTGTACAGCATCTAAAGCATGTACACAATTGTTTCGAAAAAATTATGACATTTTTCAATCATTGAGTTTTGGAAGTGGTGATCGTAGCGAATTACATAATGATTGGCAATATGATAGTTGTTTTGAGAAGCTAAGTTCAATCACTCTGATACAAAAATCACCCAATGATTTCCAGATGAATGGCTCTGAATCTTTTGGAATGTGTTCAGGAAGTTATATACGATTTTTGGACTCGCTAGCGCTTGCTGGTGGCGATTCAACGAACTGTATCGCTGGAAATTCTCTTAATGAAAAATCCGAAGAAAAAAAATTGACAAGAAAATATGAATATAAAGTCAATCTAGTCCGGGCTGAGATTAGCATTAATGATCCTCAAAGTTATTTCAAATTGAAAATAATAAAGCCAAATGGATCAGATGTTGAGCCATATGTGCTAGAACCAGTTGATCGATCCTAATATCAAGACATCAACGATGATTGTTTGATGATATGATCAACATTTAAAAAGCCTTCTGTTTTATAACAATTGTAATTTTGTTATTTTAATAAATGGTTTATATTATAGAACAAAAATAAAATTATTAATAATAACCACAATTAATTAGTCATAATATGAATTGATCAAATGACTGGATAATAAACAATGGCAAGGATGAATGATGGAAACCACAATAAACAAGAACAATTACTTAGCAAATCACAGGTTCGAATCAATAAAATGGAACGATCCATAGAAAAAAAATACTGATCCATTTGATTGAAATTCGGATAGAACAAGAAGATTCAATGTATGTTTATTTAGGTTTTGACAATCGGTGATTTGGTGTACAAAAAACGATTGTTCTTGACCAGGTGATGAGTATGAGGAGAAGGAAGGGGAGAATGCTCGATGGAATGTGTTATGGTCGAATCGCTACAATTTGATGCTAATGCTGATAAGGATGATGTCATAGCCGACGACGATATTGGTGGTTTGACAGGCATATTTATTGATTTTGATAAATTCAACGGACGATGAATTGGTGATTTCATTACAGTTAGAGGGCCCTCTGTCTTCATGGTCATCGTTGAGGCAGGACAAATCATGGAATACTTTGTTGTGGAACCCTTACCAGAATGACCATAGAGTGAATGCGGCCAATGTATAGCCGTGGTTGTTGGATGATTTGGTGTTGGAGACATTCTCACAATCGTATTGTGACGGGTATGCATCACATTCGGAAATTGCTCTCGTTGATGATTGCCAATCCGGTGATGAACAACCTCACCATCAAGTTGATCATTATGGACCATTTGATTGGCAGACGATATTGGCAAAAGCCGTTGCTTTGAATCAATGTCACTATCAGCTTCACTACTCGGGCCATAGGAAGATGAAGACGAAGAAGGTTGAAATGGCGACAAAGAATGGTCATGTTGTTGTTGAGAAGTTGACATGGACAAATTATAGGTTATTGTAGATGATGAGGATGACAGTGGACAAGCGATCGCTTGAGTGTAAAGTCCATTATGATGAATGAGGTCACCATTAAGCAGCATAGATGCAGGTAATAATTGTCCTCCTTCTTTTGATAAATGATGGGCATTAAACATGGGGACATTCAGTTCATCCTCTTCTTCGTCGTCGTATTCATCATTGTTGATGGAACAGCATTGATTACTGTTGTAGGTATTGGCCTGTGTATGATGCATATTCTTGTAGTAATAATTATGACTATTCGTAGATGTTGGCGATCGTTTCACTGATGATTTATAAGATCCACTTGACCCTTTACTGTATTTTTCATCATAGCTTCCAGCGTTCGATGGTGATGGTGAGTATTGTACCAATTCTGGCATGAATGCCATGATCAAAATGGCAATCAACACCAGGAAAGAGCCAAACAAAAATGGAGGCCCAGGTATCACTTGGTCGGTGGGTGAATGGAAAAATTGATTTGTCGTTGAATTGAGAAATGTAATAAATGAGGATGAGGAGCCATTCACGTTCGTTATCGATGGCATCATGTGTTTGAGTGTATCCAATGATTCGGCCGATGAAGAGAGTACTGATGCTGATGACGACGAATGAATCGGATGCGATTGTCGGACGAGATCAACATTGAACAGGCTGAATATAAGACCAAAAAAACATGGGCCCAACCCATTAGATAAACCGCGAATTCCAGTTATTATTCCTTGTAGAAGACCTTGTTTATCGGCATCAGCATAAGAGGATACGTAAGCACTTAAAGCTGGATAGGTGATGGTACTAATTGCGGCAATTACGCTAACAATCCAAACGACCCTGCATAAGGTAAAAAACAATTAGAATAAAACCAAACAGTTAGTTATGAGTTTGAGTATTACCAATGGCTAGAGCCAAGACCAAAACAAATCAATTGCAACATTTCGAATATCAGGCCTATCATGATCGTATTTTTTGATCCAACTCGTTTCATTAATATGGTCAACAAAAGCGTTTGAGAAATGACCGACAAAATGCCAATGAATGCAATATAGGCAGCCACTTGAATCTGATCGAAGCCGATGACTAATTTGAGATAGACAAAAAAGCAGGAATACTGGCCAGCTTCCGGTAGATAGGAGAGAAAGACGGCTACACACAAAGTCAATATCATGCGATCTTTACCGGCACGACGTATCGATGAAAATGGATCAGCAGATTCCCAAATCGAAATAGATTTCTGTCGCAATTTTTCCGGCAATGATTCTGGTACCATTAAGAGAATGTAAATTAAATCAAAGATGGCTACACCGGTTGCAATACATATGACTAGATTGTCGTCGCCAAATGTTGACGATATTAATGCGCCTAACGATGGGCTAGAAATTAAGCTTAATGAGAAAGAAGCGGTCAACCATCCATAAGCATGGCTACGTTCATGTTCTTCAGTTATGTCTGCTACGTAGGCGAATATGACCGAAAAAGTGACTGAGAATATTCCAGACAATATAACTAGACCAAAGTAAATGCTAAGCAAAATTTTAGTCATGAACATAAAAAACAAAAGCTACTAACCTGGGACTAAATTTCATGAAAGGAATCGGAAGGCAGGTAAAAAACACGGTGATCAATAGGAAAAATTTCCTTCCCCAAAGGTCGCTCAAAGCACCAATAAGCGGAGCACTCAAGAATGAAAGGAATCCTTTCACGCCCATTATAAGGCCATTCATGAGAAACGTTTGATCGGGAAAAGTAGTATTCAGAACCTATTTTTCCAGAGAAAATGTAAATTATTTGTTAAGAAATCGGAAAACTTTACATACGGTGATTGCGGGCAAAGTTAATAGACCCCATGCGAAAAATTCAAGAAAGATGACGACGATTGCGTGCAACAACGATGGCTTGGATCGAACGGCTGACATCTGCATTTGAATCATGATAAATAAATTGGTTTTTATCACTAAAAATTCGATGATACATACCAGGCTATTGTTGACAAAGGAGGTTCGTCTCCCGGTTCTAATAATCGCGTTGACCATACGTTTCGATCCCATGTTTAGGGATGATGTGAGCTCTGATTGCTCTTCAACTTTTTGTTCGATCGATTCTTCAACTTCTCTGTTTCTACACACCGTTGAGGGCTGAGAATTCGTATGCATTTAGAGATATTGAACTGGTGGTTGTCGATGATATGATAATGGATAGATTTCAAATGCCAACAATAATACACTAATATCAAGCGAATGGAAACAACAGCAAGGCACTAAATCACAATCAAACTTGATTAAATGGACAAGGATTTATCGGATAATGAATAAACAAAATAGAATCTTTTTTTATTTTTATAACAAAGGGTTTAGATTTCTTCATTCTTTACAATTCACAGTCTGGTCATTATCATCAATGAATAATGACCAGATTCACAGAAATAATTTTGGTACCAAGGCCAAACCAAGAGAAAAACCAATGGGCCAAACAGCGGAAAATATACACCAGAATATACACTGGTTGCTGATGTGTGTATTCTCACAAATTATCCTTTGCATGTTCGTTTGTTTGGCGTGATACACAACTAATAGTGGTATGAGTCAGTGAGAATCGATGCATTTAACACCTGAAAGTAATGCCGCTACCACTGAGGAGAACACAGGTTTAGAGTACCACATTTCTCATTGGATTCAAATTTCATCTGTTCACTTGTAACAGTGCTATTTAGATATATGTATTGTGCATTGTACGACAATTGATTTCGCTTGTCTGATCGATCTGCTTATACCAAACACATACATTGGATTCAAGGACAAAACAAAATTATTCTTGTCAAATGAAAGCAAAGAGTTTCCAAAAGTCAAGCATAACTCCATTCCAACTGGCCACATTTGATTCATATCGAAAATGAATTGTCCGCAATTAGGCTGAGCTACATTTATGGAACAAAACATGTATTTCCGATTGATCAATTGTTTCGCTGATATACAAACATTTGGTATAGCAAATATATGGATTACATTGACATCGGAATTGATTGACGAATATATTTCAAGCTGTTTATTTGTTTCATATGACGATCAATAGATGGCGCACTGTTGAAATCAAATAAGATTACGTTCGAATTTCTGTCAATAATCAAGAATTGTGCATTGATTTCAAAATTGCGCGTTGATTTCAAAAATTGACGCAAAAACGTACACTGAAAAAAAAAATTAAAAAGTTTATCAACGCATTTTTATACCAATATTTCAATTCGATTTAACTGTTAACACAAAACGTACAGTTTTTTGCCATTCTGATCATTGTGTTTGACCTATTAACACAGAGTATAATTCATTACAAAACAAAATATACCAAGCAAGAATTGCAGATCCAGCTGGCAAATATCATCGGTTCTATATCTTGGTTTATCATCATGTTATATTCACAGATGTTTCTATAATTCATATTTTCATTTCACTATAATCATAGTGTTTTTAATTACTTTTTATTAGTTACTAACACGCTAGCCAAACATAAATTACACTCTCTACGTTTATCAAACTTTGATTTTTCATTGGCAAAAATTCAATTAAATTTATAATTTATTTATTCACCTTTGCCGAATTTTATGTTCACTGATTAAACTTTGATTGTCACACGATTCCGAGAATATATGATATCAACTAATTTTGATTATCAATCACTTCATCGATGTTATCATAAACCAAAAGAGTAAATATTTACATCATCAATACGAAAGTCGATCAGTTACCGGATAGTATAAATTACCATCAAATAAAACGTAACGATCAATCACAATTTTAAAATTTCGTTCGATTCACACAATTGAAAATGAAATCCATTATCATCACTGGAGTTATTTTGTCCATATTTTTTGCTTCAGTTGTTTATTGTGGTCCGCCAATGCGAGAGAATCCTGAATTCAAACGTTTATCACAAGAAATTCAAGAAAAAGTTTGCTCTGGTAAAACAACGGAAGAACAATTGAATAAATTGACCAAATGTATGGAAGATATTAAAGACGAAATGGGTGAGGTATGTCTAATTCAAACACATTTATTAAAACAATCTAATTTTTATGTCAAATCATCTCAAGCGTGAATTTATGGAACAATACATCCAAGAATGTCTTGGAGAATCCGAAGTCGACGTTGGATTTACTGTTGATGAAGCATATAAAGAAACTGTATATTTGATTTGTAGCGGAAAATTCCGAATGTGCATTCATCAGAAGGCGAGAAATATATCGCGAAATGATCCAGACAATGATGATGATGAAAAAAAAGAATCAAAAGATAATGGCCCAAGAGGGCCACCGCATATGAATCCTGAATTTCATCAAAAGGTCCAGAAAATGATGGATTGTAAACGAAAAGCTTTAGAATTATAAAATCACCAAACAAAAAATAGAATATGATCCATAATTTACACTTTGACATAAATTTTTTACTATAATTATCAATGTTTTTCGAATAAATTAAGATTAAATAAAAAACAAATCGTCGGTTATACAATAGACATGTTTTTCAAATCAAAGTAAAACCGATCATGTCATTCAAAAATAAGGTTATTCATTGAAGCGGTCAAACAGATATCGTAAAAGAATGATGAATCAAATGGTATGAAACGAAGAAAATTTCAATAAATTATGATAATGAATCAATAATTCGTGTTCATTATCCGACGTGATTATGCGTTTATATTCATGGTGTGTGTGTGTGTATGAAAGCTTAAAGCAATTAACAAAAGAAAAAAAAAAAAATCAAACAATTTTACACATTTTATTTTTCATTCAATCTGATTCTGTTTCTGTTTCTTCTTCTGATGAATCCTCAGTTTCTTCTTCACTTTCAACTGCAAGTTTCATTGGTTGTGAATTTTGAACCGGTTTCAATGTTAATGTTGCCGTCGAAGTAACTTTTGGTTTATTAAAATCATTAACCGGTTTTGATGGAGCGATTGGTTTGAATACGGTATGTTCCATATCGTCATCATCAGAAGAATCAGAATCCGTATCTTCTTCCGATGATGATTCTGATTCTTCTGACGATTCATCGTCATCATTTTCATTATCGCCTAAGCCATCATCATCTTTATTCTTCTCAACAATATCTTTCACTTCTTTTTCATTAAGACCAATATCCTCCCAATCGATATTCTCCAATCCATCCTTTTCCAACTGGTCTAAAAGATATTCAATTTCAACATCTTCATCAACTGTTTCCATACTTTTTCCAAAATCAGCACGTGATTTTGTTTTGATTAATTTAAGAATTTCGGCTGTTGATGAACGATTCAGACCTTTAGATTTTTTTCTTGCTTCAATCGAACGATTTACTGATCGTTCTTTTGTTTCTCTCAGCGGTGTTCTCTTAAAACCGGAACGGACATGTTGATCTTCTTGCGCTGATGATGATGTCAAAGAAGTAGGCTGTGTTTGTTTTGCTGATTCATTTGTTGTCGTTCGTTCGTCAATGATCGGTTCGATTATTTTATTCGCCTTGTTCAAATTTTTCATGCTATTCGCGATTGAAGAATTTTTAATTATCTCTGGCTCTTTCGTTTTTAATTTATTTTGTACAATTTGTTGGTTAACATTGTCGTTGTTTTTATTACTGGAAGTTATCGATGCGTTTGGAGCCGATACCACGGGCAGCTGTGTCAACGAGAAGGATGAGAATCAGATAGATGAATTTTATGAAAAAAAATAATGAAATTTAAAAATGATAAAGATTGGAGAAATTCTACAGAATTTTGTCGGTCAATAAAAAAAAGTACAATTTTTCGAAGAAAACAAAAAATTAAGCATATCAAATTTTGGGATAAGTGCATCGCAATAATAGAAGCAAATAAAAATTTTTTTAGGCTGATTTCGTACATGAATTGTGTCAATAATCAGTGGCAAAGCAAATGTTTTGGTGTGATGCTGGCAAACGACGTATGACGACTAATTGTTCTGGTTGTAGTTGTTGGGTATTTGTATTGAAAAGATTTGAATTAGAAATTGAATTCATTGGTTGACTTGCTGATCGATTAAACACTAATCTCAATGGTTGTGGCTTTGGTGATGATGATACATCTATCGAACAATGGTTATTATCTTCCATGATTTTCGGCAAAGATGATCGCATGAGAATGTTTGGCGATATTGGACGATTATTATTAATCACAGATGGCGATTGTTCTTTATATCTATTATCAATGAACATACGACCAGGTGGTGGTGTAATTGCTTGTCGACCAAATGATGGTTCGATTTGTTGAAGAAACATCGATTGAGCCAATTGATCACGACGATTCGAATCGAATGGATCATTGATTTCTGATCGCGGATCTGCAACTGTCTGACATCCATTTATTATTAAACAAGACGATTGGGCGGGCGTATGAATGGATTGTTGTTGAGATAATGATGAATTTTTATCACGATTAGCCCAGATTCGATCGTTGGTTGTATGTCTTCGAACCAATGGTGCAAAATTCATAGGCGCTTCTAATTGTTGCTGAATAAAAGCACGAGCTTGTTGTTGTTGTTTTGATAAGGTTTTTGTTGCCGAACAACAAGTTTGGGGTTGTTGAAAGTATGAATAATTTTCTGGTTGTTTTTGTGGCCGAAATATCGGTTTTTGATTTTGTGGATGAAATTCCAGTGGCTTTGATTGCTTCTGAAACGGAATCAGAGGTGATAGTGATCGTTTAGGATGGTAGCTTAGCTGTTGTAAAGAATGATTTACCGGATTATTGTGTAATGAATGAGCATTATAATCCAAATATCCTGATGATAATGATGATGAACGATCAAATTGTTGTTGTTGTAACTGATTTTTACAATGACGATTATTATTGACAGGCAAATAATCGACATGCACTGTTGTCTCGTTCGTAGTGTTGATTGGCGATGGTGAACGGCTAAAATTCATACGGTCAATCATCATTGATAGTGGCTTACGAAGAAATTGATCAACATCTAGATCGTTATCATCATGCTGGCCAATAGAATCATCAGAAACCATAATCGGTGGAGGTGAAATCGGCACAAACTGAACGTACACAATATGCAATACACACACATGGATACAAAATTATTGTTTTGGTTTTTATATTTATAAAGCATTTGTTTTGTGTTTAAATGATGAATAAAATCCGTTGAAATTAGAAGATATCGCAAGGATAATATGAATGGGATGGATTCAAAGAAACAATGATTATACTTAAATTGCACTTACATCGTTCGTTACAGTATTCTGACCAATAGGTCCATTGCCACTGAGACTGGTTCGACGTGGTGGAACTCGACCGAAAACTTTTTTACCAGTCGGCATCCCTCCAACTGGCTGTGGTGATGGACTATGTGAGTCACGAGGAGTTGGAACTAAAGCTGGTGAACGACATCTAGTCGGTGTTGACGATGGCGTCGTTTCCATAAGATTATCAACCTGATCACGTAGACCCCAGGTTGGTTTACGCGAAGCAACAGGTTGCTGTTGATTTTCGGATGGCTGTTGTGATGCGATCGGTTGCGTCGATGTACGACGTCCATAATACATTTGTCGACGTTGAGTTCCAGGCGATGAAAATGGAGTGGATGAATTCGAATCCGTTGCGGAAGCTTCGATTGCTGCAGCCAAATCACGTGTAGATCGCCGTGATTGACCAAATTCGTTACCACTGATAATATTGTTATTGGCATCTTTTTTCTTAATAGTTATCTTTTTCTTTGGTTCAGGAGATGCAATTTCAGCTTTAGTGTTTGGATTGGCAACTGTTGATGGTGCTGGTGTTGAGGATGGACATTTTTCCCACGTTCCTAATTTGTTTGATCGAGCCGGACTTTTATTGGGAGTCTTATTATCAGTGGCTTGTAGTTGAGGTTGAGATATCGGCGGAGAAGGTTTAGCTATAGTTTGTGTGACTTGCGGTTGTGTCTTGAATTTGATTGGCTTTTTATTCTGTACATTATTATTTTCAGGTTGTTGATTATGAGCGGATTCCCATAATTTTTTCTGCGCTGCTACTTTGATTGGTGTCTCATCAACCATATCCGATTTAGCTGTCCGTCTAGGTGGATCTCCAGATTGTTTCTGGTTATTGATTTCCTTTATCGGTTTAACAATATTTGTCTTATTTTCATTTGTGATCACTTTATTGGTCGTTGTTTTCTTAATCGACGGAGTTGTTCGATCATTATTCAACAATGAATTTGGAGGTGGTGGTGGTGGAGGAACATTTTTGTTGCTAAGCTCAGATAATGGCGGCGGTGGTGGTGGAGGGGGAATTGTAGCAGTTGCGTTAGACTTTTTACGATTCTTGACTATCGATTGGGGCTGTTGTTGAGGTTGTGTTGATGGTGTTTTCTTCTTCAAAGGCAATTTTATCGGTGTCATAGTTTGAAGTCGTTGTGCGTAAACTGATTCCAATTGTGCACCAAATTGTGCTAATTTATTTTTTACTGAAGATGTTCCTATTATCAATGAAAAATTAAAATTAGGTTTTAATACTTATTAGAATTGAAAATGAAAAAATTAGCAGTTTCATATAGGTGGGAAAACTTACAATGCTGCAATCAATATAACAAATTAAAGCATCAAAGCGGATGTCTGAAATGTTATTGCAAATTTTTCGAATCTATAATTCATTATACGAACCAGAAATGGCTGCTTTTTCAGCTTCAATTTCAGCACGTTTTCTTGCCATAAATTTATCTTCTGATGAATCGGGTGCGGCCATTTGTCCAAACAATTGATCTTCATATTGTTCCAATTGTTTAGCAAAGCCATCGTTTGGTTTGGCAAAAGCTCTGGCTTCACGAATCTGTGTTTTGTATGAAAAAAAATTTAATCTATTAAGTAATTAAAATTCTAACACAAATATACATACTGTAGCCAATGCATCTTTGTATTTCATTTTTTTCTGTTTCATTAGATAAGCACAACATATTGCCGTTGATCTGGATACGCCAGCATTACAATGTACAAGACAATTACCACGTTGTATGCCTTCTTGAATAAAATCAATGCATTCATCAAAGTATTGAGTGATGTCCGTTTCGGGTATATCCAATACTTCAAACTTTTTGTAATTAAAATCATCTTCGAATGCATTAGGAACGCCAGGTGCCAGATTGAGAATGTGTGTAATTTCATATGTGTCCAATAAGGATTTATCTTGAGCAACATCTTGAGAAGCTAAGAAAATTAAAAACGAATTAGAGTTGTTCAAGGTATGGTAATTTTTACGTTATTTTTTCTATAAAAGTTAATATAACTCATTTGGAAAAATAACCATTTAAACTAAAATTTAACATTAGATAAACTTTGATTACCTATGATAAATTTGGTAAAATTGAGACTAGTAAAACGGAAATTGACTGAATCATAATCTTTTAAATTATTCCTATTCTGCAAAGCCCATGAATCTTCAGTTTCATTTTACACTTTCATCTTTCACGATTGACGTCATCCAAACAGCAATGATGATTATAAAAAAAAAAAAAATTGAGCGCAACTCTTAAATTCATTTACAGCTAGAGAAGATGAAGATTGATTTGTGAGATGTGATTGCTTAGCTTGTTCGTTCAATTTTCTAAATATATAGCAACAATCATCATATTGATAATTGTGATGATGGTTCTATTTCTAGCAACAAGCAAGAATCCTGTTTGTACCTCATTGAAAAACATTAATAAACCAAATAAGAAATATTCACATTTATTCTACAAATATCAATAATTATGAGCTAATAGTTTTTCGAAATAAATCCTTAATTATTATCATATATGTGATGATTAGAATTTATACTTACAAATGAGTAGGCCAGGTATAATCATTCCGACCTGGAGATCCGGTTTATTATCAACAACATAGCCAACTGAATTGATACCATCAGATTTGATCTGTTGTAAGCCTTTTGGTGAACGTTTTTCAGTCAATTGTTCACCACTACCGGTCGTCACTTTTGTTTCAACTTTTTTTAGTTTGCGTTGAGAAAAATTTCTAATTTCATCGAATAATTTATTTCGATCTTCTTCAGCCATTTTCGATGATTTGGAGATTTTTTTTTTGTTTTAAACAATTAAAATGAAATCGAATTCATGACCAACCCAATGAATGCATATGAGAACTAGAAAAAATGAAAAAATTTTAAAACTTGCAACAACAACAAAAAAAAAAACAAAATGAATGATAAATGTGAGCACACCAATTAATAAGTGAAAAACAAGATAAATATCACAAAAAATTTAAAAAAAACTTCAATAATAAATGGACAAAATTTTAAAATAATCTGTTCTGCACATTGAGAATCAAAATTCGATAATTAAGATTATAGTTAATGTCCAGAATAACTTTACAATATAACACATATAACGATGCAACAGCGTGAAACTTTTCAAAAGTAATGCTGTTTAAATGACTTTGATATTTTCTACAACAGAAAAAAATATCAGAAAAAGACGACGGAAAATGTTGATGATCACAGCAATACAATGTAGATGTTTAATATCATAGTTATAGCCACAAAAATACACACAAATTGCGGCATTTAGTTTACTATGCCATTTCATTTGATTCTGGTGTATAGAATCAGATATTCAGAGCAACAGATACTTTTAGAGCAGAATCAGTTGAAAAAATAGACTGACATATTGTAAATATCATAACAAAGTTTTCAAATACAGAATTTGTGGAATAAAATTCTCAACTTTTACGCTACCACTAGTAACTTTACAAACTATACTTGTTGTCATTTGTGTATTCATCATTTATAAATATTCCGTATACACCCTTCTCGAATCGTTAATGTTTAATGTTTAGAATCTAAACAGAATTTCATTTGTGTATTGTGTAGAATATAAAACGAAAATATCTATTTATTCATGGTATATATACACAACAACAAGATGGAACAGAGGAATTAAAAATCCAAATGCTTTGTAGCTGATTTGTAATAATAATAATAATTTCGATCTGGGTCATCAATTTTTTTTTTGATGGTTGAATAATGAATTCCAAATCATTATTATATATAGTCATTATATTGGAAAGAAATGGATGGATTCAACATCGCCGTTCCGGCGAAAATATAAACATAAGTTTATCGAAAACTCAGAAAATGAATAGAATGAATGACAAACACACAAACAAAAAAAGAATGTGATCGTAATACGGCTTTTGAATATGACGTCCTAGAAAAAATGAAGATAATCGACAAGGCGTTTAATCTTCCCTCAACAAAGACTACGTCTTCGATTTTCTAAACAAACACCACTAACTAATATACAACCGTCACGACGAAATTTGGAGTTGCATCTGTCAAATAATCTTAGCTTAGCTCAAATTTTGTTGCCAAATTTTCTATTTTTTTTTTTAATTTTTGTTTGTCATTTGACAAAGACACAAGCACACGCACAGAATATAAGAGAAACAGTTCTCACATAATTAGTAACAGGGGAATAAATCGTTCATCAAAAAAAAAGAATCTCAATGAATGCAACCAATCGAATTGAAAATAAGAGAGAACGAATTCATTTCAAATGTAAAGAATTGACATGGTTTGACATTGACATGGTGCACATAAATGCAATAATGAATAAGATCAAAAATGGGTCAAGTGAATGAGGTCGACTATATGAATTATGATAAAATATTCTGGTGTTGAAAAAAAACATAAAACTCAATTAAAAACACAATAAAATATAATGATACGAATGCAGTTTCCAATCGATTACAACATTTGATTTTGAAAGTATAAAAAATTGAAAAGTTTAAATTCAGCTACGGACATTATGATAACCAATTCCAAAAAATTGCTTTCACCAGAAGAATTAATTCTTATAGCTTTGTGAATTATGACTTAGGATTTTCGATTTTAGTTTGCGGTATAAATTTAGATGTAAATTACGATTACAAAATGCATGTGAAATAACTTAAATATTAGAATAAAAATGAAAAAATGTTATATAAAAAAGATCACGATAATGGGTGACTTGAAGGGACATAAACCTAGTACGATTTGATGTTGAATTTAGAATTCTAGATCCGTATCAACAGGACATAACTCTTTGAATTATCAACATCTAATTTATGATAATAATAAAAATGAAAAATAAGAATAAGAAGAGAAAATTCACAAAAATAAAAATAAAAATGAGTATTAATTCTCTTCATACTTTTTGTTTACGTATCACTTATCAAAACAAATAGGGTTATTAATAAAAAGATCTGAAAATAATAATAATTCTTTCATAAAAACATAAATGTAAATATTAATAGTGCGTCACTTTCAAAAAAAAAACTATTTGATATGTATGTGAAGAATGGAAAGATCATAATTTACCTCGAAAAAAGTTATCGGTATACAGCCTTGTCAAGAACTTGAAAAGAAAAAACTTTTCACGACACAAAAAACATCGAAATTTGTTTTGATGATGTTTTGTGGATACATACCCACTTTGTGTGGAAAATTTTTTCGTGACAACGACAACATACGAAGAAAATCATCAATGTAAATTTATATATTATTATTATTTCAGAGAATTTTCATCCAATAATAATCACATTTCAGAATAATTGTTTACAAATGATCAAGATTGCGATTCTTGTCGAAGAGATGGCGACAGTATTGATTTAAAAAAAAATTTGCATTATATATCCAAATGATATGAAAAATATTTTTTACTTAATTACATTTGGATGAATGAAATGGAAAAAATTCTGCAATTAAAATCTAGGTCAAATTATGACCGGATGTTTTTCATTATAATCATTTGAAAACACATTCATTTTTTAAATTAATGACCACAATGTTGCGGAAATGCAATATGAATAAGTTTGTTGGTGGGGGATGCGTTAGTAGTACCCCATTACCTGTTACGCTTTTAACTTTTATCAGCATTTAATAATCTGGTTTAGTTAATAATAATTAAGTGAATAAACTAAACACAAGTGAATTGAATGAAATTATTATTATTTAAGTGCATTTTTTAAAAACACAGGTTACACCAGTGTATGAGGTGGACAGTAATTATACAAAATGTAATTATTATTACCATTATTTAGTGCAACATATTGCCAATGTGGATGATGAATGATGATTAATGTGTATGATAATAATTTGAACAAGAAGAATGACAAAGAAGAGATCAACAAAAGTAAAAAAAAACCAGATGAAAATGACAAATAGATTTAAGATGAAATGAAAATCGGTCAATGTGGATGGGAAACAAATAGAAAATGTTTGGTTATATATTGTAATTTATATATGTTGTTTTGTAATCAACATAATTTGACTTGTACATGCTTTTATTCGTAAAATATACAAGTAAGCTTTGTTCTTTGTTGATGATTTTTCGTACCACCCTGTATGATATCAATTATTTCACTATATAATCATGCTTCGCACGAAAAATCATAGGACCCTCATTTTTGGTTGATTACTTTCATTCAAAAAATTTTCCATACAAACTCGAAATTGGTTAACATATATCATATTTAAAACCAATTTTTGAACTTGCCCGTATTGAATCAAACAGCTGGAACAGATAACAGTTTTACATACCAGAATCAAGTTGGCTGAGTACAAGATGAAAAGAGAGAGAGAGAGACAATTATCGAGATGAATATAAGAAAAAACTAGTAGTGTTCAATCATCTCGAATTTAGATTCAGATTCTTGTACACAAAATCATTTATGATTCTTGTAGATGGATAATAATTTATGATAATTCGTCAATATTCATATAATGATCGTCATCGTTATTTTAATTTGATGATTAAATGATATGATGATTATAATCCATTATAATGAGGGTTGAATTGAAAATGTGAAAAAAGACTTTGTTTTTTCCCAAACGAAAATCTTCAACAACAAGGAGAAGAATCAGGCAAATTTGTATATTGTCCTTTGCATAATTTTGAGGCGAACTTAATAATTTTCTCTCCTAATTTGGTTTGATTTACCTTTTTTTTGTTTTGGCCATCATTAATAAACGATTCGGATCTTCTCCCATTCGTATTTTTTTTTTTTTTGGATTTCAAATCGACACATTTTTTTTCGACGACGGCCAACAATTTTTTATTTGTATATATTTAACATATACCTATTACTTTCTGTGTCTAAATCCAGAACAGAATGGGAAAGTTCACTTCATACACTAAATATATATGATCCGATCTAATTAGAGCCCATAATAATTAACGAAGCTTGACGACGACGAGTTGAAAAAAAAAAAATTTTCCAAAGGTTTTTTTAAGGCGTTAAAAAACGATGCCGATCTTGTTTTGTTGTTTGGTTGATTGTCTCTCCTAATTCATTCGAATAATTAGTTAGTTCCAATGTATTTAAACGTACCAATTTATGAAAAATAAACGATGAAATGTGTGAAAAAATAAGCAAAGATTTCCTTTCTTTCAGGGTATACGCGCACAATTGTTTTTAAAACATGTGACGACAAAGTTTGCCTGAAAACACAACCAAATCGAAAAAAAACAATCAAAGCTCATTATGGAAAACAAAGATTGTGAGAGAAAAAACTTTGTGAATTTGTATTCAATAAATTTTAAATAATGAAAACAAAGAGTGAATGGGTAAATGAGAGAGAGAGAGAAAAAAAGGTTTGAATCTCCTTTACCTGTAACGCTGTATGGATGCAAAAAAAAGAGAGTGAAGGAAAATGAAATCGAAATCTTCAACTTATTCAACTTCATCTAAACATTTTATCAGTCATTCCAATGATAGTTTGTTGGTGGTCTTTGACTTGAAAACGATATGACAAGCTTTTTTCTTTGTTTGTGTTATATAACCCGTACAATTTTGCATTGTATTATTATCCATCATGTGGACAGACTAAAAATGTGTGTTTCTTTATTTATCTTTAAAGATTCAATTGCTATCTGATTTTCGTTATCATTGATAGTTTTGAAAATAGTTTTTTCTTTGTTCTGTATCCATCGATCCATCATCTTCACATTGACACATCTTTGGTTTTTTAAGATTTATTCATCATTCTATACGTGCTTTTTTTCTCATGTTTCTTTTGTGCATAAATCAACTCAACAACAACATCCATTAATGATTGAAAAGCGATTGATTATTTGATTGTTCATCATCATCATCATAATCATCTTTCTTCTACCTCGATTGGAAATAACCTCAAAAAATGAAATAATTTTCATGTGTAAATGTTGTCATATCTATATTTTTTTCATTAATGATCTAAATTAACTTTCATCGAAAAAACGATTAGATAAAAATCGTTCAAATAAACGAAAAATGAAACTTTGATCGATCATCTATCATCATCATGAAAATCTATCATTTAATGAGAAAAAATAGAAAGTCATTTTGTAGTACGATATTTATAATGACAATTGATTATGTAAGCAACAAAAAAAAGAAGCAAATTACCAACGTTCAAATGAATGAATCTTTTTTATGGTGAATTTAGAAGAAAGTGATAAAATAAAACAAAAACAAATTCAGAATTTTTCACAATCATCATTGTTTGCACATATTCGAGGTGAATTTCGTTTACATACAAAAAAGCTATTCATTTTCATAATGATCAAAATTAACCAATCGATTAATTAATCAATTATATCTGATACCTTGAACTCGTGATATGTGTTTAAATAAAATTTGAATGAAATAATGGGAAAATTTCCTGTCGATTTCAACCATCATAATTGACGAATAAATGAAGGATTTCTTGTGTGTCGATGTCACCAATTTTGTTCAATGGCTAAAAAATCTAATCAAATTATAATGATAATCGAATAAATTCATTGTCATCCATTAGCGCAATCAATGAATAACCATGTTGACCATATTGACATTTCATCAAATTGGAGCTTTAAGCGTCCTGTTCACCATTTCAATGTTGATTGCATTCTGCCCATTATTAATACTTCGCTGGTTCTATAAACGTAAAAAAAGACGATTAAGACGACTGAACAATAACAATAATAATAATAATCAACTGAATGGAATGAAAAATTCATTATCACCATCATCATCTATTAGTGATATGGCAATTGCTTGCACATTACAAATATCTGATGTGGTCGTCAATTTACTTCGTTCATTGAATGGTGGTCTATTATTGGCATCGTTATTCCTAATTTTTATTCCTCAACTTCGATCAAATTTCGACACATTAATGAATAGTTATGTATATAAATCACAATATGGGTATCATCATCAACAACAACAACAACATCATGGTTCCAACTTTAATTCATTAATGCATATGCCTGAACCGGAGCCATATATTCTAAATCGAAGAAATGATTCCCATGTGAATCTGGTGTTCAATGATGAATTTTCCATTAATAATGATACAGAACCTACAAATAGAGACAAGTTTGCTAATGTAAATAGTGAAAAAAAATATTCACATCTAAACAACATATTTGCATTGAAATTTTCACCAATACCAATCGTTGAAGTGATACTTTGTTTGGCATTTTTCACATTGTATTTTGTCGAAGAATTCATACAATTATGTTTTCGTTATCGTAAATATTTTTGGGCATTTAATTCGACTGTAGTGATAAGTTCTTCAGACGTCCATTGCAATTATACATCGTTAGATTATCGTATCAATTGTACGAAACGTTTTCTCATCGATTGTAGTCGAAAAACGTTTACAACAAGTAATTATTCATCATCGGGTAGTTCGTCATCAACAAATGATGGTAGAAAAGATTGTGAACGCACATGTTTTGATCGTTCAACCCCTATAACAATGATGAGCAGCAATGACAATAATTCAACTAATTATCAACAAAATTATCATATAGATAAAATGATAATGATTCCAGGATTTGCATCGACAATGACTAAAGTTAATCCTCTAGTCCAAAATGAATTTTTCACGAATGAACGATCCAACGAGCAAAATGGCGATGACATGAATGCTGAACCGATCAAACAGCAGCAACAACCAACACAACAATATGAAAGCTTAAATTTAAGCAATAATAATGATGGTAATCATCTAGTTGATGGCCAAAATTTTGTAAATCATAATGAACCACAATCTTTATTATCAAATTCTTCGGCCCATTTACCCTCATATTATTGGCAACAACAACCAGAATTCAATATGATTGCCAACAATTGTAGCCATCATCATCAGCCATCGACTCTGGATGAAAATCTTCATCTAAATATTTTTAACAATAAAAGCAAACAAAATCATGATTCAGATCATCATCATCATAATCATTGCCAACATCATTTATTGCCACATGATTTATCAGAATTTAATCATAATCCAAAAGCTAATGATGCTGTTGAAGACGATGTTAAAAAGATTCGATTGAATGCTGATATAAATACAATAAATAAATTAAAAAGTATCGATTTTAATGATCATGATGAAGAGGAAAAATTTTCTTCAGAAGTGAAACAAAAATCCAAATGGATAAGCAAAAGAACAATGCAAGAATCACCAAATGAATCAGATAATCGTACGGTTTGTTGTTTCTGTAACTGTTGCAATTGTTGTTCACAACATTACCATCATTCAAATGCCATTTCATCAACGAAAACGGATAAAATGTTTGATGATAATTCAACGACATCCGGTTCAATGAGTGGCCAAACTTTGGCAAAAATTTTCCTGCCAGACACCACACAATTGAATAACATGCCAGCATTGTATATCGGCGAAGGAATTCTCATTGCCATTCAGCCTTCAATTGCTCTACTATGGCTTATGCTATTTGTCATATTAATGCATAAAATGGCCAATGGATTAGCAATGGCAAATGAATTACATTATCGTACAACTGGCCGTCAGCGAAATCTACCAAGTTCAACGATTTTTATGTTTACCTCATTACCTTCACTTGGTTGTTTATCTGTGATAGTTGCCAACATTTTGATTTATTGGAAAATCAATTTAGATTTTGCTACTGCATCATTCAGCAAAATGAATCAACAACAGCATCATCAATCGAATCACACAACAATAGCATTGCCACTTGAATTAGTCATTCTCAAAGTGATACTTGTTTCACTATCAGCTGCAACATTATTACATTTGATCATGTTGACCATACAGCAACGACATCATACTTATTTGTTATCAACATCGTCAATGAATAATACTAAGAATAATAGCAACTCAATGGTTCATTCATCATCTATGAAAATTGATAATCAAAAATCAAAAAAACAATCGGTCAATGACGGAAAAGAATATCGTAAACGAAAATTTAACCGTAAACAGCCAACAATCAAATCGACTCCTTCATATTCATCAAATTCACATAATAGCCGAATATTTCAAAATTCAACACCATTCATAGGGCCAACCTCGATTATAACAACATTATCCAGACAGCAGCAAACACTTTTATCAATGACAATATCATCGACAGCATCCACATCTGAATCGAAAAGTGGTATTATTACTAATAATAATAATAACAATAACAATGATAATATGCCCATATCGATAGATGACCAAAATGTAACCAATACATCGATGAAGACGATGGTGGTTGATCATGAGAATGGAATAAACAATGATAACATGCCGCTAATAACTGTACACAGGAATAATGTTTTACATTATTTCATCATGTATTCCGGTTTTATCGTCATATTGATGGCAATCGCATTTTTAAATTTCAAAAATTTTAAATTGTAAACTTTTTTTTTGTTGTTATTATTATTGTTAATATGAATGATGATGTATGTGATAAAAAAAATAAACTAAAATTTCAATGAAAACAGAAATCTTCTATGCCAGCTTGTTTTTTATTGTTATTCTTATATATCATTTTGGCTTCTTCATTATGATGATGATCATCATGTAGCCATGTGATTGGAATTAAAAATAATACCGAACATATCGATACAAGACCAGTGATCAATATGGATGTTGAATAAATGTCATTATTTCCATCATTATTATTAACAGTAAGATCTAATCAAAAAAGGAAAATGGTGAAATAAATAACATATAATATATAATATAATAATTGATGAGTATGAACAATTTACTACTCACTTAGGATTGGTGGTCCAATTAATGCAGCTAGACCATCAAAAAATGAAACAATTCCATAAGCATTGGCCATTTTATTTGTACCTAACATATCGACCAAAACGACTGGTGTTAAACATACATTGGCACCTTTTTTATGTTGGTCGTAGATATTGCGAAAATCACCAAAAAAAAAAAAAAAATAAATAAATTAACGGTCCAAATATTATATCGAAGTCGTCCATATGTTGAGAGGAACCCGGATTCGAAATTCATTTAAAACAATGAACAAAAAAAAAATATTATTATTCACATTTTCAAGTATTAATTTCACTATATCATAACACACACTCATATATTTTGTCCAACAGTGCGGATATTTATAATAACTTTTTGCCACACAAAAACAGAGACGAACAAATAGGCAATATTTTACACCAATCCGGATATCATTTCTAATATTATTATGAAATCTAATATTTTAAATAATTGGTGAAAATTTTCATATAATTGTATATAAAATCCAATGTCTGATCAAAAATATACATTTTCAAATGTCAACGATTGAAAATGTTTATGGATTTTTTCACATCATCATACTAGCAATTGATGATACAAAATCAATACATAGACAACAAAATATTCAAACAAATTTTTCATCAAAATTATCATCCATTATCGAATTGAAAAACATGAGTTAAACTAACCAAGAAATTATTTTATTTCACTTAGTCTTATGCAGTGAAAGTGGTTCCTTTCTATCAAATTTCAATTTGTTTAAATTATCTAATTAATTTAGTTTAGTAATAAACGAAAGCAATACTATTCTATCATTGATTCATACTTTTTTTAAAATGCAATAATTTTAATGATTAAATTATAGAGTTGATAAATCTTAAAACAATAAATGCACAACTTCCCCCTTCTCTACTACTACTACAACCATTTATACATCATACATTTGTATTCAATTCATCAAATCGATAATCAAGAAATGAATGCATAAATTGTATAGATAATGATCTATCTATATACGGAAACTGAAATTACCTTTTATTTTTCACTATTTGTATATATATATGGAAAAGATTCTTCCTTTTTTATATATATTCAAAAAATTCGGTATCGATCCACCAAACAACAACAATAATAATACAAGAAAAAATAATTTGATTTATCAAAACAAAAAAAAAAATAGAAACAGAAATAACCTAATATTGTATAGATGAAAGATGATCATCATAAAAAAAAAACAATGAAACAAAATGTCTATTAAACGACTAATTATACCACATTGTCTTCAATCATTATGAAATGTTATAAAGTTTTGTCAGTTTGATCATATGTTCAAAAATAAGAACGATACAGATATAATTTCTTCATTGATGTAGAGAAAAAAACTAATGATGATTATAGAAATACAAAACTAAATTTAGATTTTTTTTTTATGATGACGACTATCGACGTTAATCATAATCGTCATTATATATTTTTTCGCATTGGATCAATCGATGATAGATTGTTGAAAACCTTTGGGTAAAAAAAAAATTACTTGATTACGCGGCTTAATGAAGGAACCGAATATATGGAAAAAAGGAAGTCAAATTGAATGATAAAAAAGAAGATTCATCTATCCATACATACATAAAATAATTGAATACATTCAAATTATCATTCCAATTTCATATAACAAGATGAAATACAATTCAGAAAAATATATCTACAAAGTATATTATGATTTGGTAAATGGATCTATTCAACCTATTTTGGATAACGAATTTCAAAGATAATTTCCAGTCAAAATTATGATGATGATGATGATGATGATAGCAAACGAAACGTGTAATCATCATCCACTATTATAAGAGCTTGCTATATTTTTACACAAATTAGATTCATGCATTCATTTTTTTTCATCCAACTAAGCTCAAATGATTAAGATGATAATCAAATTTTTCCATTACTACTATTATTATTATATATATATATGATGATTATTTTTTCTCATTCTCGAATTTTCTCTTCGTTTTCGTTCATTGACGATATTCCTGCCGGATGACAATGATGACGCATAAAAAGAATATGAAGAAAAATTATTCATTTTCATTCTTTTTGTCGTCTAAGATGAGGTGGTAAAAAAGGAATTGGATGAATAAAATGAATAAAACACACTTACCGAAAAATATTCCAATCAATGCATAGAATAATTGCATTGTTACCAATGTATAGGCCAAATTAGTAAGCCAAACGGTAGCACCAAGTGCAATGGTAACGACAATCAATAGCCAAAGATTATTTACATCAAAACTGGTAGATATAAAACCAAACAATATTCTTCCAAAACCATTGGCAATTCCAAAACAACAATAAATAGATGCACCGGTCGAACCAAATCCAGCGCGTCTAATACGATCAGTGATGATGATTACGGGCGTAAAAAAGACTAGATTTAAGATGAATTGACTCAATACGAACAATAAGAATGATTTTCTAGTCCATAATAGGCTGAAATCGGCCGTTTCTTCCAACACTTGACAAAACAATGATTTAGAATTCAAAGATTGTTTAGATGACGTCGTTAACGATGGACAATCAGGTTCGGCATATAGGCCGGAAAAAACCAAACATGTAGACACGAAACCAGCTAATATAATCATGGCACCTTTCCATGTATACATTTGAATAAAATAATCACTTATAAAAGCAAAAATAGCCATCCCGAAACCGGATCCACATTCAGCGATTCCGGTTGCTAATGCAAGTTTACGATCAAACCAAACGGTTATAATGACAAGCTGTGTGATGAACAGTAGCCCTAGGCCGCAGCCGGCCAATAAACCAATGGTAATGAAATGAAAATAGATTGATTGATCGAATATAGTTGACAATAGCATTCCAGTGATAGCCATTATGGAACCAATTATTGATACTGTTCGGCATCCATATACTTTGATCAGGCCACTAGCAAATGGAGCTAAAATAACAAGACAAATAATTTATGATGATAAATTAAGAACAGAAATCCTGCGTAATTGTTGGAAATTGATTATTTTTTCATTAAACAGAAAATAAACAATTTCCATGATAAAATTGTTTCAAATCTTACACCCTTTGGGAAGACACAATGCTGCTGTTTTTTTTTATCGAAAACAAATCCATTGTCAAGTGAATTACGCTACTATTATAAGCATTTAGGCTTATTCAGCATTTTATTCTGTATGAATGTTTTTTTAAACAATTTCGATCAAATAAAAATAGTAATAACAAATTCTCGAGGTCATCATAATATAAGAAAAAAGGAAACAGAAAAAATTGATCATGGCATAGGGAAATGAAATTTTTTTTCTCAGGTTATTATTCAACAAAAAAAAACTGACAGTCGGAATGAAAAATAATTGTTTCACCATAAATGATGAAATTTTTTTTCTGAAACAAGAGATGATGTACAGAATACATATGTAGTAATAGTATATCTAGCACCAAATCTTTAGAATTTTTCGCATTCGAACATGTTTTCAAAATATAGTGGTGTATCAACTAAACAAAAATCATTTTTCATCAGAATTTTTTTTCCATCTTCATCATCATTATTATTGCAAAGTAACACAAAACCTGCCGAATGCAAATGTCAATGTTTTTCTCACGAAATTTTTTTTTATAAATAGTTATAATAAAATAAAATATTTACTTTTTCATGCATTCGACTAATGTGAAGAATTTGTATCTTGAACAAAAGCAATAACAAAACAAATTCAACAATTCAAGTAGACAATTGTGATCATCATCATCAAACAAGAACATGTAAGAATAAATTTGAATATATATCGAATAAGATGTTCAACAATTCAAGTAGACAATTGTGATCATCATCATCAAACAAGAACATGTAAGAATAAATTTGAATATATATCGAATAAGATGTTGTAAACACATTCTTTCGAATCATGTGTCATAAGATGTGGATAATAATAAATAAATACTTACAGATACCGTAAATAGTTCCATTCATAATCGATATAAAGATTGATGTTATTGTTTCAGTTTGACCATAAATGGCTAAAAATTGTTCATAAAATTGGCCACAAGTATATGCATAGCCATCATCAAGTACAGATATAAATAATGATGACATCACCACTATCCAACCGAATTGGCCATCAATTTTTGGTGAATCACGATTCAAAAACGAATCTGATGATGATAATGATGAATATGTACGAGATGAATATAAAGTTTCTAGATACAAAAGGCGAATGCTGTTCAGACTCATTTTCTATTGGCAGTATGTAATAAAAGGAAATAAAGTGAGAAAATATTAGGAATAAAGAAAAATCACACGAGTTCGTATTTTTAAAAACAAATACTTAAATTTTGAAGAAAATTCATAATTTAATTTGTAATTAATTTTGAGTAATAATTTTCAATGTTGATCAATTTCGTCTATCGGTAAGCTACCAATTATTATATTCAAATCATTCATAATGTATGACAGATTGATACGGCAATCTGGATTCGGTTGTAGCATCGGTTCAACAAGCATTACAAATATAGTCGAATCTAATGATGCCAAAGCCGGAAATTCATTCAAATCTAATGAATCACCTTCGACAAATTGTTTATAGGCTTTAAATTTTTTTGACAATACTGATTTCCATGGTAAACGACCGGTTAACATTTCAACTAATACAATGCCAGAACTCCAAACATCTAATGGCACTCCATTATGAGGTCGAACATATATTCGATCGACAAAATGAAAAGTTTCCGGTGCACGATAAGATTCAATGCCGCAAGAAATCTGTAACATAAATTTTTCATTATGATATTTGTACATTGTGGCCATACCGAAATCGGTCAATTTTAAGCAATCATTTTGGTCGATGACCAAATTCGATGGTCGAATATCTCGGTGTACAAAACCAAGTCCATGGAGATAACTTAGAGCGTTGAGCAAATGTTGAAAATATTTCAATGCCTTTGATTTTACCAAACCCAATTGATTAGTTTTCAGATGGTGATTCAAAGAGCCATTGACTGCATATTCAAGATATAAACATGCATTTGTTAAAATTTGTTCCGAATGTACAAGCTTGACAATATTCGGATGTTCCAATTGACAGTGTATTTGGATTTCTTTCTGAACTTTAAGCTTGAGACTTTCACCAAGTATATGAATCACTTTTAATGCCAACAATTGATTCGGATAGCGTTGCTCTTGAATCAGATACACACGACCATATGTACCTTGGCCGATTGCTTTAACAATTTTCACTGTATTAGATAAATCTAATGATGACATGATGGCCTGTAAACAAATAATAAAAATTTTTCCAATATATGTCAGGGAATTATTATGATTTCGAAGAATTTAATGGAAAACGATTTACACGTTAATCAATAAATTTTAGAAAGATACATCATATATGTAGAAGCATTTTTTTGCTTTACTCTTTATATATTTTCGCTGTGGTGGTGAGTTTCGAATATAATTCGAGCCATTCACAGACAAGTAAACGTGATGAAATGAAAAAATTCTGAATATATTTTCATAACAATAAATAAAATTCTAATAGGACCAAAAAAGGATCAAAAAATGAAAAAAGAAAATGTGAAATAAAAATTAAAATGATGAATAAGCTGAAAAAACGAATTTCTTTCTTGCTCAAATCGAATTCGTTTGAAAGAACTATGTAGTGAATGTTACAAATGAATTCATTTCGATTTCTTCACTCTATATTTATAAATTGTAGATTGATTTACAACAAAATGATAATTAAAATGAATCTAGGAAAAAATTTATTATTTGATGAAAATGGATGGCATAGAGATTTGGCTTTATCATGATCACCTGAAAAACTTTTTTATTGTCTACAGCAGTGATTCCCAACCGGTGGTTCGCGAACCCCTGGGGGTTCGTGGGATATGCAAAATGGTAACTTTGTATGTACTCGAATTTTGTAAAGAAAAAACCACCGGGGGTTCGCGAAGAAAAAAAGGTTGGGAAACACTGGTCTACAGTATTTCAAGAATTCTAATCAAATGTAAATGTTGTTGTTCGTGAACAATTGTAACACTGTCTTGTTCGTGTTTGTGGTGTATGTGATTCAGATGATGATGTATTGGTTGTTGCCGATGATGATGTTGATATTGATGGGGATGATAATCTATCAATAATCTGATTGTTTCGTTGAAATTGAGAATGATGATTCGATGTGGATTCATTATTGTTTTCCAGGGCTTGTTGTTTGAAGGAAGAATCCTTTTTTATCGATATTGATGGATTAATTGATGTTAATGGTGGTGACAGTACAAATGATGTTTGATTGACAATTGTTGATGTCGATAATGGTTGTGATGTTGAAATTGGTTTCGTTGCTGATGTCAAAGAAGAGTTATCCAATTGTTGTTCGAAGTTTCTATTCTGGTGGGTCATTGTCGAAGATGATAAAGATAAAGATGTTGATAATGTCGCAATTGGTTCTTTAATCGTACATGTTACAGATTCTTTTTGTTGATGTAATGATAAGGATGATAGATTGGTGACAGGTTCATCAATTAAATCGGTTTCCATTTCGAAAATTTGTATATAAAATCGAATCATTAATTCAATAATTCGTGCTTGTGGTGCCGCTTCGAATACTTCAGTTTGAAGATCATTGATTGTATCGCTATTATATGGATAATGAATGAAAAATAAAAATGAGAAAAGATTATAATAGATTTTTTTTCAACTAGAATTCATGATATTGGTTCATGCATGAGAATTTCGAATGTCAAAATTATCATCTCAAACAAATCCTTTCTTGATTTATTTCATTTTCTCATATTTCATTTCTATATTCTATCGACGTATAAGAGATTGCATAAAATGAAAACAATTTCATTTTATATCTAGAATTTAGGAAACGACAAATAATCCCTTACTATTGTTTTCAAGTTTGATTCAAGTGATGACAAAATATAACGTCATCGACAAGAAATTTCGAAAAGAATGATGATATGAGAATTTGGTATTTTCACAATAAACAAAATAAATGAAAAATAATAACAAATAAAAGCTTAAAAAAGAAACTAAACCGGTATGGATCCGTTGTTACCAAGGGAATAACAATTATATATAAATTCAAATAGAATACTTTCATTCAAGTTTCAAAAATATTATTTTGTTATTAATAAAGATGATGATGACAAGAGAATAACAACACACACACACACAAAAGTGGGTTGCAAAAAAATATATTATTACTGTGTGGTATTAAACCAGGTTCGAAAATAAAAGATCTAAGAAACGGATTGGCCTAAAGTATCTTTATGAATAGATAAATGCCAAGAATTATGCTGATCGTGACATTTACCATTTTTGTAAAAATAAATTTCATTTTTTTTAAAGTCTAATGTTCAAAGAAAAAAAAGAATAAAACTATGTAAAATCCTTCAATCCTTTTTATTTGATCAAGTGATATTGAAAAAAAATTCTCTTAGATTTTCACCCAGTCAAATCATATTATGCCAACAGAAAAAGTTCCGTTTTTTCAATAAAGAATGGCAAAGGCAAAGATTGTGAATATGTGTGTGTGTGTTGGAACAGTTGAGCGAGGAGGATATCCTTGGATATCATTAAAAATTTGTCACATCATTTATATAGTCATCTAGCCTTCGTTTTTTTTTGAATGAAGAGAAGAACACAATAACAATGAACCAAATCAAGAAATAAATCTGACCCATAAGAAATTATCTTAACCTTATTTTATTTTTTTTTTTTTTTTTGTTTTATTCAACACTGAAAATACACACATCAGTGTTGACCTCATTGCCTATTTGTTGTTCATACCAAATTGATTTTCATTTCAAATTTTAAAAAATTTTGAGGTTAAATTTTATGAATATATTTTCTTCACGATTTTTATGGCTGATTTGTTTTTATTATCTGATTTTTGATATTGGTTTTTTTTTTTTAAAAAGAAGCTCGAAAATTATCTTAAAAGCTCTTTTACTGAATAATAATGAAAATTACTTTGTTTTGAACTAAAATCTGTAAAATGTAAAATTTAAAAAATCAGAAAACAAACATGATAAAATCTTGACTAAAATAAAACAATAATTCGAAGGAAAAACTTCAGTAACATGTTATTGTAACCTTAATTATGTATATATAATACAAGTAAAAACAAATAGTTTCATTGGATCATCCAATGGGTTTAAATGGTGACTTGGATAATCATCAATAATAATGCAAGCAATGTAACAATTCTGAAAATTATCCCAATAGAACGATTGGAAATAGTCGAGAGAGAGACAGAGAGATAAATAAACAAAAATAGAAACGATTTCCCATTGGATTCAATATATTTACAAATATAAAAACACTGCAGATGCAGATATTATAATAATGACATAATAATGATAAATTCTGTCTATTGTACAGGTAATAGACAGGAAGAAGCATTTTTCACATACAAAAGTTGACACATTGAAAATGTTTGTTTTGTCGTTGTTGTTTATGATAAATAATGCAATCAATTCATTGTATGTAAATAAATGGAAGCTTTTACAAAAAAAAAAAATCTTATGTCAATTCTTTCCATTCAGATCCACAAAAAAAAACAGAATCAAATAGAGATTTTCATACAAACAAAAATCAACAACACAGAATTCTGTATTTGAAATTTAAATAATTGAAATGAAAATAGAATTTGTTGTTCATCAACAAAAAAATCATTCGACTATATTGCAATAACTATGCAGTGCTTAATCCTTGGTCGAATTTGAAATTGACTTCGGAAGTAAACCTGCAAGTGGACAGAAAAAAAGAAAGAAAATAATTTCTTCCATAGCCACGTCATTTGCTTCATACCAGAGATTTAATGATGATAAAAATCTGGTCATCATCATGATTAAAGCAAAGAATAGCTTTCGCATCAAATATAAATCATTCGGGCTTAGGACAAAAAGTATGAAGACAAATGAATAATAAGGAAATCAGAAACAATGAATATAGAAAATAAGATAGAAGATTTAGAAGAAGATAATTATTTTTCCATCAAAATCATCAGTATCTGTTATCCAATGTGAAAAACGATATGATGCCCAATCTGAAAATTTTACCAACACAAAGAAAACTCATTATAATTACCATAATGGCATATTGTAAACAACATTATTATACTCTTGTGTGACACAAAACAAGAATCAAAACAAAAACAGAAAAAAGTAAAAGACCAGAATGAAAAGAAAATGAAATAGAATTCGTTCAGACATAATTTTTTTTTATATGTCAATCGATAGTATGTAGCAAATATGTGAATGCACATATGCAGAATACAAAAAAAATATCTCATTTCAAATTTCATTTCTCATGAAAATTTCATATTTTGTGAAGTTTCAAACAACAACAACTAGTATTTATATTTGATGTTTTCGGCCTTGATCTCAGCACAAAGCAACACATTATTTGTACAAGAAAAATATGATTTTTTTTCTATTTTTCTCGATTCATTTGGGACCAAGATTTTCAGTGCAGAAAACAAAAATCATATCATAGAAATATAAGCATTTAGTTCATTTGTTTAGAAAATAAATTTTCTGAAATTTCTTACTAGATTTTTTTTTTTGTTAATAAGATGTAATTTTCAACTCTATGTTCACATTCACTTATATGCATAAAATGAAACCAACAAAAAAAATCACTTACCGTGGCCGGAAAAATGTTGGTGCAAAGATGATTCCTAAAGCAGCCGGAGACATATTGTTCTGTTCCTGATGTTCAACAACATGGGTTAAATGTTGTATCATGTGTTTTAATGTGGCACGATGATGTGGAGTCAATTGGTTCAAGGCAATATGAATTTTCTGTATCAATTGTGATGTGCCGCCAATTGTGAGTCCATCCTGACTAATATCACTATCCAATCGATATATTCGTCCTAGATCAATGAAATCTTTGTAGACAATATTGGAGATCAATGGTATTTTGAGCTATAATCGATCACATGATAAAATCGACAAATCGAAAAAAAAATTGAATCAAAGTTATTATTATTATTATTATTCATTCATAAAGTATATGTTGAAATTTTTATGATTCCGGAAAAAACCGCCCAACATACAAAAAATCATTTCCATTATAGCAAGCATTGAAATATTCTTTTTTTTTTTTAAAAAATCTGAGTCATGAATAACTTCGTTTCTATTCAAAATCAAAAAGAAATGTAGATGAATCAAACAAAAAGGAAAAAACAACTTTGTCGCAACGTATTTCATATTACTGACATGAGAAAAAAAAATGAATGAATAGCAAGGATAAAGATAGCGACATTAGAAACAAAAATAAGATGTCAACCAAATATTTACATTGCAAACTATTCTGACAAGATACAAATGTCAAGAGACTTCGAACGTTCGGTTTTGTGTAAATATCAACCTAAAACTTTTTCATACTTTATTGAATGTATAAATGAAAGAGAAAAAAGAATTGAATCGAAAACAGAATCGGCTACATTTTTACCAGCGGGGATATTCTCTTCGTCATCTGTTGTTGGTCCTTCTCACCCATCACCAACTCTAGACAATTATATTATATATATGCTGAATAAATTATACAATCCTTCACATTTATTTCATCTGTTATTCATTCATTTATTCACCATCCTCCACTGTATAGGGAAAAAAGTTTTCAATATTTTATCTACAACTTGTTGTTTTGCCTGAATAGTATTATAGTAGATATTGGTCAAAAGAATTGCCTAACAAACGTCCAGAAGTTATAAAATCATCGTGGTTTACTCTATCATTTGAATATAAACTGCCTAAAAGGGAATTCAAAACTTTTTTGTTTTGGTTGAAATACATACGTATATTCAAACAAAAAATTGATTATAACACCGGGATTTTTCTTGCATTTATTGATTATTTGATTTCAACAGCATACAAATACTAACCTCACGAAGAAAAACTTTAAGAACAGAAGTAAGATCATTAGCGGATACATCAGTGAGATCAATAAGATGAGGACCACTTTCAAAACTTTTAAGCAATTTTTCCACACGTGACGCTACTCCAGTCATTCGATATATGCCTGGCCTTGTTATAGCACGACGTTCGATTTCCATTGTACATTTTTGCACTAATAACGGAACCATTTCATCTGATGAAAGCGAATCAAGTTCCATATTCAATATAGATGAACGAGGAGGTAGTGGTGCCTGAGGGCACATAATGGCCATCTTTTTTAAACATTTCTTATGGCATATCAATTGGCACTGGATGGATAAGAGAAACAATAAAAGAAAAATTTATTTAGTAAAACATTGATGAACGGTAATTTTTTTTTTGTTTTGAAAGAAAAATTTTACATTTCAAAAGTGGAAAAAATGTACCAAAATTATCATGAATTCATTTCACGCTTGGTATACATGAATGAACAAGAACCAATGGGAATTGTTTCGACAAAAAAAAAATTTCAATTCATAAAACACTTCATATTTATATATCTGTATATATGAATCGAAAAAGCCAAAACAAATAATAAAAAAAAATTCAAAAGCAATATGAAATTATAAATAATATTCGATAAATAGTTGATTGAATCATTATGGCTGTGATGAACACAAAAGAAAAAACGAGAAGCGAGACCAGATGCCCGAATCATTATGTACAAAATACAAAAAAAAAATTGAAAAAGTGTGTATTCTAGAAAATGGAAAAAAATGATGATGATGATGATTATTTTCATTATTATTAGACATCGATGTCGAAATTGAAAGATGGAAATTTCCTCTTTTGTTTTCCTTTCTTTTTTTTCTAATATAGTAGTAGAAAAAAAGATGCGGTTCAAATCAAACAATCAAATAGTCGAGACAATGACGATTGTATGCGTGTTTGTTCCAATGGTTTGGGTTGAGAAAAATTTTGATTGAATTTCCGTTGATATTCATTTATTCATTCATTCCAAAATGTATTTAGAATCAAATGATGTCTTTTCAATTCTTTTTTAGATATCAAATATTTGAATGTTATTGGCAATAATTGAAAAGCAAAAAATGATGATTCCCAAACGTAAATTATCATCAAACAAGGTAATGGATAGGATAAACCTCTATGAAATTGATTCGTTTGTTTTTCTATATATATATATATTTTATTAAATTCTTCATTTTAATGAAAGAGAAATGCAATTAGAAAAAAATTATTCTGCAATTATGGATGAGATTACAATCAAACAAAGGTAGAAAAGAGCGATAGATACACGACACTAATCAATAATTCTATATTCATCCAACAGACATCTTTTAATTAATAATGCATTCATTATTGATTCCGAGCTGTTAGAATGTTTGACAAAATGATGAAAATGATTATTACAATGATACTTGCGTGCATCTAGTAATTGGTAATTTAAAGAATCATCAATTATTTTCACATTTTTACAAGGAGTTGCGCAACTTATTTACAACTACAATGAATCAATATGGTTTCATTCTCTCTTTCTCTTTTTCTTTCTTTCTATATATATACACGATTATGTCAGCATATTTCTGATACCTTTCATATCTAGAAATAGGAAAGATAAGAAGATTTTCCAAGCATTAATTAAAGTTTTTCCAACTGGATTCGGGTTTTCATTTCTTTTTTTACTCATCTATTTACAGTATATATTGTGATCATGTGATGCTTTTGCGATTAAACAATAATTGGAAATGAGAATAATAAATTAGTAATGTCAAAGTTGTCTTAATGACGAATAAATTGGTTTCCATTTTTGTCATTCACAGATCAAACAGTTTATTCATCAGTTCATTAATTTGTTCATTCTATTGTTTACATTTAATGTACAGCATATTTACAATAATGATGACAAATGGAAACCTTTGAAATGAAGTATGTAGTTCAAACAACTTTTTTTTCACAACATTGGATTCATTTGTTTTTTTTTCGTTGATGTTGCATTAGAAGTGATTCAGAGCTTATTTCAGCTTGTAAACTAATTTCATATTAACTAAAATTGCAAAGATTGAAAAAAGATTTATGACCAATGCTTATACGAATGAATTGATCATATTAGATAATAACCGATAACACATTTGTAGTAATAAGTATCGATTGGTTCATTGGTTTTTATTACATCTATGAGTCTTACAATATTGAATCGATCGATTGTTTTTAAGGTATAACTACTATTCCTAGATATTTGTAAACACTGTTGAACTAGTCAAAATTTTTTTGTGAAAAACTATATAATTTCAATGAAAATTTCAATGTGTATACACATCAACCATCGTCATTCAATTGGAATAATAATAAAAAAAATATGCCACAAAAGCAGAATATAAACTTTAGAATAAAATGAAAATCAAAACTCTAATTGATTCTTGAATTCGAAAACTTTTTTTTCAAAAATGAAATCGAACACTCGAAAACATACGTTCACTTGACAATGATGGAAAAAAGATTCAACTATTAGAAAATGGAAAAAACGTCAACAAAATTTTTATAAAAAAAAAAAAAAAAAATTTGCAACCGAAACATACAGACACAAAGTGTATGGTCGGTCGAATTCTAAAATGGCAAAATTTTTGTACATTAAATAAATAAAGAGAAATATGATAATGAATCCAAATAAATTGTTGAATTTATGAAATGCGAAAAAAAATTTCTTAATGAAATGTAAATGAGAAAAATTCTCTGAATTCGTCAAAAAAACATTATTATGATATGAATTCTATGATAATTATTCGTTAATAGAGCTAGATGACACTAATGGCTATTGCAAGCTTGTTTGAAATATACTGTTGTCAAAACAAATTGTTCCGCATGCCTTAAATTGACAATCATCATCATTTTGGTAATAATTTGTTTAAAGAAATAATTTGTTCATTTGTTAAATTCTGATTTATAAATTTCAGATTTCGTCATTATGTTGAAAAAATTGAGAAAATAAAGAAAACTTACCTGTGTACATTCAAACCCCCAGAAATAGACATATGCATCACAAATAATGCAACGGCCATAGTTGGTTGTTTTCATTCGTTGGAAACTATGCGATTCAGCTGCACGCGACATTTTCTTTTTTCTTCGTGATTTTCCTGAATATTTTTTCATCCGAAAAAAAGAATTCATTAAATGATCGAAATTGTATCTTTTGACAGTTTACCTTTGTCTTTCTTGGATTTACTAGATTCAGAATCTTCATGTACCATAATGTTTGATGATGCATCCATCGATGTTGTTGCTGGCATCGATGAAAGCGATGATGTATGTTTTTTATTTGTTTCCATATTCTTATCAGGTTGACTCACGATAATGATTTCAGATTTTTTTGATAATTCCGACATTTTGTCTGATGTCGTTGGCGATAATGCTTGGGATTTTATATTGTTTGATTCGTTGCCACTAATTGTAGTCAGATATTCTTCATTACTATGGGTAGATGCTGATGGACTTGGTACTGGGCTTCGTTCATCTTCGGTAGCTTCATCAGCCGATCTTGCAGACCATGATGAGGATGCAGAATCCGATTCTGAGCTACGTATGACCATCGGCAATGGTAAACTCCATTTTTTTGTATTACCACATGATTTCAGGATGTCCTCTACAGAATTAGAGAAAAGTTTCAATCAAAATTTACAAACTAGTATGACTATAAATATGCTTGCCAATCTTTTGCTGGCCATTAATACTATCCGTTTCTGAATCAGAACAAATCGATGGCTGACGCTCACGATCTATTGATCTTTCTTGTCCCCGACGTTTTGAATAATATTTGGTGCGTAGTCTCCAGTTTGTCGATCCACCGCCATTACCACCGATGTTGGATTTCCGTCCATTTGATCCATGCGACATTAGACTGCCAACAATCGATACATTGCTTCCAATTGGACTATTAGGCGATGAACGACTTAACAATTGAAATGGTAATTCTTGTGGAGATAAATACATGGATGAATAACTACTCGATTGAGTTGGATTCGATTCATTTTCTTGTTTTGCCGATAACGGTCGTTCGCTAACACTTGTCGTATGATAAACAGAATAATCATTTTTTTCTTCTGATTCATGATCTAATGATTCGGCAAAATGAACGACACGTGGTGTTGCCGATGAAATGATTGATGGTGTCGGATTTGAATTATGTATGGCGACTTGTTCGATCTTTTGCATATCGGTTCTATGAGGATCGTTGTTTTTACAATCAACTTTTACATTGATGGTGTTATTAGAATGTGTTGTCGATGTTGGTGATGAAGTTGACATTTTTGTCGGAAATAGCCTTTTCCGATAATATTGCCTTTAGATTGAAATGTTTGCTTCGACGATCACAAATGGTGAAAAAACGGAATAAATTAACTAGAAGACAATAACAACAATGATAAAATGAGCATTAGAAAAATTAATTTTATTTATACATTCATTAAATTCAGCGAATTTCATTTAAACGGATCAACTTGAAAACAAGCAAGCATAATGAATGAATTTTTATGGCCATACCGTAATTTATAGATCTAGTGCGAGTTATTCGTACCGAGATACTTTAATTATTTTCTCAAAACAACAACAATTGATCATGAATGCACCAATCAATTGAAATAATAAGTGAAATAAACAATAAAAATAATTAAAAAATCATAAAATGAAGCAACCTGATTGCATATAGTTTTATATTATAAATTAAATATATAATATAATATGTTGATCACATGTGTGGCGAGAAAACGATATCTTCTCATTGGATTGAATTGGAAAATTCTTTGTTTTATAGATCAGATGAATTCGACAAAAACAATTATTGCTTATATTTCAATGTTGATTGTTATCGTTATTTATCTGTAATAATAATAGAAGATAGAATAGATAGATCACCACTTTATACAATCACAAACATGCACACACACATTTGCAATCAATGACGTTAATCGACTTTTTTCAATAATAATTTTGTTGACGTTTTTGTTGATCAGATCAAGATGATGATGGTGGTCCAAAAAAAAAAAATATAAATAAACAAGAACACAAACAAACAAATAGGTAGAAATAGAAAAAAAAATCTTATTGGACTATAAACGAATATATATGGGTAATTATATTTGCAAAAAGAGACAAGATTGTGCTACACAAGTACAAATTTGAGTATAAGATCTATGTCATCTATCATGTTGTTGTTGTAACAGAATTTTTTTTTATTGATCAAAATAACAGATTGAAATGAATAATTTCTCTCGAATTTTTTTTTTATTATCAGAATCGTAAACTTCAAAATCCGTTCATAGATTGGAACATTGATTCTGGCGATAAAATGCGGTTTGAATATATTATAAAGGAAATTAATTTGTATCTTCCCATACACACACACACAAACACATTTATTCAAGAATGAAAAAAAAGACCAACAAAGTATTCGCTTAAATAGTCGAGCGATTAATTTGGAAATAAATTACACAACACATAAACAAAGAATGAACGAATTTTGTAGACAAACCCACAACGAAAAAGAGCATTTATAATGGCAATGAAGATAATCTGTAGGTAGGTGGTGGTTACTGTCGATTCTTTAGGATCCAGTTTACATTGAACAGAATAACAAACATATACACTTGAATACAACAAGGACCGGAACCGATTTTTTTTCAGTTCAGTTTCTTGAAGAAAAATCGTACATTAAGAGGCGTTCGTTTTCAGGAGAAAAATATTTACTCATAAATTGCACAAAAAGAATCAGTTGAAAAAATTACTTATTGTTCTTTCTATTATTTCATTGTGTATAGTAGATAAAAATCAAATGTTTATTAATTTTTAGATATAAAAATAATGGAGGGTTAAATACAACCAAGTCAATAAAAAAAACTGAAATAATCAATTCATGAATCAATAAACCTACACGTTAAACCGGAACCGATTTTTTTAATCTAAATTATTGTCACACATTATGAAGCAGCACAAAGCACAGAAATATATAAATAAATAATTTATTTGTTTGGACATAATAAACAAATGTGAAATCTAATCCGAACGAATAAAGAAAAAACTTAGAAAAATCATTGTGATATAGCAAGACAAAAATTAATACAACAATTGAATCGAACAAAAGAATGAATTGTTTGAAATGCGTCGAAGAAATAACGACCAAAAGGGCTTTTATTCGAAATTCTTTATTGGTTACAAACTATACCTCACCAGAATACTCAAAGAGCATGCATCTAAACAGCAACATGCCAAAATAAATGGCGTCCTGACATTTATATAGTCATCAGTAAAAAAAAACCCGAAAATTCTCATTTACTAAGGCTATGACGACGATGAATAAGGTAGAACCGTAACCAATCATTCATGCTATAGATTTATGTTGGTTGCTGCTGCTGCTACTCTTCAGAATTTGAACAGACAAATTCCTTTTGACAAAGAATCGATAAATATTTGAACATTATGGATAAGGTTTCGATACCGCTCATTCTCAATAAAATGATTCATCATTATGATCAATAGTAATGTTATTTGAATATTATCTAATCAATATAGGTGTCGATTAGAAATTTTCAGAAGAAACACTGAACCAACATGAGAAATACAGAGCTATCATATACAAATATCGAAAGCTACTGGTTGGAGGGTAATCATTAATTTTTGAATTATAACAGAATACTCATTTATTAACATTCATCTTTAAAACAATCTAATGGCACTTTTTTTAGTGAAAAAAGCTTAGAATTTTAGAAAAATAACAGGATTCCAATATAGAGTAAATTTTTTTTTTCAGAAAACTAGTTGAAACTAGAATCGAACCAGATTAGACTAGGATCTCAAATGTACAAAAACTAATTTTATGAGAATAGCTTATAATAGTTTCGAATATCGTCAACTTAAATTAGTGAGAGGGAAAGATAGAAATAGGAATGTGGATTGAAGATTTTTTTTTGTGAGATGGAACCAATTTAAAATAAAAATTCAGTCAAAATTGTGAAATAAGTCTTTCACTCTTCTCTACCGAATTCAGAATCGAAAACAGAAAAAAAACCATTGTAAACAAGATTTTTCAATGAATGAAAGAATGATTCAAGCCAGTTTTTTCGTTTTGTTCAAATCTGAAACTTTAATTTTTAGATACTCAAATGAAAATCAAAGAGGCCGGAAATTTAGAAACTTTTTTTCTTTAATTCTTACTCTTTTTAATAACAATTTGAGGCATTGCCAATTAATTACGACTTATTTTGTCGAACAAAAACTTTTGACCAAATCCGATATAAACGATAGAATAACAACAACAACAACAACAACAACAAGAATAGTTACGTAATACATTCTATTTGTTGTTATTTTTAGATTCTTTTTTTAATTTCAAATTTATGAACTATTCTCAATGATTTTTTTTTCATTCCTAATAGGTTCATAAAATGGTCTTGGATTTATCATATTATAGCCAACAATACGTCCATAATTTATTGAAGAATTCATTCTGATTTTGCATTTGTATAATAATGTTGCTCAAAATGATTGGATCAATGCAACTAAATTCAATTGATCTTATATCATCATCATCATAAATTAGGACTAATAATGACATTAATTTTTTTTATTTCATCGAATTGGAATCCAAAATTATAAAAAAAAAAATACAAAAAATTGAAATCAAAAGATAAATTGAAAAGAATAAGATTTTTTTTTTTTTAAATAACGTATATATACAGTGACAATCTATTTTTGGATCAAAAATTGAGAAAAATTCTTTAACAAAATGACCATTCTCATGGCGATAAGGATCATTTTTATTCTTAATATACAGTTGTACCTTGATTAGCGATGAAAATCAGCTCCATTACAGTAATATTTTACTGAAAGAATTATTATACTATTATTGGATTTACGATGTGCTGCTTTTTGAAGCAAGAATGTAGCAATTTAGAATTTTCTCAAAGTTTCATTCAAGTTCAATGTAGTCATTTTCAATAATCTGAATTGCCTGAGAAAAGATTTTCTTAATAATTTTTATCGTATAAGTACGTACGTTCCACGCATACACTCGAATTGATTCTCAATTCTAAATCTGGACTCTTACACATCATGTGAAGTGGATTAGTTGATTGAGAAACAGCTTACAAACAAGAAATTACATCAATGGCATATACAAAAAAAAATTCTGGCCCCATATATTTTTCGATGATGATTTATACTTTGATTTATAAAATCTTTAGAAACAGTTGTTATTGATTTTTCTTCAGATGTTAATGTTAATGGTAATCGATTATTTGAAAAATTCAGTCATTGCTATTAGTTTTTGCTAAGAATTGAATTCGATCATCATACTGAATTTGGTTTCATTTGACTAGGCTTTTTTTATTGTTAGCTTCAAACCAATTGTATTAGACTTGGACATGCTTTGTTATTCTTCAGATTTTATATAAATAGAAAAACTGTGAAAGAATGTTGCTTTACAAGAAATGAATATTTACAGAATGATGATTTTTGGTTTTCAAAAAATTTTTTTTCCTTACATTCATGGATTATTGAGAGAGTATTTGATCATTCCGAGATTTTTAACAAAACATTGGCCATTGTTTGATTATTATAGCACAAACAAACAGAAATTTTTTGAGAGAATTTTTTCATTTTATTTTTCAACTTGCCATCGTCATCAAAAATTGTCATTGATCATATATTTGCTGTATTTATTTGTATTTTTTATTTTTATTTTTCAAAGGTTATGATTATAAAAACAATTTCCTCCTGAAAGTTTGGATAAGCAAAAGGTAGAATTTTAAAAAAAAATCCTTTTCCCTTTTTTGAAAATACACACAGACCTCAAGCATCCAGCTGTAAAAAAAAGTTGTTTGCTATCTCAAAAAGATTTGTTTTTGTCGCATTAAATATTCAGTTTTGTTTCGATTTCTCTCTTTTAAATTCATACATTCATTTACTTTAGCATTTTTTTTTCATTGGTCTGATAACGGAATTCCAATGAATGAAATTTCCTATCCTGGTGACAAGAATTTTTTTTTTTTTTTTTTTGGAAAAATAACTAGACTAATTTTTTTTACGTTAAGCTCAAATACCATTGAATTTTGTCCGGGTGAATGATTTTACTGAAAAAAAAATCTTTAATTTGATTTTTTTTTATTTGTCAGTGAAAAATAGTTTTTATCCAAACAACAACCGTATTTGCTGGTTGTTTTCGGACCCATATATGCACACAAGGTAATACACAAATTATACTCAAATAGAGTATATTTTATATTTCGTATATTATCGATAATAATTTAAGCGTTTTTTTTCATAAATTTAATCATGCAAATGATGCATTATTTTCGTATATAGAATCGTAAATTGAACAAAAATATGAAAAATGAAAAATAACTGCCAACAAAATTACAAAGCACAAACAATTTCGCTTTCTAAAATACGAGAAACTAATTACTTATCAGGAAATACAAATGCAGATTCGTTATTTTTTTTTTGTTGTTGTTATGGTCCTGATCGTATTGCTTATTTACGTTTTTTGTTGTCGTGGAAAAACAAATGAATGAATGAATAAAAAAAAACAAAATCTTCAATCAACACAAATCAATGTCATCTATTTTTGAATTTATTATATTAAAGTACAAAAAAACCAAATTGACAGAACAGTCTGAATTTTGTGGTTGGATATGATATTGATTTGCAATTTATTGAAAATATATAATATGACCGCCATGGTACAAAAACATGAGAGAAAATAAGTGTGCAAAACAAAATTCACTTTAATTTGTTATACAATGTTTTCAATGTTTGTCATATTCGTGTATTTCCGGCGTTGTGATGGTTGTGGTTAATATTTGATCTTAGCATAGCTCAATTTCCCTTTCAAATGTAATCAATTTCGTTCTCATTTCTATATTTTAGTTTCTTTATTTATTTACATACCGGAAACTCAAACTTTTCCCGAAACTTGGTAACCTTTTCCGGTTATAGCCATTCTAAACAAAAAGGCTTGATACGCTTGTTAAGTCATGGTTTTTTTTATCAACTAATGAAACTAAACCACAAAAAGAAAAAGACTAATGGCAATCACAAAATCAAAATGTTTATAACATGACAATATTTAGTTTGCTAATGAAAAAAAAGAAAAATCCCAACAATTTATTCATTATTTATAACCCAATTTTTCAACTGGACAACGACGAATAAAAAAAATGATAAGGACCAGTTTGCATGCACAATGGAAATTCGATATGAACCTTTTATAATATTATTACATGATATGATCATCAGTGTTAATCCTTTTGGCTTATATTATACTATCTTTTCATTCAATTACAAGTGCATGTACTAAAGTTACTACCTTCAATAATAAAGACGATATTTTTTTATTTAATTATTTATTCATTTAGTTTTTTGTACCGATCACGTCAATATTCATTCAAAGAACAAAAGATTGTCAAATATAAAATGCATAATCAATCTATCATCTTAGTACCAAAGAAGAGTGGCAATTGATTCGGATTTCATTACTAATTGAAAATGTCCTCGTTCTGGGTCATACACTTGAATGGGAATTGTTTGTTGATTACTATTCAATAAAACCATCACTAAAGATCCATCTGGTCTCAAAAATGTTGTAGCATCGATAGCGTGTACATGATTTGATTCGATTTTAAAATTAATTCGTGTTGAATTTGGTGGCAAAAATTTACTAAAATGGCCCATAGCATAGAATGATGGCTGTTTGTAAAATTCATTTGCCGTTGCATTGATTATTATCGGAGCATCAACCATATTGCCAACCCAATTTGGACCACCTTTTAAATCTAATGCCAGGTTCCAGTCGGTCCATCCAGTTGCATAATGGTTCAAATCTTGTATGATGTTGTTAGCATAGCGATTCATTAGATGCCAGCTTCCAAGGTGGACTTTTTTTGGATAATTTTTCCACTCTTCACATGCTTCCGTTGCCAGAAGAAAAATGGTTGGAAATTGCGCATTCAATTTATCCATATCACGCCGGTCAGCTTCATCATTGTGATACCAATGAAAAGCAACACCCGACACATATTTGGCAGCTTCTTCATCGGACATTACTGTTTCCGTAAATGTTTTCATCTGTGGCATTTGATCATCGTAAATCATGACAGCTAATTTATTTTTGGTATAGCCATTTCGATATAGTTCAGGACCGAGATCAAGCTTTATAAAATCTCGTTCCAATGATGAATTGAATCCCAAACAATTCCATTGATAATGAGAATCAAAACCGGCAGCTGGTTCATTTTCAATGGTTATTCCCCACATTGAAATATTTTGCTTCTCATATTCTTGGAGAAATCGTACAATGTATCGTGCAAAAAGTTGATAATATTTTCCTCCTGGTTGGCCTTTGAGCAGGCCACCATGTCTAATATCATTGTTTGTCTTCATCCAACGCGGAGAACTCCATGGACTTCCATAATAATATAATTTATTGGGGCTAATTTTTTGTGCCATTTTCAAATATGGAATCTAGAAAAAACAAGATTCAAGATTAGATTTGTCACAGGTAGATTAGATATACCTTGAACTGATGATCTTCCATTTGTAAGCTAAATTTTGACAAAGTATCATCATCATTGTAATCATCATAAGTGTATGGACGAGAAGAAAAATCCGAACCACCAATAGGTATACGACCAAGTGTGTATTCGATCCCATTAGATCCAAAATAATTTTCAATTAATTTGGATTGAAGTTTCTCCGAGAGTGTAGCGATATTCAAACCAGTAGCATCAGTGAATGCACCACCGAAACCGATAATTTTCTGATATTTTTTTGTTTTATCCACATTGATTCGAATGTGATCATCATTGTTGGACAGAATATTGTCATCATTGGTAAAATTTATATGACTTGATTGAAATCGAAAGCCATCACGACTTGTTTCATACACCTGAACAACTCCGATTGGTGTTTTTTTCAATTGATCAAATGTGTCACAAGTTTTTTCATTACATACACAGACAAACGAATCTTGGTCATAGTATCTACGTTGACATTCAATGTTGGCTAAAAATGATAAAAAAGAAAATGAAAAATAAATTTTCATAAATATATAGAACAACTACCATAATTTATCTTTACAAAAAGAATCATAAACAATGAAATGTAAATCATAAAATATTTTGATTTTGAAAACATTTTTGTCGTTTTCATCAATTAATGGCATTCAAATAAGGATAAGGAAAACAGCTAAATAAGCTCAATTAATTGAAATGTTTATGCTTATGTGGATGTGTATGTTTTTCGATAAAATATGTCATGTTACCGATAAATGATTGTTTATCATTAACCCAAATTGATAAATAAATGGATACAGGAGATAAAAATGGCTTTTTGATTTTCAGTTTCTTCTTTAGATTTTTTTTTTAATTTCTCAATATACAAGACCTTTATCAATAGATTAATAATCCATTTTAGTACCAAAGAAAACTTGCCATTGATTCAGATTGCATTTCAAATATCAATTGTCCTCGTTTAGGATCAGAAATTTCGACAAATTTTTTCTCTTTGTTTTGATTCAATATAATCATTACAATTCCATGATCAGGACGCTCAAAAACTGTTGCCTGGACTGTTTGTAATTGTTTCGCTTCGATCAAATCAAAATGAAGCCGAATAGAATCAGGCGTTAAAAATTTACTAAAATGTCCCATAGCATAAAATGTTGGTTGCTTGTAATATTCATTTCCAGTCGTATTGATGATGATCGGTGCATCGACCAGATTTCCTGCCCAACTAGGACCACCTTCGGTATTAAGTGCCAAATTCCAGTCAATCCACCCTGATGAATAATGATTTAAATCTTCGATGATATCATTGGCATAATGATTGAATGCCTTCCAACTACCTAAATGAACACGGTGGCTGTCATTTTTTCGTAGCTCACAAGCCTCAGATGCCAGTATAAAAATACCAGGGTATTTTTTATACAGATCATCCATATCATTACGGTTAGCATGATCATTTTCATACCAATGAAAAGCAACACCGGAAACATATTTGGCTGCATTTTCATCATTCATTATGGTTTCCGCAAAGGATTTCATTCGAGGCAATTGATCATCATAAATCATCACTGCAAGCCGATCTCTTTTGAATCCATTTCGATACAATTCAGGTCCAAGATCTAGTTTGAGAAAATCACGTTCTAAAGTTGAATTAAGTGCCAAGCAATTCCATTTCCACTCGGGATCTGTTCCTTTTATCGGTTCATTCACAATAGTTATTCCCCAGATGTGAATGTTTTGTTTTTGATATGCTTGTATAAATTTGACGATATATTGGGCAAACATTTTGTAATATTTTCCTTCAGGTCGACCTCTGAGATATCCTCCATGACTGATATCATTGTTTGTTTTCATCCATGCAGGTGGACCCCAAGCGCTGCCAAAATAAAGAATTCTATGTGAACTGAATTTTTGTGCCATTTTTATATATGGAATCTAAACAAATCGGAATGTAAAAAAAGATGAATCAATATGTTTTTTTCATACCTTATATTGAAAATCTTCAGTTTGTAGGCTAAAATTAGATAACGTTTCATTGCCGGGATTATCCGCATAAGTATATGGTCGTGGAGAAAAGTCTGTTCCACCTATTGGTATGCGGCCAGCACTGTATTCGATACCGTCTGATCCAAAATAATCCCGCAACAAACGAATCTGTAGTTTTTGTGAAAGTTTTTTAATATTTAAACCGGATGAATCTGAAAATGCACCACCAAATCCAATAATTTTCTGATATCGTTTTTTACGATTCAAACTTATTCGAATGTCAACATTGTATCTAGATTGAATGGTTTGAAAATTGAATTGTCTAGGTCGAAAACGATGTCCATTTCGACTGGTTTCATAAACTTGAATAATACCGACGGGTGTTTTTGGCAAGGGTCCCATGGTATCACAATGGTTTTCATTGCAAACACATACAGTTGAACCATAATAGAAATCGCGATGATTACAGTCATCATTAAAAAAGGGCTCGACTTAGTAAAAAAAAAACTGTAAATTAAGCACTGAATCATCACAATGATTGCACACAATAATAAATACCAAATGCATTCAATCCAAATCGGTTAACAACAATGAATGTGATAATTATACTGACGATTATCGCCAACAAACGAAATACAAGTATTTGAATTTTAGTCATATTTTCAATACCAATTCATGAACCAAGTACGATGTTTAAAGCATTTTTATTAATTAAATGGATTTATATTTAATCGGCAAACACACACACACACACAACCATATAATCGTTTTTGATTTAATCTAAAATAATTTTTTTGGTGGCCTAATTTTGAAAAACGTTTGATTCGCCATCTGTTAGCAGATATATCAACATCATTAGATTTGAATTTTCATCTCATAATCCATGGATGGCTTGTTAGTTTATCGAATTTCATTCGTTGATCAGCACTGGAACACAGAATACGGGATAAAAAATTTCGACATTGAGATGAGGTTTTTGTTTGATTAACATTTGCTTGAATTTCTTCTTCGATTCTCGGATTTTCTTGCTAATAAAACAAAAATAATGATAAAAAATGACTACTAGAATAATAGAAATGATGTACATTACCGAAAAATCGTATGGATATCTTTTTGTCAAAATAAAGTAGATGCTAGCTCCAAATGACCAGATATCAGCATGAATAGGATCAAAAGCTTCAGTGATGGAATCACCATAAACTTCCGGTGCTTGAAATTCTGGTTCCAATGGTTTATCGGCCAACGCAATACACGGCACAAGATTAACATTTTCGCGACGTATATCCCAATAGATAATGGCCGAAAAAAATCCGGTAAGCTTAACTCGTATCGGCTGTCGATGTGCAATCATAATGTATCGTGGTGATAATGAACGATGCGATATGCCCATATCACCGAGAAAATCTAATGCCATCGCAAGTTGTTGAGAAATTTCTGATGCTTTTCTTTCTTCGAAGCATGTACGACTTTTTCCTTTCAAATATGATTCTACAGATCCATGGGCCATATATTCTTGTATGACAAGAATTTGTTGCTGTTGCGGGTCAAAGAATACGGCCCAAGTTTGTATGATACTGGGATGTTTACGTGCTAATGATCGAAGAATTTTCACATATTCTGATTTATCAGGATCCATTGGTGTCCTGCTAAGATCATAAACTTTGCAGCATAAAGGAAATTCTTTGAATTCTTCATTTCTATGAACTGCTTTGACTATACGATCACAATTTCTTACATTCGTTATCAATGGCGTATTGTGATCGATTTTATAGCTCTTAAATTCTTTTGAACGTTCAATATTCATGGCACCATCCATATCATATAGTTTAGTTATGTTCGATCGTAACAATCCGATGGAATATTTAATCATTTTTTCATTAAATGAAAGATTCTTGCTTGGACTTTCATATTTACTAGACAATTTATTTATTATTACTGATGATGTAGCTGATTTTGTTGAAGATTTTCTACGACCCGTCATTGATAAATGTCGCTTTTCTGATGATGCTGATGAAGCAAGTGATTTTTGATATGAGCGACTTTTTTGACTACATTTCGATCCACATGATGAATGACTAGCAAATGACGATTGGACATCGTTATCGGTAGAAACGGGTACAACAGAAAATGGCTGTTCTCGTAATTTTCGAGCAACCGAATCTGAATTACAACTACTTCCATCAAATTTAGTCTCATGGTCAGTTTCAGAATTTAGACCTTTTTCACGGGCAAATTTTGCCATATCTCTTGTGATGTAAGGCATTATTGCAATAATTTTATATTCACACAATCGAAATAAAATCAACAGATATATAAAAAACAAAAATATACCCTTTTTATATAAGAATTGTCTTATTCTATGAAATTTTAATTCAAATTGAATTTAATTATAGCCAATAGATGTCAGTAAAATTTCAAAGAATTAAAATTTCTTTATATTTAAAAAATGGATCCAATTTAATTTTTTTAATAAAATTATTTATTTTGTCGACTTTTTCATTTTCTCCTGAATGCTAATATGGAGGTAAAGGGCTAGGATTTTCGGTTAATCATGTCGCTCATTTTTTTTTTGTCTTTAACATAATGTAATGTCGCATACAGCAACGAAAACATTTCAAATGAAGGCAAAATTTCTGACATTACGAAACAAATAATTTAATTCATCAACGCTCATTGAGAATAACATAAAAATATATTTTTTTACGTTTTTCTTTTCTATTAGCTAAAAATAACCTTTTTCTCGATGCACAGTATACATGACAAAGAATATGGCAGTGATGTCATGAGAAGATTATCAATAACAAAAAATGTTCTATATACGTAATGTTGTTGTTGTTGATGATGAAGATGATGATCAATGTTTGAAGATCTTAAAAAATGAACGAATGAATGAGGTTAGAAATTCAGATCAAGTTTACAACATCAAATGACAATCATAAACAACCGTTAAATGATATTTTTTTTTTAAGTCGAGGATTCTTAGTTTCTTATACTTATAGTTATCTTATATAGTTGATTAATTTACAGATTTTCAAAAGGTTTTAAAATTTAAAGAAAAAAATTTACATAGCCTTGGCTCATTCATTATATTGGCCATCTGCGATTAAGTTAACGATAAAATCCAAATAGTGAATGAAACAAACTTTTTTGAACAACATAACTTTTAAACCTAGTGTTCTACAGGGACAGAATTCTTGAAGATCAACGTTGTATATAATTTAGAATGTTGATTAGAAAACAAAACTTTTATAACATAATTATCATCTCGTATCAGACAAGATAAGTCATTTTTCACGAAAAAAAAACAGAATTCTTTCTAATATTACCCTGAATGAATAGGTGGTAATGGCGAAAATTCATGACATTATAACGATGAAAATGGTAATGATTATATTAGATAGTTTAGTTTTTTTTAAACTTTTTCGGCTCTTGAAAAATGAACACACTTTTGAATATTTAGGTGGAGGTGGTGGGGCGGGGTGAAATTAAAATATTTCAAGTATATACACAATTGTTTTTAACATGGAATCATATTATTATTTCATTCTTCTTGCCTCACCCATGATGCTTATATTGCGTTGATTATTGCAATTCTTTCTCGACAAGTTATTCATTCATTTATTTATTATTCTTTCTTTTGAACGTCGCAATTTTCAACAATGCATTGATGACGATGATCGTTGAGAATTCGATGTGTAGCAGCCGCATCTGTTTAGTTTTAAGCAACAACTAATGTTCACACACACACTAAATTGTACCTTTGAATTATGCATTCATAGAATGTAACCATTCGTTTACTTGTTCACGATTCATTCAACAGTTACCATTAAACGAGTGTTAAATTTTGATTGTTTTAATTCAATATTTTTCAAAAATTTCAAGTTAAATAAATTTAAAATGGCCACCGTCGGTCGGATGGCTGAAAATCAAATTCACAAAGGTTCCAAAACATCATCATCATTCTCATCATCTGCAACAGGAAAAAAAAGCACACAGAATGTATCGAAGTCAGCAACAAATGCAACAAATTCGTTTCAGCCAATGTCATTAGAAGAGATTCAACCAGAATTAATTGCCTATGGTCCGAATGGTGATATGATCACCATACAGCATGATGTACCAGCAAAAAAAGCATTTCAATTGCTTAAAGATGGGAATATGTTGGAATTTCCTCGAATAGTATTCATCACTCACGGATTCTGGGGAAGTGCACGTTCTAAATGGATACATGATCTGAAACAAAAATTCTTTGAAGAATCTGATCAAACGTTCATCATTCTAGGCTGGGGTAAAGGTGCCGAATTGCCTGCATTCAAATATGCACAGGCCGTAGCTAATGTTGAAACTGTGGCCAAATGGTTTTCAAATTATGTGCTTGAATTGAAGAGAAAAAATATTACCAAAAACATTAGTAAAGGTTCCATTTGGGGCATCGGCGAAGGTATCGGAGCACATATCATGGGTTTAGCTGGCAGATGGTCACAGCATGCATTCAATCGAATCACAGGTATGTCACAGATATAGGCTTTTGTCTTTTTTCAATTCAAATTGAAATTAATTTTTTAATTCTAGGATTGGATCCAGCCGGGCCAGGATTCGAATTGGTTAATGAGAATTTAATGTTACGTAGTGATGATGCACCATTTGTCGATGTGGCTCATACAGATTCTCATCATGAATTTCGATCATCCGAACATTATGCCTTGATCAACAAATATGGAACATTGAAACCATGTGGCACTTTAGACATATACGTCAATTATGGCTATAATCAACCAAATGCAGCCGATTTTACTAATGCTGGATCACATTTACGTTCAATTGAATTATTTGCTTGGAGTATTGAAAATCCAGGAGAACTACGAACACAGTTCTGTCTGAAAGAAATGCCCGTTATTGATAGACCAGTTGATAAAGTAAAACGTACTGTACAACCAGCCGAAATGGGATATTGGGCCGATCCAAAAGCAACCGGATGTTATTATCTTGAAACTAATGGCGAAGAACCTTGGAAGGAGGGATTTTAGATTTCGAAATGAAAGATGAAAATAATTTCCAAATCAGTTTTTTTAATGACTGATGATGCAGTGACACAGTTATGATGATTTCGCTGACTGTGCAAATATTGTGAATCTGATTTTACACACACACACACACATCGTTTTTCATTGTCCTTTTATAATCATTACATGATTGACGATGAGTATCTTTATACTAGTCTTCATCATCTTGAATATACCTTCTTGCCATTTCTTTTTCCTTTTATCTATCCGATCGACACCATTAAAAAATCGCAGTTTTGTTACAAAACAAAATTCATTTCATTTTCGATAATAAAATGATTTAAAAATTCCAAAAAATAAGTATTACTCATATGTACCGTGTTTATTCAGCTGGTTTATTTGTTTCATTATATGTGCAATCCATTGATCAAATATGCGATGTGAATATGTTAATGTGATGGTGATTTTATTTTGATATATAGTTTGATAATAGTGACTTGAATAAACTTGAGAATATTTATGGCGACCCTACGCAATACAGCGAATGTACATTTGTGTGAAACAAAACGTATTATAAATTATTGAAACATTGATTCAAATGAATGATTCATTGAGGTTGGCAGTGGAGGCTCATCGATGGCTGCCGATGTATCGAATTCATCTTGATTCATCTGCACGGATATTGAAATTGGCATATGAAATGAAAGGACAAAATCAAAAAAAATTGGGATTTTTTAGTTAATATAACTTTACATTTCTATAGTATAAACAAAAAATATATATGGACTCACCTTTAATTTGAGATTTCGAATCATTTTAGTAGGTTTACCGGTAATTGATATGCAAAGAATCGAACGCATTGCTTCCATAAATGAAATCTAAAGGTAAGCCAATATTATTGTAAAAATAATATAATTTGTTTACACTATTAATATTACATACATTGTAAGCAGTGGAATCATGTTGAGCTTTCAAAATAAATTCACATAGGGCGACAATCATGGCCAATAAAAGACCACTGATCAATATGTAAAAACATCCGGCAACCGAATTCAAAGTCAATGTATATTGGTTTGTATCCTAATTTATATGAATAAAATAAGAATATTGGTTCAATTTGATAAAGAATAAAGTGAAAGATGGGATTACTTTTTGCTCTTTAGATTTACACTCGCTTCGATCAAACCACCATCGATTCTCAAGTCTGGTTAAATCACCGTTTTCGATCAGATATAATATGGCTAGATTCAATTTTTCTCGTAGAATTGATCCACGCGGTGTGGCAACACCATAACCTTTAGCATCAAAATTTCTTCCAACTTTCATTGTATCACACGGTTTTCTTTCATTGACATAATCATTCTTGGTACTTTCAATAAGAAACGCATATTTTCCTTTGGATTCACGAACACGTCGTATACCATCTTCATAAGAATCAACAAAAACATGTGGCCGGGATTTCATAAATTCCCACATTCTTTGATGAACTGCAATTTTAGATCTCTAGAACACCAAAGATAGAAACGATTCCTCATAATAAAAAAAAAATTAATTTCAAGAGGAAAGAAGAAAACTTACCCGGAAAAATTCCATTGATGAGGAATCACCTAGAACACCATATTCGATTTCGGTTTGCTTGACAAGATCGTCGGCCGAATTAATAGGCGTCACCATACGTTCAACTGTTAAGAACGCAGCCAAATTAGCGGTATAGGTGGATAAAAGAATCAATGTAAAAAACCACCAAACCGATCCAACGATTCGACCGGCAACCGATCGTGGATAGACATCACAACCTTGTTGCATAATGGCGCCTAAAGCGAACCAAAGAGAATTGTACAAGGAAAAATCATTGGAAACATGTGGTCCATATACGGTTTCTTCATAACGCCATTCATATGGAGAAAATCGCGATACTAGAAACAAAACGACTGAAACGCCAACATACGCCAAAATGACACACATCCATATTTCATAACTCAATGGATTCATGAATGAGAATACTCCAGGATTCTTTTTTTGTGGTTTTTTAATCATGATAGATATGCCTAACGACATGAATGGTTTAGTGAAATCGATGACGCGTTCACGAGCTGAAGTAATGGTTAAAGGAGCAATGGCAATATCAGCTTCATGTCTGACTAATTCGCCGACCATTCCATTCCATTCTTTAGTATTATTTTTGACGATTCCACCATACTTTGAATCTTTGACCAAATGCATTTCATACGTAATGTTTAAATGTTGAGCAATTAAATCGGCAAGATCTTTGCAATAACCTTCAAAGCGATCATTGCCTTGAAATTTTTTCCCGCCATGACTCTTCTTCACAATCAAATAAGGTTCTTCGACAATCGATGTTACATAGTAAACTTTGTTCTCTAGATTATCCAAATCTTCGGGTTTGTTCTTTATCATATCCAGATCTAAACGAAAACCATCTCGATTAGTCCAATTGCCAATCTTGTGAGGTTTTACATTCAAACCCGATTCTATAATGTCGATTGAATAGTTTTGTCGCTGTCCGAATCGATCGAAATCAATGGGACCAGTGAGGCCGTCTAAATATTGTTTTGCAATGAACTGCCGAAGATTATCACCAAATTGTGCCGAGATGAATTGTTCAATGCCGGCCGAATTACAAGCATTTGTATAGTTTAGAGTGCTCGTTGGTATCGATGATGATTTTGTTGGCGATCGGATACGTTGATTAAAATCATTACTCAACGAATTGGACATCGAAGAAAATGCTTTGTAAAGAGTTTGTATGGCATCGAATAAGAGTAAACCATCTGAAGCCTGTTCCAATTGTGATGGAGGAGTTGAGGATTTGAAATTTCCCTTAGGATAGTTATTACTGCTTCCATTCATATCAACACCAGCATTCGCTGTTGAATGAAAGTAACGGGAAAAAATTGAAAACAGGCGACTTTCGGTCGATGATGTATTGATCATGGCCATCGTGTCGTAAGGGAATGGTCTATTATTGGTCTTTGAATGCCATGTAGACCATGATGTAGATAATGTGGATGACAATTGAAGCAATGTGATATTCATTACATGAAGTTCTTTGATGTTGTCATCAAAAAATTCTTCGGTCGATAATAGATGATTGGGAATGAGAAAATGATAATTTCTTGCACTTATGAATATATCACGTACATGATTGACAATGATCGATCGCGCTTCGGCCATTGTACGACATTCAAGTAGCACATGTTTTGGCGAATGACTTTCATTTAGTTCCAATTGTTGTAGAATATGGTTAGCTTCGTTGATGTTATCAAAACTACGAACCAATGACAAAACTATTGGATGCCATCCGATCATCATATCCATACGATGTTGTTGTGTGTCGTCTAACCATCCAGTTAGATGATGCATTAGATGTTGGAACCGTAGTGAACCTGTCCGAAACATAAATGCATTATCATAAAATTGTGGACAAACTAACAAAAGAAAAAAATTTAATATGTTCGACACTTTTTACATGGTTTAGCTAGAGAAATTTAAAGTTTTATAATATAATATGAATGATGATAGATATTCTGGCTGGTACATTCATTGAATCAACAAACAAAAAAAAAACAAGAGCGGATTACATACAACATCATCTCATTATTTTCCTGTTTGTTCCTGTTAGCATGGCTGGTGAACAACAAACAAACAACCGATCCAGAATAATGTCTACTCATTATGTATATTGTTGACAGGTCCATGTAATATATATATGAAATAAACAAAAAGTTTGGCGGTACAAAAAAATGGAACCATTTGCAATGCAGCTAATGTGGGACATTTCAATTTTTTTTGAATCGATATATTTAAATCAAGAAAAAAAAACAGTTTTGTCTGATAATCTGACAATGAAGCAAAGTATCAAATACGAATTGCAAAAAAAACTGAATAACAAAAACCAAATCATTAAAGAATCGATTAATGTGTTTGTACGTTTATCAGTTAAAATTTTGTGAACGATGAAACAATCAAAACTTGACAATAAATGGGTTCGAAAATTTAGCTCTCAGGCATTTTTTCAGTTTCCATCGAAAAAAGAAAAACTTACCTAAATATCGCTTTTGTTAAATTTTACCACATAAGAAAGAGAGAAAGAGAACTCGTTTCAATACCCGAATAAATTATATTTCTATAGTCATCTCAAATTGTAAGCAATTTTTTTCAATTTTTTTTCACTATCACTATAGTAATAATAAGTATTTTGTTTTCATATTTATACTCAAGAATCATTGATAGAATCCTTGTGAAAAAGAATGACCCTATTGAAAATAGTGAAGGCGCTGTTTGTTTGTAAACAATAAGATTGGAAGATTAATGCTTTTTTTGTAAAGTGTCGATTCTTAATGAAAATCGTAGACTTTGGTAGCAGCATGATCAAGTTTTATACGTATACATAATATTTTATTTTTTCTTACATATAAAAAAAAAATAATTTTAAATGATTTATGATGGTCTAAATAAATTATCAACAAAGCAATTCATATCCAGAAACACTAGTCTTACATCAATAGTAAGTTTCGGCATTGAGTTTGTTTAATTTTTACAAAGATGGCAAAATTTTAAATTAAGGTGTTTGTTGCTGATGTGTTGATGTATAATTATTGTGAAAATCAGAATTATGAATGCCAAAAACAGTAACGCATCACCATATAAGCATGAGAAAAACATTTTCCGAATGAATAAATGATGCATTTGTTATTATAAATGAAGAAAAAAAAAATTTAAAATGTTTTACACAAATTACTTCTTATTATTATCTAATGATTCGATTGAATTCATTGGAATCATGAAAAAAACAGGTACATCAAAATCAACTACACTAATGATGGTGGTGGTGGTTCTATGAAATCTAGTAATCAAAATCATTGAAAATCGATTGATCAACCAATGTGGTTAAATTTCATTCAACTGCTTTGTGTGTGTGAGCACAAGCATGTTCGTATCAAATAATCATCAAAAACAGATTATTAATGCCTATATTTATTTTTCGGTAAATGATTCCGAAAAAAAATGATAAAAAAGAGATGTGTCTGAGTACCAGATCTCTTTGGGGATCTTGTTATATTTCAATTTTTTAAGATTAATCATAAATTTATTCGATTCTTAAAAATAACAACAACAACAAAAAAATTAATGAAATCCATTTCAGGTTTGTGTGTATGTTTTATCTTGGTTGCAAAAAAAAAACAGTTTTGTAACCAACACATAAGGAAAAATGATGATGGTGAACAACAAAAAAAACCGGAATATTAAGACAAAAATACACATAGAAACATAGAGAAAATATCTTATTCTGGATCAATATAGAATCAGGAATTCAATCAACCATAGTTAATGAATATCATAAAATCATGGTGCCGAATCATTACCACTATAAGTTCATTAAAAAACATAATGTTTGTTGTACCATGAAATCGAATATTATATAATATAGTGAAGAAAAAAGAAAATCATTTCGCCAATTTCAAAAATGGATGAAAAATGTGTAATAAACAAACAAAAAACAAAATACAGTGGTATATCGGTTAGCGATTGTTCAGCTTAACGATGGTCGACCAAGAGCAAAAAATGCCTGGATCTACCAGCACAAAAAAAAAGAAAAAAGAAACTAACAGAGCAGAAAAGTTTTGCATCCGTTACAAATCGCCTCAAAACTGATATCCATGTTCTCTATATATACAATATACATTCACATCATCATTTCGAATGGACAAAAGCTAGCATATGGAAAAAAAATACCGGAGACATTATAATAATAATAATAATATATACACACAATACACAAAATGCACATACACTTATATAAGGAACAAAGGGGAGGAAAAGAAAAAATGATTTCATGATTTTTACATTTTTATCAATAATTGAATGTATATATGTTATAAGGAAATAAGAATCAAATCAGCAAGGGAGTTTGATTATTGGATGAATAGAAAAAAAAGATAACTATAGAATTATAAAACATCAAGAAAAAAATTCTAAAGAAAATGAAAAAAAACGATATGTGTGTATATTTATGTGTTTAATTCCATAAAGTCACGTAAGTGAATTTAGCCATAGCTAAATCGCACTACCGTGTGTGAATCTGTAAATTTTGATTTCAATGTTCAGATATAAATTGAATTTTTCATCATTTTTCTTCATCCTCTTCTGGATTCTATTTATACCTTTTTTATGATTACTATAATCAACATAAAAGATAAGAATTCTTCAAAGAAAATTTTTTTCTCTCAATTATTGTTTTTTTTTTATTTTTGTTTTACTTACCAGTATCGGTATTGTATAAAAAAATGATATTTGGCCATTTATAATATTTGATTGTTTCGACGATTGCTCGAGTAAAATCTGGATATAAATGAAATGTAAAGTTTCCATATCCAAATGATGATGATGATGACTGATAACGATGATAATAAAGATGATCACGTTCTTGATTTGATGAGGATGATCGGATTTGTGATGCAGATGATTCAAATGATGGCCATGGATATGATTTAGGAATTTTTGACTGAGAATTTTCCGGTGAAAATGATGGTATCATTGCTGTCGATATCAATGGAAGCTGTGTTGAATATGAATTTTAGAGTATGTGATATTTTTTTTAGATGAATAAATGAATAAGGGATTTTTTTTATTACCTTGAATACGGCTGAATAGGCCATCAATGTTTGATGACTATTGAATAGGCCACTTGGTGGTATTATGAATGCCATTGCACCACGATTTAATTGAAGGCAAACTATTATTATGGAAAAAAGTAAAAATACACAAAAACCAAAATATATGAAATAAAAAAGACAAGCAAAATTTAATTTTAAATTTTCATCAGTTCATAAAGATGTTTCACAAGTATGAAAAAAAAAATTACAGAAAACATTCATATTACTATATCCAATCCAGACAGTCCAGATGTGTCAGATCACCTTCGGAATTTATCTTCATTTTTTCGCGTACTTCAAATAAAAGTGATCAATAATTTATGATTTACAAAAACCCCGGTAATATTTCTATAGGATCAACTAAACTCTAGAAATTATTTTGGCACAATTTTCTTCAATGACTTTTTCGGTGTTTTAATGTTTTCGTTTGTACAAGTGGAAGTGAACATTTTTTTTTCTTCAACATTTATCTCTGGAGAATTCGTGATCAAGACAAGAATACACAACAAAAAAGAATTTTTGAATTAAAAAAACCAAATACAACTCCAAAGGCAAAAAAAAATATATAAAAATAAAATAGACAAACAATTTGGGTTTGAGTGTTTTTATTTTATTAGTAGAAAACGAAATTCTACGTTTCAAGAATTTTTTTTCGGCATTAAATTGATCGAGATTTAATTGTAGTTAACTGATCGAATAATTATTATCTTGACATAGCGATGTCCAAAGATAGTTTCAATTTGTTTTTTTTGTCTCATTTATTTCTTGATCCAACTTAATTATTTGTTAATGAATGTGAAAAATTCTTGAGCATTTCTTAATTCTGACATGTCGAATACATTCGTTAAATTGTTAGTTAGAATTGACATTTTTTTCACACACACACACACACACGGAAATCCATCAATTCTAATTTGAATAAAGGACAAAATCCAAGAAAGATCTGGCAATCCGAATCTGGTCCTTATACTAAAGGAAAGAAAATTGATTAAATAATATTTTTAAAAAATACCACACGAAAAAAAGGTAAAAATGTTAATATTTAAATCAAGTAGATTTGTATTCATCACGAACTAATTAATAGATAGAAGAAAAAAAACAAATTTGTGAATCAGATAATCAGATTTTCAAATAGCAGTAAAAAAAAATTAGAATTCAATTGCATTTTACACACTTTGTACACATCTTAAGTGGATGGCCATTCCACTTCTCATGGTGGTATTGTAGTCTTTGAAAGATTTTTTTTCTCTATTAACAAATTCAAACCAAATTCAATTTACATTTTTTCGTTTCTATGCAAGCCTTTAGCATTGCCTAAAAAAATGTGAAATCTTTTTACAATATTCTACATAAAGCTTTATCTATGCAGAATTTTAAATAAATTATTGTTTTGTTCCTCAAGGAATATTTTATTCAGTAGTACAATCATCAAAATTTTAAATTTTTTTAAAATTCAAATCACCTAATGACCGTTGACTACCATCCAGCAACACAGATAAATATATAGATTATTAACGAATCCCGAAACAAAAAAAATTTTTTTTGTTTGCCGGTGAATTTGAATTAGTAAATTCGTATACACCACACATTATTGAAATCAAAAATTGATGATTGTAGAAGCTTCTTTGATCAGATGAACAAGGAAGATGTTTGGAAAAAAGTTTATCGTTATTGTAAAAATCCAAGTTCAACTAATCATACATTAAAAACGGTTCAGAAAGATGATTCAACGTGGACGATCTCTACATCTGAAACAGCTTTGTTTTTGTTGCAAAAATTTTTCCCGGATAAATATAATGATAATCATTCGTCAATTCATCGTCAGTATCAGCAATTGTGTTCAACAAATAATGATTTTCCAATTACGAGAAAAGAAGTAGATTTTGCTGTTAATATAGAGAAAGATAATAAGTCTCCTGGTTCAGATGCAATTTCAGCTGCTATTATCAAACAGATTCATCATATGTATCCTTCTCTTTTATTGGTTCTTTTCAATAAATGTTTGTCTTTTGGTGTCTTCCCTAACTGTTGGAAAAAGGCCGTTGTCAAATTGATTCCTAAAAATGATGGAAATACCTATAAAACGTATCGCCCTATTTCTTTATTGTCTGTGATGGGTAAGATACTGGAAGGCGTTATTGCTCGTCGTTTACAACATTTTCTTGTCACGAATCATTTTTTGTCATCCAGACAGTTTGGTTTTTTACCGCAAAAATCTGCTGAATTGGCTCTAAATTCTATTGTTTCGAAAATCAATGATTTATATGATTGTAATAATTTTGGTTTTGTAGTCTCTCTCGATATTAGCGGGGCTTTTGATGCAGCCAGATATGATATTATTCTTGGTAGCTTAAGAAGATTTTCTGTTCCGCCAAATATTTATGCCATTATTGTTGATTATTTTTGTGATCGTCTGGTTGAATTGCCGTTGATGGATCATACGTCTTCTAAAATTGCTACTGGTGGAACTCCACAAGGTGGGAAGATTTCACCATTATTGTGGAATGTTTTATTGGATGATTTATTAAAATTATCTTTACCGACGGGCTGCTTTTTACAAGCTTATGCAGATGATTGTTTATTAATTTGCGAACATCGTGATATTGAAATTTGTGCAACTTTGACCAATAATGTTTTGGCTATGATTTCAGATTGGGGTACTTATAATGATTTGGTCTTCAATCCTGTTAAAACGAAGTGTATGCTTGTTACAAAACGCCGTAAATTTAATTTGCCACAAATTATTATGAATGGCCATTTGTTAAGTTTGGTGTCCAGTATGAAAATTCTTGGTTTGGTTATTGATTCAAAGCTTACTTGGAATGGTCATATTGATTTTGTTGAATCTAAGGCACTTAAAATTTATAATTTTATCAAACGTAAATTTGGTTCCAGATGGGGTCTTTCTTATGATGTTCTACGTACAGTTTATCTTCAAGCTATTGAGCCGATGATACTTTATGCTTGTCCTGTGTGGAGAAGTGTTTTATGCAACGTTACAAAGCGGAACCGGTTATTGAGTTTACAACGTCGCTTTGCCATTGGTATGATTCGAGCGTATCGAACTGTGTCGTTGGAAGCATCTTTGGTGATTGCTAATATTGTTCCAATTGATTTAAAAATTCAGTATTGGTCAGAAGTTTTTGATGCTAAAAATTATCCTTCTTTGATGTTTGGTTCTTATCAATTACCATTAAATTATGCTGATACAATTCATCCGGCTTTGATCACCTCTTTTGATGTCCACGGAATTGATGATGGCAATATGGAATTTTGTTGTGCTTCGCATAATTATTATATTTTTACGGATGGCTCAAAAATAGATGGATTGGTCGGTGCATCTTTTGTGGCATTTTATCGAAATGATTGTAGACCGGTAGCTGTTCAATCTTTTCGTTTAGCTGATCAATGTACTGTCTTTCAGGCGGAAATTCTTGCCATTAAAAAGGCCTTTGAATGGATTGTTGCAAATAATATTGTTGATGTTCAGATTATTTCCGATTCGAAATCTGCAATTCAATCTATATGTAAAATTTATTCGTATAACCGTATTGTTCAGGAGATTTTCCGGACTATTGCTGGTTATTGTAATCATTTATGTCTTGCTTGGACAAGATCACATTCTGGCAACTATGGAAATGATCTTGCCGATTTTTATGCAAAAAAGGCTACTCTTTTGCCGATTATTGATTATGATCAACCATCGTTTACTAATGTCTATCGTAATTTTCAATCTAATATGTATGGAAATTGGCAACAAAGTTGGGATGTCGCTATGAATGGTCGAATTACAAAAATGTTTTTCCCAACTATCCAATCGCGATTAAAGTCTAAATTACAGCCAAATTTTGTTGTTACACAGTTTGTTTCGAATCATGGAAAATTTGGTGAATATCTATCTCGTTTTGGCCAGAATAATTCTAGTTGTTCATTTTGTTTATCATCGATGCAGTCCTCGTTGCACTTGTTGCTCGAGTGTCCTGCTTTCAATTTGGAAAGATCCCGATTCATGATTAATGCCAAATTTAATAATGTTGATGTGTCGGCGTGGCTCCAAGATGAAGCTTTGCCATTGTTTTTGGTTTACATTAATTTTATTTATTCTAGTTTAATTATGCAATAATTGTTTCTTTCCTTTTGTACTATTTTTGGTTTTGTATTTTTCTTAAATACCCTTGTATTTATATGGAGCAAGGGTTTTCTTGTTTTTTGTATTAATAAATAATAATTAATACACTACACGCACACACTTATTATTCATTGTTATCAACAATGAAGGTACATGGAAACGAAATTAAAATGAATCTTGTATAGAAATGTTTGAATGAATGAATGAATGAATGATGCAACATCACTGATGAACTGAAATGAAATTTAGTCCATTCTAATAAAACAAATGATGGTAATGTGATGGTAATTACAAAAAACCAAATAATTATCAATTCTTAATGTGAATTGGTGAAATATTTTCTTTTTCTAGAATGAATAAATGTAAGAATACAGAACAGAGAAAAAAAATATATATAATCTATCTTGGCATTAAAGCATTAGGTAAGTTTCAGAGATTTACAATTATAGAAACAATCTAAAATAGACAAACAAACCATATATAATAAAACAAAGATATTAGATATTATACATCCACATACATACATGTGGATTATTATGTCACTAACAATAAGTTGTTTTTTCCTTTTTGTAACTATTCTGCTCAAAGTGTGTGTGTAAGTGTGTTTGCGTTAGAAAGAATAATCTTTCTTTATATTTAGCTTTACAAATATTTTCTATGACAAAATCATTATTGTTAGAAATTGACTGTGCATACACATGCAAGAAGATGCAATTTTTTTCGGAAATGTCAGATCATAAATAATCTGAATAATAATAAGTGAATAATATTATTACTAATGATCATGGTGATCAAATAATGCTGATTGTGCTACCAAAAATTTTGGCAATGGCTACATTTATCTGATAACAAAAACAGGTTTCATTATTATAACACACACAAACACAAACAAACTATAGTTTTTTTTCATTAATTCAATTATCCATTCCAGTTTATTGGTCATTTGAATTTTTTTTATTTCCGAAATTTTTTTAGCCAAATTTGCTGAATTATGACTAAAATTATGGGAGATAAGCCTTGTTACTTATGAATAAGATTCCATGTTCGACAATTTTATTTTCTCATTCTCATTATTAACATTATCATATATGATTATTCATTATGAAGCGAGGTGGCTTCATTCCATAGAAACAAGAAACAAAATCCAATTTGCCTGATAACCCCTGTATGAGTAGAAATAATGAGAAACAAACTGAAAATTGAAATTTAAAAACAAAACAAAAAAAAAAAAAAAAAATGAAAATGAAAATATATGATTAAAAAGACTAAAAATCAAAACAAACTGAAAATGATACAAGTATAAGAACAATGAACGTAAAGTTTGAATGATTTAATAGTCACATATTTATATTTGTTTTTGCTTTGGTCTATGTTATATAATTAACATCATACACAATATGCCGACAATTCTGAAAAAATAATAAACCGTGAAAGTATTCATTCAAATTGTTATTGTTGTTGTTTTTACAATGTTTATGTTACAGCAACGGACAAATAATGTTATGATGATAGGCCATTTTTGTTCATCATTTCAGTTTGTCGACAATATTTGTCTCTAGAGGATTGTATTGTATCTTTCATCAGGATATTATATGAATGTTAACACTTTTTTTTCATTTTTACTAAGAATATATACCGCATTTCCTCTTATTTATGTGTTTTTTTTTCAATCTTTCTTTTACATAGGCCACATTTAGAGATAGGCTTCAAATAGAAAGTTCATTTTTATTAGTAAAATCAATTGTTAATTAATTTACAAATTCAATTGAATCATTCATTGACTATTCTAACGTAAAGATTCTGTCTTGTGATAATAATTTAATTAATAAACATGAATTATTCACCTTAATGAATGCTCATTAAAAAAGTTGAATAAGAAAAAAAGATTGGAGAGTGTAAATGTACTTATTAAATTGTTTGTATTTGAACGAAAATATAATAATTCGAAATTCAAGTTTAGATTACTATTTGAATTAATTTGAAAATATGAAAAAAAAAATTTCAACACACAAAATCGTTAAAACATAGAAATCGTTTTTTTATTGTCCCATAGAATCTTTTGTTTTCAATTAAGTAAAATAACCAACAACGATTGGAATAAATTTTATTTCCCTTAAAAAATGGCTCTCTGTGTTTGATGAACCAAAATCCAGAAAAAATGCACGAACTCATCTGTGTATTTGTTATAAAACGAATTTGCATGACAAAAAAAATTTAATATATTTTCGATTTGATTGATTGACAAATCAAACAATTATAAAAGAGAAAAAAAAGTGCAAACTTACGCTCTTGAATCACTTGAAATGGATTATCATGATCAATATGGCTGATCAATGGTACCATTTTTATTTGAGAAGATAGCATCGTAGATGATGATGGGTGTTCGGTGGTCGATGTCGTTGTTGTAGTTGTTTGAAAATGATTATATGGGTGCTGAATAGATTGCTGCGATGGAGAATACATTGTATTTTGTTGTTGATGATGATAATGGTTTTTAATGGCTGATGACAAAGAATTTAATGTTGGAATTGCTTGATGTTGTTGTAGACGATTATTAAAATATTTGATTATATAACGAAAAATTGCATGGTGAAATTCAGTGTGTGATTGTTTGGTAAATATAATTCCTATATATATAAATACATAGATGAAAACAAAATCATCATTAAAATTTAAATCATATCGATATTGCAAACAGCTAACAGACATGTATAACAAAAATGTAATAGGGAAAAGAATGTAATCGGAAATTCAAATAACAAATATTTACCTATACGAAATGTATTGGATTGATTCGAGCGATTCGATGTGATTGGACCGAAATAGATTTGTTGTTGATTCGGTTGATATTGTTGTTGCTGTTCATAATAATGATGATCGTGATGAAAAAATTCATAAGTATCGATCAAACCTATATAAAATCCTAATAGAAATAATAATAGGAATGATGATGATAACAATGAAAATCGCATGGAATGACGATGACGGCAATGACAATATAATACTGTTTCATTTTGGTGATGATGGAATTTTGAATTTAATAATGTAAATAATGGAATAAACAACGACTTTGACCAATCTTCATGATGATGATGATTATGAAGATGATAATGACAACGACGAACACCACTTCGTAAGTGGACCATTTTGAAAATAAAATGACTGTTTATATGATGAAATTTTTTTATTCTATTCATATGGAATTTTAAGCTTCGAATTTCCGAACTGAATCAAACCGTTCGGAACAAAATCTGGGAACAAACTGACTAAATGACTGCTGATAAATAGTTTATCTGAATTGTCAGGTGTTTCTTGAAGAATTGAGTGTGACTATTAGATTCAGTTTTTTTTCAATTCTATCTATAGTTCCAATGAAATCATTGCGCGCGTTGTACCATAAGAAATACCTGCAAAATGGTTGTCTGATGTAAAAACGGTTCATGCGCCGTTTTAGTATTGAACAAAAAAGGAAGACAAAAGAATTTAAATACACACATCGGATAATCTGACAAAATTAATTTTTTCCAAAAATATTTTTTGATTAATACACTGCTTTAATATTAATTTTTTATGTTATTGGTAATTTCAATTGGAGATTAAATTTCTTCTTCTTGTTTGGTTGAATAATTTTGCAAGAAATTTATGTCTAGCAATCATATCGATAAATTCAGTTAGATTTTACATTATAGATCTTGACATTTTCAGGAGTAGGCAATTGAATTTTTTGATATATATTTTTGTAGAAATCTGGATGTCCTAATAATAATCGTAACAATGAAATGGTTGATCGAAATCCAATAACTTCGATTGTAAAATATTCGATCTGATATAATTTCAAATTGTTACAATTTTTGTTATTGACATCGTATGGATAATGAAGCCAGCTTTGTGGCATTACGGAAAGATCTTTATAAAATTTTGTCACATCAAAAGATCCGGACATGATACGAAAATTTTCTTGATCAAAAACATCCATTTTATAGATGGCCCCAGTAAACAATTTAATTTTTTTGAAAAAATTTAAATCCATCTGGTAAGATAAAAACAAAATTATGAAATGTTGGATTTTTCAATGAAATAAACTGACCTTATCAATGGGTTGAACGACATTTATTAAGGAAAATTTACTTTTTTTAGGCTGAATAGCATTTAATTTATGAAATTTGTCATCCAACTGTTTACAATAAATTTCACTCAATTCCTGACCAGATAGATGACGATGTTGAATGCCAGAATTGATTATATTTACAAAATCGATTGCAAATACTGAATACCTTAAAAACATCAGTTCATCCAATCGTTTGGTGCGTATAATTTCATTTGCATAATTACATAGATCGTACATCCAATACAAGAAATAATTAAATAATAAAATTATAGATTTTTGGCGATCATTGATTGCATTCGATTGATAATGATTAGAAAATTCGTTACGAATCTTTGTTATGTCCTTCTCAGTAAGCTTTTTCTATTATTGAATTATAAAAATAAGGAGATTTTATTACAAACAAAAAATGGCGGTTACTTACCTGAATGAAATTTTTCAATAATTCTCTTTCGCTGATGGTTATCCATTTGTCAAGTTTCTGAATTGTAAGAACGGGTTTCATTTGATAATTAAACAAAACATTAAATTTATCTATCCAATACATAATCAAATAGCAAGTGAATTGAATTATTCCATCATCTAATGGATAAGGCGAAATGATATCCTTATTAACTTCAAGTGTATCTTGTTTTCGTTTATACGCAATCAACTTGATAAGTTCGTCAGGTATCAAAAACGGTAAACCCAACAATGGTTGATTTCTATAATGATATTGTAGAAGGTGGCATTTTTTGAAACAAATTGTATACCAAGCTGACGTAAGTAACAATCTTTCAGATTCCGATTTAGTTTCCGCTTGTAATTTATATTTATTATTGAAATATTGAAATAATTTATCAAAAACCAAACCCGAAGCATCAGATTTATCTTCATAAACATTGCTGATCATTGCAGCTTCAGAATCTATACCCATCATTTCCATTGTTTCGATGGCAAAATGACAATATTCGATGAACGTTTCATTGGCATCAGTTTGAAATTTAGTCCAACCATCTATGGTTAAATTTGGGAGTTGTTTTTGAAAAGAATTCTCTTCCAATGACAACAAATTATGATCAGACATAAAAATCATGTTTTCTAATAAACGGCAATTACGATAAAATTGACCCAGAATTTTTGATGATAGATAACAATTATTAAATTCATGTTTCTCCATAAAATCGGGTCGAACCCAATTTTTGTTCGGTTTGTATTTCCTGTTGATTTCAAAAAAAATTAATGATAAAGTACAAAATAAATAAATAATATATATACAACTTACATATTCAAGGTTGCATTCACGCCATTTTTCTGAAAGTCTAATGAAATACTATATTTTTTGGCCAATTCTTCACATTCTTCAGAATATAATCCTTTCGGATGGAAATCTGAAAACATTAGATGACAATTGGCTATTTGTCCGACATTATTCTCCAGAAGAAAATCACAATAAAAATCAACAATGTCGTTGATACTAAGATCACTAGATAATTCTTGGCTTGATTCTGCAGTGAAATCCATTGGTTTATAATTATCACCAGGAAATATCAGATCTGAACGCCAGACGATGGCAAATTCATCTCCATCTAAATCTGATCCACCCATTTCATCTGTATGCGGTCTGTCTCCTTTAGCAGGAAATACTAAACAATCTTTGATATGAGATAGGCCAGGTATATTGACAGCTCGAAATTTACGAACATCGCCTAACGAGAGGCACGGAAATTTTGTTACCATTACGATTTCATTTTCAATAATGAATGTTTTTCCGGTCGGGCAATTTTGCGAATCCAATTCAGAGTATTGAAAAAATATTTCACCTGGTTCAAGCTTACGATTTTCATCGATTACACCGAATGCAATTCTTCCAATCGTATGGGGTAAAGGTATTCGAACTCTTGTTTTTAATTCTTTGAGCCGATAACGAATTAAATGATAAAGTATTCGTCGCATAAATGGTTCATTAAGAATGGATAATCCAGCAGCGTATAGTTTTTTATACGGCAAATTACGATTGTTATAAGTCATAATTAATTTCAAAGCATCTTTTTCGAACATCAAAGCATCAGTTATCGATTTGGTGCTCTCCGTAAAAATCTTATGAAAAACATGACTAGGCACCCGTTGCTGATCCAAAATCTGTATGAATGGACGATTTAGGTAAAGTAAACGTGCCATCGAAAATTTAAGTATGCCCAAATTATAATCTTCAGATTGGAATTTGATCATCGAATCACGGAATATGATAACATCTTTTTTGAAATCTTCATAGCACACCAACATTCCTTTACAACCACCATGACGGATTTGAAATGCTGATGGAAAATAATTTGACGGTATGCGTAATAAGGGTAGGAATTTTTCAGCTAAACTTTTTGATATGATACCAATGCCATCAGAGAAACAAAATTCTTTATTTTTAGTCGTTAGATCACTAGTCTTGACAACCATGGTGGACTTATCGTATGGATAAAAAGTCATGGCCTGTCCAATGCAAATGTCATTTCATTGTTAATAAAAATAATATTGTGGTACATACCTGTGAAAAAATCAGCCCCAATCGTGAGATGTATTTGGCGACCTTACGTTTATACTGGGAAAGATCGCCAATCATTTCACGTATAGCATCGGCTGTAAGGGGTGGCTGTTTATCATCACGAGCATAGAAAATGATGCCACTATCACGCATCTGGCTTGATGATGAACCAAGGAATTCAAACAAACGGTCACTTAACTTAATTCCTTTCAATAAATGTGGTTTGATGTTTTTTTTGATGAAATCAGTATCACTGAGATAAGCACATAACTGCTTGTTGTTGTCTTCGGATATTGTTAAACGTAATGCATAATCGAGATTGGCTATGTTTGCGAATCTCGAACGAAGTAGAATCATTGGACGGAAAAATTCGATGCGACATGGTGTCAAATTGACTCTTCGCATTAGGACATGGTCATGACGATTATAGTCTTTTTTTTGTTTCACTGCCAATATTTGTCGTTTTTCGTTTTTTAGAAAATCCAAATCGGCAATTAAATCGAAAATTCGATTCTCGCATGAAGAACACAATGAATAAAAGATTTCCTCGACAAATGATGAGGATTCTTCACTCCTCAGTTTTTTGATTTGATTGAAAAATCTGATCATTTTTTGTGGATAATCTTCATATGCCAATGAATCAATGATTGCATACGATTTGAAGAATAATGCATTACAAGCATAATTGATGGCAAAATCATCGTAAAAATTTTTGTTGATCATGTGAGAGATTTGTTCCATATTCATTTGAACAGCGCATTGAGCATCTTTAATGCTACAAATGTATAACGAAAATGTTGGATTCGTTTCTTTACATGTATAAGATAAATATAAGAGCACTTGTAAGCTATTCTTGGTTCTGACATCCAATCGATACCCAAGACCATAACCCAACAAAGCTGGATCGTTTTGGAAAGGTTGGTCTAACAATAATGGCTTAAATGATTCTGTTTTACCATGAAAACATCCCAAAAAATCTTTGATTCGATTCCAATGGGGTTTCCATGTTTTATTTCGACCATCTTTGATCTTTATGCCTGTAAATAGAAATGGTGCAGCATTCAATTCCAAATAAAAACGAACATTATTCAGATCAGAAAAATGGCTCAAGTCGAGTGCTAAAAATTTGATTGATTCAAAATTAATTTCCATCCGATATCCAAGGCTATGATAGAAAGAAAATGAAAACTCTGCAATATAATAGATAATACGTACTCGTCGTTGGCCATCTTGTTAACGAAAAAATGTAGTCTCAACATTTTGCGATTAAAGTCGATATCAATCGAACTTTCAGTTAAGATATTCAAACGATTCACATAATGTGAAAGATTTACTATCGATCCAATGGACAAAGAATTGAGTTTTAATTTGAAAAAATTACATTGAACATGCATCTCTGCAAATATTTCCGACATTAAACGATTCATTGTATTGAATGGAAATTCGATTAACAGCCGAGGAACAGTTGGATGTCTAAATATTTTCTGCAACTCGCCCAATACATTCAATAAGAATGACGTATCATTGGATATTGATTTTGAACAAAATTTTATGATAATTCTGTATCAAAAAGATAATGAAAAAGATTGCATTCATATCTAAATAATAAGAAAGTTAAAAATCTTACTTCAAAATTAGATGACTTCTGAAATAGTTAGGATGAATTAATGCCGTACAATCAAGATGTTCAAACATGTCAATTAAAAACGAAGCTGTTTGCTGGAATTCTTCATCTGAATTCATTGTATGCGCATTATCAATGTTTAACTGACGAAATTTGATTATTGTCAATATGATTGGAGCTGATTTCGAATTGGCATTATTTACAATTGTAGACAAAAGGTTTTTCTCTTCAGCATGTGCACTATGATTCGATTGGCCATCACTAATCTCAGTAACTTCGATCATAGGCTTATTATTTTTGCTCGGAATTCTTGTAACATTGAAATGATTATTGGAAATCATTGTTTTTTAACAATTATTGAATTTTTCAAACAATTATACAGATCAAATGAAATGACTAAAAATATTTATAAGCAAAACGTTGCTTTGTGGATGACGAGTGTTGAGTTCCGATAAAATGAACAGTAACGCTTTATTCATATATGGCGTAAATGATGTAAATTTTATCATCAATGGCATTAAATAGCCTCTCTCAGGCATAATATATTTTTCATAAAGTTCGAAAAAAAAACGAAAATGCAAAGAAATGATTTTATTTCAAATTCAATATTTATTAAATGAACAAAACTTGTATACAGAAAAATTAAAATTAAAATGGAAAAAAAATAATGGACCATTAGATATTTCCATCCAAGTAGAATTGTTTAGATTTGTTGCCAAATTCAAATGTTTTTGTTGTTAAATCCTGTATGAAAATTCGTTTAAAGCTACACTAATTGATTTGAAAATTAGAAAAGAAAAGAAAAAAAATAGCCTATTGATGATTATATATGTGAGGATATTGAAAAAGAAAACAGATATATAGAGAGAGAGATCGATAATGTCATGTTCATCTCGTAATTTAATCAATTAAAATTAACGAATCGCATTGGTTAAATTCAGATGAAATGAATGCTTGTTTGAGCCGTATTGCGGCATGCAAATAGACATACATACATCTTAATCATCCATTTTTTCTAGGAGCCTATTTACTAAATCAAAAAAAAAAAATTCCCAATTTTTGGAAAGGGTAAATCAACGATTAGTGCGTATATGAATTTGTGTTAAAAGAAAAAAAAGATGAATAATCAGTGTACTGAGCAAAAAAAAAATCAAATATGGATATTTGCGGATGTAGATGTGTTTGTATATTTATTTATTTGTATATATGTGAACACGGAATTTCAATCTTTTATCCGTTCAAATTTATGATAGCGATAGATTGAAAACTTGATATAGCAACGAAACAAAAAAAAAAAAAATTATTATCGGTTTGTTATTGTTATTGTAATTTAGATTTGTATGTGTGTGTATGTGTGTGATCAGAGAGAATTATGGAAGTATTTTCATTCTCCAATGATAAAATCTCTCTATGTTTGTCTATGTGTAGGTAATAATTTCTGTATAAATGTACATTTCGAAAGAAAATTATAATTCAAATCCTATGACAAATAGCTAGGCAATGATTGTGAATCAAAGCGTCGTTGGATTTGATCATAAGAAAATTTAACAAATTGATCATATTGATCAGCCAAACGTTGTGATAATATGGCATCATATTCACGGCGTATCGATTCCTCTTTTTCACGTAAGATTCTTTCTACAATCAAAACAACGTGGTTGAATGTGAATAATGGTTCATTATTATTGATGCTAGCCAAAGATTTTGAAGCACTGGACGATTTTTTTCTGTTTTCATTTCCATCATCATCATCATCAGGATTATTGTCGCTGTTGTGGGTGGTGGAAGACAAATTTCCATCTTTATATTTAGCAATCTGTACATCATGCTGTTCCTGTTCATTATGATGATTGGCTGCATCGATTAAACTGGCGTATAAGCTATATGCTGCATGATGAGTTGAAGAAGTAGATGTGTTTGCCGACGATGACGATGAGTGTTGTTGATGTTGTTTATCGGTTGCGACATTATTGCGAATGGCTTTTGTATCTTGTTGCTGTAATGAAGATCCTGACAGTGACGATTCTTGCAATTTATTTCCTATTGCCGATACTTTGGCTATTTTTCGCCGAACTAATCGTAAACGAAGAACTTCCTCGCGAATTTGATCAGCAAGATCAGAAGAAATTATCCGTTTGAAATTGTAATTGTTACCAGAATTTGGTTGTTGATTGGCATTTGCAGTTGAAAAATTGTTTGCAAATGGTGATGTTGATGATGATGAAAAATGGCATGTTTGATGAGGCATGAACGTATTAAATGTATTAGAATATGACGATGATGTTATCGCTGAGGTCGATGGTGATTGACTTAACGATTGTAAACATAATCGTTTTGGTGAACGTAAACCATGATGTGGAGGTGAATTTGAAATGATCATGTGAGTTGGTGATGAAGAACCAGATTCGGGCGACATAGATGGATCTATCCATTCCAAAGGACGTTTAAGGGTTACGCACGCCATTTTTGTTTCGCGTCTTCAATGGAATTCTATCAAGTGATATCACAGGGCAGGAGATGAAATGGAAGCGACAAAATTATTGATCGATAATGATGATAAAATACAAACGCGATTTCAGCTCAGAGACAACTTGCAAGAGACCTGAATAAAAAAAGAATGTGTATAATAAATTGTAACAAATTATTTTCTGAAAATACCTTCAGTTTGTTAAAATATAAAATTTTAGGATATTCTCCAGATAATTCGACAAATTTTTAACTGAAAGAATTATGAAAAGTTATACGACTCAAAAATAAATGTAATGAGGCGAGGCTCGCGAGCACAAAAAAAAATCAATGTGAGACTTTAAATGATTGAGTTGCAAAGAAATGGCCGTCATCGCGATGTTCGTTGTAGAAAATGAACAACAACATTACGTTTCTCTGATCAATATGCTACTATATTTTATGTACACACACCCTGATAGTCATCTTCGACTAATGCTACTACCAACTAAAAAAATTGCTTTCTGTTCGTTTGTGATGTTGCAATATTATTAGCCGTTCATATAATACATATAAATAAAAATTTAAAAGTCTCCTAATAAATAAATTCTAACAACAGATGGCAACATTTTACATAACTTGACATTCAACAATTAGCTAAAATGATCATAATCATTATATATGGTGATGAATCGATAAAAAATTATATCTTGTCTTAATCAGAAATCACTTGTAAATCGTGGCCAACATAACGAAAGAAAGTTTACATTTGTCCAAATTTTTTCTCATATCTTATCCAATTAATGTAAGTCGATTGTAGTGACAACAAACCAGAGTTTAAACATTAACTAAATTTCCCAACTTTTGCAACAATTGAAAATTGTAAAATATCAACCAAATGTGACATATGGCATTAAAAAATGCTTCGCTTACATACTGAGAAAATTAATTATCGTCGATTATAAATCGAATATCTTTCATGATTATTTTATATCGTCAACTATTTAATGATGAAAATGAAAATTTATGGCCATCATCGATTTGCCGTGATATTCATTGATAACATCTTGGTTTTGATCATTCAAAGTTTAAATACAAAAATTTTTTTTCAATCAAATTCGACTCCATAAATACAATGCTTGTGCTTTGAGTCAATGGATTTTTACTTGTTAGTAATTTATGTATTTTTTTCTATTACATTTGTTCAAGATTGATGTTGGCAAGCATGACAACTTGTAACTTTTTTCTGATTACTCTTGATGATAATGTCATCAATTCGATGATAACATGGTTCGATTTTTTTCCGTTAACTTATCACTGTATCATTCGCTGTTAGAATGTTCATGGTGAATTTTTTTTTTGTTAGAAATCTTTAAAGAAAAAGATGACAATACAAGACTGTCTGTGAGAGAGGCTGTAGATACTAGATTCAGATTATTCATTCATCAAAGTTCATTAAAATAACTTTTGCAGCGTTCTTTTTAATAATCGACCAATCGCGATGATGGATCAACCTAAACGGACTAGAAATTATAAGGCTTATAATCGTCAAAATTCATTCAACATACCACAATTCATTCAAAGCCATCATCAATCAGACGAACTTATGGCCTCCATCAGTTCTATTGATAAAATGAATCACAAACCAATTGGTCAATCTATGGGCAATGATGAGCCATTTACTGATAAATTGAATCGTAAGATTCCCCTGTTCGGATTAATTATGTCAATGTTATCGGTCGTTTGTTTTTCATTGGCATCATTGATCGTCAAAATTCTCACGGAATATCATGCATTGGAGATCCTTGGTATCAGGTATTTCGTTTATCATTTCATTTTATTATGAGCTAACAAAAGCTTGTTTTAGATCTGTTTTTCAATTCATATTTTATCTATCGACAACATTGTATTTTCGATTGCCAATTTTTGGTCTACCTGGTCATCGTTTGGACTGTGCACTTCGGGCTATCTTTGGAGCGATTGCAGCAATTACCATTTACATGTCTTATCGTTTGATTCCATTAGCTGATGCATCTACCATTCAATTCTCAGCTCCCGTTTTGGTTTTTGTCCTTGCCTATTTCATATTAGGTGAACCAATGACATGTTGCCATATATTGATTGGTTTTATTGCTTTGATTGGCGTCATATTTGTATCGAAGCCGAAATTTATCTTGCAATATTTTGATCCAAACATTCTGGAAAAAGTCAACTATCAGGGTATTCTTTTGGCTATCGTTGCAGCTATCTCCACTGCTTTCGCCATGACCATGTTACGTAAATTGAAACAAACTCCCGTTCATATTGTAGTCCTTTGGTTTTCTGTTGTCACAATTGTTTCCGCATTTACTACACTATCATTTATGGGCCAATTCATTTGGCCACAAGATCTACGAAGCTGGGCTTGGCTTTTGGCTATAGGTTTTTGTGGCATTGGTGATCAATTGTTCATGACATTGGCATTCAAGTACGAATCGGCTGGCATTGTTTCTGTATCACGTACAATGACAATCGTATTAGCCTTCGTATGGGATACAGTACTATTAGATATTATCGTCCATTGGACTTCAATCCTTGGATCCATTTTTGTCATTCTGTCCGTTATTATGCTAGCCATTATTAGATCGGTAGATAACCAAAGTGAAATATTAGGTCGTTTGTGGTCAAATATTTGTTGCTGTTGTGGCACTAGAAATCATGGAAACGAAAGCGAAAGGGAAAAATTATTGATGAGCGGACGATATCAAGCATAATAATGTGAATTAATTAAAATTGTACAGAAAAATATTTTTATGGGACAATTTATTATCTTTACTATATAGATATGTTTTAAATTTGACTATCAATATTATTTGATTGAAAAATAAAAAATTTGCTAAAAAGCGCTCTTAATCAAATCCAATTATCGAACTTGAGCTTATTTATTTGTTGTTTTTTTTTCGATTAGAAAATCTTATGTTGTATAATGTATAATATGCATCTAACCAAAAAAAACATGGATTCAATATTAACATGTTTAAATGCAAATGGTCATAGCCGAAAAGATTATTCAACAATATCATCCATGATGGTGATCACCGATTCTACAGAATTGATCATTCACAAAACAAGTCTTGTAGCCATCCAATGATGAATCATTCACTGATAAATTAAACCGAATCATACCCCTGTCTTTTGTTTTTCATTGTTTTTTCAATATTCTTATACAATTGAATCCATTTGAAATTTTGAGAATCAGATGTGTTTTTCAATACATTCAATTGAATTATATCTTAATCTCTCGCTTTTTCTCATCAGATCAATTGTTCAGATTTTATTTTACCTGACAAAAACTCTCTATTTTTGTAGAATCGTTCAGAAATGATTAATAGCTAATTCGTCATCACATGATTAGGTTTTTTTTTTTTTTAACAAAGAAAAAATCAAGAAGCTTTTATTCAACTTTTTGTTATTGGATTCATCTTGCTGATTAATGTTTTGAGCGTTCTAGAATCATCATTCGATATCGATTTTAGCCATAGATGTTTGGAAATTTCCAACACCGTAATTCGTGTTTGTTCATCTGGATCTAGAATTTTCGCAATTAAATCGTTGGCTTCTTCAGAAATTGTATTTTTTGATACCGATCGAATAAATTTAGGATAATTTGTTTGCTCTTTCAACATCAAACTTGGGTCCGCCCAATTAAAAGGAAATCGGCCATTGAGAAGACCAAATAACAAAACTCCCATTGCCCAGACATCAGCTTTCATAGGATTATATGGTCTCCGTTGAACCAATTGTGGACACATGAATGGTTCGGTGCCGCATATAGTGGCCGTTAACTCTAACTGCTGTTTGTTATCATTCCATGCCAATTCTTTGGCGAAGCCGAAATCTGTCAATTTGACATTGAATTTTTCATCAAGTAGAACGTTGTCGAATTTAATGTCACGATGGGCCATTTTTAATTCGGTATGAATATAAAGGAGAGCATCGACTAGTTGTCGGAACCATATTCGTGCTAATGATTCTGAACAGGCACCGAATTTTTTTATAAACATGGTCAATGTTCCATTACTACAATATTCCATAAAAATGTACAAACGATTATTCGAACGGATTATATCATAAATTTGCACTACGTTAAGATGACGACATTCAATCAATGCTTTCAGTTCTCGTGCAACATAACGTTCTTTAAATTTCATCGACATCTTACTTATGTCCAAAATTTTGATGGCCACTAAACGATGATCAATTTTAAATTCACCTTTGTACACTTCACCAAATGAACCTTGGCTTAGTTTCTCCAGCAATCTATAATTTTTACGATCAAGTACTGCTTGTGTTTTCGAATCGATTTCGATTACTTGTTTAGGATTGTTGCTAGTTTTGGCTGTCTTGAACGAATCATCGGACAATGATAAGAATTTCCCACTTTGTTGTGAAATATGTCTCTCATCTTCCCGGATTTCAGCATATTGTTTAAGCAGTGATTGTGATTGTTTTCTCGTATTTGCTCGTATTTGTCTCGAAAGATTGTTGAAACGAATTTCGGTTAACGAAGTTTTTGATGATTTTCGGACATTTGATCTTGAAAATTCTCTGAATGGTTTATTGCCTGAAGATCGTTTATTGATACTATCATCGGACATGATCAAGATGAATAATAAAAGTATAGCAGGTTTGAAAATTTATAGCCATATTATTCTGAATTGTTAAAATAATTTCATTATATGAACTTGGAATAATTTATTCGTAAAATTTCGAAAAAAATGTTCCAAAAATGGGATTCTAGATGGCGTAATGGTAATAACGCGTTGTTGTTGAACAACAGTAATAACTATAATATAATATAGCTGAATGCAAATTATAAACAAATCCAAATGGATATAAAGGAAACATTTATAAATTCTTGCAAGCCATTTAATCTTCGAAACTAAAATTTCAGAATGCGCTTATAAGACTATTCATAAATAAATTTATTAAAATTTGTTTATCTGCGTTTAAATGGCTCATCTTTTTGCCAAACGGCTGGTAAATAAATTATATTCACGACCATATCTAATAATTACCAACACCGTTACCGGCGTTATTTCAATTTCGATTGGAGATGTTTTGCAACAGAATCTTGAACATTATTGGTCTCATCATCAAAAACAACAAGATGCAAACCCCAGTGATCGGCCGTTTGAATGGAATCTTACCAGAACAAGTATTGTTATATGCATTGATATTTTATTTTATTATTCACTATTTGTAAACATGTATTCGAATTAATCACCAGGAAACATGATGGTTGCAGGAATATATTTCAGCCTATTCGGTCATTGGTGGTATTCGTATTTAGATCGTAAATTTCCTCCACATGTCAAAAGTTCTGTCGGTAAAAAACTGATAGCCGAATCAGCTATGGGCCCTTTACTTGTATCATCCGTTTTTCTCATATTTGGCCAGATTAATGAGCAAAAATTCGATACAACATTGCAGCGGATACGTCAAAATCTCGGTTTAATTTGTACAGCTGAATGGCTAGTGTTCATTCCGATACAATGGATAAATTTTGCATTTGTACCTGCTGCATATCGATATCTTTACGTTGCCACCATATCCATTGGTTACGATGCTTTTCTTTCTTATATTTTCCATAGGGTATGTTAAATTGATATATGGTTATTTTTTCAGTTTTTTGATTTGACATAATTTATTATTTTAGTTCGAGAAATGATTTTCTTTTCAACCAATTGAAGGTTTTGAAATCTTTATTGTTGAACGTTTATATCATTATTTAATTAGATGTTATTAAAATTTATAAATAAAAAATGATTAAACTTTATGATTTGCATTTTTTTGGTGTCATTGATGATATATTTTGAAATGAACTTTCCGATGACCTCAATGTTCGAGAATGATATATTTGTAACATTCTTTTGATCACTTTTCCAAATTCTTCCATATCCATAGCGAAATCGTCCGGTTCTTTCAATGATATATGGTTATTATCGGAAGTCGTATCACTGATCGCGGCACGTGGTACCTGATATGAATCAAATGGCGGTATATAAGCTTGTAAACGATATTCACCATCCATCTTCGTTATTGTTTCGTTATTTATTTCATATTCATCGCCATTTTGGATATAGTTTGCAATATAACGGATCGGTCGAATTGTAACAAAAATATTCTCGCAATTTATCGTACCCAATGCATAACCCATTTGATGAAAATCCTTTAAAATTATGCTCAAAGACAAACATATTTCGTATAAATCTCTGGCTGTTAATGGTTCTTTGGTGCGAAGAAATTCGTTGAGATTTTGATATCCAGGTGGTGGTTGCATCAATAATTTCACTGGAGGTTGACTAGGCTGTTGTATCAATTGTAAGGAGGATGATACGTGTGATACTATAAAACTAGAATCTTGTTGTCCGTTCGATTGATTAACAACTCTACGGAAACTTCCTCCATTTGAACCGTTCATACGAATTGACCTCATCGAAGCCAAACGATTATCGATTATGCGTTTATGTTGTGTTTGTGACCGAAAGTTTGGTATCAGCTGTAACAATGTGTAGATTGCAGGATTAGTGGCCGAATTAAGCGGCAGCACGAGTACCGCTATCCAAGAATAAGCAGCACCAGGGATGTGGATGCCACCTAACGCTAAAAATCCCATCATGATAACCGGAAACCAACAAAGAAAATTTGTGCTGACAATTAAAGCCATTTGTAGTCCAATCTGAATTTTTTTTTTTTTGAATTTATTAAATCAATATTAAATAAAAATCAATACTGTTGTACATACTTTGCTTTCACGAATTTGTTTTGTTGTCTGTATCATTTGTCGGCGTTTTTTAACGGTGATGGCAATTGTTTTATACATGTATAGGTAACAACATAAGATGAATAAAAAAGCCGTTAAATTGAATACCAAAAATACAGCAACCGAATATTCCCAACCAGGCCATTTTGTTATGGTAATATGAAATGCAAGACATACGCCCGATCTTGAATAGAATCGTCCTTGAAAATAATCTATAGGTAACAATGGTACAATAGACAGGACAAACATTGTGATCCATGTGAATGTCAACAATTTATAAGTGGATTCGACGGTGAAACGGTAATTTGAAAACGTAAAAGAAATGGATATGAGACGATCGATAGCAATCAATACTAATGTCACTACAGAAGTTTGTAATGATAAGGTTGACAAAAAACCAGCAAGTTTACACCATATGGAATTTTTCCAATAATCTGAATTTTCAATATATCGACCACTATGGAAAGAAAAAAAAATAAATGAAAAAATATTACATATCATTAATAATTTTACCGGTAATATTCATCAACAGAAGCAATCAGTATCAGATAGGTTCCCATAAGAAAATCTGCAAATCCAAGCGACAAAATAAGTGTCGAACTGACACGATTGGTCTTATTCAATGTCTTGAAACGCCAAATAATTACGAAAAGATTACCAATCAAAGCACTGAATCCCAATATCCACAGAATCAATCGTTGAACAGTTTTCGATAATAAATCTTCACAATCGGATATCTCATCTTGTGGTGGATAACATCGGCTAAATGGTACAATACCAGAAACCATACAGCAAAATTTGAAACTATCACTTGCTAAACTTCGCAATGATTTTAACATGACAAACATGTCTTTAGAAAAATTCGTAACTGGATTGCCACGAAAATCCAGTGACATTAAGGAAATTAGATCATTAAAAGCACCTTTTTCTATCGTATCGATTTCATTGTCAACCAATGTTAAATGTTGTAATGAACTCATCTGAAGAAAAGAATTCTTGACAATAGTCTTCATTTTTGTATTTGAAATATTCAATCTTCGTAAAGAAACTAGCCCTACAAAAGCACCAGAATGTATTTCTTGAAGTTCATGGTTATGTTCCAACATTAGCGTGGTAATCTGTTGCAATCCAGCAAAAGCAGCCGCTTCAATCACTCTGATTCGGTTGAATCGAAGATCTAGTTTATACAGATTAGTTAGCTGTATAAATTTACGTGATCGAATTATTTCCAGCTGATTACTCTGCAAGATCAATTCGCCAAGATAAATATAGCGTGAGAAATCAATGAATGACATATCTGGTCCCAAATGATTGCCGCTTAGATCCAATTTACGGGTTTCCTTCGAGATATTGGCCAGTATTTCCATCGTTATGTTTGAGTATCGACAATCAACATAATGACCGTTGCAAATACAATTACGGGGACAATTAAGATCGCAAAACCATTCATCATCACCAAGTGGACAGTGGCGAAAGCCATCGCAAAGCTGATGAAGCCAAACGCAGGAACTTTCATTGGCACATTTGTAATGACCAGGACAGGTGTATCTAGCACAGCCAATTTCATCCGATCCTCCTACACAATCCCATTTACCATTGCAAATATAACGGTATGGTATGCAATAAGAATCGGGACATTTTACATAATCTGGTGGACATTGAAATGTTGAACAATTTCGTAAATGAGATACATCGCGACAGCCTATCTGATATTGTAGCTGATCGAATTCGTAGATGCATATGTGTTTTGATTCGATTATCTGTCCAGAGTTACATTCAAAAAGATTCGATGATTTCACTTGACAATCGGAATGAATTTTTTTCAAACTTGACAATTTCCATTCAATACTTTTTCCTATACATTCGACTGGACCAACTTGTACGTATCCTAGTTGGCCGATATGATAGACTTCGCCGAAGGCCACCTGACGAATCGGAAGGCGCGCTCTATCTTCAATATAGCCATAATCTCTTGTCCAGTTGAACATCAATCCAGCATCACAATTGCAGTGAAGATTAGAAATACAATTAGGATAACAAGCACAAGAATTTAGACGATCCGTTCCCCATGAATATTCTTTAAGACCAAGTCTAGAAACCCACCAAGAATTCGGTTTTGGTGAATTGAAATTGAACCTTGATCCAGAACATTCGTAACTTAAAAATTGTCGACAAGAAGCTGATGCATTGATAACGGCAACAATAAGGTCAAAACTGCCTTCATATGTGATGGTTCGTACGTACGAACCTGGAGCATCGAATGATGAACGGACATATAATCGATCTTCAGTGTCGTGATTAATAATTGTCGTAGCGTGTGTCGAGTTCAAGAAGCGGCAATAAACTCTTAATGTTAATTTATTTTCAGTAATTGGTTTTAATTCATAATTGCCATCTTGCATGATGCCTTGATATTCGAGCAAATCCTGACAAGTTTCTAAACGAGTGTCTTTTCTTTGACCACAAAACAATGGCGATTCAGTTTTATTACGTCTATTCCGTTTTCTCGGATGGTTAGTTGAACCACGCCGCCATCGGTATGGTTTATCTTGATAATCATTCGATGATGACGAAGGGGCATCAAACAAAAATGGACTTTGCTGTTGGTCATTTTGGTTTAGCAATGAACATACAGTCTCGTGTTCATCTTCGAAAAATTTTCCAGGACAATCGCGGTGACGATCGCATAATGCATACAATGGAATACAATTACCATAATAACATTGAAATGTAGTGTTTAGATTGCATTTCCCACTGCAATTATCTTCATCACTTTGATCGCGACAATCATGAAACAAATTACATCTTTTATAATTGGGTATACATTGATCATTGTTGCATTTGAATTCGGAATTTTTTTTGCATTGACGTCGAACACAGAATATCTCATCGGATCCATCACCACAATCGTCGACAAAATCACAATACTAAGCAAATTTGTGAAAAATTTTTTTTGAAAATTAACTTTCAAAACAATAATAATTGGCAACAATACTTACCTTTCCAATGGCAATGCAGTGACTATTGGCACATTGAAATTGTGATTCCAGGCATTCATCGCTAATTGAACAGCCTTCAGTTTCATCGCTCCCATCACGACAATTAGCAGTACCATCACATCGAAATAGATTTGATATTACCTCATAATTGTTACAAACAAAATAGCGATTCGTATCGACTTTTGCCCTGATCTTCTTCTTGTCTTCACTTAACCTCCTAGTGAATAATGTTCGTCGAGGGCTATGTTGATGCAACGATGAATTTGAGTCCATTTTGCATATATAACTTCGGATTAGGCCATCATTGTGGTTGAGAATCATATTTCGATTACGAGTAGCAATGATAGAATTCATTGAACTGTTATTGGTGACAAGATTAATTGTTGAGGCAATTGTGGTTAGATTATAATTGACCAATTTCACTGTGGGCATAACTTTTTTGCCCAAAGAACATGGTACATCATGCCAATTTAATGTTGAATATATCGAATGAAAATTAATTACGGTACAATCTTCATAGGCTCCGCCGTCTGGTTGAGAATATTGATTGAAAAAATTATTCAGATCACCATTCCAACTGATCATAGGTGATTTTGAATAAGGACCATATTCATTTGTATTGGACCAATTTTTCTGTTGCTGATGCTGTTGTTGTGAATAGAATGTTGTAGCTGAATCTACTGGCCAGAAATTATTTCTATACCAATCAGTATAGCTCATAGGATTGCCATCGGACCAATTATAGAAACCTTCACGATTCGTGTCGATTAATCCAATATAAATGCTTTGATGTGGTGTCAGTTTCCATTGTTCAACAATCCAATAGTGAACGACATTCATTTCAAGATAATCAGTGATAGATACTAAATGACCATCACGTCCTTTAGCTTTTTGTGCACATTTTTCTTCGGCTTCGTACCACTGAAGTGATTCTTCTTCAACAAATGATGCGAAACAATAACCTCGAAAATAAAGCCAACCATTTGGACAGGAATACATCGGTGGTATCAACAATGGTATAGCTTCTGGAAGTAAATGATATCGTTCGGCTTTGTATTTCAACTTGAATCCACGACCAGTGCTTGACGAATCTGAACTGAATTCGATCAACAATTCGTTCCAATTGGAGAAGATGAATTTGGATGGTTTGTTTGTGTTACAATATCTTCCGATAACCATTCCAGTTGATGGATCGATGAATGATAAATGATCAAATAAACAATGTTTGAGCGGTCGATTAGTTGATGATTTTGTCGTATATGCTTGGGATCCGGCAACATCAAAATCTTCAATGGTTATATTAAAATAATGACCTGCAGGTGCTCGAATCAACCATCGACATCGATGGTTATTTAGATAATTCAATGGATAATTGATCGAAAGTATACGGCCACAAAGTGAAGTACAATTATGCAAACGAGAACAACGTGGATCACCAATTCCACACCCTGGACAATCAGCTTCACGAAATCGAACCAGAAATCCTTGAAAACGAGTCATTGAAAAACGGAAACAGGTATTCAATGTCAATGTAACGGCACCATTGGAAATAATTTTTTTAGGAAAATTCCGATGAAGAAATGAGTGTGCAGGACGATGAATACCTGATGCAACTGTCGATGGGGCTTCAATGGTAATGAGTGATTGTTGAGGCGAATGATTTATGTATAAGCCATCATGACATTTACCTCCACTTTTCTCAGCAGGAGCCAAATCTAAAACGATAAAGTCCAATTCAATATGACGATCCGGTTTGTTAGGTTTAATGTGCCAAACACAGGACTTGTATTGAGCATAATAAAAAGGATAATTTGGTGATGAAATGACACCAGGTGTGGAAGCAGTCAATGTTCTTGAGCAGAAATTTTTCTTATCTCCACGACATCCGATCAATTCAAGACGCATACAAGGTCCACCACGAAACGCTAAGATTTTGATACGTATGAAGCGAGCTACGACCGGTTTAAGCAGATTATACATGACAACTTCATTAGGATCAACGTGTTGAGCTTCGCATTGGACACATTTGTATATTTTTTGTCTGCCAATCGGTTCTTCTTCATAGGTCCAATGCAAAGAATCATTTGAAAATAAAAGTTGAAAATGTGTCACAAAATAGCTTTTGAATCCATGTGGCATTCCTTGCATTGCCACCCCCACAATGGTTACATAGTTGACCTGATTCCAATTGGATTCATCACCCATTGGTAATTTTGAATCGAAAACAATATTGGAATTTTGTAGCCGTAAATCGATTTGTATGTGTTTCTCCTGATCGGTATTGGTCGTACACCAAGCTGCAAAACTATTTAAACGAACATTGTATGGATGATATACAAGACCTTTACTGGAATCAAAAGTCGATGCCGTTATGGCCGAATCGAGTATTTCTTCTGTAGCCATGCCTAATGGTCGACCACATGATTCTTCACCGAATACGACCACTTCACAAAGTTGTAGAGCATCTTGTCTATCTTTCATAAATATGATGACATATTGTCCTTCAATCGGTTGCGTACAATTCAATGTAATTTGGACAAATTCTTCTTCCGTCGTACCATATGAAGCGCATTCGACTGCTGATAAAAATGGTTTGTTCACTGGTCTAGTTAAGCCACTTTCGCCATCATACCATCGCCCATAACCGAATGTATCCGGTGTTGTATCGACGAGCACTTGGAATCCTTTCAATTTATCGGCAATATCATAGTAACAATAATGAAGGGTGAGACCACGATCAAACAATGTGACCTCAATACGTGGATGTGGGTCCTGGAATTTCAATTTTTGTCCGGAAGCAAAAACCAGATCAGGTAAAGCACCGTAAAGAACGACTTCTTCTTCATAATGGAAAAAATGTTCCATTTCGCTCATGTCGGCAACTTCTTGACAAATTCGTCCATATTGAAATAGATAGAATGGTCTAGTTTTAGGAAGATTTATCGGCTTTGTTGGATCGCCATCTTCTCGACAACAAAAATATAGCGTTGTATTGTGTGTTGTATAATCACCTTTAGGCACCGTTCCATTGATAAAATTGAATAAATCTGAATTGCTCTTATTCAAGCTCTTATCGAACCAGGTGATGGATCCGATTTGAAAACCATCTGGACATGAAAGACCATATTGTAGAATACAGTATTTTCCTGGTTGCCATGTACATGTTTCGTTTGAATTTTCTGGTGCTTTTCGATTATTAGCTGCATGTACGCAAAAATGTTGCTCGATTCCAGTTGACGTGGCACCACCTTTGAGCATTATATTCTCGGACCAATAACGAATCTTATCATCATATGGTTTATCATATTGTACCGCATGAAAACGCATACCAGTCAACCATTTTGAGTAGCCAATTTTGGATGCCGGGCATCCGGAATCAGGCATCGGCAAAGCATAATTACCAACAGGCCATTCACGATCACAATATGGTGAAATGTCTGAATTGGGTTCAAGCATGATGTTTGACTGCATTAATGGAGTTTCGTGTTTTCCCAGATAACTATAGATTTTCACACCATGAATTCTATGTCGTTTTTGTAAATTGACTCGCCACCAAGGCTCACGTTCATAATTTGTTGATGAACATTTAGCCGCTTCTCTTTGTTCAAAATTATTGTCTACAGCTAGCGATGATTCTCGAGGAGAACGTGTAGAACTTTGATCAGTGGGTCGGCCTTCGGCTGCATTTTTCACAAAACGACTTGTTTTAAAAAGATGTTGATGTATGGATCGAACTGTAGCATGTATACCTCTGCTATTACCTACTTTTCTCAACGATGTTCTTAAAATTATTTCCATATAATTTGACTTTGAATGTAATTTTCCAATATTAAAACGATTAATGTTACAATAATTAGTTTTTCTTTTCATATTTTTTTCGCCATATATTGTCACCAAATCAGTATCGCAATAATGTTGACCAGGTGTTGAAATAACATCAAAATCATTGAATTCAATCTGCAACATATGATCAGGTTGAGTGGCTATCTGCCATCGATGAACTCGTGTTTCGTGATCAATTTTCTTTCCATAAAGATAATGTGGAAATGGATAACCTTGAGAATAGATATAGAGACAGTGATCAGGTTCGACAGTACAATTTGTAAAAGATTCGGTTCCAATATTACAAGTTGAACATTTGCAAAAACGAAACTCGACTTTAAATCCTTTGTGATCATTGATTAATGATCGTTTTTGATTGCAGGTTATAAATCGCAATCGGAATAATGTTTCCGAACCATCAGTGACATAATAAGGCTGTGAGGATTTTTCCCGTCGAATCGAATTTACTAGATGCCATTCTTGTCCAGAATATATGAATGTTTCAGTATTCTCATCGTTAGTTTTTGGTTTTTGAAAAATATCAACTTCGATTGCATAACGACAGCCAGGTACGCTCACATAGGCACCATAATGAATGATATCGTATTCAGGAAAAACCATCTCGATCCATTGGCCTTCATCAACGGTGATAATCCATTCATAACGACGAAAAGCAGGTGGATAACGAATAGGATATCCCGGTGATGTAATCGTTACGGGAGCTTTAAAATGACCTAATGACACATTGAGGTGTCCATATGATCGACAAATTAATGGTCCTAATGTGTAACGACCAACTTCATACGATTCTCCAGTGTCACCGAATCTAAGTTGTGTTACAGGTAAACGATCTTTACTCAACAACAATCCTGAATCTTCAAGCCAATCTGTTTTCATGTTTGCATCACAATTACAAGTGGAATTTTTTACAGTAGGATGACAATAAGGAAAACAACCACAACTATTGGAATCTGGTTCAGCACCGCCCCAATAAGTACGGGTTAGGCCGTTACGATCCAACCACCAACTATGATAATGTTGAAACCAAAAACTGAACACTGAACCTTTACAATCCCAACGTATGTATTGCTGACAGCTGAATGCTGAATTAACAATCTTTTCGATCTGTCGCATGAATAATCGATTAGCATCTTTTGGTGTTGATGAAAAATTTGAGTTCGAGTGGCCTTGATTGTATATAATATTACGCTCAAAAGATCCGGGAGATTCATATCCTTGAACTAATCGAGGCTCTTCTGAATCATGATGGATTATGGTCTTCACTTCAAAAACCTGTTCACTTTCACCAAGATGATTACCATCTATTTGAGGATCGACGGTCAATGCTGATGACATATCACATTCGACTTGAATGCCATTATTTAATGATTCTGTTGAATCATCTAATAGAAGTGTATAATTTCCTGAATGACGTATGCCATATTGTAGCCATAATTCGGCACAATTTTTTGCGAAAAATTCTTTTGAATTTATTTGCTGAATACTTGATTGATGATACACAAATAAAATAACTTTGAATGAATAAGAATAAATATTATGATTTAAAAAAAAAAATTTTAAATTATTCCATAAGAAACTCACCAAATGAATACCAAATTCTATCCATATTACATTTGGATGATCATCACATAATAAATTATTGATTAATTAATATTTCCGAGAGCCAGATATCATAAATAGCAAAATCTGTCAATCATTTCAATAAATAGTTGTTTTGATAAGAAAAAAAATTCATATTAAACATTTTGAATCGAAAAATCAACAAAAATATTGCTCATATTAAATATATGGATCAAGTTTTAGTTTGTTTGCATAGTTTAGATTTTGTTCATCATTATCTTATGATATCAAAGTTGCATTGTTCGAAATATAATTGCACATTTTTGGTCGTGCGTCCGTCCCAAGTTTATTTTTCTGGTTTTTCATATTTATCAAAATTGTAGCTCATCGATAAAATTTATATGGCATATTTTTATAATGAATGATAATCAAAAGATTACATATATATAATTTAATTATTATCATAGGCAAATTTTAGATTTATTGTTTATTTTTATTTCTGGAAAGTTTTTCATGTGTTTCTATTTCTGTTGTTTTTGTTAGATTGATTGATTCTTTCAACTTTTGATTCATATTATTTTCCTTTGTTTTGGTTGTTATTTTGATTGTTTGTTCCGTTGTTGATGGAGGCGACAATGAAAACGATGATGATTCATTAAAACATGTGAATTTATTTAAATAATTTGCGATACGACAAAGTTCATCCCGTTTCAAATACATGAAACGTTTTGTTTCCCAAAGTGCATTGACAATCTTGAAATCTAATGTTTCATCTAATTCGATCAATTTATCGAACATTGGATTGATACGAAAATAGAGAATATTTGTGGCCGAACAAAATGCTTCAGCTCTATGAAAATAAAGTGTGATTAAAAATTCTAATGTAAGTTTCAAAAACAAAATTCGAAATGATTTATTACCTATTAACAATATGGTTATCCGTGTTGCAGATTTCATTTAAAAGTAACGAAGCCATTTGATAAATGTATTTAATTTGATTGTTTATCTCGGTTAGCCGTAAGGAATAAGCACCGATATCGATCGCTTTAGATTCTTCGGTTTGTTGTTGACCAGTGCCCAATGACAATACAAAGCGAAGATTTTGGCATTCCGATTCTCGGCCCACTTCTCTCAAAGCTATATTACGAAATTCAATTTCAGTCATAGCATCTAATGTAGGATTACAGGCAATCAGTCCGCCATCAATAAATGGTCCAAATGTTTTGAAATAGGTTGGTGCCGATCCTGATGCTCGACAAGCTTGCCATACCAATTGATCACGACTTGGTTGTCGACTAAAACCTCTATCGAAATCTGGTATCTTTAAAAGCTCATAGTGGGATTCATAACTTCTAAACAAATGTAATTTCATTGGTTTCCGGTCAATTAATCCTGCCGGTATCATAACCATTTTATGAAAACTAGTTCGAAGGTCCTCCATTCGAAGTTCTGAACCAATAATTTCTTTGATCAATTTTTCTAATGGTTCAGCATCGTAAGGCCGCTCACCGATAAATACTTTGTCTTTAAATTGCATGTAAATATTACGAATCTGTGACAATGGTGTCCCAGTAACCAGAAATACGACAATAAAAGATCCAGTACTTGTTCCAGCAATCCATTGAAAATAATCAATTAACGGTCGCTTCAAATATTTTTGCAATTCAATCATCAGTTGAACTGTAATCAATCCTTTTATTCCACCACCGTCTAACGCTAAAAGATTGACATTTTGATCTGATGACTGTTCTTTTGTTGCCTTTTTCACCATTTCTTCATTGAAATGTTTTTCATTTTTTATGTTTTGAAATAGACTTTCATACTGTTTGGTTACTTCGATTAGTGCCGGACTCCATTTTCCATCAAAATCACCACCTTCACGACAACCAGCATTGCAATTTTTCTGCTCATTCGAACATCTCTTTGCGCCCAACGAAGATAAAACAAACAATATTTGCGCTGAAAATGGTGATTCTTTGGCTGCTAGATGTCTTGCAGATTCCTTTGCCTTGTTTAGGATATCAATATCGGCATCGAAAACGACCAATGTCTGAGTCAATGTTATCTCATCGATTTTGACAGCATGATGTAAGGGTGTGTTGCCAAATTTATTTTGTACATTTACACGAGCACCAGAGCAAAGTAATGTGATGACACATCGAAGTCGGTTACGTTTAACCATCACGTGCAATGGAGTGTCTTCATTCATATTAGGTGTATTTAGTTTGAATTTATAAGCAATCAATTTTTCCACCAATCTTCGATGTTTTGCCCAATGTAATGGACTTCCAGCCATTACAATATCCTGCATATCAATATCCATTAAATCTTGCTCAGTGAATTGCACAATATGTGAGACCTGTGGTGATTGCGATTTCTTCTTTTTGCTTGTGTCTTTCTTAGATTTATTTCTTAAAGCAGATGAATGATGGAAATCTTCAATCGATCGTTGTATTCTTTGTTTTGGTGGCGGTAATGTCAGCATACGGACAGTTAGACCGAATTTTAAAAATTCAAATACCACATTATAGTTTTGAGCAAAACAAGCTAAATGCAAGGCCGTCGATCCTTGATGATTTTTCCACAAAATACGGCCAAACATATTAGGTTTGTAGAGAATTTTGGTGAAAATTTCATGTGTTGATAATGCGGCACAATGTAGGAAAGAGTATTGTTTGCTATCTCTCAAATTAAGATCCGGTAACAGGTCAAGAATATCCTGTACAATTTGTGGCCATCGATGATTGATAGCCAAATGTAATGGTGTCATTCGATCGTCATTCATTTGTAGATTGATTTCAGTAGATACTATATCACGTGATTCTTTGAAATGTGCTTCCAGCCCAAGACGAGCGGCTATATGAGTGCTCGACCAGCGAGGATTGATTTTCAATGATTCCATAATTGATTTTAGCTGCTCCAATGCTGTAGGTTTCATCAACGAAATGGATTTACTTAACTTGTTCAATGATTGACGAAAATATTCATAATATTGTTCGCCAATTACTTTGGACGTTGTATGATAGACAAGAAATGAGTATAACTTCTCCCGGCAATAGACAATCTCATAGTAGATAGAATTGGTTCGCTTCTCATTATCAGTCTCTTTTTTATCCAATTTAACAATATTGGAATACAGTGCTACATTGTTATCTTGTTTTAGTAGTTCTCGCGACTTTTTAAACTCAAAAAGTTCATCAATATCAAGTATTTCAAAATTTTCTTTAAATAATATTATTTTGTCCGACAATTGAAACGATCTTGTACGTTGATGGCTTTGTTGACCATTACCATTCATAAATAAAGCTTTACTCATATTATGCCATAATTTGTCTAATATTTTGGGCATATCTTGTTTATCATCTATAATCTATTTGATTATATGGGAATTATTAATATTTACAAAGTGAAACAAATAAAATGTCAACAAAAATAATATCTATTGAATTTGGTTTAAATAAATCCGAACCCAATATCCATTGTTGGTATTACCCAATTATTATTAATATTATTTCATTATAATTTGAAATTTTGTAATATTATTAGAATGTTTTTTCATTATATCAATCTGAAACTATTGTTGGCTAACAAAATAGTTAATGGAAAAATAAGACATTTTATTGGGATTGCATCAAAAATCCCAACCATTCATCAACACTAATCATCTTTATTGTTATTCGACGTCTATTGATGTTTCCAACAACTACACAGAATATATTGGAAAATGATAATTTGTGTGATGGTGGGCAAAAATTTTCACAAGAAAATAAAAATTTGTTAAAATGAAAAGAAGACATTGATCATAACCGTAATCCTTGTTGTCAAACTAGTATTCGACGACGATAAAGAGAAAATTTTGAGGATCAACCCCCAAGTAGAACTTAAAGAGTAAAACTCTTGAATCTTTCAAATGAAAAGAGAAAAAATGATTTTCCCAATAAAATTGCTTTTCTTTTCATTCTTTTCTTTATCTTAACATTGTCAAAAACGAAGCTTCATTTGTATGAGATTTTGAATTTCATCCGTTCGGTGCCCGGTTCATTGTGTTATGTTGCCATGTGTGCGCGCGTGTGTGTGTGCATGTGTGTGTTTATGGTTATATAACCTGTTGACCTGAATTATTGTTGCAAAACTAGTTCATATTTTGTTGTTTATTACCTGGGCTCGTCGTTTTCAATTTTCTATTTCCTAAATTTCCAACATATGAACATGTTAAATTATGCGGAACAAGCAACAATAGCAAAGCTAATCATTATTATATACAGCTCTCAATCATCTCTTCATCAGCAAGATAAATTGAACCAACAATAAACCGATCGACCGACCCGTAAATAGATGCTTTGTCATCATCATCCCATATATTCAAATGGAAAAATGAATGAATCCATAAATTATCAATCTATGGCTATTGCTATTAAATCTTGGACATTATAATGAAAACATTGGTCGATCATCATCATCATTATCATCCATTTAAATATAGAAACCAGTCCTATTGTGCTTTTTAATAAACAACATGAAAACAGGGAAATCGGAACAAGTCTCTCTTTTGAAAGATATTTTCGGTAATTACATTTAAAACTCATAGTATTAATAGTGAAAGGAAGAAAAAAGAGAAGAGAGAAACTTTCGCTTTTTAGCATGTTTCCTGTGTCTGCATATTTTTCGAAGTCCTATTCACATTCATTCGCACAATTCGTCGATTATCATTTCCTCGATTTTTATTTTATTAACTATTTCTACCAATGCTTTTTTGTCCACATTGAATATCATTGAGTGAAAACGAATTAGATTTCATTTTAAGGCATTCATAAGCATAAAAATGCTCAACATGGAAGATCTTGACAAAATACCAGATATTTACGGATTTCTTACACCCGAAACAACGATAATGGCAACTACCACTGACGAAATCATCATTGAAACAAATGAACATCAATTATCATCAATAAGTAATGTTGAATCGGATTCATTGATATCTACATTATCGCCATCACCGATGACAACCAACCAGAATCGACATTCAATCGGATCATTAGAAACAATTCCGAATTCTAATAATGATGGTCTTTTATCACCCACATCAGCGGCAATTAAGAATCAAACTGAATCACAATTTTTCGATTTTATATTTTTCTTCTGTTCATTGTTGGATTTTTTCATCGTGCAGCCAATGAATTATTTCACATCTGAAGAAAATGTTTCTAGTCTCCCATTCTATTTCAGTAGTTGAAAGGAATGTAATGAGAATTGATCCAAAAAAAAGAATTGATCGAAATCCACAATGAAAAAATTAATTTTTTTATTCACATTTCTTTTATTAATTATTCCACTAACACTGTATCATATGAGCTAATTAAATGAATAAAAATTCTAATTATATTGAATAATAAATGATATGTATTTCAGCACATGATTTTTATTACCAGAGTGATCAATATACAGGTATATTATTACAATTTGTAATCATATCCATATTTCGAGGATGGCTGATCTATTTTCCATTCGAAAATTTTCCAAGTGAAGGTTAATTCACATTGACAAATGACAAATAATAAATGTACAGTGTTATCCTTTGATATTGATTTTTGAATAAGCGAAAGATTGAACCACAGTAAAGATCTACTGTTCCATATAATAACTGATAATGAAAAAAAGGATTAAAATCATCATGGTTTATCAATGTCAAATCACTCATTCGAAATCTTTAGCTATGATTGTTAATTTTTTTCGGTAAGTAATTTTATAATTTTTTTTCATCAGATAAATATCGATATTTATTATTACCAAAGATTTTTGGGTATTTTCAATGGCCTAATCGACCCAACAAATATAGAAAAAAATATTCATTGGGAATTTACAAGAAATTTTTTATTCAAGCTGAAATGGTTGATTCTTAATTTAATTTATGAATCAATAATAATTATGATTATCGCTAGAAAAATTATGAATGAACGAGCTTCAACCGAGAATTTATTTGGCGATAATATCACTAATAATAATTGCACGACCATACAATATTTGCCAGCTTTTCTTTTCAGTTCAGCCTTGGTTCTATTGTTCAGTGACAATGTCTTCAATTCAATATATTTCAATTGGTTAGCGGGTAGTAGATTGATCAAGCATTTGGCCAACGTAGCCATCTTGAATGTTGATCGCAATGCTCATCATGGTATAATAATTATTATATGCTATTGGATAACTCTTTTTATGACCACTATTTTCGCTTTCGTAATCAGCCATGACGAAGATAATAGGCTATCAATTACATCAATGATTATTCAATATATTATTGTGAATTTGTTCTTTTTTTCTGGCCATTATCAATGCTGTATCTTTGCTTACATGATGATCATTTATCGCCGTCAGATATATGAAATCAAAAAACGTTACTCTTTCATGAGTAGGTTCCATTTTAAAGATAAACAAATAAAACTCAATTACTCATTCTGTTTCTATTTCTATAGCCACAAAACACTTGTATCGAATTCACCAACAACTATTGGAACTACAAAGACATTATAATCAGACACGAATTCTAATCGAGAAACCTATATTTGTGACATTAATTGCCAATGCATTTACAGCAATTATACTTGCCAGTATGATGATCAATATGAGCTTGTATAATTTTAGAATCAATAGCATCATTAGTTACCTTTTGCCACAATCGACCATCAGATTGTTAACCATAATATATTTTGGTCAAATGCCTAGTCAAGAATTACGTCAATTAGTATGGCGTCTTCGTCATCGAACCATAAATTGGAGTGCATTCAATTGGCTTTGTTTGTTACGGATTGAATCAATGATTGAACAATTTCATTTTCGATTGTTCACATTTCTCAATATCACACATCAATTGCTTATTACGATGATAGCTGTGATTCTTGAATCATTACTTTTGTTGGTACAGGTTGGCAATATGGCTGTTGTTCAGATGAATATAGAAAATTCCTTCGAAAGATATTTGTATACTTTTCATGGCGAAGAATTAAATTGAAAAATTGAATAAAAAATTGATATTTTAATAGATCACCAAGATCAAAATAATTGACATTTTTACTAGGAATAAAATAAACAAAAACATGAAATCAAATTCAGGATTATCGAAATACTATACTAGGCATATATATTCCATATATTGCCGGAGGTTGGCAAGTAAACCCATCAAAGAAACGTTTAAATGCTTAACAATTACATATAGCTAATAAAAACCAATCCATAACTTTGAATGCTGAGCGTTAAACGAAAGATAATTCATGAAAAATCTAAAAACCCTAGAATGGATAAAATGGAGAAGGACTATTACATATAATATTGCCGAAATTGGCTCCAATATCATTTTCGGTGAACATTATGTTCAAAGTTTTCACCAGATCTAATCCAAGTTTATGTGTAGCCAATGTAGTCGCTTCGACATTGATATCCCAACATTCCATAACAACTTTATCGAATCCGGCAAATTTTTGCAAAGCATTATACATTAATGCTTCTGCTATTTCGATCGAAGTTGCATACAATGGCTGTGGAATGATTGTTGAGAATAGATTCGATCGACGAAATATACCATATCCCATGACTTTACCGCTGTGTATATCTCTAGCCATCATTCCAACCGAACTGGATTCTCCATTTGAATATTGAATAAACTGTGCACGATTGAATCCACAAACTTGTTCATCGTAGGCAATCACATCGGGTAGATTGTAAACTAGGAGATAATTATTATAGTACATAGGCTAGAATAGTAAATTTACCTTATCTCACCATTGATCCATTCGAAATCACAATCTTCATGATATTTGTTTAGCATAAACAATTGAGGGTAGCCACAATATTGCACTAATTTGCGAGACGGTATCACACCAAAACCAGACTTTTCTCGATATTTGAAAACATTTTTCGGTGACGCCAGAATTGCACAGTTACGATTGGAACAATGCGCGATACTACGGCTCCATAATAAATTTCCAATGCCGAACCGTCGATATCGAGGTGCAATAGAATATTCACCAAATGTAGCACATTTAGAGTTTATGTTAAATCCACTGCAAACACCGATGACTTTGCCTGTTCTTATCAAATAATGCTTAAGGGAATTTCAATCAATTTTATTAGATAAAACTCACCGCTATCAATGTCTTCAGCGACATGAAGACAATTGTGGTCAATTTTCATTATAGTCACATTAACTTGATCACCCAAATATATGTTGGCATCATGACACAATGCTAGAACGTCATCATTATCGTACAAATTCATTGCACGAATGATGAAATTCGGTATTTCAGATGGCATCGTTGTCTTTATTTAATTTTCAAATCTCAAATAAAATATTTGTCAAATCGAAATAAAGTCATGGTATATGTTCTAGGAATTCAGTTTAGAATTAGTTTGTCAAAACAATCTACACTGCTGACCAAATTTGTTTTTGTCATCGGCTTTTATTTTGAAGTCCGGCAACTACTGACTGCTACATAAAATTCATCGGTTGGTCAGGCTGTTTGGCCTTGATCTGGTTTTTAGCTTATCATACATTCACGAGTTTTGAATTAGCCTACTGAGACTGTTTCACGTCCGGTACACGTAATCAAGTAGAAGTGAAGACAATTTCGTCATAATGATTCAAAAAATTGATATATGGATCTCTATGATATGTGCATGGGGATCGACCAGGAATAACAACTACCAAGGTTTATAAATACAAATACACAATTTATTTCAGACATTATACACCGATAATCATGATGAAATTCATTTCAATTCCAAAAATCAATCAGCGTTTTTTTCAAAAATTAAATGATTCAAGGGTTTGAATAATTTACATTGTAAACAAGTAAACAAAATTTAGGTTAATCAATTCTGATGTGAGTATCCAACCAATTTTATATATTGCAATGAGGAATCATCCCTAGGGTCTAATCTGAATTTTGGTATTTTGCTTGTATTATTTTGTATTTTTTTTTTTTTTTGGCTTATGAGCTTTTAAAGTTTGAAGGACACAGTAGTTCTGACAATATTTTAGGAATACAAAAAACGGAGATACATTTATATGAACTGGAAGCTTTTTTTAACAATTGTCTGACACTGACATTGCCATCTCTAATTCATTTGCCGTTCTATGGGCTATATCAGCGTTTTCCAAACTTTTTTGGCCAGTGTTAGTAGTAAAAGTTGGGAAGGACTGGGTTATATACACCTATTTTCTGAATATATTTGAGCTTAAAAATTGAAAAGGAATTGGGTTAATTATTCCTATTGGAAAAATCCTGTGACCGGTGAATATTTCCGATGTTTTAGCTTTATTATTAAAATAAGCGATATTGGATCCAACAAAATTAATATGGATTTTTAATCAATTAATCATAATCATCATTATTATTGTATATAATTTTTTAGATAACCCAATTTTTCACTATCGTTTGGATTGTTCAAATCAAATTTCGATCCATAATGTTGCACGAATTGTTCAGCAGGTAAAATCGGACCCATAGAATTAGTTGTGGCTGGCAATAAACGCCATTGTTCATTGGGTACATCGATATTCAGCAAAAATGATGGCAACTGACTTTGATCTATGAAATCGGTCAACGTTTTCTTGTTGGTCATATGAAAAAATTTCCTATCATCTTCGGGTAGCCATGTTTGTATTAATTTAAATATGTATTGCAACAAAAACGGCAACTGATGAATAATGATTGCATCAAATAATTTAGGATAATATTTTGAAAATGATGTTACAATAAATTTCAACATGTCCATATCAACATTCGATACCCCAATATTTGAGCAATCTATTACTAATGTAACGCCTAGAAAAAAAAATTCATTTTCCAATTAATGAAGCCTCGAACTCGATACATACCTTTACCATCACAATCACGATCAATTTGCTCAACTTGATAGATGAAAAATTTTTTCAATCTGGAATTCCATTCATTTGTTTTGCGATGAATGTTGGCACGAAAATAAAGAACGATAGCATCATTTTTATCACGACCATGGCGAAAAATATAACCACTCTGGTAATACTCTGCTGGGAAATCTACCAGCGAACTTTGATAAATACCTTCCTCTCGACGCCATTTCATGGAGTTTCGAAGCAGTTCGTAGGATTGGTCCGTGTCCAACTTACATTCCAACAGAAAACGTTGAATTTGCCAATCATTTTTTTTGATTTGTTCCAAATCTTCAGGCTCATAAAGATTTGGATTTTGGTTAACTTCGGCAAGAATACGATTTCTAATCAGTATTACCAAATTTGAATCTAATGTTTTCAATTGGGACAACGCACTCACTGGCGGTGCTGGCATTTTGAATTGTAATAAAATAAATATGAACATCACACCGATATAAAAATGATTAGTTTGTGGTTAAAATTCGAAAACCAATAACATAATTTAATCGATCATAGTAACACTTCCTTAAAGAGAAAAATCTGGAGAGAAAACTGAATAAATGAATTGATAGTTGGCTCTAATCGGATGTTTTGTGAAAATTCGTTCACATCGTTCGATCTCTTGGAGGTCAAATTTTTTTGCAAGATCTAATGAAATCTGATTCGCGTCGATGGCATTCCAGATCATCCCATTAGCTTGGATTGAACTGAAATTAGTTTCGATTAATGATTCTATTAACAATTGGGCAGAATCAGCATCATCCGAGTATAATGGACCCAAATAAAATCGTTTGGTGATTGAATGTTGTCGAAGACAACCGAAACCTGAAGCAAATAACCAAGTATGAACTTTTGAATAGAGATTTATCATTGACTAACCTTGAATTGAAAAGTCATTTGAATCTAATGCCATACAGGTTCTATAAGATTGATCTTGTAATATGAATTTAATCAATTTTTCTCGAGAGGTATCTTGAATCTTTTCATCATACTTGATGATTTTTTCTTGAAATTTTTCGATATTTTCAGTGCATAATTGGATGATCTGGATATTTGTGCGATTGGATTGAGAAATTCTCTTAGGTACTCCCGAAAAATTGACCATCGAAACATGTTCTCGGATACGAAATCCTCTTTTTGTTATATATTTTTGAATCATATTCGGTACGGCATAAAGACCAACATTATGATCTTGAATATGGTTCAGACATTGTTCAAATAATATGGATCCTATACCGTGTGATCGATATTCTGGTCGTATGCCATAAAGGCCTAAAAAATTGGTTTGTTGTGAACAACGAGGCGCACCGCATACTCCAATCACTTTTTGGGATTCATTTTCAATGGCAATGAAAAACGCCTGCGGATCTTGATGAAAGAAAGCCAATACGGTTGAGGGACAATCAAAAACATCAAAATTATCATTGAAGCATTCAACGGCTCCATCAATATGCTGAGATAGCATTTGGCAAATCGTAATAAGAATACATTTGCCTTCGTTGTTTATTTTTACCACAAAATCGTCCATCATCCAGTTTTGAAAGAAAAATCAGCAATTCAAAAAGTTGACAACAAAAATGACAAAAAGATCATCAGAATGACATCAATTTCAGGAGGAAGAACAAACATGAACAATGACCTAATTTTTTTTGTAAAAGAGCAACAAGGAAAATGATTAGGATTGTGAAATATTGCCTACGAAAACGAAAAATCTTTTCGGCTTGCCCTATTTACAGAAAATGAAAGTTATCATAAGGGATTAAGACAAAACTATATCACCAATGCAATCACGCGCCTCAAGCAACAAATTCCAACAAGCACGATGACACCTTGTTGAGTGTTGGCTAGAATTCATATACAAATAAAAACAATTTAAAAAGAAAAAATTATGAGGAATGATTAAGCTTCGGCATTCATCATGAGCAGTATAAAAGCCATAATAGACTCAAGTTCTGGTAAAACTAATTCTATTACCATCATTTGTGAGCTTGCCTATCGTGAATGAAAAATCGCAAATCTTTTTATTTAGAAATCCGAAGATTTTCTAATGTTTTCAGTTATAACGACAATGTTTCAATCATTATCGTTAACTTATTCTTTGAAATCTTCAGCCTTGATATCATCAGAATATCCATCTCCATTATCGACTCTTAAAGATAGCAAATTAAGACAACCAACAATTATTTTATTAGTATTATTATTAACGATCATCTTCAATCAACCGACAACGGTACATTCCAGTGAGTAATTTATTATATTGTTAATCAATTTTTTTTTCAATTTGAGGTCGATAATATCTGGGGATCGACTAAAAAAATCCTTTATATTATTGTCTTCTTCTGAAATCGTTTATAGTAAATGTAATGTTGAATTCTCATTTATCAGTCGGTACATTATTACATGCTGGACCATCATGTATCATCAAACCGCAGTCAAGGATAGTGAATGGGGTTAATCGCTTCCTATTGGTCGACTATACTCAAGTGAAACACCGTGGAATTTGCTATTCAACATTACTTTGCAAACAAAAAGGTGGCGTAGCCATTGGCAAATGTGGAATCGGTAATTCATGCTGTGTCTGTAAGTAATTATAGTAAGATACCATAATGAACTGGATTCAACTCATTTTTCCCGGAAACAACCACAGTCCCACAAACCTGTAACAGTATTTCCGTTCGAAATTCAACCTATTTCACCAGTCCCGAATATCCATCATTAATAAATGGATCCAAAGAAATCGAAACAAATCATAATCATTATGAACATCAAGATGTTAATGATGATTTGACAACGATTAACGAGCAATCGAAAAACGATCGATGTTCACTCACAATACATCGAATGCCAGGCATACACCCGATATGTCAAATCAGGTTAGCTGCTAATTACTCAATTATTCGGTCATTGGTGTTATTTATTGTCTTGATTCAATTAACAAATAATAAGGTTGGATATTATCGAATATGAGATTGAAGGTCATCATCATGATGATACCAATATGATCCGCTATTCAGATATTGATCATGGCTGTCGTTATGCTGATAAACAAAACGAGAATGCCTCTGGATCTCCTGCTGATGGTACTATATTGGATTGGATAACTATGAGAGCAATGCGTCATGATCATGCTGATATCATCGAGCCTTTATGTCCATCATCAAAAGTAGGGCAATATGGTTAGTATTGAAAGGAATTCATTAATCCATGAAAATTATTGATTTGATTAAAAAAATATTTTATAGTGATTGTCAATGTACAGCAACATATCGGGCCATTCTATTTAACTGTACATACCGGGTCATGGTCAGGCCGTCGTCGTTGGAACATTCTAATCAACCAAATTGAATGTGATCGTAGTAGCTATCAAAATGAGAACGAACATCGAATACTAACGAATACAATAGATACGTAGTGACGTTATCCTGTCATAAATATGAGCGATTTACCACAAAAAAAACTGTTAACAGCTTCTTTTACCCAACACTTGATGACATAATGTAAATAAAATTCAACAAAGAACCATAATATAGAAAGAGAAAAAATTCTGGAATATTGTACTATAATTATCAAGAACAGCAATCAAATGGTCATCTCTTTGGAGATGGCAGCTTTTCCATAACTAAATCTTCGTTGATTTTGCAGTTGACGTTGGTGTTTGTTACGCGACCAGAATTTAAATTTGTTTCTATGTTCAGGATTATTATTCAACACCGCTGTGCACGGCATGCTGGTGGTTGGCTTCCGGCTTTCCACAACTTTGATCACAGTAATGGCTTCTGTTAAACTTTTGGGATTTGATGAAACAATAATAGGGTCTTTGATCTTTAATTTGGCAATTTGTTCGGAATACATCTGATCAAATGAACGGTTTATCATTTCATAGTTGACCATACGTGATTGACGATAGTTTCGATATGATACATATGCATAAATACTGCTGATTGTCACACAAATGTACAATATAAATCCTATCAATAGGAAGATGATTGCTATTGAATCAATAAAATAATAATCGAACCATTAAAATTATGAATATTTAATCTTTATCTATTACAGCTATTATTTTTGTAATCTAATTTAATGGCTCTAAAAAATGATAATTCGATTTACTAAGTACGAGACTAACGATTGATTTAGTTATTAGATAATTACTCTGGCTGACGTCATTGTATGATAGTAGCAAACTTTGACCGATCACGTTCTAAGCAATATATCTATTCATCGGAAATTCTATCAACAAAATACATGGATAACGTTTTTTTTCAATGGCAAAGCGTACAAACTCACCGGAAAAATCGACAGTTCTAAAATGCACAGAAGGGGTATTTAGATTGGTGAAGTTATCGGATTGTTTAGCAAACTCCAATGAATTGCCGTCATCTTGATCAGATAATAATGATGAAAAAGCATAGTTATGATTACTTTTATTGGTGAATAAAACGAATACAGTTAATAGAAACAAAATGAACGCAATGATTGCCAATATTAATGACAAACGACAAGCCACAATTGCCAATCGGAGATCTTTTGGTGATTTTTTCAATGAATATGAATATAATGATAAGAAACGCATTGTTTAAATATTATGGTTATTCCAAGCCATGTTTACTAATTAATCTATAACATATAAATAAATTATGGACACATCTGTGCGGAAAAAAATGACTAAAAAATCTGAAAAAAATATTGAATGCAACAATCACAAATCAAAACAACGTGAATAGAAGAACTACTAGTAGAATCATTGAAGGACACTCAATATCTCTCCCACCAAATTGTTATAACAACACCCAATGATCTGATCATAATTACAAGCTACAGAGAAATGTTCATTGTCGTTTTGCCGACATCATCATGTTCATTTTCATCAATCCATTCAGCTATGTTATATCGACTGTGTATTATAGACCAGCCCAATCTATTCAATGTCCTTCAATCGTGAATCCATGAAAAAATCTGAAATCATAGATGAACGAATATAAAGCTTGCTAAATGAATCTATCATGAATTGAATTGTTGACAAACAAAACCCACGCTCATAAATCCACAGTCATATTGGATATCGAAAACGAATAAGGAATGATGACACATTTCTCATAATGAATGAATAAAAGAATTTGAAAAATAAATAGACTGTTTTTTTATAAAAAGTAATTTAGATTTAGATTTTATTTAATTCAAACTTAGTAAATAAAGAATATGAATTCAAACTTTTTTTTTATTTTCGAATCAAAAAAGAACAAGTTCATATGAATTACATTTGCATTCTATGGTCATCATCATCATCATCATTGTTGTTGTTGATCTGATCATTAGATGTCAAATGTATGTTTGGATGTTGATCAATTGTGATTGGTTCATAATACCACTTAGGAAAGACGCGTTTGTAAAGATACATAAGTATAGTATCCTGTGAATTAAGCTGATGATCAAACCGACATTTCATATGACCATGCGTTCCTAATGGTTCCAAAATGTGTCCATGGCGACCATATTTGGTTCGTAGTTCAACTGGCCTAAACCAAAGTATATCTTCACGATTAAAAAACATATAACGAACGACAGAATGGCGACGATGAATCTTATACGGATGTCCAGAAAGAATGTAACGTTTGATAATTAAACGATCAGGACTACAATCTAATAGGGAACCAATGGCAACCAATTGATGGCTGCCATCTTGTTCAAATTCTTTGTACACGAGAACAGGTGCTGGCGGATATGTTATAGGCGCGTATAACGTAGCAACACAGGCAACATCTGAACGGAGATATTTCTCATATTTATGTTTATCGCCAGTCGTATGAGCCGAAAATATAGGTTTGGCAACGAATCGACGATATCCAACATGAAAGATTAATCGTTCTTTTGATTTGATCGGCATCGTAAACGATGGAACCTTTTTGACAACAACATTCATCACAGACATTTTATGTTCGTGGGCTAAAAGCTCATATAGAATCAAGGGTTTATGAGAATTTTGTTGAAAGTAATCAGACAATTTTCTCGGCACATTAGCTAAATGAACACGGATGTAGAATCCAGGATCGGCACCAAATGTATCAGACTTGAATATACGTCTACGTGTACGATTAAAATTTTCAAATTGAAATATTCGAGAATAATCTGAAGGAAGATTTTCTTTACAATCCCATTGAGATGTACGAAAGCTTTTCAATCCACGATATTTGGCGAAACGTTCACGTGCCGGTCGATCAACAGGCGTATCGATTTCATCAGGAAACATTTCATACATTCGTTGCTCCTTGAATTTTTCCAATTCCATTTGTTCATCTTGCATATTTATTTCTTGGTCGTAATCAATATCTTTATCTAGACTTACATCATCTTTTTCGTTATCATCTTTCATTCCGTTTACGTTTTCATCATCATCATCATGGCATTATCGATAGGGGCAAACTGAATCTTTTTAATTTTTTCAATAATTTCATCTTGATCGTCGCTAAATTGACTTTCATTGTCGCATTCAACATCATCGTCGTCGTCATTTTCTTCTTCATCGGATTCGAAAATCCAATTCGCTTGATAGTCAGATGTACCTATGGGCACTTTCTTCTTTTCTATTTCCGAATGTTTTTTATCCTCATGTTGTGCTTGCATTTCTTCCTCGAAAATTGTTTGAACAGGATTCTCTCGTTTCAATGAAGGCCGTAATTGCAGATCGCACTGACTTCGGAATTCTATTTCTTTGTTTTGTTTCCTTTTTTTGTCACCATATGGAACTGATACAGTTTCGATTAAATCCATTTGAAATTCTCCGAATTCTGGTACATATACCAAAGAAGAAACATTAAATGGGTTATTACGAACAAAACCTTCAACTTGCAGCGTTCCAATTTCAGGATCTGATGAATTAGGAACAAAATGAAAATCTTCTGCCAAAAGTTGGCTTCGACGAGAACAATAACTACGAGATCTAGAGCGGCAACATTTAACTGTTGAACAATAGTGAAACAATTTAATCAAATCTTGGGCCGTGTCCAGTGATCGCATTTTATCATTGCCACCATTCATAAGACCGGGAAAATTTTTATTTATCGCCTCGAAGAGTGTACGTCGAACACGATCCTTTTGTTTGGGATTACTAACATCAGCTAAACCTATGATAGCGTGAATAGTTAGCGGTAAACAATGATTGTAAATGGCATCTAAAGTAAAGAAATCATCTTGAATTAACTCTGGATTATCGACTTCAAAGCGTTCAACTTTGTTGGAGTGGATGATTAATAAAATGTCAGCCAATTTGGCTAGATCGATTGATGAATATAAATCTTTGCGATCCAAATTTACCAGCTGATATCGCGTTCGAAATTTCGGTATGTCAATATGCCAATAATGACCATGTTTGGATATTTCAACCGTAGCTGTTTGATCGAATGCAAGCAAAAGCTTCGCAAAATGATCCAAACGATCGGATAAATCAATTACAGCAATAAGAATGGGTGCAATAGAAATTTTTCGACGAGAGTTAATTATTTCTTCTCGTTTAAGGCGCCTGATTTGTATTAATTGATTTTTTCGTACACTACGAGCGAGGCCTGATCCTTTTTTGCCACCAACACACGTTGAAGAGGATCGCAATGAATTAACAGATGATGTCGAATGAAATCGGACACGTTTTTTACCAGCTTTGTGTGGTTTATTTTTTTGTTTCAAACGGCCTGGTCGATGTTGTTCCATGATTAAGAATTCATAAAAATTAATAATCGATCAAACAATGTGAAACATGAAAAAAAACACGTGCGGTTCAACAAAGAGTTGATCATAAAGGACGTAATAAATTTTTTAAATTTTATTTTTTGGACATGAATTCCCCTAAAATCACTTTAGATATTCGATAAAAATTTTTTATTGGTTCACCAATGAAACCATTAAAGATAGTCACAATTGAAAAATTCGCTTGTGTTTGTTGCAAACGTTCATGATCGGAGATATCGGGATCAGTGGTATTACGATGATCACCTGCTTTACTCGTTGATTTTCTCGTATCTGAAAAATAAAATTTTAAAAAAATCAAAGTTATACAGAGAAATAATGTTTGATAATCACCTTTTTGAATTCCATGAATCGAACCATTAGTTAAATCTTCGATTTTGGCATATTCTTGCAAAAAACGAGTCTCTTCCGTCGTAAGTTTTTTAGGTACAATGATTTTGAGATGCACATAATGATTGCCATATGATGAATTAAATTTGTCTTTCAAACCTTTATTATCTAATTTTATCATCGTATGTGAATCTGATCCATGAGGAATGGTAATCTTCTCCTCTGACCATAATCCATCGACAATAATTTCACCACCAAACACTGCTTGCGGTATCGATATCGATGCTGATGAATGAAGGTCAGTTCCGTCTACGGAAAAATATTCAGATGATTCCACTAGAAACTTAATGTAAATCTGTTGTGTTCCTATGGTTCCACGTGCGAAATCTCCCTCAGATGGATCCACGTTAACTTTAAATGTTTCACCATCTGTTACACCTGGAGGTACAGGAATTATGATTTTACGTTCGACCAATGTTCGTCCGTAGCCCAGACAGTTGTTACATTTATTAACAACATTATGGCCTTTACCATTGCAAAATCTACATGTTACTCGGAATCTTTCATCAACACCTTCGACAATTTCAAAACCAAGGCCTTCACAGAATGGACAGACTTGAATTGATTTTCCAGGTTCACTGCCGATGCCCATACATTTCTCACAAACAGTTAATGTTCGAGCTTCAACCAATTTTTCACAGCCTTTTGCAGCTTCACGAAATGATAATCTTATAATTGTAGTCTCAGTTGGAGCGTGGCCATGTTCAGTACCAGAATAATCGATCCATTCACGATCGGCTTCTTTAGTGAAACGATCCTGAAAATCGGTACCGAATATTTTCCGAAATAATTCTTCAGGATTGACTGAAGAATGAAATGTTTCATACGGTGATTGATAAGAAGAAGCTGATGAACGTCGAAACGATTCGAATGTTTGATTTTGTTCCTTTTCAAATTGGGCATCATATTGACTACGTTTTTCTTTATTGGACAAAACCGTATAAGCAACGGCTATGTCTTGAAAAAGTTTGGCAGCATCTTTATTACCAGGATTGATGTCCGGATGATATTTCTTAGCCAATTCAATGTATGATTTTTTGATATCTTTTTGTGAAGCATTTCTCGTTACACCAAGTACTTTATAATAATCAACTTTAGCAACTAAACATAACGATGATGTATGCAATCTTCGATATAATTCACGGTGATGACTAGAAAATAAGTGGCCAGCTAAGAACAATGATGATTTAAACATTATGAAATCAATTTTCAACAAGCTTTTTTACGATGAGACAAAAGCATCTGGCGGCTTGACTTCGCGAAATTTTTCGGAAACAATAATGAAAACTTTACGAGAAAGAATTTAAACGTGAAGTTGTTGATGTCATTTAGCATCAACATGATTTTGTTGTCAGCTGACCGACCCGACAACAGGTTCAAGACTTTAGTATACCGTCTGTTTAAACATGATGACGTATCATTGGCAGTAAGATATTGTATCATGTAGAATTGTATTAAATATGAATTCGTCTTTGTCATTCAGTTTATGTTATCTTTTATTCCTGATCACATTTATCCGATCCGATAAAGACTTTGATGGTAAGTTCACTCAAATAAGAATCACATATATGACTTTCTTTTCGAAGATTTAGAGACAATCACTGTTGAAAATAATGTTTATGTTTTGAACGATAAAAACTATGATTCATTTGTTCAACAACATCCCGTATCATTAATTGAGTTTTATGCACCTTGGTGTGGCCACTGTAAAGCATTAGCACCTGAATTTTCCAAAGCTGCCAAAATTCTACAGGAAGATCAGAATAGGATTGTGTTGGCCAAAATCGATGCCTCGAGTTTTACGGAATTCGCAAAACAACATAGTGTGACTGGCTGTAAGTTCTCTTTAATGTTATAATATCATAATATCATTGACTATAGTTATCGATCATAGATCCAACTTTGTTCATCTATCGTAATGGAAGTAAAAATGAATACGATGGTCCACGTACATCACAAGGAATAGTAGATCATATGCGTGAAATAGCTGATCCTAATTATAAGCCAATAGAATCGGTGATCACATTGACAGCTGTCAATTTCGATGATACGATAAAATCAGAATCATTGATTCTGGTACAGTTTTATGCACCATGGTGTGGCCATTGTAAACGTCTCAAACCGGAATATGAACGTGCAGCAAGAAGGCTCCATGAGTTGGAGAAACCGATCAAACTGGCCAAAGTAGATGCTACTGTTGAACAAGAGCTAGCCAAACGGTTTGAAGTGAAAGGATATCCAACATTGTTTATTTTTCGAAATGGAAAAAAATTACCCTATAAAGGACCTAGAGATGAAAATGGTATCGTAGATTTTATGAAGGAGATGGAAAAAATTCCAAGCAAATTAATCGAAACAAAAGAAATGCTGAGAAAACAAATCAAAGAAGATATTCCAACTATCGTCGGATTTTTTGATACTCGTCCAGACGAGAAGTTTTTTGAACTTTTTATCGACATTGCTTATAATCAATTTGATGAAGATAATCACTTTGTTCATATCATTGACAGCGATCTGGTGAAACAGCTCAAACAAAAATCGAATTCAATAACCGTGTTTATTCCATTATGGTTCCGTTCTAAATATGAATCCAATAACCATATCATGCAACTAGATCAATCGACTTCAGTACAAGAAGTGGTGGATTTTATTCACAATCACAGTATACCGTTGGTTGGGTATCGTTATTCTCGAAGTTACAGTCTTTATGCTAACCGTTATCCATTAGTTGTTGTCTACTATGATGTTGATTTTAGTTTTGATTTCAGAAAACGTAAGCAATTAAATGATTTGATGATTGGATTATTTATAATTTTAGTTGTTTTTAGAAACCCAAATGATACGTGAACAAGTTCTGAAAGCAGCCACACAAATCAAGAAAACCGAAGAAATTTCTTTTGTGATTGCCAAAGAAAGCGAGAATGAACAAGAATTGAAAGATCTAAAATTGGATGATAGTGGTGCAGATGTGAATGTTGGATATTTTGAATCCGCTAAACGACGTTACGCCATGGAACCAACAGATAAATTCAATGATCAAGTCTTGGTTGATTTTGTATTAGCTGTGCGTACAGGAAAGATTGATCCAGTTCTACGATCACAATCGGTTCCGCAAGAAAATCCTGCCAACAACTTGTGGACAGTGGTGGGTGAAACATTCAAACAATTGGTTATAGATTCTAAGGACCATGATTTAATGTTGCAATTTTATGCACCTTGGTGTGGCCATTGCAAAGCATTGATGCCCATCTATCAAGAATTGGCAAAAAAATTCCAACATGAAAACGCTCGTTTGAGGATTATGAGAATCGATGCTACTAATAATGATTTTCCCGAATGGTTTAATGTCAATGGTTTTCCTACAATCTATTATATTCGTCGCGATCAAGATGCTCGTAAGCCGATCTTGTACCAGGGCGACCGAAAACTTGAGGATCTAAGTAAATTTATTCAGGACCAATTGAATGGGTCTAATGGCCAACAATCTACTAAAGAAGAACTATAAACATGGAATATTTATTGGTCATCGTTATTACTTACATGTTTATTTTTCAAACTTTTTTTCTGAAAAATTGATAATAAACACAGACTTTAATATTCGTATGAATGATAAAAAATAATGATTGTTTAAAGCAGTTGTTTATAATGATTAATAGGTATCTAAGTTATAAAAGGTGTGTGTGTGTGTGTGTGTATGTGCTCCAACGATAAATGAAAAAAAATATAAGACAAAAACGGGAACGATCAAATTCAATGATGTGCGATATCCTTCAAAGAACATTAAATGGCTCGATTCAATGAGATGGCAATGTATCAATTCTTTAAGAAACAACAATACTACCACCATCATGGTATTCATGTTGATGTTGACATTTTGTCAAACAACTTTTATGAAAATTTGAGGTCTTCAAATTTTTGCTTCCATTAAATTTAATACCGATTTCAGTGCCAATCTCATCCAAACATTTCAATGCATAATCGATCATTTGATCACTATGGCTAGCTGAAAGGCAAAATCTGGCACGTGGACCAGTTAAACTAGTGACTGGAAATGCTGCTCCAGTACTGGCAACGCCTTTTTCCAACAATTTGGATATTAAACATCTGACAAAATTGAAAAAAATAACCATCAGCAATGATTTAATTAATTGATTGGTGTAAATGTACATACTTGAGATGAGAAGGAGTGTATACCATCAATGGCACGACTGGAGAATCATTGTTACCATCTATGTGAAATCCTAATTGTTTTAGTTTTTGCCTGAAACGGATGACATTTTTTCTCAACTGCAGTATACGGCACTGTATTGGTGATTTGATGTTGCTAGTGCTATTTATAGAAAGAAAATCGTCAAGAATGGATGATATTTGTTGACAAACAGGGGCGGCCATTGTGGTGCCGTAGAAAAAAGAAGCCGAATTGGTGCGTATGTAATTAATGATTCGTCTATCACCGGCAATATAGCCACCGGCAGCGGCGAAACTTTTGGTAAATGTTCCCATCAGTATATCGATATCACGTGGATCACAACCGTAATAATCACAGATACCTCTGCCACGAGATCCCATCGCGCCAATGCTATGAGCTTCATCCATATATACATAGGCCCGATATTTCTTTTTTATTCGTATTAATTCTGGTAGATTGACAATTGTACCTTCCATCGAATAGATACCTTCAACCAAGATGACAATCTTACGCCATTGCTCGCCATTAGTTTGACCTTTCATCAAAGATTCAGTGATTATCTTTTCCAAATGGTTCATATCTAATAAAAACAAAATGATAGTAATTAATGAAAAAAACCAATTTTCTCAACATCATTAACTTACTGTTGTGCTTGAAGACGAGGATTTTGGCTCCTGAAATTTTACACCCAAGCGCCAATGAAGCATGATTACATTCATCACTAATCACTAACGATCCAGGACCGAATAAACACGGTAACGACAATGAATTAGTAGCGAAACCCATGCCAATCACAACACTATCTTCCACACCCAGATATTTGGCCACCTTTGTCTCTAGTTCACGATAAATTTGTGTCGTACCTGTTATATAAAATATTAATGAAAATATAATGATTTGCATTAATAATAAGATATAAATAGAATACAAAACAAGTGACAACAATAGACATTTAGTACTCAGACTATGATATGATTAAGATTACTAGTCACGGACCCAAATGGAAAAATGAGATCAAAAGTTCAACCAAGATATATAATGTTCCTACATACCGAATTCGTTCGGTGTTGAAGAAATGCTGATACCAACGTTATTTATGGTTTCAATGACAGAATCTATTCGTGGTCCTTTATTCTCTGAATGTCCCAGATAATCATATGATCCCATATTGATGGCTCGTATCTTACGTCCAGTGTATCTATGATGCGAAAAAATCAGAACCATATTTCAGCCAAGTTTTGGCTTTAAATTTAAAAAGATCAGACAACAAAATATTGTTTGATCTTTTTAATGATGCTTACTAACTTCCAAGTTGCATTATATGGTCCAAATTCACGTTCCAAAATTTCTGTATAGCCACCGGGTGCTGAACAAATAGGATGCGACCACATATTAATTAAACGTTGAATAATATTTCGGATGTAGAATGGAGCAAACGTGTTGTATAATTGGGTATAGCCTTCACGATTTTTTTCCACACGTTCAAATGATTCGATCCAGCCAATTTTACGAAGAAAATCGTTCATATAACCGAACAACATTAATGTACCATGACAAATGTAATTCGAGACGAGCATATGGAATGGTATGATCGGACGGATTGGTTCGTTGAATTGCTGCTGGCTTATGGGTCGAACAACCGATTTATGATGATGATAATTATTATTGTTGTTGCTAATGATGGCAGTGTTTGCATTTTGGAAAGACTTTGATCTTTTGTTAACTGACGAAGGATATCCATTGGTCAATGATCCATTTATTAGATGACCACTTCGATTTCGATGGATCCCTTTTCCGTTGCTGATGACTAAACTTCCATTTGTGCCCAGACTATGGTTGGTCACAGTATTTGGATGCTGTTGTTGACTATTGGTTGCAGCCAGAGATCGACTGATCTGGTTATGGTTGTTATGTTGTTGATAATCTTGATGGTGATGTGCCGAACATCCAAATGTGGCGAACAATTGAAAACAACTGGAAACATATTTGAAACAGAATACGAACAAACGACCCAACGATTGAAACATGATGATGATGTGATTATTATTTTGATAAATAAAAAGTTGGAGAATTTTAATATGAGAATCCGATGTTAGATGGAAGGTCGGATTCTTTGCGTTTTAGACAACCGTGTGTATGGGCGGATCCACTGAGGATTTTCGGATGATCAATTATTTGAATTTTTTCTCAATAAATTGTGATGACGAATGATAAGAGTAGATGAGTCATGATCAGGTTTAAAGGATGCAATAGACTATCATAGATGAATAACATGAATAATGTTGGCCAACATTGTTGTCTATAAAATGAATTTTCGGGTTTGCTCAGAATCTAAAAAATCTAAGAATAGAAAAAAAAATTAAGTTATACGCCCAGATTAACATATAATAAAATAGAAAAATGAATTAGAATTTTCTAACAAAGCAAACAAGAGTGTTTGTATGTGCCACTGTCATTCATCAATTTTTATAATCTAAATAATCAATTCATTGTCATAGGTCGAGGACAAGCCACATTGATAGAAAACACATAAATTATTGTCAATAGATAAGCAAAAAAATCTACATGGACACACACACACACAATACGCACACCAAAGGAGAGATGCTGAAATAGGAGAGATGGAAGAATTTATCCACATCTCAACAAACCAGAAAAAAAGATAAAACGCCGCTATAGCCAAATTGTGAACTATAGATATATGTGTAGACGGAGAAAGATGCCGGTGTTTATAATACAGCAGCAGCTAATCCCATCATGGATCTATTCACGATTAGTAGACAATAGAGTGTTGTATAGAGTTGCCGGTTCTTGTATGTTGAATATGAAAAACAAGAAAGTAGTGGAATTCACTTGATGCCAGATTCGATGAACCAAATATATTCAATGCTTAAAATAATATATCACGCCGAATCGTTGTGCAAGCACCAAACCATATAAAATTTACCCAAACACAAACACTGTCTATGGAAGCATTATCGATTAAACACCCAAATGGATAGTTTGTGTTCCAAATGGGCACACAATTAATTTGTTTTTTTTGTGTACGAGTGTGCCTGGGAGCTTTACGAACAGAACAAAAAAAAGTTTAGACACATATACACATACTGGCAGAGATAAACTTGCTCGTTTTCCTGCTGTCCAAAATGGGTTGGACGCTGTAGATCGATCGGTACGTTTGAATGATCGGCGTGTGGTTACAATGTGAGTTTTTTTCAATCAAAAATATGCATACATTTATACATGCCTGACCATGTCGCCGCCATCATCATCACCAGCAAAGCAAAAGAAAACAGCTTGTAGCAATTTTGTTATTTTTTCAAGTTACCATTACTAAATCAAATATAGACAGTAACACACTACAATGCATACAAGGCCATAGGTTTATTATTGTTATTGTTATTATCATTACATTATGATCATCATCAATTATGATGTATTTACGCTATATATACCACACCATGATCATCATTATGATGATCAAGAAAGCAAAGAAAAAAAAATGAGATGGATTTGGATGACGTTGAAACAAATAAACGATTTTGGTAACGATAGCGATGATGATGGTGAATAGCAAACGAACGGATGGGTGGTTCCACATTATCATCGTCATCATTATGATGAATGTCATTCGTTCAATTTTTTTTTCTTCTCATCCCAAACAACAACAATTTAATTTTTTTTTATTATATTTGTTCCATTCTTTAGACTCACAACTTCATATCTGATCATCATTTTGTACATATTGTAGTCTTGTTGAATTATTTGTACTTCTGTATAGTAAGAAACGGTAAGAACTACAAGAAGGGCGTTATTCTCCCAACAATTCCATGAAAATATATTTGCTATTATCGATCGATCGATTTAATATCAAATAATAATTCATTTGACACAATCCAAAATTGGAATAAATGTTGTATTTTGCCAGATGATAAAAGCCCAGCGGCTCTGACTTGTTATACTATATATAGTATTGAAAAGTTTTAGAAAATTCATTGCATTTATTCATCATTTTTCAACATTCAAAATAAGCAGATTTTCATTCAATAATCAAATGTGTTAATTGAAATGTTATTTTTCATATATATAACTAAACACCACCAACACAGATATATTAAAACAGAATAAACAAAATATAATATCTGTAAAAATGAGTCTCGCCCAATTTTCCTGAAATACATGGATTGAAGAATATTGACCAAATTAAATGAAGTGAATTATTGGATGTTTTATGGAAAAATTTCGAAACCGTTTAGTAAAAATATATCAGAATAATATAGATCTTGTCTTATTGATTTTGAAATTAAAATTTCCTTACCAGAAATATATGCTTTCGATATTTCAACTTTTTATCGCTAATCGATCAATGACGGAAAAAATTCTCTATTAGACACTTATTGAAATACCAATTATCATTTAAACAGAAATCAATCAAAATAATGGATCAATCATATAGCTAGGTAATGTAATGGCTGTATGATGATGATGATGATGGCATAATGTCATCTCATCTTAACGAGAATTGTGTATTTCTAATGACAAATCATTAATTTGGATTTGATTGATAACAAAAAAAAACTAGCCGTATGTAAATATTTCAACACTAATAAATGATATATATGAATAAAAAAGCACATTTTACTTACCTTGATACATATTTTAAATGATTCAGTTTTTGATTTTGTGAAAGAAAAAAATGGTAAAATTGTTGCAGCTTATGTTATTTTTCTGGTCTTTTTTTTTATTAATCACACAAATCAACATTCATCATCTATTAATGAAAAAATATTTTCTCATTCAAATTTTGTTAATCTGCTGCTACTGCTGCTGATTATAGCATTTTGATTTTTTTTTCGAAAGTAAACAAGTTGCAATGAACGCTACACACAAATAGCATATTACACACATACACACACACAGGCAAGGACATAGAGGCAAGCAAAGTTACTAAATCGGATGATACTCTAGTTTTCAATTCGATGTCGATGTTAAAAATTGTTTTTTTTCTCATTTCACACATTATAAAATTGCCTCACCCGTATGTAAACATTACCATCATCATACAGACTGATCATCATTTATCGTTTTTTTTTATTTTTGATGATATTTGAGTCAAATCTTAACAACAGGTCATGGTTAGGCTGAAATAATTTTTTTTTGTCAGAATTTCATTAATATGATGCAAAGAGCTAGACAAAAAAGCTTGATTTTGAAATATTTGTTTTGTGCCTGTATTTATAAATGTGATGAACAAAAAAAAATATTCTTTTTCAAGATTCTACAACAAAAAAAAAAAAAAAAAATAAAATAAATAAATAAATAACTGAACAACCGTATACTGCTATTCGCTACACAGGATATTTATTTTCGTCAATGTTTAAAAAATGTGGCCTGATGCCAGAAAAAAATAACATACCTTAAAAATTGATAGGAAATTTCAAATGAACAAAATAAATTCATAAAAATCGGTCGAGTACCAAACTAAAAAGCGAAAAATTGGTTTTCTTGATTTCTAGAAAAAAAAAGTAGATGATTGCTTATAAATTGTTATCGTTGCTTGGTAAATGGTAATTTTTTGATCATTTTTCACACCGCCAACGTTGAAATAATTTCAACAAACGGTTTGATTTAGTGTCAATGCACAATTACTGGGTGAAAGAGTTTTGTTTTATTGCTATTTGGCTCGGAATTTTATCCACAGAAGCAGATTCCAGATAAACAAAAAATTAGTGATGGCAATAATAGTGGAGCTTCGAGTTCATCGATTTATTATTAATAAAAAAAAACACGAATTAATCATTTTCTGCAAATCTGTAGATTCATCAATGCAATTTAATGATAATTTTTGTTTCAATTTGATTACAATGCGTGTTTACTTCATATATAAATAAACGCAAACAACAATTATGATGATGTCGTCTATCATTCAGTCATTTCATGTTGATTAATAATAATAATAATGGTGATCATAAATAGAAAACAGCCCAAACAGACAGTTATCATATATCCAAGCATTGATGCATTTATGTGGAGGGAGTATTTTAACAGAAAAAAAGACAGCAATCAGACTGAAAAGCCAATTGTCCGATGTAACAGGTAACACTAGCATATTATCATCATCATCATAATAATAATCGGTAAGATTTTAACTTGTTGAATGAAGAATGAAATTGGTTCATAATCAATACCAAAAATTCTAACGGATAGGAATCGTTTTCTGACCTACAGTAAACGGATAGCTAAATGATCAAGATTCATCGATCTCGAATTTTTTTTTATATGTTTATGGCCTGGCTGGATACCGTTAGATTCAACATTTGGCTAATCAAACTTGATCATTATATACAAGGTCATTTCTTTCAAGTTCAAAAAATATGAGTGTAGTGTGGATAATATACCGGTTAGAGAAGTTGTTTTTTTGATTGTGGGAAATGCACTGAGCTATTCGCTTCAATTCGTGAGTTTCGTACGTAATTCCCATTATTGAATAATTATGATCACAAGCTTGTAAAAAATTATCGAAAAAATCATCAAGTTGAACCGAAAACTGCAACTGAACCTGAACTGGTTAGCCATTAGCTACGAAATATGTTTATCATTCACTAACTATTGACATGATAAGATAACGGAAATTGAATGAGATATATGGAATAAGTCAATATTGATCAGTTTTTTATGCGATTGATCAGTTATTTCAAAGAATGGTCAGTTTGGCAATTATGGAATGCAAAGCGAAAAAGAATCCTTATGAAGAGCAAAAATCGTCAATTTATCATAATAATAATATAATAAAAATCTTATTTTATTATACGAATATATTTTTCAAAAAGGTTTTAAAAAAAAAAAATTTTTAATATAATGAGGATACTTGCATTGTAAAAACTTGGCATGATTATAGAATGGTTAGCCGCTCATCCAAATAAAGTTCAAAAAATAGCGGCAAAAGTAAAGAAATTTCTCAAACACAAAAAAACTTTTTGAGTGCTGTTTAGGAATAGAAAGTCAAAAAGTGTCGAAAAGTGTTTTGTCAGTCAATTAAAGTCAACCACATTGTATTGTTTTGATATGATTATTGGTGCATAATGAGTGATTCATTATGGAGAGAAATTAAAGTTATCAAGTCGGAAACAAATATCAAAAGTTCGATAAAGTATTTTTCGGTTTCACTTGGTTAACTATCCTATAACTAAATTTTTGAGAAATTGAATAGAATTTCGAACTTTTCATGCATGATAGACAGAACAACAATATCATTGAGGAGTAATTTGAACATACACACAATATCTTTGAGACAATAACAAAGATTCAACAATTCAGTTGATGATCAAATGTATTTAAATGTTAGATTGATGATTATTGTTGATTCGTGTATCAATGTTTTGCAATAGCTTGAATTTGAAACAAGTTTCTTTATTTTACACATCACCATCGACAAGTTAATTTTTGTCAGTTTGTTAGTTTTTTATTACATACAAATTTTCCTCATTTATTATTAACTTGGAGAGGTAAGGTCGGGTAGGTATGATCTACAGTCGCATCCATCCATTTAATGTTTTCCTAATGTTCTTGTTTAATTCATCGATAAGCAGATTGATCATCATCATATCAATAGAAATCAAACGCTAGGCAATCGGATAAATAGAACGAATCAACATTTGAACAAGTGGTATGCCGTTTTTTCGTCTAGACTCTAAAAAATCATTGGTCAGATGATGTTCAGGTCTATTTATATATTTCAAAATACAAACCAACAAGTTATATAACCATGATGATGTGGATGATAACTTTTTGAAAATGGTGGCCGTCACCATCGTTTGTATTGCTATTACTCTTACTCAGAAACCATACATACGTTTGTATTGCATTAATCAATGGCCGGCAGCCAGAATGGCGATAAAAAGCTTCAGTGAACACATTAGCGATACATTAAAAGAAAAAATAAACATAATTTTCTAGCTACCACTACGACTATCCATACTGACTAACAAAGCAAAAAAAACTAAGTAAATACTATTTCGTCAGCAGTATCAGTGGATTTTTCTTCGGTTACACTTGTGAATGCCATTCCAAATAAAATCATCTGTTGACTAAAACATTGTGATATAGTAGTTATTATTATTTCAAAAATCATCATTTTATTAGTGCTCAAAGGGAAAATATCTTCTCTTTTTAACAAGTGGACTGGACAACAAAAAAACATCAATTTGAAACATTGATTTTTTTCGCAAGTTTTTGTTTCTATAGTCCATTGAATTAGTTTATATGTGTATGCTTTTCAAATATGTTTTTAACGTTCTTCTCACTGTCTGTGTCGTCAAGATGGTTGTGATAATGATGACCATTTCCATCGGACATTTCAATTATTGATTGTATTTCCATTTTTTAATTTTGAATTACAATGGAAACTGTGTCAGCCAAACAGCAACAAGATTGGCGATTTTTTGCCAAATCCTTTTTAGCTGGTGGTCTAGCTGGTATGACTTCGAAAACGACTGTTGCACCATTGGATAGAATCAAAATCTTGCTTCAAGTTCATAATAGCCACTACAGAAATCATGGTGTTTTGTCCGGATTGGTTGAAATTGTTCAGAAAGAAAGTTTTCTCAGTCTCTATAAAGGTATAATGTAAAAAGTATTTTTATTAACCCAATAATCATGTGAAAACTAAATCATGACAGGGAATGGCGCTCAAATGGTCAGAATATTCCCATATGCGGCTGTACAATTCATGTCGTTTGAAGCCTACAAACGTGTACTATCTCAAATGTTCGTTGATGATGAACGGAATTCTTTCAGAGCCAATATACCAAATAATCATCGTTTGAATGTAAATCATGAATTGAAATTCATTGCTGGCTCGATGGCTGGTGTAACATCCGTTCTAATGACATACCCATTGGATTTGGTTCGTGCTCGTTTAGCAACGGTCGTCAATACTAAACGAAATCCATTGATTTCCATCAAAACAGCCGGTGCACCAACAACCATTTTGGGAACATTAGTATCAGTGTTTCGTAACGAAGGTGGCATAACGGGTCTTTATCGAGGAATCACGCCGACAGTGTTGGCCATGATTCCATATGGTGGATGTAATTTCTATATGTTCGAACGTTTGAAATATTGGTGCGTCAATTATGCACCTACATGGACCTGTTATCGAGCGCCCAACGACAAACTAGTGCTAAATATTCCTTCAAAATTTCTTTGTGGTGGTATAGCCGGAGCCATTGGTCAAACGGCCATATATCCATTGGATGTAGCCAGACGACGAATGCAATTGGCCATGACTAGCCGAGAAACGGCCATTTATTCAGAAAGTTTTGTTCAAACACTTATTTTGACATATCGATCACATGGTGTTATACGTGGCCTATATCGTGGTATGAGTGTCAACTATATTCGCGCCGTTCCAATGGTGGCCATGTCGTTCTGTACATATGAACTTTTAAAACAATTATTTGGATTGGAAACAGGCGTCTGACCGAACAACAGTATTGTCCGCATCAAATCGAACATCATTCCATCGTGATCATTATTTTTTATTATCTAGGTTTTTTTCTCTTTAGTATTATCCATTTTTATAAAATACACTCGGAATTATCCAAAATAATTTTTCTAACTAATGTATTGAATAAAAACACTTGATAAATAAATTTCTCAAGTAGAGGCAATCGATTTAGTTGTTAGTGCGGCCAAAAAAATCCACAAGGAAAAAAGATCAGAAGGATAAGGATGAACGTAACAGGATATGACATATTCCACTTGATTCGGATGACCAAAATGTGTCAAGTGTAGGTTGGTGGCATAAATCAATCGAGATAATTGATCCAAGTCTGCTGCTGAATGACCAACAATATTCAATGGATAGCTTATCATCTATAAATAAAAAGTGAGGAAATAGAAATTTTCCAAGACAGTAAATGAACAAGAACGAATAATATTTGGATAAAAATATCCGAAATCTATTGATGGTGAAAGTAATAATGATTTGAGACACGAACCTCATACACGTCCAAGATTTGTTTTAGATTTCGTTGTATTAGATCTTCTAGTTCGGCTAGTTTGCTTGAATAAGACCGATTTCCATCAATGAGCACCGTATGCCGTTCTAGTTCAGGCAATAATTGTTTAATTATCTGCATACAAAAACGATTAAACTGTGTATACGATCCGGTTTGATGTCTTCGCCAGGACATAAATTGCTCACGAAGGTACGTTTCTACTTTTATTTCAAACAATTTTGCCCAATCACTACGGATTGAACCATAATTGATTGTTTGTGGTTGTATGGAGATGTCTAAATTTTGAACTGACGCCGATTGATTTCGAGGGTTAAATAATGGTTGCCAGCGATTAGTTCGATGAAGATCGTAGCTAATTGAATTAGGATGTGTGCTCTTCTGTACGTTTGCATAAATCTGAAAAGAAGCAAAAGACATAATGTCATCAAAGCCGATTTGGAGATCATTTTCACTTACATTGTCAGGCGTTATGATCGAATCAATCGAAATCATTGTACAATGATAATCTTGCACGAAAAATTGCCGTCCACGTTTTGCATCAATTAGAATCCATTTATTTTTCACATCTTTTTTCTTTGCATCATAACCTTCAATAGTAGAATTGATATTTGTTTCGGTATCAATGGATTCAGGATAAATGATCACATAAGCAGTAGGTCCGTCTAATAATCCTGTTCCAATAGCTATGTAAGCTTTTTTGTTCATGTATTGAAGAAAACATGCAAGCAAGATGGCATGCTCTGCTTGACATCCGATTCGTATTGTCAGAAACTGATAAGCATCCATCCAGATGTTTGACTTGGACCATCGGTCAAAAAATCGCCGGTTTGCTGATAAATTCATGATATGTTGGTTTGATTCCAATAATGATGAAATCAATGATACATAACGGATGATCAATAAGATATATAAGTGATCCTTGTATGCTAATTTGCTTAGTTTAGCTTTCTTTTTTTCATTCTTCAACTCAAATTGAATAGGAGATAATTCATCGAATGTTGGTGGTTTTAAAGGTGCCAGGAAACGTGTTGCTAATACTGAACGATGTTCAAGATTATCGACCACACAGATGAATCTTCGCCGTGGAAATCGTTGATACAACGATTGTAACCATTTTTTACAATAATCAAGTAATTCCGTTGATTCGATTGATTGATAATTAATATTCAAAGGTGAATTCCAATCAATATGAGGATCCATTGTGATGAATAATGAAAAGGAAATATCAGACAATGAACCTATTGAAGATAATTTTTCCGAATTTTCATCATTATCATCGTCATCATTATCATCATCATCATCTGTGAGAGGACGTCGGTGCGACGGGTTTAGGTTCAATAAATTATCAAATTTGCGACTACGTGTATATATTGGAAGAAAATAGGGCGATAAAAGCCGGAATGACCCCTCTAATTTCGGCACGAACATGAGAACATAGAGTGGTAACTGCAATTGTCCCAACCAACATCGTTCCAATTTTGAATTTTCATCATTGGACATATCAAACTTAATTGGATCTGAATCATCAATATGTTTTTTCACGGAAAACAAATTTAGATTAATATGGTTCGTAGGAATCAATCTGTTAACAAAAAAAAAATATTAAAAATTACGAAAAAACAAACACTATATACTTAGTCTTGAATTTGAAACTTTCATTCCAACTCGGCTTGGATCCATCGGAAAATGATGTCGACATTGTTTGCTGATTATGATCAATTTTGATCTCAACAAAACTACAAGATTGAGATAGCAGATCTGAACTTTTTTCTCGCCTATTAATCTTTAAAGGTACGTTCGCTGCATGTTGGAGCAGTAAATGTATTTGTATTTCCCCTTCAATGGCTTCTGAAATATTCAATGCCTCTTTATGACGATTTCGTCGTGAAGGATTCAATTTACGGTTATGAACAGAAGGTGACTTGAATAACCAATCAAGCCAGGAAAAATTTATTCCACTAGACAATAGATATGATTAATTATAATAGAACAAATGACCACGTGCAAACAATATCTACCTCACGTTATCAAATGTTTGCTCTTTGATGATTTCATTTAGAGAGATGATTTCTGGTTCGGTTTGTTTATTATCCAATTTGATTGAATGTTCCCAGATTTGTGTTAAAACACCTGTTACAGCTTTGTACCACGAATTCAATTGAGATTGATCGTCAATAGCTGAATACAATTTTTGAAAAATGACGACAGAATCATCGTTTTGATCCTCTCCCAAGATTCGATCGAATTGTTGTTTCGAAGATAGACGAATAAAGTCGAGAAGTTTATTCGTGGATGATTTTTCCAGTTTATTGTTCGTCTGGTCATTGATAAATAAAACGTCTGTGTTTGTCAAAGGTAAAAAACGATAATCAACTTGTCCTTGTTGACGTTGGATCATCATCTGGAATCGTTTGTTTTGTTCGATTTTTTCCGTCGTACAAAAACTTCCATCCTCACTGGATTGATGATGATTATCGTAAACATCAGGATAAGTCAGTTTATTCAAGTGTAGCTTTTTCTCCTCATACAATGCGGCTATCTCAAGATTATATTTTTGTCGCAACAATAATTGCATCAATTCAATTTGCCTATGATAATTGAGTTGATCATCATGGTCTTCGGTTTTTGTTGAGTCCGAAAAATCCACTTGATATCGAATGTCATGAAGCCATTGTTCAATTTGTTTCAACTCAGCCATTTGTTTGATTTGACGCTTTTCCACATCATACATAACAAATAGGTCGAGATCAATATTTGATTCAGGTAGTGAAGACCAGAACATTCGAAATTCCAAGCTGCCTTCTACAGAGTTTTTAGACTTTTTTTTACTAGGAATTTCATCATATAAACATTGAAATGTTTCTTCAATTTGTATAGATCGTTGTCTTGAATTTATTCTTGAAGAAGGCAAGCTTTTTATGTTTATCTCAGCAATTGATTTAATGGTCTTGGCAACATTATTTTTTTCTTTGATGCGGATTTTGGGTAATTTGTTTGCGATAAAAGCTTCTTCGCCTTCTGTTATAATTAATGATGTTGGATATACCGGATCCAGACAAATAGGAACAGGAAACGAACGATAATTAAGATCCCAAAATGTTTGAAACGTTCGATAATTTAAATGATGATTCTCGAAAGCAGCAACAATCTTGTTGCCCAACATGATTTCAATACAATATGATGAAGATGAAGATGTAGATGAGGAAAACTTCTGCGGCAAAATCAACTCGATTGGCCGAAATTTTGGCTCACCCGGGAGTCGACCATCACATAGAAAAATTTTTTCCTTATTTAGCTGACTATCGTTGACTTTGGTTACATCCACAATCAAGCGATGAATTTTTTCTCGTTTTGCAACTAATTCTTTCAGTTGTTTGCTTTCCTTTTCCGTATCGATTGTTTCGACTTCATCCAAACGGAGATCGATTTCATGCAATTCATCTGAATCAGGATATTGATCCAAATTATTCTGGAATAAACTCCACTGTTGAATCAAATTGATTAATGATTGTCGACGATCAGCAATCAATTTATCATGCTTTTCGAGTAAACGCTGAAGAAGATCCAGATCCATTCGGATTTCGTCATCTATCAATTCTTTATTATCATTTGGCATAGAGTTTTCTAATTTGTTTGCAATAGAATCGATCTGTTGCTCCATTGTATCCAGCATTCGATTAGAGTGGGACGAAATGGAGTTCTCGTATTTTTTGAAAGCTAGCAGTAGTTTTTTCACATTTTTATCAACATTACTCATTGTCGGATGTTTCCACAGATCTAATTTTATTGAGCCAATACTCAAAATGAATGATTTATTGTTTAAACATAGCTCAGGATCACTTTTATCTGGAACATTTAAAATGAAAATCAAACTTCTTGCCAATAGGGGAAACAATTTCGATTTCTGTACCAGATCATTGTGTCGGCTCAACATTAGATCTTGAAAGGCTGATGCACCTGGCTCATAAAAGACGAATCTTTCCTGAAAACTATCCATAATATGAATACGAAAAAATTGATTAAATTCAATCTGCTCTTTGATTAATCTGGATACTGCTCGACGGCCGATAAAATGCTGGAGGGTATCAATTTCATCATCATCAGTAATTGCTGCATCAAATTCGACGGTGAGAATATGATTGATATCAATTTTTTTGTGTTGTTGATTATGATGTGACCAAGGTATTCGAGCTCGACGAACCACCGGTACTTGATCCGAGTCTTCATAAAATTGAACGGCACGATGGACTGAAGATTGGGTCGATCTTTGTTTACTGCGTTTCTTGTTATTTTTACCTTTTCGTCTATTTTTCGATGTTTCATTTGGGTATTCATCGTCACCACCATCGCTTTCTTCACAATCATCTTGCCAAACATTGTTGATAAAAAATTGAATGGCATCTTTACGCGATATTTCGAGCTTGTTATCCAGATAACCATCGCTGCAGTTGAGAACACGTTCCAATGTTTTTCTCCAATCATTTGACAAACGACGTCTAATTTTTTGGTCGATTGATGAATCATCTGGAATTAAAAGTTGTGATGATGAGGATGCATCATTTTGATTAGGCTCGTTACTATTGTTTTCTGGATCTTCGAAAGGATCTAAAATATTCTTATCGTATATTCGTTTTAGAATTTTGCTGCGAACAGCTTTGCGATATTTTCCATTCAGATTGCCTTGAACTTTTGAAAAGATCAATCAATATATCAAACAATTGCGATTAAAAAACATTACCTTCAAAAGATTTGTCCATTTTTATAGGATTTCATCATCATGATAAATATTATATATTATTTATTTTATATTACATAATGGTTTCCATGGTGAAATTCTAGATTTTTAAAATTTTAAAGCTTTTATCAAATTTTTTATTCAATCATCAATAGATGGCATGAGTATCAACAGATGTAAAGCATGCATTGTTTTGGTCGAATTTTAATTAAAAAAAATCAACACTCATGAAAAAAATGATTAATTCTTTTTTGAATTCATGGAAAAAATCATTTGGCTCGTTAATCTTTCGAACCAATCGAGATCTACATTTGTTGGCTGTAAGTAACAAGGATCAAAAATTGAATCTAACATCGCAATTATACGAGAATGCTCGAGAATTCAAAGTGGTTAGTGTCGATCAATTTCAAATGTTATTCAAAATCAATCCGGAACGTAAAACTCAGATCGAAGAAATCCTGAACATCTATGAGCTAGAAAAGTACACGACTCAACAGGTACCATCGGTTCTGTCTATGAACGATATGAAAAAACTGTTGACCACATACCATGATGAGAAGGAACTACGTAAGATGATCAAATTTTTCTACACTCGTGAATGTGATAAATTCAATTCATACAAGAAAAAATTCTACAAAAAGCAAGAAATTCAAGAAAAGAAACGAGAAAAATATGGTGATAACGATGACTGGGAACATGGAATATTCGACAGACAAGGCCAGCTAGTTTATGGTTTATGGCACAATTCCTTACTATCTCGCATAACGAAACAAGCTGTACGTGATTATCGTAACAATCACTTTTTACGACATACGTGCTTGTTTGGACAGAAATTGATTGTCGATTTGGATTATGATCAATACATGAAACCGTCAGAGATTGGCTTGCTGGCCAAACAGATTTCCATAATGTTTTATGAGAATCGTATCAATCGTGATTATCCTGAATCATTATCCTATGACGTACATTTCACCAATTGTCGTGCTGGCGACCATACTGTGTATGAATTATCGCGGCATATAAAACGAATGGACGATTTAAAACAACATTACTTTCACCTGGAAAGTTATCTCAGTCGTCCGGATCTATTTCCTAAGAATAAATTGGTCTACCTAAGTCCACATGCTAAACTTTCACTTAAACGATATGATCACGATGACATCTATATACTAGGTGGTTATAATGATCGAAGTTCTCATCGACAAGTTTCACATGTGAAAGCCCAATCGGAAGGTATTCGATGCTATCGCTTGCCATTAGATGAGAATGTTCTATGGAAACAAGGAGATAAGAATCTATGCCTAAATCAAGTGGCAGCAATCTTACATGCAGTCAAAGCTACCGGTGATTGGCAATTGGCTATCCGGAAATTCGCTCCACAACGTAAAGTCCGTTCGATGGAAGAACAACATCTAGAGGATCAGATTCGAATGAAAGCTATCGCCAAACGGCTTCATCGAATTGAACGTAGTTATCGATTTGTTCAATAATAAACACATATAAATAATAATAAACACATTTATTTTTATTATTTATCATTGACAAAGATTAATATATGCATTGTAACCGCGCTGTTTATATAAGATAACGTTTGTTTCGAATTCTTCACAGGAAGAATCCAATTTCGATATTATACCGCGGCCGACGATGATTAAATCAGCTCCCTTATTCTGGATAGCATCTTCGGGAGTTGTATACTGTTGACCGAGCTTGTCATTTTTCTCGTTTCCGATTCTTACACCAGGCGTCATATGGATGAATGCAGGGTCAGCACACACTTTAGTCTGGCTAATAAAACCGACAATGAAATCAGGATTTTTAATGGCCATCTTGTAAGCTTCTTGAGCATAATCAACCGGTACTAAATTTCCTTGAGAACTAAGGTGAGAAATCAAGAGGCAACCGCGTTGTTGACTATCTTTAAATGATCGGGCCATAAATTCTTGACGTAGAGCTTCAATAAGACCCGGTCCAGGCAACAGATGAGCATTGATTAGATCGGTCCATTCAGATAACCGAAATAAGCCTCCAGCATATTGTTTCTGGACGGTTGAACCAATGTCGGCGAATTTACGATCTTCGAACAATATGAAATTATGATTTTTAGCCAAATCTCGCAATCTGCGAGCAAAATCCATGCTGAAATCATCGATTATATCCACATGAGTTTTGAGCATCACGATATGTGGACCAGCTAGTTCGGCCAATTTGAGTATCGAATGGCAATCGGTTAGATCGGCTGATACGCAAAGATTGCTACGTTTCATCGCCATCAATTCAAACAGACGTTTGCCAAGAGGATTCTGGCATAACCGGGCTCGATCTTCATAGCTTTTCCACGATGACGAACAAGTGGTTAATGCAAGCTGATTATGCAACGTAGCAGGTATGGCACAATAATTTGATTGGATCCACTCAAGAACCTCACTGGATTTCTCACCTGTTATATGACCTTCATCTTTCAGATAGGTGATCATTTCACTAAAATGAATGCAACTATGCACTTTGATATCAATGTCTGAATGTTGAAGGTTTCGAATTCCGCCCTGTTCACGGTCGATAAAAACGATTGCATCCGTTACAATCAGTCCGGCTTGACGTAAGGTTAATGCTGTTTCTAAAATGGACGAACCCGAAGAGATAAGATCTTCGATAATAAGAACGCGATTGCCTCGTTGATAAACGCCTTCCAATATTTGTTTGGTTCCATGTTGTTTCGTTTCCTTACGTCGCATGACCATTGGATGACGGAATTTGGTTGACAGATATGTAGCCATTGTCAATGCCGTATAGGGAACGCCACAGATCAGGTCGAAACGACATTGTTTCATCAAAGGAACATATTGATGACAAAGATCGATCATCAAATCCGGCTGCGAAATGATAGTTCGAAGATCAATGTAGACGGGCGATTCGATACCAGATTTTAATTTGAATTGGCCAAATTTTAATGCATTATATTCGTACAGCCGCCGTATGACTGAAAATATATCAACGGAATGGTGATCATTGGCCATGATTTGAACAGAGGAATGAATATGGACATCAAGGTTGAAAATCGTACAAGTGGTGGTTTCGTCGTAATCATCATCAACTTATATATAATAATAATATGCCATGTGCATGCCAACATGCTCATATTCGGTGTCGAAATAGTCTTGGGAATAAGTTTGAAATCATGTTTGGTTGCTATATAGCTAATCAAATGGCTTAGTGCAGCAAAATTTAACGATATACCGAATTGATGGCCAGTGTGAGCAGCACACAAAAACATGTGCTTAGGGCAATATTTTAGTTTTTTATTTCAAACTCTTATTTTTTTTGAACAAAGGCATTTTTTCAAACTTTTTATTTGAACAAACATTTTTTACAAACAAAACATTCACACTGACACATTGGACACCGAAGCACAAATTTCGTTTTTCGTTTTTAAATAAAATTGATCTTTGATTTTTACAAACACCGAGTAGTTTATTCAACACTTGGGATTATTTTTGAATTTTACCATTTCACTTCATATAGAAACTCTGAATTTAAAGCAAAATAAAGGAATTTTTTCTGTACACAGAAAAAAATCCCTCCGGGAAAAGGGGGAAAGGGGTTTTTTTTTGAATTTTTTTTTCATATATGAAATACCATTAATTCGCCCCTCGATCAGAGTTCGAAATTGAATTTGAGAGCATTATATATAAAAAAAACTAAGGGAAAAAATGAGCATGAATCGAATTCGAACAACAGGTGAAAAAATGAGTTTATTGAAAAATTTTCTGATCAATCTAACAAATTTTAAAGATAAGAGACCGTCTCAAATGTTTAGTAATAGGAAACAATTAGCATTGACCAGCTTCTATGGAGATAAGGAGATTGATCAATGTTCAACATCTGCCGGTGGTGATGATCAATATTTAAATAAGGACCAACAACAGAAAAAAAAGGATAGATCAAGAGAAAATATCCGTCTTAATTGTCATGATTTGAAAAATTCATGGCTTGTTGATACAGGCACGATTGATGAAGAGGATGATGATGATGATATGAGTGGACAACAATCAATCGAAGGACAAACACCGACATGGAATAACACCGATAAGATGGTCAACAGAAATCATAACCTTTTTCTTAAATCATGGGGCAATTTTGTCAACCTTTATGATGATCAAGGAAGGGAGAAATTATTCATTCATCGAGATGAGCTACGAAACTATATAATTTTGAACAATTTCGATAATTGCCATTCACCATATTCATTAATGGCAAGTCTATTTCCGCGTGGAAATTACCCGAAACCATTGTATTCTGGCACAGGATCTAGTTGGCGTATGCGATATAATATATTCGCTATGGGGGTATTGAATCCTGATAAATTGATGATCAATGATGAAGATGTGATTCATCTTGGAGAACTTCATCTCTATTTCCATATTGAGCCATGTCGTAAGGAGCCAATCTATCAGAATTTATGTTTTTTCTTCGATCAATCATTGATTCGTTTGTTACATTCAAATGAGCAACGATGTACATCATCATTACGGGAATGTATTGACCATTTACGTCAAGAGCTAGCTGGCGCACTGTTTGTAGAGCAAATTTTTTTCCCGATTACTCGTGATCGATTTCAGTCGATTTTGGGCAAAACTGTTGATTATTTTCAATTAAGGCAACGTGATCTTTATGCTGCCATTGATTTGATGATAAGCCAACAACAGGATATTGATTCATTCATTTTTCAACCAAATTGTCATCGATAAAACAAATCCTATATACATTTTGATTGAAATAAATTTTTTACTACATCCCCCAGATTGGAGTGAAAATATTTTAACCACATTTTTCTTCTTGAGATGTATTAAATTTGATTTTGTCACTTCATCATTTGATTCGATTGAACATGTACTGCATACTTATATCAACATTTTCTCCATTAACATTGATTCTTTCAAGTGTAGGCATATTTATGCTCATCACTCATATATGGCAACGATATCGTCGATTCAGAAAAATTGCCAAACAAATTGATCAACTTCCTGGGCCTAAAGTTTCATCCAATCTATTTGGCCATCTTTCGTTGGTCTGGAAATCGGCCAGCCAAAGTGCCAATTATCTTCAACGTGAGTTAAAAATGAAATAAAATTCTAGTAATTCTTGAGATTATTTTGTTGCTTAGAAATATTCAACTTGTTGGTAGGTATCACCAAAATCTATCAACAGGAAGGCGAAGGCTTCATGCGATTATGGGTCGGTCCAACACAACCGGTAGTCATAATATTCAATGCTGAGTGTGCCGAAGGTATATTGACCAGCAATAGTAACATTGATAAATCGCGTGAATATGATTTCGCCATTCCGTGGTTGGGTCTCGGTTTGTTTACAAGTACTGGTGATAAATGGCGTTTGCATAGGAAAATGTTGACACCTGCATTTCATTTTCGTATACTCGAATCCTTCATTCCAATTATACAGAAACAACAAGCGATCATGATGAAATTGATAAAAGAGAGAATTTCAGACCCAAAATCTAATTCGATCGTTGATGATATCAAACCATTGATTACAAATTGTGCTTTGGATATCATTTGTGGTAGGTTATAGGTATCATAAGAGGCTGCTCTGATTTTAGTTTTTTTCAAATAAAGAAACGGCTATGGGTGTTAGTATTGATGCTCAAACAGATTTGACTTCTAAATATTCAAAATCCGTACGAAAAGTTTTGGATCTCTTTACTCAACGTTTATTATCACCATGGCTTTGGAACGATTTTTTTTTCGGCCTATCACCAACGGCACGGGAACAACGTGAAACGATTAAATTCCTTCATGATTTTACCAACACAGTTATTCAACGAAAACGAAAGGAAATTGTCGATCGGATGGCAAATGGGGGTGGTGACCTTGCCACAACCATGAATGAGATAGGCACTAAACGTGTGCTTGCCTTTCTCGACAGTTTGCTAACACAAAACATCAGAGATCCTCAATCATTGACGGATGAAGATATTCGATCTGAAGTCGACACTTTCATGAGTGCTGGACAAGATACAAGCTCAGCAACAGTACAATTTGCGTTGCAATTAATTGGTCATCATCCAGAATTACAGGAAAAAATCCACGAAGAATTAGACACTATTTATGCCGATGATGCAGATCGAGAGATCCAGTTTGAAGATCTTCGCCAAATGAAATATCTGGAGAAATGTATCAAAGAAACGTTGCGTATATTTCCACCCGTACTATTCATTGCCCGCAACATTCGTGAGGAATTTCAAATCAAAGGTCAAACACTTCCGATAGGCACGACGGTCATGGTTTTATTTTATCAACTTCATCGTGATCCAAAATGGTTTCCGAATCCAGAAAAATTTGATCCAGAGAGATTTTCGTTTGAACAAATGAACGGAAGACACGCATTTGCCTATACACCGTTTTCGGCTGGGCCTCGAAATTGCATTGGACAAAGGTAGGTAGTGGATAAGAAAAAATATCACTTAACAAGCTATATAATCTTCTCTAATAGATTCGCTATGCAAACAGCCAAAGCTTTGTTATCTTCGATCTTGCGTAAATATCGAATCGAATCGATGGTGCCAATGGAAAAGGTGGAATTGGCGTTTGGATCAACAGTTGGACCGAAAAACAAAATTACTTTAAAATTCGAACCGAGATTTTGAGACATAAAACTTTTTTACAAATAAAAAAATGAGAAAAATAGTAAAATAAAATGACGTTTTACAATTAAATAAAATTGTTTTTTATTTCCATCGATAACTGCATGGAAAAATATAAAAAATTATGAAAAAAGTTATTAATAAAATTTTTTATGAATAAATACATTTGATCCCAAATTTTCCGAAAATTCTTCGTAAAAATTTTGTTCAAAAAAATTTTCTTTCATGAGTGTCAGAGCAATTTTTTTTGAATGAAATTCATCATTGAATATGATGGGTTTTTCATATTCTTCGATGTCGAAATTGAACGTTTGTTCAATTGGTGAAATCTTTCATATTTATATGATGAATGTCTGTAAATCGGACCAAATTCCAATGCATTTTTCCAATAATGTAAAATGTTATGGAATTCCGGCGTTAATTTACAGCCTGGTATTGTACTTGTGCTCCACATACCCGACATATAAATGAACGGGTTTGAAATGCCGTGTTGTAGCCTAAAATAATCGATTCAGGTGTTAATATATTTATAAGCAATAATATATGATGATAATAATACCTAGAAATTCATAAATTCTTTTATTATCGCCACAAACGGCGCTAATGGAAATTGTGAATGTCCGGAGATACCTTCAGACATAGCCCTTTTCAAATCATTAACCACTGGTTTGAAAATGTCATTAAGATCGTAACCAGCATCTTTCATGTCTTTTCGGTTTACCAGCATAACCATAAAAATGTTCCGCTGTTTCAATCGCATTTTCAAAGGTATATGTGGAAAGGCCAAATAAGGCCTATATATGTTTGATGGTTGCGTTTTACACCGAGTTGGTTGACGATTGAAAAATCGTCAAATCCAAACTCTAATTGAAGCGTAGCTAAGAGACGATTTTTACGCTCAGCAGAACATTGCAAATGCTCTGTGAATCGTAATTCTTCCGAATTATGTTCTTTGCAATTTTTTTCCATCAATAATCGCTAAATTATTGATTTGTTTGATAAAATCAATCGACAAACATCACTTGGTTTGACCCAAGAAAATTTGAGAACGGAATTATTGATGTTTTTGCTCTTCCATTGCTCGTGAACTGGTGAAATGAATAATAAACAATAAATCAATCCATTCAATTTAGTTTGAATACTTTACCGGCCGGAATGTACGTAGATAAATTTTCGATAAATTGATTCAATTTGTACCTGCTACCGGATAAGCTTATCATATTTTTATATAGTTCTCTGCTTTCATCAACAACTGTTGTTTCCGGCAGCGCTTTTAAACAATGGTTGATTAAAGTTGGAACAATCTTGATGATGGTTTGCATGTTCATTTTTTCTTCATATCGCAACCAGTTTATGTCGAATAAGAAATTTGTATAAAATTCCTTCCATTTTGAATCCATTAACCCTAGAAAGGTAACCATATCGATATTGCGTTAAAGGGAACCTACGTATTTTGCATGTAAATGAGTGAGTGTGAGAGCGTTTTTTCGAACTTCTTTTCGAACAAAAAACATAAATTTTACGTAGGGTTAAACCAAGCACCACTAGGTTAAAACTATTTCGACAGCCCAAGCTTTATCGATCACATGTGTATATTCAAGTGTTAATCGGTTGTTCGTGATTTTAATTCTGATGATGATCACAATATGGCCAATTGTTTTCTGATTGCAAAATCATTGTCATTCAATATACACCGATCATTGTTGGTTAGAATCGCATCTGGTCGTCGCTCATTCACCTTGGATTCTCAGAAACTTTCTTATGAAGGTCCAGGAAAAACGACTGCATCGTTTTTGGATGACGAAGTGGGCCAATATTTGATGATCAATTCGATAACCGATAATGGTTTCAAGCTCACCAACGGAGCTTTTGCCGTCGGTCCGATCATATTGTTTCCAAGTTTCGTATTTAGAGTAAGTAAAATTCTTTTATTTGTTAAACAAAATACAATAAGCAATAGTTTTTTAATTAATGTTTTAATTTAAATATATATATGGAATAGTGGAAAATAAAAACCATTGAAGATATAACTCCAGAATCCTTGTCATGGCTTCGGATGATTGAACCTAAAATTGAGCTAATAGTTCTTGGTATTGGTCAGACAAATTATTGGCCTTCCGAATCGATAAAGATAGTGCAGGAAAATTTACGAATATTACGTAAGGATTTGAAGATAGAAATGATGTCAACGAAAGATGCAGTTGCCACCTATAATTTTATGTTGGCCGATTTCAGATTAATTGGCGGTGCATTTCTACCGTTGCCTTCGGATCTCGAACAGAAATTGATTGATGCTTAATGATATTTTGATTGTAACATGATTTTCTTCATATTTTAATATAATATTATAGCTGAACAATATCGATTATTATACATTGCCTCGTTGTTTTTGTTCCTCTTCAATCGATTCGAACAATGCTTTTATGTTTCCTGCACCAAAACCTCCAAATTGATGTCGTTCAATCAATTCCAAGAATACTGTTGGTCTATCCTGTATTGGTCGGGTGAAAATCTGATACAGATGTCCACGATGATCATAATCGACCAGAACGTTGTGTTTGATTAATTGAGGAATATCTCTGTCAATCTGAATTTTATCTTTGGCCAATCGTTGTTCTAAATTTTTATAATATGCGTAAGGTGTGTCCAAAAATTCAACACCTTAAATTTAAAAAACCTAAAAGTTATTGATCGTCGATTTGGATTATGATCGAAACCAGTAAATGTGACGTACCTCTATTTTCCAACTGCATAATTGATTCACATATGTCATCCGTATGAAAAGCAATATGCTGTACACCTGGTCCTTGATGGTAATCAAGAAATTCTTGTATTTGCGATTTATGTGAACCCGAAATAGGTTCATTAATGGTTAGTTTGACGGTTTCATCATCACCATTGATCATGAAAATTGCACGTAATCCCGAACTATCAGTATTGATAATCGTATCATCGTTTGACCAGAAACGTTTAAAATTCAACATTTGATTATACCATTGGCCAACTTGTTTACCGGTACCGTTTAATTGATTCATAGCCAAATGATCGATGCGTTTCAAACCGGTATCGGGCAATTGGCACCAAACACTATTGGTCAGATGTGATTCCAATGGGTTTTGACGCCAATTGGGCAAAAATTCAGTGCCAGGATAATTGTTGCGTTCTACCAGCGTATGTGTCGTATCGCCAAATGCTAATACCTGGGCATATTTGACGAGTCCATGACTATCCTCTTCGGTCCATTCTCTTATGGGCACCCCAAACTTTTTGATTCGATCGCTTATGCTTGACAAACAATCCACATTCAAAGCTACAAAAAAAAATTTGATAAAACAAGATCACAATGATAAGAACATACCAATGTCTTTGATTGAATTTCCATGTCGAATTAGGTAGGCATTCATCGAATTATCGGTATCATCATATGGCGAAACAAATACCAGAACAATTTCATTATTGCGAACAGCATGTCCACATTGTTGACGATGTCCAGTTTCTAAACCACGAAATCTAAATGGTTTGAATCCATATTGCATACACCAATTTAATGCCGCTTGTTTAGCATTGGTCACATAGAAGGTAAGATGTGATAATGATAGACATCGACCACTCATTATTGTTCAAAATGATTACGATTTTTTCACTCAAAATCACTGCTGATTGAATTTTTTTTCGATTGTTATATGACCGTAATCAACGTTGAAATTATCCTAGTTTGCGAAAAAACTCACTTGTAATTGTAATGTCCGGGGTGACAAATCCATTTAAACTTGTTCAAGCAGCCTTATAAATCTGTTTATCTGTGGTTGATATGAATCAAATCGCAGCTTGTGAATAGGGACAAATTATATTTAATTTCGAAAAAATAACTAGCCCATAGGCATGGCGATGACCTCGGTTTCGATGATGACACTTTTTTTCTTATCATCATTTTGGTGGCAATTATAATTCACCATATTTGATTTCGACACTAATAGTGACAAAATTTTCAATAAATTTTTTTTTAAACCTGTTTTATCATTTATTGGTAGGTGGTTTTACTTGTTTTTCCAGTCGCAATATCAATTTCCATTTGATGTTATTATTTTCATGATGATTTTAATAAATCAAATAAAAAAAATTCGAATTAAAAATACAAATAAAGATCTACGTCAACGACACCTGTTGTCGAAAAATACAATTTTTCATCATTATTTTGTTTCTCTGAGTTCGATGTATATAATTGGGCGTTCGTGATAAAAATTCTGGAACCTCAAAAATGTTTGAAGATAAAAGCATTGATCCTCGTACTTGTACGTACAGGTTATTAGCATCATCAAAACTTCGTAAACAAATCGATCGTTTAATCAGAACGAAGAAATTACAATTCGGATTGATTAATCCTAAATCCGATTCGGTGGATTTTTACAACCAATTTCATTCAGCGTCGTACTCTAATAATCAAAATCTAGTCAACCGTACCAGCAGAAATAGTAAAAAAAAAGTCAATGATGAAAATGTGCATACAGATGAAGGTGATAAAGAACAGAGTACAATAATCATTGCTAAAATTGAGCAGATAGAAGTCATTCTTCACCGAGCTGACGATGAACAAAAACAAACGTTCACATACAATGATTTAATTGAACTTCATCGTCTGCTACAACATTTAGATCCAAGCGAACACATGAATGTGGCCAAAGAATATTTCTACGAATTTCTCGAAGGGAATTTTCGTGTCATGCAATTACCCGAACGGCGAACGAATTTATCGTTGGATGAACGATTACGAAAGCTGCGTTTCAAGGCTGCATCCGACGAATACGATTCGATGGTCCACAATGTTGCCCATTATGTCATTGGCAATAACAGAATTGGTGCTAGATTCTCAATGTCACAAGATTTCCGCCAAATACGTTCAACATTGCTGGCCGCAATAAATGCCATGATGGTCATTGCGGCAACATTCTTCTTTTTTTATGTCACTATTCATTATGCTCGTCCGGATTTTGATACTGGTAAAGTGGTACTCTATAGTTTCGGTGCATCGATGGTCGTTGCAATGGCTGAACTCTATTTTCTCATAAGGATAATTTGACACCTCAGATTCAGCTTGATAATCAAGATCAAAATACAAATACAGAAACATCTCTTGTTTTTTTTCACTTTATTATGAAAATTTAATAAAAATAAGCCAGAGTAATTAAGAAAAATAACCAATACGTTGTTGTCGAGTTATTATATGATTTGTATTGTTGGCCGCTGTACTGTCAGGTCGTGATGTATTGGTCGATGCATCGGCAGTTTGTATCTGTTGTTGTTGTTGCTGCTGCTGCTGGCTATTTTTCGAATCATACTGTTGTTCGATATCTTTTTCGTTCTTTTTGCTGCGTTCATAATCACGAATATCGTCCAACTTAATTTGAATTCGGGTTAAATTGCGACGATACATGGTTGAGCGTTGGAATATTTTCAGAAAATTATATTTTCGAAATCGATTTCTACTCTAGTAAGCTCTCTGGTGCAAAATAGGATAAAAACGGTTTGCAGTTGGTTTCTGCTCACAACAATTTTTGTGTATAATTTGCCGCGAAAAAATTTGTCTTATTTTTTTTTGTCCATAAAAAATGTCTCTAATTGAACTCCTGCAAGATCTTGTACGAATACATGATAATTGTGTGGAGAAATTGATTCACCAATTTGAGAAGCTATTCGATCAAAGTTTTCGATCGTTACGTAAACGTTTAAAACAAGTTAATCAACAAGTCGATGATGGTGGTGATGGATCCAAGAACAATCACGAACATAGTCTTGATGAGATACGTTCAAGATATTTGTGCGAGATTCGAAATCATTTCAACAAAAAATTTAAAGATTTTCTTCAACAATCAGATATAATAGAAAAATTGGTGATAATCAGCAATTTTAACACTAAGGTAAAAGTGAAAGAAGATAATGATCGTGAGCTGTTGTCCATCAGAAATGAATTACGCGAAGAATTGCACAAACTCTATGAAAGAATAAGCGAATGTCCCAACGAAAAGCAACAATATTTAAAACATTTACAAGATCATGTTACGAAAAGTGCCAAAGAAATTCGAATGATTCGTTATCAGTTAATAATGGTATGTAAATATAATAGCTTATTCTTCCTAGCTTTTTTTCTAATTAAAAATAATTTATTTCAACAGAATTTGAGGAATGCTCTCCCGAATAATAAAAGAATCTTTGAAGAATATGATTACTCTGACATGATCATCACTCATTTAAAGCGATTAAACCTAGACTAATTTTACCAAGAAAATAAAGTTATCCTTTTTCATAATTTGACTTACTTTGGTGATTCTTACTTACTTTATTTAATTCATTCATAATCTTGAATACCAAGAACTATTTTAATTTTTGAATTGGATTATATGGTTAATTGTTGACAAAAATTTCGTTGAACATTGAAATCAATAACATTACAATGTTATGATTTTTATAAGTGTCAGAACATTTAACCATTGACCAAATTTGAATATTAAATTTAGATCTCGTGTCTTAACTGCTGCTTCATTTTCTTCCTTTGTCTGCCATTTTTTATCATTATAACCTGAACTGAATAAAATTCAATTATAAAAGCAAATTTTTTATGTGTGAACACATGTTTGTATTAGATTTAATTTAATTTTTCGATTGTTGGACAAATATACTTTACGTTTACGGTTAATTGATCCGGCGATCTACATTCAAATTAAAGGTTAAATCTAGCCATTTGTGTAGCCATCTTCTTTGACTATGTTGAAATCATTTCAAACAGAGATTAATGAAACGATCATTCAAATTAGTTGCCTGATAATGGTGGTGAAGGTGGATTTTCAATTGTGATTACAAATCATGAAAAGCCTGAGGCCTTTTTCCTGATCGATTTACGTAGGTCTAAAGAATGTTTCCGATGGAAAAAAATAATTATAAGTTCAGGTTTCCGTTTCTCATCAATACGGGATCGTCATTTGTGGTCATCAATTTCGACAAGAGTAAGTTTTTTGTCTCATTCTTCATCATCAAAAAAATCTCAAGTGTTAAATTGAAAAAATGAAATGGCATATCATTCAATCCGATTCATTGATTGACTGATTGATGATAGAGAGAGAGAGAGAGAGAGACCACTTGAAATGATGTTTTTGAATCATCACAGATGTTTGAATCATGAACCTGGCTATTTTTTATTTTGTTTTCCATTCCATTTGCAATGGAATCATCATATGGCACGATTAAACAATATATCAAAAAAATGGACTTTTGATTTGACTTTAATTGATCAACGGTTTTTTGTGTCAGCTAATTTTCTCGCCATCCCTGTACGTGTGTGACGAAAGCTTCATTTTCAAACCATTCAATACACCAACTAACATGAAAAAAGAACAATCCATTCAAATCTATCCAGAGAATAGTAAAAATTGAAAACTAAATCAACGGTGAATAGGCAAAATAAATTCACAAATCCCTGTTTTCGTTTCGTTTTCGTGATGAACATCAACAATAACATTCAGGCTATTCAGTCTGTTTCGATTGTTCCTTTTTATATATTGTTCCATTGGTTAATTGGCTGACGATTGGTAGGCTGGTCTTCCGTACTCGAGGGTTTGTTGTTTTTTCCTAATTTTATTTTTCCCAGATTCGGTATAGTGTCAACGCTTCATTAGCTCTTGATACACACATCACACACACATGTGGAGAAATATCATTGGAGGCCGGCAGACTTTTCATTCATTCTGGTAGAGAAGTTTCATAATCCTAAGCAGCCGATTTTCTTTTTTTGATTTGAATTCATCATCGGTTATACGGCCTGAGATATGGTACATCTGTTTGGGTAGTTAGTTGTCCAATTTAACGTTTGAATGTGTATTTCATTTATTGAACTACCGGAAAAACGACAACTCCTACTCCGTGAAATTCAGGTATATAAATCGAATGTTAAAAATTCTTTGTTGTTTAGTTTTTATTTCATTTACACCATTCATGTGCGTGTTTTTACACGAATTCGAAAATCTTAGTACATCAAAGAATTTTCAATCTAAAAAACCGGAATCTCTGTGTAACCAGCTCATTTTTTTTTATTTCATGTAGTAATTCACTCGAAATAATTTTTTTCGCAGACCATGAAGATTGCATTAATCGATTGCCGAAACAAATGTCCATATTCACATGGGAATTCTTACACTTGACGCTTGTATTTTGATTATTTTTTATTTTGTTTTTGTTCCTGAAAACATCACAAACTTTGAAACAAAGCAACAAAGAAAATTCTGTTATAATTTTTGTGTCCAACCAAAATCAATATAGATCTGTCCCAAAAATACACGCATCCTCACATTGATGAGACTTATGTGGTTCTCCTTATACCATCTTTCAATGTAAAAAGCCATAAGTCCATCCCTTTTCTCATTGGATTCTAACCAATCCACATAGCAATTGAAATGAATGACGCCTTTTAAAAATAAATTTTTTTGTTCTTTCTTCCATGTTTATATGTATGGAATCGATATGATATTCTTCAAAATGAAATCTAAAATATTCAAACGAACAAAACGACGTCAGAGTTGCAATCTACAAATTTGATGATAATAATAATAAACTAAACCAAATATCTCGAATCCATTACAAATTGTGTCAAGTGGTCGATATCAATGATGACGATCATTATTGTTTGATGATATTGACAACACAATAGTGATACTTAACTCGGTAGCTAATCAATAATCATTTCGTTGTGTTAGTTCTAGTTTTTTTTTCTTACGACAATTATTAATTCTCTACATTAAAATCAAGATAGTATATCATCATATCACGTACCAGTTGTGATTAATGATGATTACAGCATCCATGAGTGTTTTATGTTTAACTTTTTAAAACAAGATGGAACAATTCTGGACTGATATCCATTCATATAACAATGATAATCAAATGAATACACACTCACAGCATCTTGCTCAGAATTTAATTCGGCCATATTCATATCATTCCAATATTCAACACCAGCATGACCATCATCAAGATAATCGATCCTCACCGCCTTTATCATCAGATATGGCTATCAATCATTTATCGATTGAACAACATCACCATCATACATCCGAATTGTCTCAATCATCTACTTCTTCATCATCATCATCATCGATATCGTCACCCATATCCGAATCATTATCATTATCATCATCATCATCATCTTCAACAACACAAAATCAACGACCCCTTGAATTGTATGGTGAATTTTGTTGGAATAATGATGATCAACAACATGAATCTCCTACAAAACGATCAAAAACACAATTAACAAAACGACGAAGATACAGTGCTACAAATCATCGCCACCATCGTCGTCATTCACAGCAACAACAACAACCACATCGGCCACACCAAAGACATGCAGCAAACCTAAGGGAACGTAAACGTATGCAATCAATCAATGATGCATTCGAGGTATGTTATGATCATTGATGATTGGTTCTCACGGTTTTTTTTGGTTTTGAATAAGTTGAGAATTTAATAAAAATATTTGTTTTTTTTTTGTTCACAGGGTCTTCGTGCACGAATTCCAACATTACCGTATGAGAAACGTTTGTCAAAAGTGGATACGCTTCGTTTAGCAATCGGTTACATAAGATTTTTGGCGGATTTGGTTCGAACCGGAGGTTTATCACAATCACCACAATCCAATTCCTCCTCCTCGTCCCTTTCCTCATCGAAGAGTACGACCATATCAATGGTGACGGCATTCCATAATCGATATGGTCTTCATAGTCATCATTCAAATCCTTCAAGCCATCCTCATCAACATTGTTGTCCACCTCCTGTCAAAAAAATTCTAATAAAATCCCATTTTTCATTGGATCCTTCATCCGACTCGAACACTACACACGATGATGATGGCAATAGCCATGAACAACAAGCTGAATTGTTACATTCATTATCATGGGAATCAGATGAGAATAAACGACCGGGCTCGTTACGACATGGTAATATTTTGATAGCCAAAGTATGGACACCTGAAGATCCAAGAGATTCGACTATTATAATCAATGATGATGACTATAATTGTCATCATCCACAGCAATGTTGCTAGGCCTTGAAAAATTTTCAAGCTCATTGTCATTATGAATAAATCATAATTTTTTTTTTCTTAAACAGAAACAAAAAAATCAATTTTATTTGCTCTTTTATTGAATTTAGTTACTTCACATTTTTTTTTTTGATTGATGGATCGAAGGCCATAGGGGCCTAAAAAAACTTATGCATGTGAGTGGGTTTGTAATGATAGATTGAACGAGGGCACACCTTTTCGTGGCTTTTCTTGTCAGATATTCAAAATCATTATAGAGATCAATCATCAACTGTTTCAAATGAAAAAAAAGCTTCCGAATCATAATGATGACTTGATGAACGTCTGTTAATCATTGATGCGTGAAAATCAGATGCCGTTGGTGTGAAGTGATTATATCGAACAAAAAAAAAACACTTAGGTTCGAGTGAGAAACGGAAAAGAACTATCAAATGAAGTAGAGAAATCTAAAAATTGTTTTTTTTTCTACAGGAACTTACCCCAATAAAAGAGAATGCAAACTTTGAAAATTAAAATAAAATTATATTCTTGCTTCATAGAGAAAATAGGAAGTGGGTGTGAATAGATAATAAAAATGTAAAAAGTTATTAATTTGAATCAATCTTGTGTGATGGGTGGGGCTGAAAATAAAAAAAATGAATATTACGATATTATTGTGATACACGACGACCTGGTTGAAATTTATCATCATAGAGATTTTTGTGTAATAAAAAATGCATGTTTAAAAAGATGAATTGTTGATTGCTACTTTAAACAGGGTGATGATTCAAATGAGTTTCAAAATTCGTGTTGAAAATCATATGAAAACGTCATCTATGCATCATTCATTTCATCAATTACATCGAATCCTTCTTCTTCGTCGTCCTCTTCTTCATCATTATCATCATCGCCATCAACAATTTGATAACGTGATTCCTTTTGATTGTCATCAGCCTCGGATTTTTTATCCGTTTCTTCTTCTTCTTCTTCAACTTCGGTATCATCATCTTCGATTTGAGCAACTTCCTTCTTTTTCTGTGTGCTTTTCATTTCAGTATCCGATATAACATTTAATAATTTTTGCTTCATTGATGTTTTTTTCATTGGTTTTGACCGAGTTAGCTGTGATTGCTGGGCAATTATCGAAGCAGCAGCCGCTGCGGCAGCTCTTCGCCGTGTGTAGCCTGTTAATGAAGGAGGCGGTTGAACAACATTATCGATTTTAGGAGCTTTTTCAATTGCTTTCAAATTATCATCATTCTTAGTGATTTCGGCAGCTACTGATTTCTTCGATTCATTCATAGTTTGGGGTTTCTTTTTATTTATTGTTGGTGTTGCTTTTGTCGTCTGAACTTTGTCAACATTGTCCTGTTCCATTTTAGGTGCACATTTCTTTTTCTCCATTGGAAGTTCGGATGTCTCTGTAGTATTACTATTGACAATAGTAACAGAAGCAACAACAACAGTTTCAGAATTTTCCTCTTTGATCTTTATTACTTGTACTTGATTCTTTTCTTTCAACTTCTTCTCATCGTCGGCTGACTGTTTGGTTACAGCAACAGTTAATTTATCTTTAGGTGATTCTTTAACCTCTACGGCAGGTTTTATAGTTGTTACTGATGCCAAAACATTACTTGCTGTAAAAGTTTTTTTATTCTTGGAATTGGAATCTATTACGATACGATCCAAAAGTGAGTCCATTAATTGTTTAATCTCAGTTGGTATTTTTTGACTGGATGCCTTACTCAATACCATTTGTGATTGTGAATCTGTTACGGATTTACCTTTGTTTTTTTGTTCAAGTAACTTTTGCCTATATTGTTCATGAATGTATTGACGTACGTATGGCGATTTCTTGAATTGTTCCATACGTTTTTCATTGAATTTTTTATAGAAATCCACATTCTTTTTCATATATTTCTATTGTAGATTATTAAAAAAAACATTGTTTTAGCGTTCAATTCATTTTGCTCGAATATCACAGTCTAACCTGATAGAGAAGCAAATGTCGTTCGGAGCGAAGATGTTCTTGACCTTGTTGATTTGTAGGCAAAAATTTTGAACACAAATCACAATAGAACGATATGAGTGGATAAATAAATTCGGTCCCTGGAATGATAATGCATTAAATGAAAAATAACATTATTAAATAGAAGATTGTTTACCTAAAAATTGTTCCTTATCACAGTCGATCGATTGGCTGGACATACTCGAAATGGTCGACGATGTTGATGATGAATGTTTCAAAGGATTAGATTCAGATTGTGCAGGTGTTTCAGATGTATTGACTCGTTCTTCTGCTTTACGTATGATTTGAAAATCCGATGACCCTAACTTACTAAAATGACGATCCGTATGTAAATGTTTCAGATACATAGATTCTGATTTGAAAAACAAATGACACAGATTACACCAATGAAAATATGTAAACGTATTTTCGAAATCCTGCTGAATTAATCGATGTGATCCATATAAATTCCCTAATGATACCGGTGATGGTTCTCGACGTTTTGCAGAGACATTATGATTCCTACTATTGCTATTGCTAGTACCGCTTGGTGAAGTTTTATTCTTGATAGCCGGTTGGTCAGAATGTTTTTTTGTTGCCTCAAGCTTCAATGACTTGGGTGACAAATCTTTTGATTTAGCTGGAGCTGTTGCTTTCGAGGACGATGATGTGGGTTTTGTCGTTGTCGTTGTAGCTACAGCATTACGAGTATCACTTTTTTTCGGTATTTTATAATTTTTCATTTCAGCAGTATTGGGAGTTTTCGAATCGGATTTAACTGAATTCACGCTAGAGTTTTTGGCTGTATCTTGTGATTGTGTTGATTTTCCTTCGTTCGTTGATGATATTTTAGGACCATCACTTGCTGATGGTGTCTTGTTTGTATCTTTGGATTTCGAGCTAGTAGTTGATTCCGTATTGGTACCCGATTTCTTTGATTCGGAAATTTTGGGTTTCTTCGACGATACTTCAGCAGATTTTGTTACCGTTTCAGATTTCGAATTAGTCGACTTAAATGATGATGAATCTTGGGATGGTCGACTTCGTTTACGTGATGAGGATCGTTCAGATGAATGAGACTGAGATCTTCTCCGATTTCCATGTCGATCACCAAGACGTTTTTCTAATTCTTTGATTCGTTCTTCAAGAATTTTCACGTCACTATCTTTAGCATGAGTTTTAGCTGACAATGAATTTGATGAAGATGTACGTTTGTTTTGGGACTTTTAAAGAGTAATCCATTTAAATAAAAGTCGCTTTTCTAGGATTTTTAAAATAATAATTACCTCTTTCGATGTTGAAGATGAATTTGTTGGCTTTTTCACAGGTGAATCCTTTGAACTGGAATGTTTATAACGCTCATTACTGCCACGATTTCTATTTTGACGAATGGTTGATTGTTCTGAGAACAAGGAGTTCCGATGATTAGACGATGATTTCCTAAATCTATTTCAGGTGAGTTATGGTTATTTAACATGTATGACGATATTTTTAAGCTAAATTACCTGTTGGGAGTACGACTACGGCTTCGACTTGCAGCTGACGTTTTATTCGAACGATGATAGCGATCGGTTGTCATTTCATTTTGATGATATGATGAACCATAAGTTGATGAGTATGTTCCATACATTTGATTATCTTCGTAGCCATCATTGTATTGATGGTCAATGTAATCTTGATTATAAGTATCGTTATGAATCTGGGGTAATGGTGGCTGATAACAATCAGCACTGCCATCGACCGTCGATGATCGGCCATAATAATCAGAAGTTACTTGTGATAAAGATGAATTGAATTTTCCAGTATTCCGTTGATGATAATTATTATTCATAGTCGAATTGGCAATATTTTCATTACTACCATTACCATAGTATGAAGTATCATATGAATATGATGATTGTATCGTATATGCTGGTTTTGGTTGTTGCGGCTGGCTTGAATATGAATCCGGTACGGATTGCTGATGTCCCTGACTAATGCTAGAAGCGGTTGGAACCTTTGGAAGTGGTGGTGGTGGTGGAACCGATTTTGCCTGCGATTCCATATCAAGATAATCACTGAAACGTTTGTATTCAACACTTGAAAGTGATGAATAAAATTTCTTCTGCCTTTCAGGTGATGACATGACAAGGAAACGATTAAATTCATTAAATCGTTTCAATTCAGTTTGTGTAAAATATTTTTCCAATGCTGTCGATGATGTTGCAGATGCCGCTGATGAAGACATGACTGTCGTAGTTGTCGATGCATGTGAATCACCAATGCGGGAATCGAAATAATTCTGACTTGCCGTTGAAATATTAACATTCATTGGAATGTCCATTGGAGGAGGTTGCGTTGATGATGTAGATGGGCCACCAAATATTGATCGATGATCCACCACCATCGCTGATGATGTTGATGAATCATAATCATGGTGACTACCACCAACAGCAGCCCCACAACTATTACTTCCATGGCCATAATCCAATGTTGCCGATGTTCCCATTAAAGGTGGATCAGATTGCATCAATGAACGCCCAGATCTATTTGAGTTCTGATTCATCAAAGTAGCAGAACCAGCGAATACTGGACCCATTCCGATTGGATGATGACCACCGCCGCCAACTCCAGCAGCTTGATGACGAGTGTGATGATCTCTTGAAGAAGATGGGTATTTCTTGTAATAAACATCATCCATTGTCGATGAGCTTAAGACAATTTTGAATTGAAAATTATTTACAAAAATAGAAACAAAAACGAAATATCAATCTACAAAAATATATTAAAAATGGAAAATAGCTCAATTGACACACAAGTTTATTTTATTCTTATTATTTTTTATTTTTGAAAAAACCACTTTTCGATTTGATGTCTTTGGAGAATTCCGATGTTATTAATAAAAATTTCAATCATTGGTTATGAATTTCAACAAATAGAATTAGGTTTCGGCTCAATTCTTGGATAAATGTTTGAGCACAAAGAACATGAATCCATCTGCACAAGCGCACTAAAAAAAAAATTCGGGTTTGCACACACATCTACTCTGTTTTTGATAATAATGATAGTATCGATATTTAGACTGAATATATAATTCAGTGAATCAATAATCGACCGCGGTATATCAAAAACAATTGATAAATAATTTTAAAAATATGGAATCAGATAATTCAATTAAATTCAATGCTCATTCATCAATAACGACAAAGGGCAAAATTACGAAGCAACGAACTCGAAATAAATCAACGACAACTAAATCAAAATTAAAAAAGAAAAAAACTACCACCGAAGAAAATTTACAGATAGATGAACAAACGAATTTGAAGCAAATTTCAATATCCGATTTAGGACAGCAACAATCTTCGTCATCGTCTTGTGTGGCATTGTTTCAAGAACAGCATACAACAAATGATGACTTGACAATCCATTCTTTTGAAGATAATTCTAATAGTTCTCGTTGTTCGAATTGGTTTTTCATAGTGGCTGATGTACCGAGAAAAAAATCCCCAGATTCTAATGCCGAAAGAACCTTTTGTCAAGGATGTGGTCTCATACGTCGTATAAGGAAAATGTACCGTCTAAAATTGATTCATATTGATGAATATGATCCATTATCGACTTCATCATCATCGCAATCAAGACCTAAAGTTGACCTATACATCTGTCGTGATTGTGGATTCTATAATCTTAAAACAAAAACTTTTGAATATTATTGGTTATCCGATGCTGATGAGTCAGACATTGATGAGCAATGTGTAGAGATAAATATGGTCGAAGGCGATTATTGTGATCAAATCGATAATAAAATCGTCCATAATGATGCTGAAATAATCACTACACATCTTCCATTGCAGTGCAATAATGTTCATAATGATAATGATGAAAAAGAATCGATAAATTTACAATCATCCGACGGTAGTCATCAAAATGATGAATTCGATTCTTGCCAATATGTATGATGATGATTAATATAATTTTCGTCACCAAAGCATCAATGTACATGTTGGATAATAAATGTTTATAAGATGTGATGCGCAGTGCAAATGTACATTTTCGTCCTTGTCGTTCACTATACTTGCATATTTTATATCCGTCTTGAAAAAATCCTGTATATTATTATATTATAAGATTTAATGTGTTATATACAAACATAACCGAATAAAATTCTCGATAAATCGATTTCCTGCTCAACTAAAGGAAAACATCATTTGCTTGACCATTCCCAATATTCAATGAATCATCTTTATCTTTTTTTTACGAATAAATTAAAATGATGATTGATACTAAAAGTATATATCATTGTGGTTGCGGTATTGAATTGCTAAAACATGCTGCTATTTCAATCGAGTAACTTTTGCTAATAAATGCTTTAATATATTCTTACTTCTAATTACTTGTTGATTTTTTTTAATAGGAAAAAGAATTTTTTAAGTCATTCATCATCATCTTTATTATCAAAGGAAATTATGATGGCCAACAATGATTATCGAATTATGAATGGATTATTTTGGCTTAAAAACGCAGCCATATTCATGATCAAGTGAGATTTTGATTCGATTATATGGAAAACCTAAATGAATTTTGATTCATTCATCCTTATATAGTTATGGTCAAAATGAATCGGATTCGAACAATCATTCCATTCGATCGCCATCACAATCAATTGCAAGTGAAATTGAAATCGATGATCAATCTTTTGACGATTCCACGTCTGAATATTACGGTGTTTACGCCGAAAAACTTGAATCTCATCGTGATGATAAGCTTACTCTATCGAACAATTCGGTATCACATCTTGTTGATTGTTCTCATGATACAGTGACAAATCTTTACAATGATCATGCATATGCCAAAAGGCCTTGTTGTTACAAATGTAATTGTCAAAGGGAAAGAAAGATTTTATCAAAACAAAATCGAAAATTATTACGATTTCAAACTTTATTCGAAACCAAATGGAAACAAAATCAGAGACAAAAATAATGAATTATAGATTTATATAGTCATTAAATTTTAATATTGTGAAAAAAATCAAATAGAAAAACGATTGCACACATTTCCAAAGTTTCAAACAATATTATGACAAAAACTATTTTCCTTCAGAATCATTTTCTGTTTTATCTACAACAGATGTACCTAATGAACAATTTATTGATGATGATGATGTCGATGATGATGATGATGATGAAGTGTTAATTTTATTATCGTTTTTCTTTGCAGAGATGACATTGGCTAAATGTCGTTTCAATTTTTTTTCTTGCTTTCGTCGTCTTCTTTCGGCTTCTTTCTGGACTAATCCATCATGTATTTTTATTAATTTATCTACATCTTGTAACCATTGTGATTTTGGGGATAATTTAAATTTTCCCATTGTTGTTGTTTCTTGAATTTTCGAATCAAAAGTATGACAAATTCGAAATTGCTGAATATTTTTATTTATATTACTGTCATGTTTCGGCAACACACACGTGATATTCGAAATATGAACTCAAACCATTTTACGTACTCTATGAATAAAGAATTTTCTAATAATTTTTCTAATCTCAATATCAAATCAAAAATAATTAAAATTGAACTCCATCTAATTAGACTAGATCATCTAAATCGTCATGTCACCATTGACCAAAGTCAAATTTCCTAGCTTTTTGCTAACACTAATACGCCAGTAAGTTTTTCAATTGTTTATTGATGTTTCCATTTTAAGAATACGAAAAATTTTAGTGGTGAAACTAATGAAAATAATCAAGCCATTGTACAAGGACAGAAAGACACGAAACTAAATGAAACTGGGCGCAAGCAATCACAGTGTTTGGCCAAAAATTTCGATTCAAATGGATTCAATCGTATCTATGCATCCGATTTATCTCGTGCTTATGATACATGTACGATATTGCTGTCAGATGATTCTAAATGTATCATCACTGATCCTTTAATACGAGAACGTTCATTTGGAGAAAAAGAAGGCCGTCCGTTGAAAGAATTGGTTGCAGCAGCCCGTAATGCTGGTCTATCGACACCAGAATACATAGCAAAAGGTGGTGAATCTTTGGCAGATGTCCAAAAACGTGTGATTCGTTTTTTGCAAGAAAAAATTCTGCTATCCACCAAACCTGATGAGCAAGTGTTAATTGTATCACATGGTGGCGTCATTCGACAGATGATTGAATTCCTTGCAGAATTTATGCCTATGGATTTGAATTCTTCAGAATTTGAAAAGAAAAAAAAATTAATTCCTCCCAACACATCGGTTACGGAATTCCGGATATTTTACTGTCCATCAAAACATCAAATCGAATCAGTTGAATGTATGCGTTTGCATGAAATCGAGCATTTGGATGAAAAAACTAAGCAACATGCTCTAAATCAACCACAGATAAATGCCAAAGTCGCTATGTAGTTTCATTTATTAGTAATATTTCAATCAATTATAAACGTCTGAACCAAATTCTTCCAACTCTTGTTCAGTATAGCCAAGTTCTTTGATAAGAATGTCACGCGATTGTGATTCACATTTACCATCTGTTTCCATACAACCTTCACGATTTCCGATGGCTGGTGTTCGTGAGAATCGAGGCGCTGGGTTTGGATATCCGCTATTCGGATCATAAGATTTACGTATACGATTATGTTCATTATGCGTTACTTCCTCCATATTCAATACAGGAGTTACACAAGCATCGGCTTTTTCGAATTCATGTGTCCACTCATCCCTTGTTTTTGTTTTGAATTTTTTACCAATCTCTTCGACCATTTCAGGCCACGATTCAGTATCGAAACGATTGAAACATTCCGCTTCGAAGCCGAGCGTATGTAACAGGTTTTGGTAGAATTTTTCTTCCAACGCACCGACAGCCATGAATTTTCCATCTGCACATTCATAGCAGCGATAAAACGGTGAACCAAAATCCAATGTGTTTTGTCCACGATTCGGCCAATTGGGCCACAATAATTCTTTTTGTTTCAATGATTCCCAAAGAAAGCTCCCGAGATATCCGACACCTTCGGTCATACTATGGTCTATTATTTGTCCTTTACCGGAATGATTGCGTTCATAAAGGGCCATAACTATTGCCATCGCACAAAGTATCGAACCACCACCAATATCACCCATCAAATTTAATGGTGCGATTGGTGGTCGATCATTGTAACCGAAACGAGACATGACACCTGAAAGACTTAGAAAATTGATATCATGAGAAGCTTTTCGGGCCATCGGCCCTGTTTGACCATAGCCAGATAACCTAGCAAATACAAGACCAGGGTTAAGTTGACAAAGTCGTTCGGGTCCAAGTTCAAGTCTTTCCAAAACGCCAGGGCGATATGGGTCTATAAGAACATCGGATTTTTCTGTTAAACGTTGTAATATTTCCGAACCTTTTGGGTGTTTTAGATTCAGGTACATGGATTCCTTTTGTTGTGAAAACATTGATCCATTTGTGTTGTCAAGCTATTGATAAATTACTCGAATGTGAAATTTTTGCGCAAGGAAAATCAATTTAAAATCTCACATTGTCCACACGAATGACTCGAGCACCAAAATCGGATAGGATTAAGCCTAGAAATGGAGCCGGTGCTAGACCAACTAATTCGATAACTTTGACACCTTTCAAAGGAGCCATCATTGTGATCACTAGAAATTAGGTTGGCAATAAATGGTTTCGAAATAAAATAAGCAAATAAAAACATATGTACCTTATAAACAATGATGATGATAGAAGCAGAAAGCTCACATGAAAATATCTTTCGAAACGATATTCCTGGAAACTTTCTCACGAGTTTTTTCAATTATTTGTTGATTCATTGGAAAAATTCTGACGAATGGATAACGATACCAGCGAGCAAATTTTCTTTGTAGAAGATATTTGGTATTATTTATTTCTGATTCCGTCTTCGTTCATAGCTACCGTATTTTTTGTGTTTTTGGCATGGATGGGATTTCAAATGTTTGTCAATAACTAGTTAATTTATAAAATGTCACTTTCAAATTGTTATTCATTTTATCGACAACATCATAATCATTGCCATAATTGGCTACGGATGAATGGATATCAAGGTTTGACGTCTATTGATCAAGTTTTTTCGCATTCCAATGATGTTGCCGATAGCAAACCTATTGATGATAACAATCATCATCATACTACTAACTGTGATGAAATTGATCCGGAATATTTAAAAACATTGGAAATAACGCACCTACATCAACAAGAACTAGAGCGTCAACGTAAACATGAAAATTCCAATAATGATTGGTTCCAATATGTCGATCTCAGTCAAACCGAATCCTATTCAATTCGATCAAAAGCTCCTGATAATTCAGATGATGATTTCGAAGAATCTACCAATGATCACTACCAATTGCTGATGCTGTCTCACATACGATCTGAGGGGAAAAAAATGCATCATTATTCACGCGTTTATGGTGATGAAAAACCGTTGGCGTTGAAAAATTTAATTGAAATGGAAAATGATTTGCAATATAATTTTGAAAAATATTGTGATCGCCATCAGCCACCATTTTGGCCCATTCTTCCAATCCGAATAAAATGGTCTTAAATACAGTGAACAATATCGACAATAGATGGCAGATGATCTTTCTTTAAGAAAAAGTAATTAAATCGATGTCGTTAGATGTCGTTGTTGGTATATTTATCAGGCAATGAAACTAAATTAATTTCATTCAAATCATGATTAAAACCTTTTTGAAATGTCTTCAACTTGTGTGATGAATAAAAACCAACATTTAAACAATGGCTGTATTATTACATAATGGGTGCATTTAATTAATTCAGCAGACAAAAAGATGTGTTGCCGACATTACAACGAACAGATAACCGGCAATCCTCGGCTAGAAAAACGTGTGCTATGTCTTGCATGTGGGCCCGACTAAAAAAAGAATTTTCTTGGTTCATGTTACTATATGCTTAGGGCCACTTGACTGACATTCTCATGTGTGTGTATGGTGGATCTATTTTTTCAAATTATAATGAAAGCGCGAAAAAAAATCTCATTTATTACACATCTATAGATATGTCAAATCAATTCAGACAAATCTTGTATATATTGTTGCTGTTTTATTTATCAGTTTTGTGGACCATGAATTTAACTAGGCGTTTTTTTTCTCACCGTTCATTCGATCGATACTGAATGATGACTTATTAGAAATCTGATCATGATCAATGTCAGGGGCGTTTCCTATTCAATATGTGATCAAGGCATAAAATTATCCAAAATGACGGCTTGCAATCATTAGTAATCAGTTTATAACCTATGACTAAATCAACATTGTTAATCTAAACCTGACTTAATGAAAATAATACTTGTTAATAACCAAAGATTCTGTTTCAAAAAAAAAAAAAAAATATGGCAACCCTAACTTATGATCTGATAGGATTGACAAGTAAATCTGTCCAAATACTTTTGTACTTATATTTTTTCAATCAAATCTATCCAATAATCACCAAACAAATGAAGAATTCTTTAGTACACACATGATATTAGTCATCATCGTAGTCGTTGGCGGGAGAAAAATGTGAAAAAAAATTCAAGTTTTTTCATTTTCCTTTAGTATGTTTTTTGGTAAAGTTGGATGTGTTTTTTAACACTATCCAAATCGTGTTTGTATTATTCAATTCAACTATATTTTTTTCTCGTTTCATTTTTCTTATTTTCTATTCCATTCAACATAATCTGCTATGCCATTTGGTGAGGTTGGAAATAAATTGGATGGGATCTCTCCACTTCAATAACATTTTTGGTTGGCTGACTGGTCGACGAGTCTCATGATGATGATGACGACGACCAACGAACCAAACGATAATTGAGTTGCGAGAAAACTACAGAGAAAAAAGCCCATACAATTTTGAGAGAAAGAGATTGCCTGCGTCGGCGCACATGCCATTTATATCCATTTCCGAAAAGTACTTGCTGAATGCACCAATGGCTTTTACATTCGCTCAAATACAATGTAAAATGGCATGAACATTTTGGACAAGCATTATGAAACAAACGAACCGATCCCAATTTTGATGATAATGTCTGTGTTGTGTGTACTCAAGGCTTGATATACATAGAGAAACACACACAGACATGACTGCTGGTTTTTTTTGTAAAGTTTTTTTGGCCATCCGATCTATGGGCATAAATCGAAGCCTTACTAACTCTAAATCAGTGATTCTCAACCACTCTGCCGCCAAATTTTGAAATTGTTAAGTGTGTCGCAACAAAAAAAAGGTTGAGAATCACTGCTCTAAATGAATGTTGGTATAAAGGAGAAATAAATAGTTTGCTTGTCTGTGTGTGTTTGTCGATTGATGTGGATGATTGGATGGCTGCGTTTGCTGCCAATGAATGAAATGATGATCATTCATAATGTTTCTGTTGTTTATATGTACGGAACGAATTTTGTATATTTATACAATTTTCCCAAACATATATGAACGAGGCTTGTACCAATTCGACATTAGATAGCCATCAGAGGGCCGGTTTTTTTATATTTTGTTCCCAATTTAGAGACACTTATACAGGCTTTATATGCGTAGGTTCTATGGTATTTATTATTATTATTATTGTTGATGATGATGAATCCGGCCAGGAGCTTTACGTATTATTTTTGAAAGAGAGAGATACTCGATATAATGAATGTAGCTTTTTTGTCTCCCCCATCAATGATACAGAATTTCGTACGATCGAAAATATACAAAAAAGCTCTTGTCTAGTTTGAGTTTCTGTGTGTGTGCGAATAAGCAGCTTGTCACATTTTAGTTGATTTGTATTCGACATGCGTATAAAACAACCACGCAATCGTCGAAAGAAAGAAAAGCTTTTCTAAGTACAGTGTATGTGTGTGTGATTGAATATATGGCTGTTGTTTTTATTGTTGTAGTTTCTTTTCCTCTACCGTTTGTCGATTCAATAATGATGGCGTACTGAGAATGCAGAACTTCGAAACACGATTAGGAATGATGATGACGATGATGGCCGTAAACAACACACAAACATTGAAAAGGCTTTTTTCTGCCATCGACGTTTACATTTATACAGAACATTTCGTTATTTCCAGCGAAATGAATGCATGCAAATAATGCTATTTGCTATGATGGAAAAAACCCAAGTCAAAAGCGCAATTTTTACCAATAACTCTAATAGGGAGAAATAGAGAGAAAATAATGGAAAATGCATAAAAACCGTAAAGGGACCCTAATGAATGGTACTACCATTCAATCATACTGAAAAAATGTAATTTTTTTATAGAGCAGATGGACATTTGGGAAATGACTGGACATTTCGAAAGGAAGAAAAAAAAATTGATTGACACTGCCACCGCAATCAAGCCATATAATCATCATCATCATCATCATATGGTAGAATATGAAATCCAAATAACAATGAATAAGACGAATGACGAATCAAAACAAATCGTTTCATCCGTCTCATGGATTATTGAATTCTATTCATAACATATCTACAACAATCTAAACGAACTGGATATTCATATTGGACACAACAACAACTTTTGAATTGAAAATTTTCTTGGCGCCATCAAATTTGAATCGTCATCTGTTTTCTTTATATATTTTTCGTTTCCTTTTTTTTCCTTTATCCAATATTCATTTCTCTTTCTCACTACAAAAAAAAGATAGCTTTTCAATCTTTCTGTTGTTCACCGTGTGGTTATATATTGCCACCGTAAACGGATAGCGTGGTAAAAATTTTTTTTTTTCAAATAATAGCACTAACTAATAAATAACAGACGACAGAAATGACGACCAAATGAAAGTGGATAAACTATTTTTTTTTCTTATTCAACAATAACCAACAATACAGAATGAATGAATGAATGAATGAAGAATCGACTAAAAAAAAAATGATGCCCGGCGACATGCCTTCTGTCTGTATACATCGACACAAAAACACACGTGTGCACATTTCGATCAAATCAATGTGTCTATGCCGTTTTTTTTCTGTTCACAAATTTTAAGAATTTGAATCTCGTTTTCCGAAATTTGAGTAATCAATGAAAATTGACAGTTTTTTCTGCCAAGAATTGTGAAAAATTTAATTTTCAATACGAACGACATCTACTTGCATAAAATAAAATGGTTTTCAGGTTCAATTCATTCTCTCACATCATTCACTCCGTTATTAGTCGTATCTCAATTCAATTCGATCAATGAGGATCACATATACCAATCAACTTGCTGCCTCCAAACAGATTCAAATTTTTGCTTCTTTTATTAGCGCGAAATTTTTTTTTTCGTTTCTTACTCACACGCTCATCGGTACTCTGTGTTGATTGGCTCTGATAATTAGAAAAGAACTTAATTTTTTTTACCTATTCGCAGTTTGTTCCAATTCGGGTATTCGTGACGATGGTTATCCATCATGTACCGGCGTCATCATTCTCTGTTCAATAATAAGTTGGTGAAAATAGATCCCATTATGAATCCCTTTTCAATTTTCCGGAACTTGACGAATGCAATGAACTTTTGCCTTTGCAGATTATATACAATCGGATGGGATAGTTGGAAGTGGAATTTTAGAACAATTTACCAAATTTTATCCGATTGACCGTTATCAATTCTGTTCCACAAGTATTCCTGAGTTAGCATCTAGAAAAATCATTATGTTGTTTTGATATATTCCATAAAAGTTCTTTCACCGCTATTCTCATTCATTGTGAATGATCGATATTAGAATTGGAATTATTTTATTTTTTATGGCACTTATCATCATATAATAATAACTCTATACTAAAACATTCTTCATTATGACTACGACAAACGGGTCATTGAAATAGCCTGTAAAAGAGTATTGTAGCTCTTGCCATGGCTATAATCAAAACAAGCATATCGTATGTTGACGTTGATCACATCTCGTATTTACTCGTATCCTGCCCCCGCATGCGTATTGATGATTTATTTTTGGTGGGGCACAATCTCTTGCATGAATGTCTATGTATCTATGTATAATATAAATGCATTATTTGTTGTATACAGTAAACTCGAATCTAAGCTCTTTTAAAGAATAGAAAAATAACGCATGCGTATATTAGCCAAAAATGTTGGCCTTTTACGAACATTTGCTATTAACCAAAAGAAAAGCAAATGCATACACTGCATGTAGCATTGAGCCAATGGTGAGTCTCATCTTGTTGTTGTCGTTGCCAACATAGCATTTTTTTTTCGTTGTGTTTGTAACATAGTCATATCTATATTAGAAAGCAAGCATTCATTCGTTTTTTTTGTCGATTGCTTTGATCATCATTATCATCGTAGTTGAGACTGTGTTGTTTCATCAAAAGCCACACAAACACTGCTGGACTGATGTGATTAAAGTAAAGTTTTTATACGACAACAACCAAGCCAAAACTGCTCGACAACAACAACAACCACAATATAATTTGATTCAACTCGCAATATACGATATTACAAACAGGAGACTGAGACATATAATAACCACGGTGTTGTTGTCGGCCAGGCCATCATCACATTAAAATCCCTAAATATTATTGCTATTTGAACATAACCATATTGAGTTTCGATTGTATTGTTTCTAAGAATTCAAACACCTGATTCTTGAAATTTATTTTGCTTTGAATCGTGTTGTAGTATATCATCATCATCGTGATCTATTCGGCGCCCATTTAACATTTTTGTGATTTAGAAAATTCATTTAAAACATTTTTTCTCATTGACAACACTGAAAATCTGATAATCTCAAAAATCTGAAAAACGGCTGATTCAAATGGTTGAACCAACAGATTCTAGTTTGGCATTTTTCCAAAAAGCGTCACCAAATCAATGGCGTTTTGTATATGAGCTTCGTCGTGATGCTATCAAATTGAAGGCCGATCAACGGTCATCAAAAAAAGGTGGTCCAGAAGAATTCATCAAATTAGATACATGGTAAGTAGTTATTATTATATTATTACGCACTATTATAATTCCATGACACAAACTCTTGCATTTAATGTTCGTTTGCCATTTTTCAATAATAAAAATGTCACATCAGCCACATTGTTTTATCAAGTAGTAGTAATTGAATAGATCACCGATCAATTCAAGATAAATTCCAACAATAATTATCGTTTTGGTTCGCGCCAAATGATGATAAAAAAATTTAAATTTTTTCCCCTTCTATTTCTTGCCCGTCATCATCATCATCTGTTAGTTAATAGTAACGATTGGCAACAGCATCATCAACATTTCGAACGCATTCGACCGGCAGATAGACAGACATACTATAACAAATAACAACAACAACAACAACAGCAACAACAGTAGAACGACACACATAACGTGGCTCCCAAAAAAAGAATCGAATGAAACACACACTCAAAAATGAACATTGAATGTCACTCATATACTGTGCATAAACACACAATCATTCAGGAACTCTTGTGTCTATTAATGGATGAATGACGGTCACTGTCAAAGTTTAATTTATAACGGCAATGTCCTTTGATAGATATTTTAGCTAATTTCTGATAAAATTGGAATAACTCTATATGTTTGTAAAAAAATATATATTCTGTTAGAATCGAATTCATTCATTCAGGAAAAATAACAATTCCTACACCAATAAATAGAAATTGAAATCCAATCATTTATGTTAACGACGAATAGGTAGTAAAAGATGATTTAAAAATTCAAGTAGACACAAGAATAAAATCGAGTGTCTTTTCGATTAATAATCAAATATACTATTCACGCATTGCATTGGCGCCTTCCATAATATGTAATAAAATCAGCTGTTTTTTGCTCTCACTTTTTTTTCATTCCCATCCATTAATTCCATTTTTTAGTTAGCTTAACAGCCGGCAATCAGGTCGCCAAATAAATTTTTTTTCCTTTAGTATAGAGAATATAGAGTTTAGAAATGTGAAAGAAAGAATCAGGCCTACAATTTAAATCAATCCTCATTTTTCTCTTTCTTTCTCTCAGTCTTGTGTATACGAGAAACATTGTCAGTCATACAATTCATTGTGCTGGTTCATTGGGGTTTGGATAGATTTTTTTTTTCGTTTGGTTCTTGTTGAAAATGTTTCATGTCGTCTGTTTATTTATTTATTCTTTTTCTTTCTCTTTTTGTTTTTTTTCCTATTCATAAAGATGGTGTTATTGGACTCAACACAGTTATAATAATTCTATCATTTTCATTTATAATTATCATATATCTACCACTATGTCTAGACTTATACAATTCTATCTACAACTATCAAAAGACCAAAGGTCACTGGGTTAAGGATATTTGAGAAGGTGGCTTACACGTGATAATACAAATAAATATACACATCTCTTTGATGTTAGTTTGCTAAATATGTACTTTTTTTTAATCATTGAATTCTTTACTGTATGAAAAATTATTATATACTAATCGATTTATGAACGCCATCTACCTTTGTGAAGTTTGAATTCTGGCATTCAGATTTTGGAACCCATTTTCCAGCAACCAGAAAACAAAATGTGTTTTTCTACAATAAGACACTATTTCTTGTAAAAGGGAATAATGTTTACACTCATATTTTGTTAATCATGTGGTGGAAATATTCTATTGCTAGCAAATGTCAATCACAGATATATAATACATGCATTATTGAGCCAAATGTTCAACATACACTTTTTGAATATAAGGCGAAAACAAAACAATCAATAGGAAATTCAAGTCCACGTGGTGTATATATTAATGATTACGGTCATCAACATACACGGGGTAAATCTCCTAATGATAATAATAACGGAAATAAATATACAATTTTTGTAGTGGTTCGGATCGTGGCGCAGGGAAAGAGAGAGAGAGAGTAAGAGGTACACACGGTGTTTCATTACATTATGATCAAAACACAAAATAATAATTATCATTGATTTGGCTTCTGCCAAGTTATATTCAATGGCGGGCTCTTAATATCGTCTGTTTTTTTTTTCTTGTTTTGCCCGAATGAAAACTTTGTGATTTTCTTTTATATTTATAATATATATAGTAGCTTATGAGTATGATGATGATGTATGATTGAATCATCATTGAGAATCAAATGGATAAAATTTGATCATATCAATTATATAGACATGCATACATATATATACTATGAAAGAATCAAGTGCACAATGTGCAACTCGTTGACATTCATATTTTATTTATAATCAAATTGAAAGTTTTTCTCTTGATTTACATATAATAATATACTTAACATGAATGAAGTAGAAATAACAAATGGTGACGCGATAACAACAGGTTGTTAACATCATTAATAAATGAATGGATGGAATAGTAGAATTGCTAAAATTCAATAAAATAAAATCATACGCATGTGTAAATGTTTTTATTTTGGAGTCATGGATATGTAAATTCAATCTTGTTTGTTTGATCTCAATGATTTTTATTTTCGATTACCATACAGGTTTCGAGAGAAGCTACCACAAATGATACATTCACGTAAAGATCCACATGTTCTTTACGAAGAATTGGTACAAATTGCCAAATGGCGTCTTATGGTTAGTGTGATTCGAATTTATTTTTATTTTTTATTAATGGTACTAATATTGATCAATTTATAATGCACTTTTGAACATAGATGGGTAAATATCGTCCAAAAATGTTGGATTTGGTTCGTATTAATACAGAAACTTCAGTGGTTAATATCACAAGAAAAGCGTTTAAAAAATTGCAACATCAAAAAAATCTTCAACAAGCCATCACTCAATTGGTCAATCTTAAGGGTATTGGCCCATCTACTGCTTCTGGTGAGTGTTAAAATTCCTAATTCAAAAAAAAAACAAATTGTGATTATTATTGTGATTACCTTAATCCACAGCTGTGTTGGCTGCTGCTTATCCTGAGGAAGCACCCTTCATGTCTGATGAGGGTATGCTATCAACACCAGGTGTTGAAGCCACCGATTCGACCATTGCCGAATTCAACAATTATTCGGAACAACTTCGAAACAAGACTGAATCGCTCCGTCAATCAGGTAATAGATGAATAAATGCCATGAATTTATAAAATATACTTAATTTATTTATTCTCCAACATAGATCCAGATTATAAATGGACTCCACACAAAGTGGATCAGGTGTTGTGGATATATTATCTCATTAAAGATTATAAACCAACACTGTTAGATTCTATGCCACGCGGTGATGATACAACGTCAACAATCAATACTGATAATGTATCACAATTGTCGGATGCAGCAGATGATAATGCAAACGTGATGGCACCAACTACGACAACGATGATTGACGCCGATGGAGATGAATCATCATCACAAGACGTGTTGCTGAGCCACCATCTCAATGAATCATCGTTGAATGGATCATTAGAAGATTCCGAATCTGCATCGGTTCCATATTCTGAAGAAGATTTAAGCAGTCAAGGTGCTGCATCATGTTCGGTTGATTCGACAGCTGCCACGATCGGTTCAGATGTGTCGGCCGTATGCACAATGCCCTCGTCGCTGGGATCACCGCCATCAATTATGATAACAACTAGTACGCCAACGCCCATCATTATTGGCTCACAAACAATGGCCAACGGCGTCAATGGTAATGGTAACGCTAATGGTGCTGCTGTCATCAACAGTAACAATAATCAAACGACGACATCAAACACATCATCATCTGGTATCGGTGAAGAGGATTCTAATCTTTCTACTGACGAACAACATCAACAACAGATTATGGCTGTATCATTAACGCCCAACATGAACATTAATCAACAACCACGGATGTTGACGCCATCGGAAGAGAATTCTGTGGATAATTCAGTCGGTGATGATGAAGTTTCTTTGGATGAAGCTCCGCCAATGAAAAAACAGAAAACTGGATTAGATTTGGTTGCAGCTGCCGAACCAACAGGTGCTGAAGCTTGATTAGTTATTAGTATTTTTAAAACATCAATTCAGCTGACTATTCATGTCTAATCTAAAACAACTCTAATTCTCTTTGCCCGTGTATGAACTTTGCATGCAGAATACATAAAAACACTCCTACATGCAAATATATAAAATACAGCGACAAAAGTGAGACATATAAATCTTGGGAAAATTCTTTTTGCATGCAAAAACGTTTACGAATGAGTTGAAACCATTGAATTTTTATCATCATTCACACAAAATTTGACATCAATGAAACCCACGACCATCCTCCTCCCCACACACATTCGTACACTCTCATTTGATATAATATCTTCACTCTCTATTTGGATCATCAAACAAACCGAATTCTTTCTTTTCAATTCTTTGAATCTCTTTTTTTTCTTATTATAAAACTTTGAAACAGATATCCATATATACTATATATTAATCCCAATTACATCAACAACTACGCCCATATAATGAATAATGAAAAATCAATCCCTTTTGCATATAATTTATGAAAAAGGATTGATTTTCCATTCAAAAAATTTTCACCTACATAAACTCCAACACACACACACACACACACACACACACAACGATTCGAATATTGTGTTTTTTAAGAATATTCTTATTTAAGACTAGATACCAACAAACAAAAACTTTTGAAAATTGATATCTAATTATTATTATTATATTATATGATTATGATTAATAAAATGAAAAAAATATAATTATTATTACAAATAAAACAACAGTGGATGATCAGTGTTATAAAATTCATTTCAACAATATTCATAATTGATTAAATTTGCAAACAATGGTGGTTTTTGGTAATATTTAGACGGTAAAATTTCAGTTTGCCACACGGAGATTACTTACATTCAACAAATGAAGGATATCAACGTGACCATCGGATACCACACTGATTATAATAACCAAACATCGTCATCATTTTGGCATGGTGATTGGAATAATGTTCCCCTTGAATTGCTTATTCTGATCTTAGTTTCGGCCACCATAACCGTTTTATTATTGATGCTGGCTTTATATTGCCTGTTTGGTTGTATTTGGCGGAAATATTTTCGCCGAAAAGTGTCACGCAATCCAATGACATCGATAGGATCCTTTTCGTTCAACGAATCATTTAGTCAGAGCCGAAGTCTTGGATCGACAGGCAAAAAACGTACGATAACAATACCAACGACTACTGCAACAGCAACCAACTGGGTGGACGTTGAAATTATGCTGAAAATGCCAAACGATGCAATGCGTCAATTAAAACGGGAACAAACTCCTATCATGCGTATGATACAATTTACTCGTGCAAATCGTAGACAATTAATCAATCTTGGATATTCAGATACCGAATTAGAATCGATTGGCTACTATAGAACTGATATACTCAACAAGATTAATAAACAATTAACGAATTGGCATGAGACAGTGACCAATAATTCACAGCAAGTCAAACCTATTATTCATTGCAATAATCAAAGTCAACGAAACATAACATTTACATCATCCGAATTTGATAGTGAACATTCGATGAAGGAAAAAAAACTTAAAATATTTTCAAACAAATTCAAATAAAAATTAATGATCAACATCCATAACCGAGACCACGCCGTTCGGTCGTGTAATGATCATCGGCCATTTCAATTGGTTCGATTAATTTTTTTGCGCTGTCGTTCGATTTGCTTTTTTTGCCCAATGTTTGTCCCGTTTTCCAACCCATACGTTCAAGCATCTGATATCCTTTGTTCCGGTCATTCAATGGCAGATCCAATGCTGAACCAGCTGCTGTCTTTTCGTATGGACAATCACTGCCCACGGTTTGCTGTCGTTCATTAGCACGATCACGGTACTGTGATCGTCTGTCTTGACCATCATTGTTTTCATTCTCTACCATCCCATTCTCCAGACCATATTTTCTTTTCAAGATTTTCATGGCTGATCGGCTAGATTTTGCTTGATAATTGGAATAGATTCCAGTGTCCTCTTTCTGTTGTAGATTTGCACTACCGTCACACTCTTCACAATCGCCGTCCCGATTTGAATGTATATGAGCAACGAGCTGACAGCAATTGGCCAAACCGATTTCATCACCATGACACAAGGGAGTTCGCTCGAGTTGACCCAATCGTTTTCCATTAACGAATGTTCCATTTTTTGATAGTAAATCTTGAATCATATAGATTCGTCGTGAAAGATCATAATTTATTTCAGCATGAATCTGTAAAACACAATCTAAGAGGATTTAAGTACTGGAAAACGATCATACAAACCTGTGAAATGGTCTTGTCAGGTATAGTGACCGTACAATTGGAATGTTGACCAATTTTACCCCCCATACAACTGATCAAAAGAATTGAGTTATTTTCCAGCGATTCGGATTGTTTGACCACCAAACGACATGGTGCCGTATTATTGAAATGTTTAGGAAGTGATGAAAACAGATAGTTTGATTGATGACGATGCTCGTCTTCAGTTGATTCCTTTTTATCGCGTACTGACGATTTCGGCTTCGATTTAATTTGTACAGCTTGTTGATTATGTTCACATAAGGTATTATCCTCTTGCGAATCAGAACTTAGGTCCATACAATCATCGTCCTGGATTTCTCCATCTTCCATCTCATTATCGTCGCCAAATTTCAATTTTTTCTTTTTGCATTCATCGGAAGTGATGGTCGTGGTACCGTCTAGATTACAAACAAAAGTGTATAGTTTGTTCGATTGATCATATTTGTAATAACGCTTATCGCCAGGATTGTAGAATGTTTCGCTATCTGGATAGTAGTACCATCCAGTTGAACGACTAAAGTAAGTGTTTGATTTTGAATCAAAGTAATAATCGGAGAATTCAGCCGAAAGCGCTTTAATCTGTTCTAATTCTTCTTTTTTTATAATTTGATTTCTTTCCACTCGAGATTCCGGTTTCAGTTCGCTAGATATTTGTTGTTGATCCAATTGTTTGGATAGCAGAAATTTTTCGGTCATCAACCGTAGTTCACCACGTAGTTCTTCATTATAACGTTCTAATCGAGCCAAACGTTCTTCCGCGTTAGCCAATTTTTTTCGTAAAAGTTCCTCTTCACGACCATCATTTTTACTTTCATCCGTCATTATCATCCGTATTGATTTTTGTAAAAGCTTTTCAAATCTAATCGTGAAAAAAACGAAAGGAAAAGGAATTTCATTTTAGAAATTTTATTGTTGTTCCATATGAAAATTGTTTTTTGAACAAACGATAATCATTTATTATATAATAGAATGCAAACTCTGCTTTTTAATATTAGTGATGATATTCGTGCCAATCAATTTTTTAAATAAACATTTTGCAATTTATTAATCAAAACAATGAATTCTGATCATGATGAGATTCGGCTATTTTCACCGAACAAAGATCAAGAATGTTATTTTTGAAATTCAAATTTCACCAATTTGAATTTAAAATATTAAATTTTTTCTCCAAAACTCTAAATTCTGTACGAAATTTTTGACGAAATTGATCATCCAATTGCAATTTTGTATAAAGTTCACCAGTTTTAGTATTTTCTATGCTATTATTGATGAATAAATCCAATTCGGTCTTTGGTAATTGATCATAAAGTTTCTGGACTTGTTCGAAAGTGATCAAGATCGGATCCGAATCTGGAGTTAATTTTTCATTCATCTCCTTATTGAATGGAATATTGCGAAATTGAGCCCCACCATTCAGACAACCCTTAGGACAAGCTGATACTTCGATATAATCATATGAACAGGATTTTCGCTTCAATCGTGATACCAAATTCTGTACGTTACGAAAACCATTTAATATGGCAAAGGATACCAAGGGCTTAGAATCCATTTCCGATTTGTAAAGATTAATTTCCAAAAAGTCAGCATTTCGTACCATTTTCCATTCAAACTCACTTTGCATCAAATCTTGTGTGGCTATCTTTTGGTATATAGTCATCATTCGCAATAAATTATCGGCATAGCCTCCTGATCCTGATCCTCGATGCGATTGTATTTTTCCATCAGGACTGAAACCAACATTGAATTGATCAAGAGGTCGGCAAGCAAGTGAATCAAAATTTCTGATTTGCTTGAATTCAAGAATCTTTTCCACTTCTAATGGGGTGATGACACAATCTACTTCCGGAATCGATTCATCAAGACGATTTTCCAATCGAGAGGCTTCTAATTTTTTGTCATAACACGGCATTAATGTTATGTGGTAGATTCGATCTGGAAGAACGTTGGAAACTTGACCATCGACTAAATGTAACCGTTTTTTCACCAAAAGGCCCATAATTTGTTGTGGAGATTTGATACGACTGAGAAGTGGAACCAGAATATTACCTTGTGATTTTTCAGCATAACACACAAAACCAGGACAAGTTGATGACAATAATGGTTGTTTAGCGTTTGAATTCGAGACAAATCGTTGCGATAATTCTTGCCACGATTCTTGAAGACAAATATGGCGAGCTAAAGCAAGATCGAAAATGTAATCGACACCTAATGAATGGAATAGATGGCCAATGCGTTCGGCAGCCGATTCCATTGAATTGAGATGATGTTTGACGGCCAAAGATGCGAGCGCTTGCAATGATAATGTCATCACTATGATCAAATTATTATTAGGATTCTATAATATTAAAGTAGAAATAATTCAGTTAACATTTATTATAAACTCAGTGGCACAAACCTTTTGCTTCTCATCTAAAATATCGATCACTTTTTCATGTGATTGTTCAGATATTAGCACAGCTTCAGTTGATGTTATACAACCACTACAGGCCAGACAATCTCCCAGTGTTACCGAAACTGGAGACAATTTAGGGTGTTCTGTATCAGCATTCTCTTTGATCTTCCTCTCTGATTGTCGATTTTTCCATGATTTATTTGATTTATTTATCCTTATAATGTCATCACCCTCACTATTGTCAGATTTATTTTCCTGAATTGTTTCAGCTGGTTTTATGCATACCTGTCAGATAAACAACAATAAACGAGAAGAAATAAAGCAAAAAATTTTATTCAAGATTCAAAGGGATACATAAACGTACAAAAAAATGGTTAAATTTTCAAGAAAAACATTGGAACTGCATTCTGAACGATATAGTCATCGAATTGAAGCACCTGTAACAAAGTCAAACTTTTATCGAATTCGGTCAATTCAATTTCTTGTGCTATACGTTTTTCACCATCGACCGTATAGGTTTGACATGATTGATAATAACATCGTATTCGTTCAGATCGATATTGACCTTTTTGATCCCATTCGGGTGTTATTTCGAACATCATTTCAATATATTGTGTAAATGTACTGTTTTCATAGAATTTCTTAATGAAATCAGTTTGACCAACATCCGGATAAATAAACACAACCGGCCAGATTAGTGTTTGCGTTTGGTGTGTATCGTCAAACTGTACGAAACATCCTCGTACAGCAGGATGATCTGTTTCAAATAATGACGCTTGATATTTTATTCCACGTTCTTCAACAGCTTGTTCAATCCGTTTCTGTTCAGACAAACGTTTTTGTTCATTTTTGACCATTTTACGTTCATCTCGATTTTGTATTTTGAAATTTTTTTCTGCTTGTTCTAAAAGTATTCGCATTTCTTGGCGAAATTTTTCTTGAAATTTTTCATTCAATTCATTTGATTGGTTCAGTTCTTTGCTGCAGAAAATGATACATTTTTCGAATCGTTTCATTTCAAAACAACATTGAGCGAATCGGATTTTAGCCTTTATATTTTGCGAATTCAAAAACATTGCTCTAGTTGCATCTTGCATTGAACTTTTATAGTTACCAAGATGAAAATGAGCCGATGCTCGATTATTGTACAAAACGGATAATGACTCATTGAATTTACTTGTCGGCATGTTCTCGACTGATTGATTCTTGGACAAATGATCACGAGCTAAACGAATACCTTCGGAATATGAATCAACTGCCCAGCGATATTTTTTATGGCGAAAATTTTCATTACCATCTTGACGATAACTATCCATTAATTCTTCAATTGAATTAAATTGTGGATCATATTTTAGCTGATTAAATGCATCGATCAATTCGGAATGTTCATGGCCTGGTTCCGGAGCTTTTGTTGCAAACAGTGGATGTTTCTCCATTTCTTCTTGCCAATTCTGTTCGGTCCAACAGCCCGAACGATCCAATTGTGCTGCTTTTGCATAATCATAATAGAAATCAAAGTCATCATCTTCGCCTTGCTGTCCTCTTTCACTACCATTATTATTATCAGTGTTATTGATTGATTGCGTTACGTTCAGGTCAGACATGATGATAAAATTATAATGGCTTTAATGACAAATACTAACCTGTGATGGCTGTATAAAATCATTCAAATCAGTCAATTTTAAAGCTGAACTGAATCCACTCATCGTAGTAAATCACATGTGACGACCATCAAATTGCGATGTTTATCCAATTTAGCATAGATATATATAAGCAAGCATGTGAACATAGAATATGGTAGATGGATGGATTCTGTCCATAGATGGCGAACAAATCGATAAAAATAATTTTGATTTGGAATTGGCGCGACCATATTACAAGCAATATTGCTTGGTTGGGTAAGTTAAATTTGAAGCCTTTTTTATTTGATTTTACGATCCCGTTAGTAAAAAAAAAATAGTCAACAATGATTGCCGTAGAGATTTTTTTTAAAGTTGAAAAAACTTGGCCTATATTTTTTTTCTCTTTCATTTACTCAATTGTCTGTTCAATTCATTTCATCTAATTGCATGTATAAAAGTGAACTTTACTCTTGAAAAAAAAATTTCATCATACGTTCCGCGTAGTCCAATGTGGTCCTCATCAATGGTATCATTGTTTGAGCTAGCATTATTGTTCATCATCATCAGAGATGATGGATTGTCACTCACACATTGTGGCTTTGGTTGAGCATTGTCATAACGAAAAGAACAAGACAAGAAAGTGTAGAGCAACAAGGAAAACGGGCCGTAACAATTGCAATAGCAACAATCACATTCAAAAAAGTGGAAGACCTTGGACCGAGAGCCGACCTTGCTTCACTATTATTATATTCACTTCATGTGTACATACGCCAATGCAAAACGTTTACTCGTGTCGTATACGTCCTATTCGATTTACGAACGCGCCAATTGCCAAAAGAAAGTTTTTTTTTATGACATACCTATCCCAATAGAGTGAAACGAAGAATTTTCATACTATCACTCTTGAAATCCACTTCTACTACATTGAATAATAACAACAGATAAAAAAAACAGAACAAAAAACATTCGTAGCCAATCGAATTGAAACTTTCATTATAAATATATTCGTACAAGATCAAACCACCTGTGCAGTGCGTTGCTTTTTTAGTGCACAGGTTTTTCAAATTTTGGTCTTTTTCCATTTTTTTTTTGTCTATCCGTAAGGAAATGATGATAATCATGGTGCGCCTGCACCAATGTTTCGTCGATTGATGCTGATGTGATTATCATCACTTAGCAAATGCATCCACTGTTAAAGGGAAAACACATACAGACTGTCTGAAAATATTGCTGTCACATTCATCTCAATTAGGATTAGGATAGAATATAAATGAAAGAATAAGAATATTAACATTTCGTCAAAATTTCATTTATTTATGACAATTTAATCGATTGATTTTATTCAATGAGTTTCTGATTGATAAATTATATAATTCTTTGGTTAAACTTTATTTCATGTCATTATCCCATGAGTGGTATTCATTCCATTCACCGTGTGTGTTTCAATTGTTGTTGTATGAATATGAATTGCAAATGCCAGTCAGTATATATCATCCATTATTGGTCATGTATTTGTCTATCTTTTTCGGGAACAACAAGAACGATGGCGATGGCCACGACCACAAACAACAACGAAAAATCAGAAACAAAGCAAGCAAAAAAAACATGCTAATAGAGTCAACTTATTCGTTAAACAGATGGACCACTAAGTGTTTTACATTTGTGTATTATATACGGCCATAATCCATGATTCGAAAGGATCGAAACATACGAACAATATAGTAGCAACTGATACACCGGACTCGCGCGAGTGGAATCAACCAGCGCGACACTTTGACCATAGATGTGTAACCAACCAAACCCTGAATTAAGATTTATTTCAAGTACTTTTTTTTAAAAATTAAAAATTAAAAAAATTTTGACCTAAAATTCTCATTGATTCTTATATTGATTGGAAGAATATTTCTTATACGTATTGAACATAGAATATAAGATATATATTATTGATCAATAATAATAATAATAATAACAAATAACAATGTTTATGAAAAGAAAAATTGAATTCTGTCACCTCCTTCAAAATTCATCCTCCTCGTTGTCGTTTTCATCTTCCTCATATATTGAGATACACAGAGTGCGAGGCTGGCCTTGCAAATTTGAGAGAGTGCATAGTGCTAGTGGCTCACTCTCCATGTCTTTTTTTCTGCCAATTGCTCGCGTATTCCTCACTCTCATAAACAATCCACAACACACAATCCCGAATACCAAACCAAATCAAAACCAAGAAATTTCGATCGGCTCATAAAATAAACTGTGGCCATCGTATTAGGCTGCTTCTATTTGTGTGTGTGTGTGTGTGTGTGATCCTGCGTATAGTATTAGTATAGTGCAACCATTTAACGAATTACTAAACAAAAAGAGAAGAGATCTGAAATGTATCACATCATTGTGAATACAAAATACACAACAAACAAAAACGATCTGTCTCCACTTTTGTTGTTGTTGTTGTTGTTGTTTGGTGCTGGTTTTTTGTGTTCATGTCCATGTATTTTGTGTGTGAATTGGCCATTATCATCCGTATATCAGCGTTAATTGGCAACAAACAGGATCAGCATAAAACCAGGATTTCAAAACAAAAAGATCCAAAAAGACGATCGACCAATTTAATGCTACTCAAATTGAATCTTTATTCTTCCGTTTGAATTTTTTAACAAATTATCGAATGAATTAGTTGATTTATTTGATTCATCATCAAGGTGATCAATTCTTTGCCCATTACTGTATATGTTGTTTGTGTTTCCAAAGAAAATTTGCAACCGGTTAAAAATTTGTCCAACATCCTTAAGAATAAATTGAATATATCATTGTCGGTAATTGTTTGTAACCACCTGAAAGCAGCATTCCTAAAATGTGATCATTTGATTACTGAGAATCATCTAATGATAATAATGCAGCATCAACACATAACACGATGATAATGATGATGATTATATACGACGATGCATTCATTGAGATGTAGTAGTTGAATTATTATTGTATATATCCAAATAAACCAAAGTATCATCGAATCAACAACAGGCATTTTTTTCTTTTTCTATCAATCTATTATTCCTCACCGTCAAACATCACCGAAACCACCACTACACACAAATCACCATTCAAACAACGTTAGTTGTGATCGACATTGAAATATAATAATTTTTCCAAGTTTCTCTCTCCCTATCGTTCTTACTATTCATACTATTCACCACCTTTGAAGCAAAATAATAATCAGGGACAACACGATCATAATTTTGATTTGTTGCCGTTGTCAATTTATTCGTTTGATTCAAAAAATTTAAAGAGAAAAAAATAAACATACTTTCTTGGCACTCTTTCTCCCTATTAATCTATTATCATCGTTTTTATGAATTATTCTTGTTATAAATACATCGCCATAATAATATACTCATAGTTCCATAGCGGATGAATTTATGGATTATTATTATTCTGTATTTCATTTGATAATGCCTTCATCTACTGAAACCTCAAGCAAAACAGCCTTTTGATTCATAGAGAATCGTTTTCAATGTTCGAATCAACAGCAATCCATTGTCCAAAGTAACTTTCGATTTCATTTTTTTTTTTTTTTTGAAATTTCAACTCTTCATTTGAACAATAATAGATGATGAAAAATCGTCTCTTTTAGTAACGAACGAACAAACTAGTTAAAAAAAATCAGCAAAGCAACTTGGCCTAAACAATTGAATCGTTCCAATGTCAAATATCATCATCATATAGTCTCAACCGCTTGTGTGTTTGTTGATGCAGTGCATTTTAAAATTGTTAAAAACTTAATAATTCGGCTAAATTATTTTAGTAATTGATTTCATAATCGTATCGATTTTCCACCATTATAATGACAACAATCTTGTGTATTGTGATTCGATCATGAAGAATCGAATGCTTTCATCACTGAACAAGAATAGAATTCATTCATTATCAGATAGTGATTTGATAAAAAACCAGTTCTACAACCACCAACTACATAGATTTTTTGTATTCAATTCGTGTGATTATTCTGACATTAAAAATTGTTATCATTCGGCTTCTTCCCTATTGAAGAGAGTGGATCCTTTTTTGTCGATATTCGGTAATCAATCACTAATCAAACACGTACATTAACTGTGTATTTGGAGTTCTATGAACGACCATAAATTCAGTATATACTAAGTGAACAACATTATCCTCCGTTTTTTTGTGCAATAACCGTATCATTGCATTGATCATCATCAATTGCAGCATCTTGGCCATATCTGTTTAAAAGATCGCGCGCGCGACTACAAACAACAACGGCGGCCAGCATCTATCCATCCACGACGTCGATTTGTTGGCTGCTTGGTTAGTTTGAGGTTGGTTGGCTAGTCGATCTCTTGAATACGAAAAAAAAATAATAATAATAAGGAAACAAGTCTTCATCGTGGCTCCAGTTGTGGTTGTTATGGTGCCCAACTTCAATATACATTCATTTGTTGGTTTCATTCATCAATCTTGTTCGGCCGGTCGTTCGGTCTGTTCTCTTTTCTTTCGTATCTTCTTCAAATGATTATTTTCTATCAACCTGTCGTCATCAACTTGCTGGATTGTCATAATTCATCTAAATAACATTGGCCAAAAGTTTAAGCTCTACCCATAATAACTGGATAACTGGATATCAGTATATTTTGGAATGGCTCCATAATCATCATCAATATCGTAATAAAATTCATATATACCAATCATCATTATATAGGTATTTTGTTGTTTTTGCTGTTTATAGAATTTTATATACATGTATTTTTTTTCATCGAAATTAAAAATTCATTTTATTTTGCAGATTATTATTGCCATTCAATAAAAGGCACAACAGCAGCATTTATCGGTTATGATTGTTTATCATCAATGTTATCAGCTGAACGATTCATTTTGGATGGTAGCCATCAAAAATATTGTTGATAACGACAATGAAGAGAATGCATATGATAATGATGTTGTTTGCCTGATTCTATTTCGAACAATATCTTCGTTTTTTCAAGCGTGTTGGCCGTTTTTCTGTTTTTCAATTTTACTGACTTAATTTATATCCACACATCCATTACGACTTGACCAAATATTGAGTGATTTCTATGAAATTTCCAATAACTTCAATCAAGATCAATTAATTATGTTTATGATCATCAAACGTGATCTGATCTCATCGAGCGTATGTGTTCGTCTCTTTAGCAGCTAGTGTCGTGAATAAAATCAACAAGTCATTTCACAACGACTTAATTCTATTATTAATTTAATCATTTCTCGATTTAATTGATTTCCTCCATTAACTACAATCATTGCTTCGACACCGGGATCATTATTGCCGCATCAGCCGCCGTCATCATCGGCATCCATTTCATCGGCGGCTGATTGGCCTTCATCGTCACCTACCACAGTTGCATCTTCTCAGCTACCCATACCATCCGCATTATCCTCATCACCATCATTAGGGCCAAATTCCTCTACATCATCTGCACAGCAGCAACATCATTCACTTTCATCGCATCTAGCATATCAGTCTTCTCATCACTATTCACAACATCACCATTTGCCTCATCTGAATGGAGGTGGTCAATCAGTTGTTTCAGCCAGCAACATCAATCACCATCAACAACAACAACAACACCACCACCCACAACAACAACCTCAAGCTAGTCCTCTTGGTTCACAACAACAAATGATGTGTGGCAGCGGAAATGGATCCACTACACCAAACGGTCATCAGATGTACCATCAACCACAATCATCTTCAACATCATCATCACCGGCAATGATGATGACGACATTATCACCACGTGCAGCTGGTGGTGGTGGGGCATCTGCATCCAGTTCTCCAGGATACAGTAGTCATCACGTCCAACAACAACAGCCATTCCATCAACCTTTGACTCCGACACAAAATCATGCCTCGACACCATCACCTCAACCGCAGCCACATCATGGCCAATTTCAACCAAGTCGGACACCTCCGATGGCCTCATCATATGGTCATTCTCCAATAAACCATGTTGAACATGGTTCTGGAGGTGGTTCAGTACAAGGAAATGGGGGTGCTTGTTACGATGTTGTTAATAGGCTAAAAAATCGTTTGGATCTTTATCGTTCGCATCATGACCAATCATTGGCCAAAGAACAACCGTTTCTCGAACAATATAATCAAAAAATAAAGCTAGAAACTTCACGGCTTGTCAAAAAACAACAGGCCGCTAATGAAGTTGCAGCACAATCTACAGGAAGAAAGAAACAGGCCGGTGGAGCGAATACTACTTCCGGAGGTGGTCGATCACGTGGCGCAAATGCTGGTGGAAACAAACGATCAGCAAATTGTTTAATGCTCGATTCATCGAATAGTCCATCAAATACGATGACACCACCAGGAACAGCAATTTCGGCCGGATCGTCACCAACGCCAGGAGCTACGGGTGCAACAACGACTGGTCCAACCAAAGCCAAAATGCCCAGATTGACTGCGAAGCAGCGAAAACAACTCAAACAACAACAACAACAATTGGAACAACAACAACAACAACACCAAATGATGAGTGGTGGTATTCCTAATTCTCAATTAATGATGCCGATAAGTGGTGGTGGTCACCATGGCCAACAACAACAAGCTACCTCACAACAACAATCAAACAATGAAATAATAATGAATGGATCATCATCGCCTTCTGTCTATAAATTTGATCCGAATCATCATTCCCCACATACAAATGAAATAAAACCACCTCCTATGAACTTTTTAAGTCAAAGTTCTGGTATGATTCGATGAATAAATTTTGTTAAAGTTTTGATTTTGATTTTTTCCGAATTTAGGTTTGTCGTCGCCTTATCATCAACAGCAACATGCATTTCATCATCAACATCAAGGTGTTTCGATCAAACAAGAAGATTTCAGTAGTACCGGCAGCGGATGTTCTAATCCATTCAACCAATTGGATGCCACATCGCTTCAGGATCTACTTATGGACAATGGGCCTTCATCGATCAACAATCAAAATCTTCACCATCAACAACAACAACAACCGCAGCAACAAAACCATTATCACCATTCAAACACGGATGATGATTCCAAAGATTTGATAAATCAAATTTTAGAAATGGACCCGGATGGAACTGGTCAAACATCTAATGGTATCAATACTAATGGCCAATCAAATGGACAATTTTCCATTTTTTCCAATCCGTCAGATAATTCGTCTATATTCGGTTCTTCGGCTGATGATTCAATTCTTTCGAATCGTTTTGGTGATGAAGATTTTATTACGAAAGTATTGGAAGATCTGAACAACGGATTCAACACTGACCCTGTTCCGACAGCAACGAACAATCAACATTCATACCAGCAACAAAATTCGCATCAACATCAACAAAACGTTGAAAGTAGTGGCTACAACCCTCATTATAACAACAATTCAGGCGAAGCAGTCCATTCACCTATGATGAATGGCCACATTCATCCGATGAATTCTTTAAGTTCCCATCACCAGCAACAAACGATGGATCCCGCAAGCAATTCTTTTCATTCATTCTCGAATCCATCTACACCAGGGTCGACAATGAATTCGATGAACATGAATCCAGGTTCAGCTGCTTCATGTGGATCCGGTGCATCGTCTCCAATGAATACACATCCTTTTCATCAGCAGCAATTACAACCACAAACAAATGGTCCTCAGCAGCAACTGCCTAATTTCCATCAATTACGTCAACAAACACCCACTGGTCAGCCTAATAGCACGCTACCATCGTTTCACACCATTGGACCAATGAAACAACAACAGCAGACAAATAATCTCTTGGTACCGAACAATGCTGGTAATGGTGGCGGCCATCAATCACCTCGATTAAATTCTCAACAAGTGCCTCAACAACAACAACCGAATGGTAGCAATAATTTCGCTCAATCACAACCAATGACCAACAATAATATCCAATCGTCATCGATGACTCCCACGCCACCACTTGGATCACAATCACCTCTCAATAGTCATGTGATGATAAAATCTCCATATGGTGGATCTGCTGGAGGTAGACCGAATTCGACTGGACCACCACCCACAGTAACAGGACCAAATAGTGGAGGTCAAGCTTCCAATTTATTATTACAGCCAGTTGTTCCAAGTCCAGATTCGACGGCGGTGAACAACAAAATGATGATATCATCTCCTAGATCAGCCTTGTGTCAACGTACGACACCATCACCCGGCGTTACAATGTCATCCCCGCTTCACCATTCTCATGGTTCTACGTCTACGACCATTTCGATGTCATGTCCTCAATCCTCGACGCTATCGACGACCGCAAATAACAATGGTGCAGGAGCGAATGCTTCGGTCGCTTTGAAACAAATGGCACAGGCACAGCAAAATAAATCATCTTGGAATCAAATACAACAAGCTTCTCCACAAGCCAATGAATTCTATCATAATTCCGCACAACAACAACCATCTCAACAGCAACAAGTAGCGCAAGGGCAACAACAACAAATGCTAAGACATCCTAGCCTGGTCGGCTCTCAACGTATGATGACCAGTATGCAATCACAGGCCAACTATTCACCACAACAGCAAATATTGTCTGCTCAGCTTCAACAGAATCTGAACAATAATCAACAACAGCAGCAATACGCAACTAGGCCCCGTGTTGTAATGATGAATCAACTACAAACTCAACCACCGCCTTCGTCGACCACTTCCTATCAACAACAAACGTCTACAAATCAAGTAAGAACACCGAGCTTTTATCAGCAACGTGGCCCATCGCCCAATGTTACGACACCGGGTAATCAACAACAATTGATTCGTAATCAAAATATCCGAACCCAGCGAATGATGCAACAGCAACAACGAATGCAGCAACGATTTCAGACAGGACCAATGAGACCGACGACTGGATATAATAATCCTCAACAGCAACAAATGACGCCTTACAATAATAATAATGCTATGGGTGGTGTTGTTGGTGCCGCTACATCATCGATGATGTCCATGCAACAATCACAAAGATTCATTACAAATCAGAATGGATCAGCATCGACCATGGAGCAACAACAATCACAACAGTATAGCAGCGGTGGATGGTCACAGCCGCAACAGTCCCAGTCAATGATGGCGCCTAGTCAACAACAGCAACAATCACAGCAATATTCTTCGATGCTACAGCAGCAGACAAATTATGCTCGTAATAATCCTGGTCCTGGTCCTGGTGGTGGTGGTTATTTTTGATTCAATTAGTGTGTAGGCGTCTCTGGGAACTACTTTAGTCAAATGTATTGTCAGCCATACTGCCTTGTAATTTATGAATTTATATTCTGCGTTGGTTGCTCATCATATAATCGCGACAATATGATTGCCATAGCCACACCACATGGTCACAATCTTATACAGAGTTTTATTTTTTATATAATAATTGATGATTGATTGGCCCACGAACAACAATCGGGCTATTTTCAATCATAAATAGAATCATGTTTGAATTTGTATTATTTATTTAATCATTATATATATACCGAATATTGACGTGGACGAAAAATTGTTTTCCCGAATTTTTTTTGTTTATTTTGTTTTTTATTTTCTCTCATACTTATTCTCTACATAGACGTCTTTATTGTATTTGCATTCGATATAATTGTATTCATTCATCTACCCCCTTTATTTCTTTGATCTGATTATCGACGTAATATAATTTGATCTAAATATACCTATTGTACAACTATCTATCGAATTTTTTTCGTCACTAATTAATTTTCATATAGTTTAATCAATGCATTATTGAAAAATTGAAATTGTGAATATTGTCAGACTTTGCTAAAAATCCAGCATTTAAAAAGCAACCTTTCAGACACGATTTAGGCGATTCGTCTGAAAAAGGAACCTTTTCAGACTTTTCGGCTTTCTTCGTTTATACAACGCAAATACAGTGCAGTGCGTAAACCGGGCTGTATGTTCGGATGGTTAAATTATTTTATAGATTTGGATGTAGATGGCCGCACTAACAAGTTAGAAAACACATGATTTAACTTAACCTGCAGGTTAAAATTCAGTTTGTTTATAATCTATTCATCAAAAGTTATCCGTAAACAATGGTAAAATATATGGGCGATTTCGCCAAAAAAATACCACCAAAACATGTGTCTAAGTATGCGCTTCGAATGATGAAATTACGGTCGAAATTGTTTAATGAATATGTTCGAACACCAATGCCATATGAAATATCACGTGCCGTTGTAGTTGATCCTCGTCAACGGCAAGCCTGGGATTCGCACCATTTTCAAAACGAACAAATGGTCAATCGATTCGCTCAATTACCCAGCGATTTGGACCATATTAGATCCATACGATATTATCCTGCTCATCCACAAATTGGAGACCTAATGTCATTGTTGCGGCAACATGGCCTATATCGGTATAACAATTTTCAGATTTTAATCCGATTTGAATTCTAATAACTAGTTTTTTTTGCAGTGATGAACATAAAGATATAAAAGAAGAGATGAGTCGTTTACGAGCATTAAGAGGTAAACCTGATAAAATTTGGGGCAACAAAAATTCGCAAGCTCAATCCGGCGATGAGGAGTGATTGCATTTACATTCAATAGATGGTGTCTGTCGTTTCGTTATCATGTTGGGATGTTTCTTTAAATTTTTAAATTTTCTAATTGATATTTTTCTTACTTTTTAACTGTCATTTGATTGTAATTTAATCGATAGAAAGATGGATATGATATATGAGAATATGAAAATTTGAATATGCTTAGAGTCATGAAATTATACCTGTTCATTTGAAAGAAAAGGATTTTCTAGCTATAGAATATTTTTAAAAAGTTTTGTATTATACTTTTTAACTCGGATTGAATGGTGATAATAAATAAAATGATTTTCATTTTCTGATGAAAATGTGAATCAAATTACTAAAATGTTACAATGTTGATAATGACAATTGAATTGCTACGAATTAATATATCGTTATGGTGTGAAAAGGCCAGTTTTTTTTATGACGATTGATAAAACCAGTAGAATGACTGACACTAATATTTTTGTGACTAGCTAATAGAATAAAAATGGTTGAATAATTCCAAGTGATAACAGTTGATATTGTTTTTGATGGAAACAATTAAATCTGATAATGTGTTTTATTTACTATAGTTGTTGATGGAAAGCATCACATGTAATTTTTTTTAAAAATTCGATTCATAACTAATTTAGTCACGTTTTTGAGTTAGTTAGTTTTTATTCGTCTCAATATAATGTTACCAGTATCTTTTTTTCAATTTTATTTGATAAACTCAAATTGATCTTATTGGATTGTTCAACATTATTATTGAATTCATTCCGTACAATAATTGTACTACACGGCTATCCAGCTATTTAGAAGCAAGCATTCATTGATTTCTATCGGTTCCTGTTCTTTCCAAGTAATGTTTTCATGATGATAACAATTTCTTGTTTATAGCTTTTAACAAAAAAAAAAAAAATAGATGCATCGATGACAACAACGAGATTATAATCAAAGAATATTATTTTTATATGAATCGTATTTAGATGTTATTGGTGTAATAATCAAAATCTGGTTATTAATAAAAATATCAACAATAACAACACAACAGCATTATCAGTAGTACAAAAATGTACAGTATAAAAGTCATAATTGACTTCCTGATTTTATTAGATTCATTCGATCCATTTTTTGGTCAAAAATAAGATTTTTCTTTACATAATTTTTTTTTATATATTGGTTTTTTTTTTGTCTAGAGGTTTCCAAGTATACCAACAACTACATAATAAGATTCAAAATAAAATTAATCTATGTTAACAATATACCGGATTGATTGTATTAGAATGGCATTAAATATCCTATAGGGCAGCGTTTTCCAAACTTCCAAATCATTCGAATAAAAGTATTTTCATCATATGACATTATTTGAAACAACAGAAATTTGTTTGGACTGACCCAAAGTGAATTCTGTTTTCCCATCCAAGATAACAAATGAACAAAAACATCCTTTTTTTGGTTGTTATTCTTGTGGATAATTGTTAACATATAAAAACATCATCAAAAAAAAAAGTTTCGAAAACAACAATATAATTGCATATGTGTTGGTGAATTTGGATTTAATATCACACTTTCCATTATCCATAACAGTGGCATTTTTGTATCATCATCATCATTATCATCGAAGTAATGAACGAGTGGACGGAAAAAAAATTCTAAAAACATTTAGAACATAAACATATAGAAATGTTTCGAACGATAATTGTTGCCTTTTGATAATGATTGTGATGATGAAAATGGATCATGATCAAACAAGATGGGCGATAAGTTAATAGAAATGATCCATGTATGTCTATTTGTTTGGTGTTAAAAAAAATAATAAATGACAATGATGATGGAAAAAAAGCTGAAGAAAATTTTTAATTATTGGTTACACAAAGCTTATATGTCATTAAATTTTCAATGTATAAGTATTATTTTTTTTCATTTCCTATTCTTAATTAGCCTTTCTCACTTGAAAATCAAACCAACGAATAAGTATATGAACAGAACTTGTAAAAATCCATGTATCCAATATATATTCATCCATCTAAAAAAGATGCCAAAACATAACCAACAACTCCCTGCCGTTATTTAATACAATATATTTTCAATTCATAGTTGCCGCTTTGGTCGACATGACATCCAATTAGGGTGGTTTGTTTCGGTTCATTTCGATTGGATAGAAATAGGCAAGAACAGGAACCAAGAGCGAGAGAGGGAGAGAGAAAGAGAGAAAGAAAGCAAGCAAAAATGGTAGCCATTGCAGTCTTGTGTGTACTGAAATTTTTTATTTCCTAGGGAAGCTTTTTTGGAATCCAAATGTGTATGTATGTACATACATTCTCATATGTGTGTCCTCCTCTAAATTTCGTGCCTAGTGTCTGCCGGTTTTTAATTTTCTTTTTTGTTTTTTTTTTTTTTTTTTTTTTTTTTTTTTGATTATTGTTGATGATAAAGTTAGTTATAGACATTTAAAGTTTGAAACAATAATCTAACTATGAATTTTCAATGTACGATTATTGTGTGTGTGTGTGTGTATGTATGAATGTCTCTCTTCATTGAACATAAGCCAGAAAACATTTTTTTTAACATGAACAACATCCTAGAAAGCCGAATACCAGTATAAGTGGAATTTTTCATAAAGATCCTGTATTATGGTTTACACCCGAATCTATTAGATCTAGTTTTGTTGTTCCATAAATAAAGTTTAATTGATTGTGAAAAAAAACACATGAAAACGCAAAAAAAAACTTGATCGTAAATTTAAAAAAAAAAATATGATTACAACTGATTATGATGCTCCATTGTTGTATACGAAAAAATAACCCTAGTCATAATACACGATTTTGACTGCTTTAATTTGTGAAGGATCAAATAAGAAGCTAACAACAACAGCCATTTCTAATTTTTTCTTTTTTTTTCATTCAAATAAAGCAAACGGTTTTGAATAAAATGTAAAATTAATTTAAACATTTTATTCTTTCATAAAAAAAAACATAAATTTTCCTCGCAATAAACGAATAATAAAAATTGACATTTGTTGGAATATAAATTATAAAATTGGTTCACAATTTTTTTTTTTGACTAATTCATAATGATTATTTTTCAATTAATATTCCCTTTTTTTTGGTGGATATTATTATCGGTATTATGAATGGATGAATTTATTGACAATTGAACAAAAAACATGTGATTAATTGATCGGCGCCTATTGATTGTACATGACAATCATTTAATTTAATTGAAAGATAATACATCCTGTTCATTGCAAAACAAGAATCATTTGTCATTCGTGTGGTAAATTTTAAATTAAAAATTTTCAAACGGTAACCTATTCCAATTCTCTGGTCAAAGTAATTGCAACCAATTATAGTCGATTAAAGTGCATTTTTATCATTTTATTAAAGCAGATTAATTTTGAAATCAATAGCAATAGTTACGAATAAAATGTGCATAAACTAATTTATTCATCAATAAAAATGCACACGCTTCTTATGATACTATTTATTCATTAAAGTATTGATCATAGTTTGATGCCTGGAAGCTAGCAAATGATTTTATCTTAGACATTTTCGATATCAAACTATGATTCTGATTAAATCATTTTTGATTTTGAATTCAGTGACCGAAAAAAAATATTCCATCCGTACAATACTATTTCTTTAAGCTTCAAATGTTTAACTTGAACAGAATGCCTAGACACCGATTGCGCATCGTCTTTCATCAATTAGATACGACGACTATCGGATAAATGTGGATCGCTCTCAACTAGCAGCATAATGCTATTGATTGTTTCAAGCTCTGGCTATTCTATCTATACTATATATTCTGTAGAAAGCATAGTGGCGGTTGTCGTAGTTATCATCGATACGATGTGAATAGAATTCCATTGCAATTCATTCATTCATTCATTTCATTTTAAACATGTTCTCGTGGTCGGTTGCCTTCGTTGCCGCCGTTTGTGTAACTTTTTTCTTTGTCACATACAATATGGAATTTCATTTCATATATGTTTATGGAATTCTAAATGAATTAGTTTTCCATTGCTAAAAGATGTATGATAGCTTTTTTCGAAAAGGCCATATAGCCAGAACGGTCGTATCCAAAGGTATTCTAATTGGAAATATAGAATCATGCACATGCGTTTTATTTATTAATGATTAATCACATCCGAACAAGGGCCAACAAGCACATACACAATGACAAGAATTTCCGCCGCCACCAGTTGTGCGCATCCATTGTTTTTTCAATATCTTCGATCATCGACAACACCATGTGTTTCCTTCTTGAACTTTATAAAATAATTCTCTGAGAAACGAAACCTGCCTAATCATGGGAATCGATTGCAGATAATATGCTTTGGTTTTTAAATTTTGTTTTCAATTGATTCACACATCCTGTTTCATTTTCCTGGCTGAATTTTCATAAGTTAGATTGAATAATAATTTCGTATCAACAATGAAATAAAAATGAATCGTATCAAATTTCAATTTATTTGTACATGATCAAAAAAGGTAAGAAATGATATCATAGAATATATAACTATAAAATAATCAAATCACTCAAAACCATTGCCATTCCCATAAACAAAACACATTCATTGTTTCAATTATTTGAACCATACTATAACGAAATGAAGAAAAAGAACTCATCAAAACAAATTTCTTAGTCCTGAACAACATCGATGTACCAACAAATCCAACATTTGTGTATGTGTTTGTGTGTGTCTACAATCGACAACAAAAAAAATTGAATCGATTTTTATGTTTTGTGCCTCATACGCATTCTTTTTATCGATATATGAAATGTGTGGTAACTTTATTGTGAATTCGTGTCTATCTATGTGTTGTATCCATCCACACAATTTAATGTAAAAAATGTTTACTGTTTCAAATTCAGAGGTCAATCTCATCCTGTTATGGATCGTTAGTAAAAATGGATTCTATTTAAATTGATGGGTGTTTTTTCTACAAATAAATTCCGAAATACTCAATTTTTGCTTATTTTTTTGATCAGCGACCAGAATAGTTTTTCCTTTATTTAATCTGATGATCGCATGTATCTTCACTCATTATCATTACATATCATGCGATCATAAGTGTCTTCATTTCATTATTGATCTTCATATGCATCTTTTTTAAGGTAAATATGACCGCATTTCTATTTCCGTTGATCGGTTGTCAGTTAATCGACTTGTAAAATATGACATGTCTCATGACAGAATAATTAGAATTTGTTGGCCTCAATTTATTCACTTTTATTCACCAATACATAACAACATCTATTTTTTTCTGTCACACAAAAGTAGATTGCAAAAATGCAATGTGACGTGAACTTCCGTTTTGTTTTGTTTGTTTGTATTTATTGTTCAGCTTTGATATAATCATAATTCGATTAAATGAACGTACATTTCGCTTAATGATAATGATGATGTGTATGTGCAATGATAATTATGTTAGCATGGTCATTTACAATGCCAAAAATTATAACAAAACAATGTCTAATTTTGTCTAATGAGCAGAAAAAATTATCAATTGTTTTATCTATTCATCTTTCGTGTTTTTTTTTGGAATACTGATAGAAATACGAATGACAATCAGCTTTTTATTGTTTGGTTATTAGTTTTATTATATGATTATTACACTGTGTGTGTGTGTGTTTTAACATAAATGAAAACATTACATTGTCAGAAAAAAAATGCCAATGAAATGATAATGATGATGACGGTAAAAATAATAATGAGAGAAAGAAATGCTAAAACAACCATAACAATCGGTTCATTTGAGAACATCATTTCATTTTGAATTCTGCTGATCAGCTCACACACCCTTCCAGACTATAATTCTAGATCAAATTAATTTAGAATTCGGTTTTATTTTTGACAAAGATGCTTTCATGTTTAATTATGGGATTTAAGATATTTGTTGGTTAAATTCACCATATTAGGTAGCAGATATAAGATAAATATATTTTTTAAATAAAATTTTTCGCTCTCAATTCAGAAAACCAGTTAATCTGAAGAGGATGCTGCCCGAGTATTATAATGAAAATCAGAATCAAACAAAACAAAAACAATGTTCATTTGTTGGCGTGTAATAATCAAGTATTTTTTTTACAAAAATGTTTTTAGAACATTTCAAATTACAATAATTCGAGTAATAATATAAAGTTCTATAATTCGATTATCGAGCATTAATTGACATCATAATCTTCTTGAATATTAAGTAAAGTTAACATGTTTGAAGATAATCTTTACTATGCTGGTAATTTCCATTTCAAATCCCATTGCAAGGAATTTGTAATTACTCATTCAACACAAATACCAAATCAATCATTTGTTTTTTAGCAGACGCAAATATTTTCTACATTCGTCTCTACACGCGGAATATCAACTTCTTTTCCATTATTTCCTGCTGCTCATTTCAAATCAAAAATCAAACATATATATCGAAAACACTCATGGGCCATGAAATGATTGAGTTGTTACAATTCCTTTCCATTCACATTGATGGATGGTCAAATTTGATTTGACTAAACCTAATTCAATTGGAGACGAGGTTTCTTATCATTTAACGAATCGATTTGATTGATCGATGAATGAATGTAAAGAAAAAATAAATTTATTATTGGTTGTTTATGATCATTTACTAATAATGATTCACAAATCATAGACATTCAATTCAGACATGGCTGTTCAATTGATTGATGTGGCTACATGACTGATAAACATGGTATTTATTTTCATCTTAAATTCTGTTTATACTAAGAATTTCCAATTGAATTCAATTCGATTATTTGTTTAACATTTTTAGTTTGTTTAAATTGATCATTGTCGTGTTGTTGGTGATAAGTTGCGGTGTATTGAATAATTTTGTAGGTTGGAAAACTTTTTTCTTTCTGATTGTCCTCGGTCCATATTTTTTTAGTTTTTTTTATGGATATAAACTGCATTCCATACAATTTGATCAATTCGTTTAACAAAACAATAACAAACAGCAACAAAGAAATTTTTCTTTCTCATTTTGGAACAACAATCATTCCATAGAAACTTAGAAAATTTTTTTTGCTATAGTAAAATGAGATGCGTGTTGCAAAATTTTTCTTGCCTGGTTAGCTTATTTTTTCTTTCTTAGTTTGTCGTCGGATTTTAATTGGTTGGTTAAATTTGTGCTTATTTTTTTTCTCATATATAGCCAAAACAAACAAAAAACAAAAAATTCACGCAAACAAATATAAGCATCATGATGATGATTTTCCTAGTTCTAGAGGTTTTTCCAAATAAAATTATTATTATTATCATGATGATGATCATCATCTGATCTACCTTTTTTCAAACTTTGTCCTTTTTTCATTTTTGTCCATTGTTTATTTTTATTTCGGAATATTATTATTTATGTAAAAAACAGAATGAATCATGAAATTTCTTTAATTGATTTTTGTATTTATAATTTTTTTTTCTTTTCTTTAATTGTGCAAATGTTTTTATAACAAACAGTAAACATTCAATAATAATCATGATAATTCTATTATTATTATCATCTTGATCAAATTTTTAATCGAAATGATAACGGTAGAAAAAGAATAGTAAAGAAATGTGATCATGAATCCTATTTGGATTACATTCAGCTATATTTCATGTGAGAAACATGAGAACATTTTTTTTCACCATACGGATTTGATCGTCAGTATAGTAAAATTTGTTTTTTCTCTTACATTATACATATGTTCTTTTCTTTGTTTTAACAATGGTAAACTTGAATTCATTGAAGCTTGGATGATATTTTCTGTTTTTTTTTTAATTTTGTAAAATATCCTTGCAGGCAAGAATGTATTTATATATTATATATTCTTGATATTGTATGGATGGTTGATGTTTAAAATAATTTTTTTTCTCTTTTTCTGACAAAGATGATTAAATCAGTGAGCAGGTATGCTAAACTGAGATTTAATTAAACTAATTCAATTGATAGCACTCTATTTTGGTCGTCGACATCAATCATTATACAAACAAATGTAACATACATATTAGCAGTGTTTCACACCACATCTATGAATTTGATTTATTGAAAGTCAATTTTTATATTCCACACTTATGTTTAATGACTGAATTCATTTCTATAAGATTTGCCGATCGATTAGACTTGCATTCAAATACTACTTACAACGGATTGTCTGAATCCATATGGCGTAAACACATATATAAGTCAAGAAAGCTTGTATAGAAATTAACGAATGTGAAACTGTTTGAAATATCAAACAACGATGATGTTGATGATGTTAGTAGCGGTCAATTGAGTGAACATATATTGAGTTATATATAATTGCATTTCAATCGAATAAACTATCGATGATTAATGGATCTCTCTCAAGAGCCAAAATTCAGTTGATAGTGGGGGTGGTGGTAATGTGCGTTCTATCGAATCTATCTCGGCCGGCTTAATTTTGATGATAAAACATTCGAGTGTATACTGTTTTCTTGATAAAATTTCTTAATGCTTGAAGTATTGACAGTTCCGATCAATTAGTCGAGATTTTTGATATTTTAGGCTGAGACGATATTTTATTTGATTGAAAATAGATGTTACTTCAGTATTCTACAAAATGAACCATGTTGCCATTCAATATTTTGGATAATGAAAAGAAGTTTTCTTTTACCTTTTATTTCGATCCAAATTTGATGGTCTCCTAGAAGAATCGAAAATTGATTGTAGCAAAAAAATCGAATCCATTTGAAATTACGCTGACTGTCTGTATATGTGAAACAGCAACCATGGGCTACAACAAATCACCTTTCTTCTGGTCGACGCTTTGTCTGGATGGCCAAGTGATTGGTTGATTCACGAAGAAAAAAAAATCAGAATAAATCGAAACCAGACTGAAAAGACCTGCCAATGGCCGATTGATTTTTTCAGCACTGCCATGGTCGATTCGATTGGCGTTTTTTTTCATGAACAGAATCAACTATCCAATAAGTTTTTGACTTCCCATTGATTTGTATATGACTGTTCACATTTTTTTTTTAGAAATTGGACAAAACTGACAAAGGGAATATTTTATTTCAATTTTTTTCCAATTCTTTGTAAAGTTGTTTTTTGTGTGTTTCGTCATATTTCAGTTACCATTATAATAATCATTCGTATCTGAATGAATAGTTTTTTTTTGCAATTTCTTATTCGTTTTTATTTTTGCTGAATATTTTCTCATTTTTTCCATTGTTGACTCATTTTGTATGTGAGTCGGTTCCTGAATCTATCATAGAATTTTTTTCTTACATTCCCTCGACACAATCTTTATTGGAAAAAGATTGGATCATATCGCAATGTTATTCAATTTTTTTCCAATTTTTATTTTAATATTGATGGTTGTTTTCCTTGATTTTTTATTTCATCGAATTGAATCGAAATGTCACGCATAAAAGAGTGAGAAAAAATTGAAATGGAATATATTTTTGATGACGATGATGAAGATGGTGTTAACTATGATGCTAAAGTGAAATTCTGTTTTTTATAGAATCAAAATTTTGTTTTCAAGACTATAAAAGTGTATGTTTTTTTTGTTTGTTTGTTTCTCTCATAACTGATCTTTCATTATCAGTGATATGTAATGAGGTTCTGAAAAAGACGAAGATGACCGAATTTTTGGTTTTAGTTATTTTTCATTTTTTTCCATCATCTTTGTACGATATTTTTTCAATGTTGTCGTTACGCAAAATTTTTGATAATAATGATGATGGTTTTTTCAAAATTTTTCCAATGAATGGGCCAATGATTCTAGGTAGTAGTGGTTGCATTAGTAGTAGAAAATAGAAAATCTTCATCTTAATAATAACGGTGATAACATATCCGCAACATCGTTTCCTGATAAGAAATTTAATTCACTTAATTCACTTTTTTTTCATTTTCATAGAAATCAAAATGAAAACCAAGAAAAAAGTATTCAATACACCTAAGAATAAGTAAAGAGATACAAGATTTCTACATCGACATCTAGTACATCGACAAAGAATTGATTAAATTTTCTGTCTCACATTTACACACACACATACAAACACACTATCATCTCTATTTCATGAGAAAGACGATGGTGGCGGATCTTGACACATTACTATTTATATACACACACACACACACACACACATACAAGAAATTCGGTACCGATTTAATTTTCAAATTTCTACATAGCCGATGTAGTTCGGAAGGAAATTTACCTCCAAACTTTATAATGATGGTGTTTAGTTTGTACGAAGTTTAAAGTTGGGAAAAAAAATGCTTCCTATGTTTCGTATGTTTTTGTGTAGCGTGATGAAAATTCGTTACAGTTCATCAAATTGGTTGGTTTTTTCGTGTTTTTTTTTCATTATTATTTTTTGCAACTAGAAATTGAATTTTTCAATCTCATTCAATCAATTTAATTCACGAAGTCGTTTACAATTTTTGTCTTTTAACTCATCACACTTTTTTTCAACATTGGATGGAATAAATAATATAAATGCTTGTTTTAGTTGCTAACGAATATGATTATGATGATACATCTTGAGAAATTTTCTTTTGATTTGTAATTAAATTAAGATTTTTTTTTTGTTTGTTTGTTTGAAAATCAATTGCAATTAGAGATGTAAGTCTTTTTATTCAATATAAGAATAATAACTTACCATAATTTACCTAGCATTTTCGTTTTATTCTATACTAAATTTTTATTCTATTGATTTTTCCATTCATTCAATTCAATAATGATGATGATGATGATGATGATCGATAATGAGGTCGATTTCATTTTCATCAAATGCGAATTATTGAGAATGACTTTGTGATAAAGATAATGCTAATGCTAACGTATTTGTTGTTAGTATTTGTAGAATTCACTTTTTTCTTATTTTTGTTATTATTGAGCTATCAATAACAACAGATAGTGTAATCGATTTTGTCATCATTGATTTACTCGTTTCGATCCAATAGTCTTGACTGATTATAATAAGTTAAGAGATAAATAAATAGACTCAAATACACACAAACACATTGGTTATGGCAAAGATTCTGTTGTTATTGTCGTTGGCTATTAGATCTGATAACGAGGACAATCGATTTTTGAAAGACTTTATACGTAATGAAAAATAGTTTTAAACTTCATTTTTTTTTTTTTTTTTTGATTGTCTGCTTTTTTTCCAATAACTTTCTTTATTCGACCATCTCATTCATTTATGCATGACCATAATGATCAAGATGATGGTGGCATTGTATATGAATGATGAAATGAATAAACCAAAATATACCATTTTTTATTGTTCCCAGAAGACAATATTTACCGCATCATTCTCTTATCAGCAAATAATGTCCATATATTTTTTCCCACATATGATATGTATGGCGTTTTTATTCTGACTGCCAAAATCAATTGACTTGTATTGCCTTTTTATGAATTCTAAAATGACTATAGACTATATAGTACCATTATCGCGCCATTATTTTCTTAGTTTTTTTGCTATTCATCATTTTATTCATCAACTTATTGGTTACTGGTTTTGTTCCATTTGTGATTAATGCGTTGGCGTGTGCACGGAGAAAGAAAAATTGTTCTGGCTAGGGTCTAGGAATTTTTTCTGGTTTTGTTTCATGAAACCATCGTATATAATTGCTATCCAATGGTTTCATTTTTTTATGATAAGATTTTTTTTTATTGATTGATGCCAATTTGGAACGATTTTTAAATAAACAACCAACTTGTGTGTGTGCACTTTTATTATTAGATAATCGATTTATAATGTCCATAATGTTAAATAATATAAAATGGTGAATCTTTTTTTCATTATGATTAAAACTAAAATAAAATTAACGATGAGAAACGAAAAAAAAATATGAAGAAAACAAATTCTGCCTATCCAACATTTTCATCTCTTGATTATAAATGGAAATGGTCCATTTTTTTTTTGTTTTATTATTGCCAATTCAGGCTCTCATGGATTGATTGAATTGAATCTTAATTTTGCATCATAATGATGCTTGTCACGATGTTCATGCAATTCATTTATTCAAATTCATTCTCAAATCCATATACAGAACCAAGATTTTTTTTCGAAATATATTTCAATTTGAAATCAATTTCTGTGTTTAAATCATTACCAAACCAACTTTCATTCTGAATTTGTGATACTGATAATATTTGGTCACAGCTTTTTATATGCAACGCTTACATTTTAAATAGATGTGGCGAGTTAAAAAAAAGTAAGTAAGAATCCTACATCTAACCGACCCACAGACACAGATGGTATAATGGTGAATTACTTTTTTGTAAAAAAATAACACTAACCAACAAGGACATACACTATGATCTACCTGATTTTAAAATAAATTCAAAATTTTATCCATTCCTTCTTTTTTCAGTCACTAAATTGTAAATTCGATTAAATCGATACACCAATTTTGTCAAATTAGATTGGTTTCAATAGAATCGTATTTATTTGAAATGATCCATCGAGCAACAATAAACTTTCTACTGATGATTGTTGTATGGACACACGAGTTGCTTCAATTCTCTGAATAAAACTCCATTCAACCATTGGACATTGATAAATTATTGTACCAATTTCACTAACCACAACCAACACTAAAAACATTTGAAGCAGAGTTTTTTCGTTCATAATAGTGGTGGTTGTTATGCTACTGATTCTTTGTCGTTATTTGTGCTACTCTTTTTATAGATTTCAGCTCTTGAACTCTTCTTGATGATGATTGCATCTCTCTCCCTCTTCTTTATACTCATTCGCAAAATATACATTATTTTGTTTTGGATAAAATCCATTAAGTTTTGCTATCATTTTTTTCAAAATCTCATTCATTTTTTGTTATTTTTTTCACTGGTTCATTCTTTAATTAATTCTCACTTTCATTCATTTCTTTATTGCTCCATTGCACAGGCGTCATGATTGAATCTAGAATATCATTCATATATGGACGAAACAATAATTTCACTTCAACCGTTGAACATGAATTTTCCATATAATCATCGTACATTACGGTATATGTTTATCTAGCAAATATTTTCAATGTGTTTTTAATTATATTAATCTGGATATGAGTTTGTGTTTGTATGAAAACAAAAATCGCTACCGACGGCAGTTCATTACCAAAATTTGGAATCATAAAATTCTAGAATTCCATAAAAGATGCAGATTTACTCTGCTTTACAGAACCGCTTGTTTTCTGGCCAAATCAGGAAATAGGAGAGGAGAGGTCTATTGGAGAAATAGGAGGCATAAGCGAGGAAAATTTGAATCATAAAGCAAGTTTTTTTTACTCCTTTTATCATGCATTTCTCGTTTATGGAGTATTTCTTCCAAATCATGTATGTTTGTCATTATTAATTAAAACTTTCCCAAGTGAATTTTAAATATCATCATCACCATCATCAGATATATACACGTATATACAGGATACAGAGTAGCAAACTTTGTTGGCTATTGGATTGGCTAAACTCATGAAATAATTTTCCTATTCTTTGATCCCTATTCTATTATGTCATCATCATGATTCACTTTTTCTTCTCTTATAATTCGTTTGTGTATAATGAATTCCATACATGCTTTTGTTTGTGTGCTAAATTCTTGTGGGGATATGTGGTCATGGTGAAATGAATGTGTGAGTAAATGTATATGTTCACTGTTTCTATAATTTTATTTAAAGAGAATCTGTCTCATTCAGTCATTTATTTACTGCAATTTTTGTGTGAGACACACATACACACTAATTATTAGATTAAATAATGATAATGAAGCATCATAGTTGGATTTGAATCATGATCGTATGAAACGACTTTGTTCATTAGTCTAGTTCACCACTTTTCTATCTTGATCACGTCTTATGATTTAATTCGACTAAATTTATGAATTGTTTGTGTAGTTTAGAAAATCCATCTGATAGTAAAAATGTTTATTGAGATGTCAATCTGACGATACAGAGAAAAGAAATTCTTTTTCTTTTATAATAGATTACAAATGAAAGTTCACCATTTATTGACAAGACATTCTTATATCAAATTTTTTAAAATGTTTTTCCTATTCATAACAAAAACAGCGTAATCATATTTGCATATTATGACTATTAGTGATAATGACATTGGCTCTTGTTGGTATGACATTGCCTTCATAAAAATATAGGCCATCATAATAGACCATCATCGAATAGCGATGATCGTGAAAATTCTGAATAGCTTCCGAATCAAATTTTTTTAAAAATAAAACTATTGAAAATGTGTAGAATATGAAACTAATGATCATTACCAATGATGATAAAAACAAAAATAAAGAATATATATATATAAAAAGACTATTATTTTGCAGTTAGACCAGTGATTTTCAACCACCGTTCCAGTAAGTGGTCATTACGTCTGAAGTTTTATACAAACTTACTTTCATGACGTATTTTTTTTTGTTTAACGGCCCCTAACAAAAAAAAAAATTGAATATCGCTGATTAAACTATGGGCAATGAAATGAAACCCACAGGTTATCGGCGGAATAATACTGTATTATTTTAATAATGTACCTATACAGTAGATGATGATGATGTGATAGCTGAAGAAAGCTCAATGAGAATATTTTTTTTTGAACCACTCACAATTCTTAATCATGATCATCATAATATATAATCATTATAATTATCATGGGAGATGCATTAAGGCACTGATGCTTATTCTTATCTGGTGAGAATAGAAAATCGCTCAAGATTCAGTCAATAATAATGAACGGTTTTATATATATATATATAAACAGGTGAATGAATGTTACTGTTTCTTTTTCAATCACCTTTGAGCGTTTCATCAATTGCTACTTTCTCAACATTTTCATTTTTTTCCATATTGTATTTATTAAGAGTTGGTTCGTGAATATAAATATTTTGAAATTCTTCGTATGTTGCCTATTAATTTATCATTTGCGTGTTTTTCAGACTATATGAATTGAGTTTATGATAACAACGAATAAATAAACATAAACACGGCGCATATCTGATGAATCGGTTCACGGTTATTGATGAAACAAATTTTCTGGTGTGATATTATTGTTGTTATATATCGATTACAATATTCGTTATTTTTCGTTTTCATCGTTGACATGGCACAAAACTTTTATAAAGGAGAAAAATTTGCAAATCTAAATTTGTCATCGGAATCGTATTGGAAAAAAAATTGTCATATGCTATATCATTATTATCACAAAACGAACAGCAGATGTTTTTGTATTTTAAAAAAAAGAGTTGTATGAAAAATAAATAAGAATTACATTAAACGGATGGATAACATGATCAAAAATAAAAAATAAATGTACTTTTTTGGCATTGATATTCTATAACTCAAAAAATGGTTCATTTATTAATGTTGACCGGTACTTGTTGGTTTTATAAAAAATCAAACTTATGACGTTTAAATTATGATATTGATTCTTTCTATCATAAGATTCAATCCATCATTCATATTGAATACATACATCACAGGTATATTGAAATTGATGATCGAATCAAAATAAGTTTTTTCATTCTTTCTTTTTTTCTTCATTTAGATTTAATTCGGCCTGGCATAGAATGTAGAAAAAATAGCATATATTACATTCACTGTCATAGATAAATTCAATAGTAAATTAAAACATAATCTTGTTCGCCAAGTTTTCAGTTGGCAAACATAATCTCTTTCGAACAAAAAACAAGATATTTATTTTATTTCTATTTGTCAACTGCTACTGTATATGTAGAAACAAAAGTATTCATTGCGAAATTTTTTTGTTTCAAATCACATTGTATTTGAGTTCATCATAGACCAGATATCATATTTCCAATTGAATAAAGAATTTCGGAATTTTGCACATGACCTTTTTTTGTTGTTTGTTTATGGGTGATTTTATTCGAAAACAAATCATACTATATATGAATTCAATACAATATGATTGATGTTTCTTTGAATGGTCTCGACTTCAGAAAAAAAATTGCAATTCCCATTATTTTTTGTCATCTCGTTTATAATGAAGTTGCGATTAAGAATAAGCACAAAACTAATGCTCTATTCTTGTGGCTATTAAACCAGGCAAATTATTTATATGTTAAATTTTTTTTTACTGACAAATTTAACGTCATCATATGAATTATAAATGATGATTTTATCCATGTTTTGTTGTTTTTTCTTTCAAACTTTTTTCCACTATTAATTCCCTACTAATTTTCAGCCACACACAAACACACACACATACATTTATAATAACTTTTTTTTAGCAAAAAAAACACCACATTAACCAGAAAAAGATTTTATCAATCAAATATATATGTTTTAAATCAGATTTTTGTCTTTTAAAAAACGTTATCAACAGAAATAGAAAATAAAATTATTTTAAGTGGCAATGAATTATAAAACATTTTTCAAACAATTTTCATTTCTTTTTGCTCACATCACGTATTTTAATATGTTGTTCAGAAAATTGTTGTTCGTTTTTTTCTATCATTAAACTAAAGTTATAATAAATTATTCTGTAATGATTATTTTGATATTTGGGCCAAACATTTTTGCAACTTTATCTTCACTTTGCCAGCACCTGTCCCCTATGTTAACAAAATTACAGAAATTACAGAAAATTTACAAAAAAAAAAATTGCAGTAGATGCAATGATTTATTCGTTATTTGTTTCATATAATTTTGATTACAAACATAAGATGGTAATCTCATTTTAGTTTTACTAAAAAAAAAATGGTAAAAACTACCACTGAAGAAAAATATAACCTTTAATGCTTGTAAAGTGAAAGTACATTCTTGATGAAAGGGGTGAGCACCAAAATCTGTTGACAATCCAAAAATACAATGATTTTTATTTGATGTTAGATTTTTTTAGTTTTGTCTCTTTTTTTGACTCTATTTATGTAATATATGTCTTAATCTACAAGCTTGTATACTCTCAATGGTTGCCTTTTGTATATGAGAGAAAAAAACTCTTGGCCTCCGTTTTCTTCTAAAGAATTATAGAAATTATTATGATAGGATGTTTCCCTAGTGAGAAATAAAATATAATCTACTACTACTAGAAAATAAGTGCATGCACATGGACAGAGAAAAAGTGAAATAAAAATGAAGGAAAAAGTCATCACTTACAACATGAAAAAAATGATTTAATTCTCTGATTGTATTTGTGTGTGTGTGTGTGGAACGTTGTTAGATTTGAAAAATAACAACAGTCAACGAAAAAAAAACATTTTCATTTTCTTCGTCTTGATGAAATTGGAACAAGTCTTGCTAGATTTTATTCCATAAAATAAACAGCAACAACAACAACAACAATCGAAAATAAGAAAATTGATATCAAAAGAATATGATGATGATATTGAATTCCAAAAAGTCAAGTGGAAAGAATTTCAACCAGCCAACAACATTAGAAAAAATAAATAAAACGAAACATTGATAAACGGAAACAAACACAAAACCAAACAACTAACCGACATCATTTGACTTTTCAAATGCTGTCTACAAATGGTTACTGCAATGGGTTTTGAGCTTTACTATCATATATAATAATAATAATAATATATTTGTCCATGTCAATAATCAATAATTAATGCCATCATAGTCTTATTGTTGATAATATGCTTGAGAATTTGCTCTTTCTTTTTCTTTACAGTTCTCTTGTTGATTTTTAGGTAGTTTTCCCAAGTAATAATTTCTCATTTATGAAACGATGAGAATTTCATTTGAAATTTTCGAGGAAAAAACATTTATTTTTTATTATCTTTACACCTTTTCTTTTGAATGATGCATTTGTTGTTGTTGTTGTTGTTGTTATATTTCACTGTTTTTGCTGACAAATATGATCTGGACCATCGATTTAAATATTTATCGCCTCCAGGTCTAGAGACTTGAATCGTTTTTTTTTCATCACTTTCTCTTCATACACCTACTTAATTTTTCTGGTTTTAGTTTGCAAAAAGTTTTATTCCATAATATGAAAAACAATATTCATTCAAATCACACACTTGAATGATTCTTACACTCTTTAAAAAGATTTACACTTCGATTTAGCGAAGAATAAATAAAAATAACTAAACTCTGTACATGTCTTTGACATTTTTGTTTTTACTTTTTTAAAATTGTTTTTGCTTATTTTCAATTAACACCACTACGATTGATTGAAATTCTTATTCTATGTTATCATTTTGATTTACATGAGCTTAAAGTAATTTATTCATTCAGTTGCATTAATACTCCTACAATTTTTTTTTTTTTTTTTTTTTCATATTTTTCGGCATGAATTCATGCTAAACGATAACAACCACTTTATTCATCTCATGCACATGCAAAATACATATTCCATTTCCATAGGCGTCATAGTTTTTTTTTAACGTTAATAGTATGTATGAAAAATAAGCTCATCTCAAATATTCTTACTAAAGTCAAGATGTTATTGGTGTGTTTATGGAAAAAAAACGAATATGGGACTGAAACTATAAAAAAAAATTTCCATGGTATCTTAATTTCTTATACATATTGGTTAAGTGTTTTACTGTTCAATTTTTTTTACGTTGATTTTACGTTGTTTTTTTAGATATTTTGTTATCGACTTTTCATTTCCCAACATAGGCATTGATCCTTTTTTTTGGTACTATTCAATCCATTTTTTTTCATTTCAACTATCCCTTTTTTTATTCTCTTTCTTGTTGACTTTATTATTTAAAAAATCGATTTTTCATGATGCCAATGTTAGTTTGTTTGACTGAAAGAACAACCATATCTCATTATTCATCATCATCAATAAATTTAACGAGTTTTTATGATTCTTCATTATTATGATTTTCTGTTTTCTAATATTAATAATAATAATAATATTGATCGAAGTCATTGTACATACACAAACCATACATGTATCAGATCTTTTTGTTTCGTCATTCCATCATTGTTTCTAGTTACATTTTTTTTTTGGCTGGAATTTTTCGTTTCACCGATTAACTTGTCATCAAACATGAATAATAAAATAAAAAAATGATAAAGTTGTATTTGAATGGAAGGACAAAAATTCATTTATTGTAAAAATAGAATATATTTTCGATTAAATATAAAGCGCATTAATTTGATTGAAATATTTTCATTGATTGATGTTTAATCATCATGAAGATTTTGTTGTTCAGAAATATCTCTATTTCCTTTGAGACTTTGGATAACTTTTTTTTTTATTTTTGTTTTTATTATTGTTCTGATATAAAAATCATCAATTTCCGTTATCATTTTTTGTTTGTCTCAATCAAAAAGATCTCAGGTTAATAATGTAATGAAATAAAATCGCTTCATTTGTTTGTGTGTTTGCGTGTGTGTGTGTGTGTGTGTTTTCTTTTATCGGAAATATGATGCCATTTTCGTTCGAAAAAAAACCTCAGATAAATATTAAACAAAATTTTAGTCCCACTCTGTTGGAATTTTAATTTTTTCTTGGTTATTGTATGATTTATCACTTTTTTCATCATCGTTTTTTTTGTATCCCCTTTTTTCTCGTTTTTCGCACATTTTTTGATCATGATGATGTTGGTATTCAAAATTGAGACAGAATGAATGCAAAAAAAAATTATGCTGACCAGAAAAACTTTTGGACATGAAATTAAAAATAAAAAAAAATTCCCTTCTTTTTCCATACAACATCATCGTTGCTTATTTTTGTATTTTATTGAAGCATTTTGGACCATTGAGCTAACAAATTTTTTTTCAAATGGGTGATAGGGTAAATAATTTCCTAGAATAAAATGGAAAGATAGAGATAGATGATGATGATGAGGTACGATGGTGATATGAATCTAGTATAACGATGATGCATCATAATGAAAAAAAAAATGAATAATGTTCGTTCAACTATACAAATGAGTAGCGTTGAATAGTGATGAGATGAAATGGGTTTAGGCAAGATTCAATAGTTCTTGGTATTTTCAACAAACAACAAACACCATTTCAGAGTGTTCCATAGTTTTGATATATATATTTGAATGATTTTCATAAACTTGGAAATTTACTGAAAAATCATATATCTATTGAACCAAATATAGTAACAATTAGTTTCATTATATAGAAATAATATTATGTTATTAGTGCATTGCTGTCCCTACTGCTCATCTACATTAACCTCACCAAGAATCGACCAAATTGCTCAAACTTTAGCTGATTTTGTTATTTATATTATTGATTTGTTCAAATTAAAAATCAAACTTTTATCACTTTCGGTGTGATATCATTACATAAAAAAAGTATTGTAATTTTCTCTTCATTATATTCTTTACAATATATTGTTTTTTGGATTTTCAAGATTTTTGTCTCTTTTTTATTATGGTTTTTTTTCATTTTTACAACTCAAACCATAAATGTACACGCATATACAAAACTAATTAAATTATTGTAGATAATTATAATTCTGTTTGAAGCATGATTAATTTGATATTTTTGAGAAATTTCTATTTCTATCATAGATTCCGATTTGCTAAGGCGGTGAAAATATCTATAAGTATTGATTGGCTTTTGCGATCAATTTATATTTAGGATATGAATCTATCGAAATTGATCAGAAAATCATTCATCCATTCTTTCTATGATATTGGTTTGGTGGTTTTTCATCGGATATCTTTCCTTTAAACTCAGGAAACAAATAGGCGTTTCTCAGCAATTATGTATGTTGATTATCAATTTGGATACAAAGCAGTTAAACAAAAAAAAAAATAATTGATCATTTAATCATTGATGAAAAGGCCCTGGAATATTCTTTTAGACATTGATTCGATTATGTGATCGATATTTCTATACTAATCATGCTTGAGACTGGCTTTAGTGAACATAAAATTCTAATGATTAGTTGAATAAAATTGATTTTTTTCGTTGTTATTATCATTCCATTCAAGAATAATTATGATAGGCTTAATGTGTTGTAGAATGAAAATTAAACTAACAAACAAACATTCAACTGATTATTATTTGTGATTTTTAATAATTCATATCCATATATCCATCGGGACAAAAAAAAATTAGAACGGTTTTCATTCTTTTCATTTATTGAAGCGTACAGGAACAACTTACCAAACTTTCATTATTAATATTATAATAAGTTCATGTCAACAAATTTGTTTTCATTGAATGGATTATTATTGCAATCATAATAGTTACCAACTTCATCATCAACATCAACATCAACATCATCGTTTCGGTTTTGTTTCTACCATTCCATAACCCGCTTTGTTTCTCCTCATACATTCGTTTTATTGCTCAATCAGACTAACAGAATAGTTTGAATCTCAGTAATCACACTATGTGTGTGTGTTTGAATAGAGTTCGACCGTTGTTTATTGGATTCTAGCTATTGTTTTTGATTTTGAAAACTGTTTTTTTCTGCCTAATCGAAGCCAATGTTTGTTTGTGTATTTGTATAATTCTCTCAGGAGTTCCTCTTTTTTTTTTTCTTGTTTTTGTCTTCTTTTTTTTTTTTTTTTTTTTTTTGTTCATTTGAGACTAGCTTCCATTTGTTTTCATGTGCAATTTCATACTAAACAAAAAAAACACATAGTCCATTGAATCTGTTTTTTTTTTGCATTTGATGATTGAATGGATTCGGTGATTGGAGCTTATTTCGGTTACATATCATCCATGAGAATAATGAAGAATGAAACCATAACTTCTAATATATAAACTATTTTCCAGGGGACATTGCACAAAAGAAAAAACAAAATGAAAAAAAAAATAAAACAAGCTATGACAGTCAAATGAAACCTCAAGACTTTCACAATAAATACCGAATAGAATTTCTAAAATTCTTTCTTTTTTTTGGAATTTGACAACATCTCATTTATATTGGTTCTTTTTGTAACTATGAAAAATAGATTTTCATTTTGTTAGGCTGGCCCAAAATTTTTTGAAGCAATAAACACAGGATTTCAACAAGAATGTTAAACGGAATTCAAAAAAAAAAAAATTATCCTGCTGTTGGTTAGTTGATTGGTACTTTGTTGTTGTTGTGGCAAAACGATTACAGGAATAAAAACTATATATATGAAAAGCTGAAATTTTTAATTCTTTATTCTGTGAAATTGTAATTAAATTTTTCTCTATTTACACCAAAATAAATAATCAACTATTTTAACCTAAATCATATATTTTTCTTTTCTGAATCAATTATACTTTAGACTCAATAAACAAAGACAAATGCAATATATCGGTTATTGTATCCGGGTAATATGATGATAATTATGAAAAAAAAATTATAGAAAAAAGTTAAGTCCGATTCTGAAACAAAACTATTCATATATAAATGAGGTTGAAATGAATAAAAGCAATTGCATTTGTGATGTGTATGTTTTTGTGTGTGTGTGTGTGTATAATCATAATAATAAAGACTAGATATATGTATGGCGTTGTATGACGTGAAATGAGTGAATATTCTTTTTAATTAACTTTTTCGATTCCATATGCCATTCCGTAGCTATGCATCGTTGCATATATATATTCTATTATTATATGTGTGCAAGGATACACTTGTAAATTCGTTTTCTCATTTTTTACACATGAGATACTGGTGAGTACAAGTGTGAATAAATTGAAAAACATAAACCAAGATGATAATTCAATATGTGTGTCTATAACATTTGAAATTTTGGTTTTTCAGCAATTTTCATTTGATTTTTTTTTTTGAATTCCACATATATGCAAATATATGTTAGTCTTGTTCAATTTTTTTAATTTCATGTTTTTTTTTCTTGTAAATTCCTATTTTAGATTCATAAAAATTGAAACATCACAAGTTCTACCAGATTGATTAGATTTGATGATTCGAAAAGTTTCCCATTTTACATCTTTATTTTTACTATTCTTAATGATGAATGCTCAACAATAATCATCTTAATGTTGTGAAAATTCTACGATAACGACAAGCAAATAGACATCATAATCATTTAAACGACGGCCATACAACAGCCAAAAAGAATTTGTTAGCTCAATTCAAGCGCTCAAGAAACAAGGATCCTTATTAAGGCTCATTATTATTATTGTTAACATATGACCAAATGATCGATTCGCCCACTACCGCCAATACCAGTATCATCATTTTCATAATCATCAACATTCATTGATGATCTGGTTTCTTTTATCGTTGCTATTTTATGATTACTATGCAGTTGACATCTTCAAGGGCAACTTCATTGATTCAAATACAAACGAATATGTCGTCAAAACAACGATTACATTCACAATGTGAATCTCCTTCTAAGCATGTATCTCTTTTCAAGAATCCATCATTATTATCATCTTATTTTGCATTTATTACAACGAATTCAAATTCATTATCATCATCAGATGCAAAACTAGCAACGAAAAGCTGTCATTTACATTATGAAAATCAGAATCTAAAATGGCGACATCAACAAGAATCGTTGCCATCTTTAATAATTTTCATCATTGCCATTATAATGATGTTTTTGTTGCCTACATTTGGTGAGTTTTTTTTATTATCATTTTTTTTTGCATTGTTGCACGAATATTGCTTATGTTGACAATAATTTTGAATAATCTGGATAACATAAATCATAATATACTTCACATTTTTTTAGATCTTATACACCTGATTAATTTGATCATGCACATGTTGTGTTGGAAATAAAAGTATTTCCAAAAAGGACCATAATATGTATTTTAAAAGTACCAATATAAGAAATATTGACACTTGTACAAGTATTTTTGTTTGTTATTTATTCATCTGCTATTGATTCACCATCTGTGACAAATTTCAACTGAAAAATATTGATAAACATTCTTCATGATTATTATAGTTTATGTTTATTAGTTATATTTCCATTTTACTAAGTAAATGTTTTTCAAAAAGCTAAATCTCTTGATAACAAACATTAGCGAGTAAATTTTTCCCATGTATTTGAATTTGATTTATTAATTTTATGAAATGTAAATTTCCCTTTTTTTCTATTTTGATGATAACTAGTAATATACAGATAGATATGAAATGGATAGTGTATACAGTGTTTTTTCCGATTATTTTCCCATAAATTTACTTGTTTATGAAATTTTATTCGATGAAGATGAATTATGTATTCGTTCAAGTGTGTATATCTTGTGTATTTGTTTGAAGGTGTTGAGTATAGTGAAAAAAAAATCAATAGATAGATTCAATGTCAATTTTGTGCTTATATCCAATATTCAAAAAAAAAATACAGAAAAAATGAATGAATGAATGAATGAATGAGAGAATTGTGTCAACAATACAATTTCTGTGTTGATGACGATGAAAGCAAAAAAAAAATAATAATCAAACTCATCAGCATCATCATCATCATCATTTTTTTTGTTCGTTGCATTTCATCATGGATCAGCCATTCACTTATTTTGTGTCTGTTGATAATGAAATTCAATCACATACAGACAGACAGACAATCACACATCTAACAATATATACGCTATATGAGTGTTGTTGTATATATGTGTGTTCATCAATAAATTCAATTTCTGATGTTTTTTCTGTATATATCCGAATTAAAATGACAAGCGACCAACACTACAACTCAAAAATGCAAAACAAGAGAGAAAAAAGCCGATTATGTGTTGAGCTTGGTTGTTTCTTCTTTTTTTTTTTTGAATCCGTTTTGTCGTTTTGCATAGCAAAACAAATGTCATCTTCTACATTCATTCATTTATTCATTCAATTCTGTTTTTTTTTTTCTCCTGCTGTGAGTACACGTCAAACCATAATAAAAACCAGAATAAAACCAAATAAATGGAATAATTTTCCATTTGCATAGCCATGATTGTTTCTTTGAAAACAATAATAACATTGTTATTGTTTGAGCTTTTGTTTGAAAGTTTAATTTCGATGAAAAAAACAGAATTAAAATTTTTTTTTTTACCATCAATTTTGATAAAATGTTTTCACTATTTTTTTTGAGAATCTAATTCATTTTGAACAAAAAATGTTTAATATAATAAAAAAAAACATACTGTATTGACTGATGATTCATTGCTTGTATATATGTTTGAATTCTGACACTAGATATGATTCTAATCAATCAATCACATATTAATAATTGATGATACATGTGTATCTATAAAATCGACTGACAGATTGGAAAATTTATATATAAAATTTGAACATCTGCAGAAAATAAACTAACTGAATAGTAGCTGTATATAATCTACTATTAATATATAACAGTGATCTCCAACCTTTGGTCAACAAATTATACATTTTTTTTTGGCTGATTAGCAAACATATATAAGAATTTTTTTGGATTTCGTTAACTAATAATAACATAGTCACGTATTTCATAAATTTAATATTTACACATATATTGGGAATATAATCTGCGATCTGTGAAAAAAAAATGTTAGATTGCTTACAAGTTTTGCACAAAAAAAGTAGGTTGATAACCACCGTTTCTTATATGATAGCTCGTCTGAGAAAATCTATATGAAAAAATTTTCTCCATTTTGTGATTCACTTTTTTTTGCATTGACATTAATCACTGAATAGAAAAAGCAAACATAAAACCCTACAGCAGCAGCAGCAGTAGCTATATTTGGCTGATGCAACAACTAAAAGTTTAATCAAATTCTTTCGATGACAGACCTTACAATACATGAGAGAATACAAAAAAATTTTTTTTTTGTTTTCACTTTTATTGGTCCCTAATATTTTTTTTTTGTTTTGTTTTGTTTTTGTGAGATGAATTTTGAATTCTCTTTGCACATTACTACATAATGCAAACCAATTTGTGGCGAAAATAGTGAAATAAAATAAAAAATACCATCGTCTTATACATTGGAGAGCTTAATTGAAAATTCTTGCAGTAACATTCTTGTGTTTTTTTTAATATTTTTCTCGCATTTTCTCCTGTTTTATATCACATGTCCATACAAATCAATTTACCATTTTTGTTAATCTTTTCATCAGAAAAATTAAACAAAACAGATTTGTGACTTGATATAATTGTAATATTAATGATTGTAAATAAATAATTTGTTGTGATTATTTCTTGCTTACAATGCTAATAGCTAATCAAAAATTTACCCATTATAATATGATACCTAAGAAATTGGCGAATCTAGGCTATAAAGAGGTAACTGGTATAGTTATAATTGCCAACATTGTATTTTTTGCCCCAGTCTTCTTGTCATATTTCCTGATCATCGTCATCATCATCATCATCATGAATAAATCTTTGTGAAAAAAAACACGATATAGTGAGAAAACGTTGCATTTATATTTAAAATAAATGCAAATATTTGAAAATTTTTTTTGTCTACTGTATGGATGGATTTTTCTCCCTATAGGCTTATAGGTTAGGATTTATTGAAAGAATTTTTTTTAACAAGTTTTGAAAATCACCAGTGTGTAAAACGTTCACAGATTTTTTTTTCCGCTTAAATTTCTCATTTCATTTTTTTTTCTCTTCAACATATATGAAGCATTGTGATGTTTGTGTGTGTGTCTATGTGTGTGTGTGTGTAGAAAAAAAAATAATTACATTGGCTTTGAAGACAAAAATTTTTTTCTTGCAACTCATGAAAAAGTTCCCAATTTTATTGCCTTCAATGTCATTGTTAATGGTACACATCTTTTGAAACATTTTTAAGCAGTTTGTTAATACGAATAACTCATACGGACAGACAGACGCACACGCACAAAAATCATTGGACTATTATTTTTGGTGTATCAGACAAAGGTATCTAACTTTTTTTTGTCTCCATACATGCCTGAAGAAACTTTTGATGTTTGGCATTCATGTTAATTCATGTTAAATCGATCACAAGATCTTATAGACAAAATACGAGTCCAAACATATTATTTGGCATTAGTTAAATGAATATAATAAACACATTCCAACCGTAAAAACTGAAGAAAAATCAAAGAATGAACGATATATATTCAACTGTGTTCGATATAGTTGAATGCAAGACATTGCAAATAAGAATCGTGACTGCAACATCAATGATTATGCCTAGGTAATAATGATGATGAATTTGGGTAGGGAAGCTTACTTTTCATATAAACTACTAATGTTAGACGGTTCACGTAGCCGATTCAACACAGCAATCTATGAAGACTGAAGAAATTTTGTTCATAATAATGAAAATCATTTTTTTCAGCCAAAATAATTCTCTTTATGCCTGTGAAATTTCCTCAATAAATGATTAGTATCAAAGATAGATGAAAAATCAATAAATAATTCGTCTCGCTACCGATTATTGTAACAGCAACAAATGAGACGTGCCAGGCTAATCTTAGCCATCATTGTAAGTCATTGTTATATTTATGAATTCACAAAGACCAAAAAAAAAAAAAAAATTGACAAATTGAGACATGACTTTCTTCCATTTTCAACATCTAACTTTTTAGTACACTAACAATGGCAAAACAATTTTTTGTGGTCTCGTGAGAAAGTAAAAGAAATAGAACGAGAATGCATCATGCATACAGAATACTCAATAAACGAAACAGGAATGTATCTTATAACTGCAAATTTTCGGCATATACGTTAACGTTAAACGGTGACTCAGATGCTGCAGCCATTAGTTATTATTCTAAAGTATATCGTTTTTCTTTCCATTTCTTGGATCAGTTGATTCTGTACTATCCTATCTGTTTGAATCATTGTCGTTGTTGCTGTTATAGGTAATCTAGCATGTAAGAGAAAAATACCAGATGATGGATTGTTATTTTTTTTTGGGTTTGTGTTTGTGTGTTTATGCATCTTGTTCGACAAACAAAAACGATTGGTTTGCCTTCAATTGATCGCTTCCTTTTGATCCACATGTGCCATAGTATGTCATGTATTATTGGTATGCAAAATAAAAAAAAACGTATGCTTTGACCTGATTCTCGATTAGGTTTCTTTATCCGATTTTTTCTTTCTTTTTTCTATTCTTATTTTTCTATACGAATAGCTTAAGAAAAAATTCTTTTGTTCAAATCATACAAAAATGATTGTACTCTGTTGTGACGGCAAATATTGTCTATGTTAAGATCTATAAGAAGATTTTTATTCATTGACAAAAATTCTATATCTACTTCATTGTGTTTTTTTTTGTTTACTAGCATTCATCTGCGATTCAATTCGTAGATGGATTTTTTTGATCAAATTTGTAGAAAAATATCATCCAGTCAAGTAGCAGCAAACGTAAACACCGAAAAGTTGGTAATATCAAAGATACCGAGGCCATTATACTTGTCTAGTTATTCTACATAGCTTTAATCAGTCGATTTTTTTTTGAGATTCGAGTGTTTCTTAGAAATTGCTCTATATTTTGGCATTTGGTTTAGCCATTGTTGTTATATTTATTTACTTTATATTTCGTTCATTTTTATACAAGATTGAGCTATTGCTGTTATATAATCAGATAAAATCCAATAAATAATGCTTCTTGCTTTTGTTTAATCCACTAATTCACAAATTCAATTTTTCTGAACATTGACATTGTCTTTTGGCTTCTCAAAATGAAGCCGATATAGATGTATAAGCTGAATAAGCTAAAAATTCATTTACTTTTCAATGTCAATAAGAAACAGTGAACAATTTTTCTTAGGCTATTCAGCTATTCTACTTTTTTCAAATCTACAATTCTTTTATATTGTTAATCATTTAGAAATTTTAATTTCATGAGAAAACAAAACAAAAATGGATTCTATTCAAGATTCTTTGGTTGCTAGAAAAAAAAAATTTATTTCATTGTACATCATGTTCTTGTCACCCAAACCGAAAACTTTGTAACTGCAATAACAATGGGTCCTATACATATGTAATACATTATAGTGACAGGTATACATGGTAGTGAGTTTTCTATTGAAACATGAAAAAAAAATTCAATAAATCATTCTAGCTGCTGCTCAGCTATTATTGTTAGTAGGAAAAGTTTCGATCTTTTTTTTTTTGTTTTGTTTCTCTTTTGATTTTGTCATTGAATTTTTTCATTTCTTCCATTTTTTTTCATTTAGATGTCTGTGTTTGTGTGTGTGTGTGTGTATGAACGAAATTATTGTATGATACAAAAAATGATCGATAGACATTCGAATTTTCAATTTTTTTTTTTTTAGTTTGTAGTTTGACATTTTGTAACAATTGGATTGTTATCAAATGAAAATATAAAAAATTCATCATTGTCATCATCACAATAACAACTACAACAACAAAAAAAACTGAATTGTTTTTCATTGCTGATCATAATCATAAAATAGGTTGCTAGCCCCTTTTTGCGAACAAGAAGAAAAAAAGACTGAATTAAAATGAAGATTTTAATAAAATAATGATAAAAAATGGAATATTGATCGAAACATCGTTTTTTTTTATTTTTATTTTTCATTCAAGTTTTAGCCATAAGTAAACAAATAAACGAAAAATAAGTTTTCAAGTGTTTATCATTTTTTTTCTCTCTCTCTCTCTCTCTCTGTTGAATTGCTACCATATAATAATTGTGTTTAAAATATTGAAACGAAAACAAAAAACACATTGGCCGAGTAAGAAAAAAAAAGAAAAGAAAAGAAAATTGAATTTTTGTTTTCATTTGGCGTCCAACGTAAATGTTTTGAATAAATAAGCTTGCCAGTTTGTTTGTTTGTGTGTGTGTGTGTGTGTGTGAGAAAATGAATCTTTCATGCATTCTGTATGATGTTTTGTTGTTGTTGTTGTTATTGTTGTTGTTGTTGAATAAAATAACGTTATTATGACTAAGTCGTTTTGTTTTCGTTTCTGTCTACTTTGAATTAAATTGAAAAAATAAATTTTTATACTCATTTTTCTTTGTTTGTCGTCTACATTGTGTTTCATCTTTATTTTTCTTTTTTTTTGTATTATAACTATTATAGATTTTTCTAAACACTGTAAAAAATACATACAAAACGAATGATGATGATGATGATGAATTTTTTTTTCTTATTATTTCAAACATAAACATGAATAAATATAAAAGAACACTTCAACAAGAAAAAACTTTCTTACGCTTAGATATATTGGTAATTATTTTTTTCTATATATCATTTTTTTTTTTTTTTTTTTTTTGGTGAAGTTTCTTTATTGTCAAAACAGAAAAGAAAGAAATTCATAAAGACCAATCTTACATTAGGAAAAAAATGTATGTATGTGTAAATCTTTATTAAATTGAATTAAATTAATAACCTTAATATTAAAAAAAAAAAAAATGGCAACGATGGCATGCTGTGTGCTTTATTCATTCATTTATTCTGGTACAATTTAGTTTGGAAAAAAAGGGTTAAAACAGATGTTTTCTTTCTTTTTTTTCTGTATTTTTATCTCAAAACTACCAAGTTTTTCCATACGAATAATGATAATGATGGTGGTGATGATAATAATAATAATAATAGTTATTACTGAGTCATAGTGGTCATTATGAACGTTTATAGACTTTCACGAATGTATTGATGAGACCTATGGGACTTATTATTAAGATATATATCAATATATGGATTAGTGTAAAATTTAAAATTTTTTGTGACATTTTTCAAGACAATGATAATCGTCTTTTTTTGGTTGTAGCTCATAAAAATTTTATTTTTTCAAATTTATGGCTTTAAAATTAGTTATTATGAAGTGAAAATTGTCTGTAAAGAGATTATCATCATTGTTCTGGTTGTTGATCGGTTTTTTTTCAAAATTTAAACTCATACTAGAATTTTACTCTAGAAATATATTATAATCGTTTATTATAAAGATATTTTCATTGATAAAAAGATCGTTTTATTTTGTTGAAATTCATTGTTTGATTCCAAAAAAAAAGTGAAAAACAAACATTTGGTCTTCGATGTTATGTTGATGAGTACATATTGATGATGTGTTCATGGCGGAAGATTTGTTTTCATTTTTCGAATAGAGAAATACTTCAACTTTATATGTATGTTACATATTCAAAAGGTGAAAAAAGAATTCCTATTCATAAACACTGCATTACATGAATTTATGCGTAACACGATGGATAAATATTTGCGAATAAGGGCCAGAAAATAAGCTGACAATAGAACAACAAACAATTTTTTTTTTTGCATACTTGCAAACACCGGACATGTTTTTAAACTGAATAAGGTCTATCACGTTCCAATTCTTTCAATAAAAATTAAAAGAATGAACTTTGTGTTGCATAATTATTGAATGAATGAATTAACTAGATTATTTTGTTCAATTTCTCTCTCTCTCTCTTTCTCTCTATCTTGATTCATTCATATTTGATTTGTTCGTCATCATCATAATCATCAGTGATCTGTGGTTCTCATGAACGTCGATTGTTAAATGATTTACTCAGCAATTATAATGTACTTGAACGTCCCGTTGCCAATGAATCAGAAATATTAGACGTTTATTTTAGCCTCACATTGCAGCAGATAATCGATGTAGATGAAAAGAATCAAAACATAATCACCAACATGTGGCTTAGATTGGTATGTTTATTGCTTTCAAACCTTTTTTTTTTTATTAATTATTCATATCATTTCAAAGGAATGGAACGATTCAAATCTTCGATGGTCCCCCAATGACTATGGTGGCATCACTGATCTTCGAATTTCACCCGATAAAGTATGGCGTCCGGATATATTGCTCTACAATAGGTGAGTACATTATATTGACATTTATTTTAATCATCTGACATTTTATCATAGTGCCGATGAAAAATTTGATGGAACCTATCATTCGAATGTGGTGGTCAATCATAATGGCAGTTGTCTCTACATACCGCCTGGTATTTTTAAAAGTACTTGCAAAATTGACATCACCTGGTTCCCTTTCGACGATCAATTTTGTGATATTAAATTCGGATCGTGGACTTACTATGGATCAGCAATGGATTTACGATTCCTAAATGATAGCAGCAATGGTGATATCTCGCCGTACATTCCCAATGGTGAATGGGTTTTGCTCGGTATGTACACTGTATTTTTTTCATAGATAATTTGTATGAATTAATTGCTTTCTATAGGAGTACCCGGTCTTCGTAACGTTCAAAGCTATGAATGTTGTCCTGAACAATATATCGACATTACCTATACGATTGGAATCCGTCGACGTACCCTATATTATGGCTTCAATCTAATAGTGCCTAGTGTCATTATTTCATCGATGACATTGCTCAGTTTTACTTTACCGCCAGATTCTGGAGAGAAATTAACATTAGGCGTCACCATATTGCTCTCCATGATTGTAAGTCTATCAAACTCTATCTTCACAAATATAGAAAAACCTTGAACTTAATCTTATTGCACTTTATTATCGATTCAAAATGTTTAGGTGTTCATGATGCAGTTGGCCGAAATTATGCCTGGTAAGTTACCTTGTTTGATTCTTTTTATATACTTGTAATTAATGGAATTAGATTTATCTTGGCTATCTTCCGATTCATTCGTTGTTCAATCAAGTGAAAATAATTCCGAAAAAAAGAGAAATGCGATTTATAAACAAAATAGGTCTTCGTTCTTGTTGTTCTTTATTATTATTCAAACAAATCGTAACAATGTTTTAGAATTCATTAATATATGCTTCACTTTATACATGTTTTCTTCGTAAACTTGGATAATAAGTTTTATCTGATGATAGATCTGCTGTGATCATCTTCGTAAGTTTGTTTTTGCAGCATGGCAAACTATTCTAGAATTTTGATGTGAATTATTGTTTGGTCTGTTGTTTTGTTCAAAAGCCATGATAACATCATTATCCGATAGGCCATCAGCTCATGACTTGGCTCAATTTTTTATTTTTTATTTTTGTCTTTGCCATTGTTTAGGTAGAGTAGAACAATTTTCTAACTCGTTTTGGATTTTCCGGTTATGTTCTGAATTCATTTATTTGAAAAAATCATTTTATTCTCAATGAAAAACAAAAGATGTTTGCAACCGTTTACTTATATAAGCATCAATAACAACGACCACAGGGTTCGATATTCTTGAATTCTAATTGCTAAGATATAACGTTACTCGGCACTAATACTGATGGTACAGACATTTCGAGAGAATAATAAACTCTTGAGAGAAAGAGAGTGGTAAAAAGAATGAGTTTTCAATATATAACAAAGGAATCGTTTAGCATTTTAATAAAATAGGTTTTTTTTGAGATGCTATACAACAAGAAATAGTTTCTAGAGTTAGATGGCATAGGATATTACTGACGTTATTCGACCATGCAATCCACTTAACATTATTATTTCTTATTATTCGTTGTTCATCATTTTCCAATTCAATCATACTTAGTATGATGTGCCGTTTCAGGACTGCTTTTTTATCCTGTATATGATGATGAGCAATCTTGAAAATATACATTTCACATATTTTTTCTATCACTTGTACTGATTTTATTTCAAGAAACGGATTTTTTCTTTGAAATTTGAAACAAATTCCTATTGGCTGTGAATATTCAACTAGATTTTATAGAGATTTTTTTTTCTAAAGTAGATTACCTTAAGAATAATGTTGCTATAATGTAAAGAAAACTCTAATCTTGAAAATTTTTAAGTTTTTTTTTGAATTTAAAAAAATGAAAATTATTAATTTCTTAATCAATGTTCCCAAAAACTAACTTAGAGATTTACCATCACACTTGGGCATAAATGTAAAATTTTTTACGAATCGATTGAGCCATATAATGATGAATCATTCTATTTGATATTCATGAAAGTTTTCACTCATCAATCAAGTTATCTAATCTCGATGATTATGATCACCATGATTGCATTGTATTTTTTTTTTTTTTTTTTTGTAATCATGTTGCAGTGATATTATGCCAATAGATGCGTAGTCGTGTAGAAATCGTGTTGTTTTTGTTTTATAATTAAATTGATTTTATGTTTATTTGTACCATTACAATTCGTTTGACTTTTTTTTCGTTCGATAACATGATAGCATTGGTTACATTGTTACAAAATTCAATGATTCTGAATTGTTGTGTATGAATGTTCAATTAGAATGAATATAACAATACATTCATAGAATATCGAATGAATCATTTTAGTTATCAAAATATCAACATTCAGTATGAGTTATTTTATTATTTTGTGGGTGTTACGGCCACTTTATCTATTCAACAATTCATGATGATGAATTCAACATTGAAAGTCATTCCATATAAACTAATAATGAGAGTGGACGACAATGATTTCCTTTTCGGAAACATGTTTATCATATTCAATCTTATTGTACTTTATCGATCATCATTTTCATTATATTTGCTTTTTCATTGAAATCAGCTACATCGGATTCTGTTTCTATTATTGGTAAGTAAATTGGGTAATTTTTTATCTTGTCAAAAATCCTAACACTAATCGGGCCACTTGCCGCGTTTGTCTTTGTTTGGTTTGATTTGATTTTGATACATTGTAGGATCTTATTTTGCTTGCATTATGGTCATGGTGGCTTTCTCTGTTGTTATGACTGTGGTTGTGCTCAACTTTCATCATCGGACCACCGAACAACAACAGGAGATGCCTACTTGGGTAAGTATATCCAAGTTATATAATGAAGACTTATGATGACCATTTTATTTGATTTTTTAATTGATTTGGATATATTCTATGTCGAAAATTTATAGATACGAAAAGTAATTATTACTTGGCTACCAATAATATTAAGAATAAAAAGGCCACCCGAATTGCTACGTACTGAACAGCATAGGCAGCAACATCAATCAACCAATAACTTTCATACTCAGCATCAAGCCTATTGTGCAACGAATAATCCATACCAAAATCAGAATCATGTGCCATCAGACACTTGGAACACTCCAGGTGTTGCTATTAATAACTTACGTTCTAGCGCTACCGCAGCATCATCTTTGACAACCAATCATTTCAACACACCATCATCACCGACGCATTTGGAACTGATGCGTTTGACTGAAAAGATGAAAGAATATGAATCATTATGCCATAAACGTGGTTGTGCCCATAGATCTCAACAGCAGAATCTTGATCGAGCCAATCGACAATCGAATGGTTGTGGAACAATGAGTGGAATTTGTCCATATGCTTATTCTACATATCCGCCGCCCCCTGGTCATATGAGTCATCATCATCCATCGCCATCAACAATGAATGAACAATTTCTTGGACAACAACAGCAACGTCGCCAGTGTAGCGGATTGTTAGCCTCGGATGAAGCAATCCATCATTTTGATCAGCAAAGTCAGCAACAAAATTATTTTCATCTTCAGCACAATGATGCTGCTGTCAGTTCTGTTTATATTCAACAAAATCCTTGTTGTTGTTGTACTTGTACCGGAACTGGATCACATCAAACAATCGATTATTTTAATTCAATAATGCAAGAGCTTCGTTTCATGACCAATCGCTATAGACGTGAAGATGATTTGGCTGATATAATAAGTGAATGGAAATATGCCGCCATTGTTATTGATCGCCTTTGTTTGATTGTATTCAGCACGTTTGCCGTAATGTCATTAGTTATGTGTTTAGCATCAGCTCCACATTTGTTGGCTTAAACTTTTTTTCATTTTTACTTTTATCATTGATATAATCTGTTCATTTTACTATTGCTGTAATCATCATTATTGTATTGTTTTTGATGTAAAACAAAGACTGATCAAACCCAAATACTCCAATACAAAAAAAGTCAATATTATTGTTTCTTGAAGTTTTGTATATCACTTTTTCGACAAATATTGGAATAGCAAATCCCTGTTGACCGATCAAAAATTTCCTAATTATCAGAATGGTAAATTTTTTTGTTAGAATTATATTTCACCATTTCTTAAGACAATTCCATTATTATCATTTCAATCATTACCATATTTTTTTGCATTTTCTCATTTAAATGCTATACCTGTTAATTTAGTAATTTAAAAGTCTATGACACAAATTTTGATTCAGTTATTGCGATTTTATTTTTATCAATCTACTTTTTTAGTTCATAATATAAATTATATCTTAATCATTCACGACAATATATATTCTGTTTAAATATAGAATTTAACTTGTATTGATACACGTTTTTGCATTTTTGCGTTGCCTATGTTTTTTGTTTAAATTTTTTTTTAGATCTTGATGCTTGCCGTTGTTTGTTTGTTTGTTGTTGTTGTTGTTGTTATTGTCAACTGCTACTGCTCCATGAATCCCAACTTCCATTTCATTGTTATCCATTTCCTTTTGCTCATTATTTTTCTATACCTATATATATGTCTATTAATATGATTGTAATATATATTTTGTTTTTTTTCGGTTTCGTTCGCTTTACCAATGATGAGTTGAGCGATAAAAAAAATGGAACAAATAAAATAAAATAACATTTAATAAAAATATAAATATTCTCTAATTTCTATAAAAACATTTCATTATTCCAATATATGAATAATCAACACCTGTCAAAAACTTTTCTGTTCATTTTCCCTTCCTATTATTTCAATGTCTACGTTTCAATGTCGATTTTGTTGTTTATATTGATTGAAACGTGAAAACTTTTCTCGTTTTTATTTTTTACTAAGTTCAGTTACGTGACCTTTGATATGAAGTATAATAGCCGATTTCATTTAATTTGATTATATTTGAATAGAACAAAACAAAAGCATTGTATAGGCTGCGATTTTTTTTCTATTTAATCGTATAGAACAAAATATTTCATTCATTTTGAATTAATGATGATAAACTTTATCCTTTTGTTGCTGTTGATGATAAAATGACTGGAATGTAAAAAAATTGTCTCCACAATTTCAATAAAAATTGTCTAAACAAGAATTTAAAAAAAAAAGTTTCGCTTTTGATGGTTACGGTAACCCTCAGGCCAACTATCGGTTTCATCCATGACAGCATCGATTTGGATTGTCGGCTAAAGCGTTTTTAGAACAAATGTAAACATAGGCATACACGCACATCTTTCGTATGACATTCATTTGGCATGATAACAAACAAATTAGATTATATCAAACCGTTCATAAAAAGAAGCAGCATAATGACACTTTAGCATATTTCGGAGACCACTTCACACATAGATCAGAATGGAACTGTTGTTTTATTATTGAGATTGATTTTATTAACACATTATGATTTTTGTCCTCCATTCTATTAATGATGAAATATTTGAAGAAATGTCCAATTCATATTGTCGTCGATAAGGTTTTTTTTATGCCTATACGGATTATGGTAATTAGAGAGTATATATACTAACGAATGAATGTAAATTTCAATTGCATAAAAAAATGCATTATTAGAAATGAATTCTCAAACATTATGTCATGTCAATTTTTCATTATTCTATTTTGGTATGTAAATCTTGATTACCCTTTTTATTATAAAATGGAAAAAGAGTTGAAAAAAAATTCTTTCCAAATCAAATATTTGAACGAAAAAGTTTGAACTAAAAAAAAGAAAAGAAAAAAGGTTTCGATGGTGTGATGTGTATGATTTGAATTCATTACATTTTCTTAAAGAACTAATGATATCTTCATAGTTATTGTTATTACGTCATTTTATGATGAAACGTAATAATGTTTAAAATTAATCAACAAAAGGATTATTTTGATAAGTTGTCTTATTCATTTAAACCGTTGATGATTATGATCATTCTTATTAATCGTTGTTATTCTATTATTACATCTAATTTTTTTTACAAGCTCAAAGCAGGAAGAATGGTAAATTTCGTTAGATGAAAACCTTCTATTTCAAATAAGAATGTTGTTTGCATTCTTTTTTTTTTTTTTGGTTTATGTTAATCAATAATAACTACAACAACTCATTTCATGCTTGAATGTCTCGGGGAAACGTAGTGGGGATCGTCGTTGTTATTGTTATTTGTAACTAAGCGATTCGAATTTCAATCAAATAAATAAAAGTTAGTAAGTGTATATATGAATTTGGTGGTTTTGTTGTTTCCGAAAGAAAAATTGAAAATGAATCATCTTGATAACTAACGAATCCATCAACTCAGTTGTGAAAAAAAAATAAATGGCAAGACTTAGATTGCTAACATTGTGATTCTGTATTTATTAAGAATCTCATTTTTTTAAAATAAACTTTATGATAATTATATGCGGGAGGAATTTGTTGTTAAAATTTTGGCTATCGATTGGTAATATAAGACGCATTCTAGTTTTCTATCTAGTATGTCTCGGTGAATTTTATTAATTTATTATTTTCTTTATTACCACTTCATTCATTGAAATTGACGATTTTACAAGAAAAAAATTCAATATAGAATAATGCACTAAAGATTGTAATAGTCTTGGTTATGATCATGTTCATTCAACTTTTGAGTTTAAATTTTAATTAGATTTCAAATAATTGTGGCTTTAAAGTTTTGCCGGTTTGCTTGCTTGATCTCACTTGAATTACTTTCCATGTTTGTGTCTATATATTCGTTTGTAAATATCATTGATTCGGGGTACTTCAAATGTGTAAATAAATAAGACTGAGAGTGATAGACAATGAAAAGAAAACTAATCAAACTTTTTTTGAGTTCTAAAACATTGTTCATTCAATCAACTTTTCCAGTCAGTTCTTGCCTGTAAAGGTGTTTCGGTCATCAATTTGTGCTGTATGTGTTGTAAATCAACTACAAGCGAATTTCATTTATCATATATCCTAGTTTCTGGAACAAATCAAATCCTCAGGTGAGTGATGGGTTTTGAAATTAATTGGCAACCCAGAAAATGGTTATTTTTTTTGCTAGTATGTGCTTGGATAAGTTACCTATTTTTTTTTGTTGTTAATAATCCAATGTGATATTCACTAATCAATTTGCAACTAAATCGTCTTGCGCATTCAATCTCATGACAATTTTGAATATCCATACGCCTGCTCCATTCACATTGGTTTCGAAGTGGTAGCAGCATCTCGAATTTAGGATAACGCCGCATCCATTTCGCCAAGACATTGCTATAAATTGTAAATTTCCGATGGCCAAACAGTTTTTTCTTCAGTCGTGGTAACTAAGTCAAACTGAACACAAGGAGCTTCTATTCAAAAAAAGCTTGATAACAAATTCGAAAAAATTTTCATATAACTCTCAACATTCTCAACTACTCTACAGTGGACATCTGGTGGCCATGAAGGAAACTTTTTATCGAGAATTTATTCCTTTTCAATCAGTTGTTAAAATTGAAAAAACATTATGTTTGTCATTATTGATGATCTGTGATCTGGTCTATGGAGGCATCAATGAGCGCCACTTGATCAACCACCTTCTAAACAATTATAATCCATTAGAACGGCCAGTAGAAAATGAGAATGACACATTAAATGTTATATTCGGCATTACATTACAACAAATAATCGATGTTGATGAGAAGAATCAGATATTAATTTCAAATCTATGGTTGAAATTCGTATGTATTCGATAAGTAGACATTTGATATTTAATCTGAAAATTTGATAATTTTCCTAATTTTTTAAAGCAATGGGTAGACATAAATCTTCGCTGGAATCCAGAAGAATATGGTGGCGTTGAAACTCTACGTATAATGACCGATCGTATTTGGATACCGGATGTATTAATGTATAATAGTGCTGACGAAAGATTCGATAGTACATTTCGCACCAATGTTGTTGTCAACTATACTGGAGGATGTTTGTATGTACCACCGGGTGTATTTAAAAGTACTTGTCGTATAGATATTACATGGTTTCCATTTGATGATCAACGTTGTGAACTTAAATTTGGATCCTGGACGTAGGTGTTATTAAAAAATTCATGACATATTATACTTATATTATGATTTACATTTCCTGATAGGTATGATGGGTTACAAGTGGATTTGTTGCCGGAAAATGTCTCAGCCGATACGTCTGATTATCAAGTAAATAGCGAATGGGTACTTGTTGATGTTCCATCGATTCGAACATCACAATATTATGAATGCTGTCCTGGACCATTTGTTGACATAAAATTTATTATACACATCAAACGCCGTACGCTGTATTATGGCTTCAATTTAATAATACCTTGTATAATATTGTCTTCGATGACATTATTAAGTTTTTCATCACCACCAGAATCAGGTGAAAAATTGCACCTAGGTGTAACCATTCTGCTTTCGATGACTGTATTTCTCGTTCAATTGAGCAAAATTTTGCCTGCCACTTCGGATTCTATATCAATCATCGCTTTGTATTTTGGATCGATCATGGTCATGGTTGCTGTATCAGTTGTGATGACTGTTGTTGTGCTCAACTTTCATCATCGTTCATCAGAAACAAAAGAAATGGGACCTAAACTACGAAAATTTTTACTGGATTGGTTGCCACGTTTGTTGGGCATGGATCGACCAGGCATCAAGCCACCAAAACAGTGTATACTGAAAAAAGTCTCATCTACACAAAAATTAGTGGCTGCATTAGGATGCGCTGTTGTTCCACACGATAATGACAACAACATTCATAAGCAAAATTTTGCTACGGAAAATCCTGATTTAAATTTTGCCGCTGCTGATGAAGTAATGCTCATGATGCAGACAACTGGTCTGACTGGCAATGCTAATTTAACATGCAATTCGATTCCTAAACTCAATAGTCCACCAACTGTTGTTCCATTAGATTGCGATGATGACCGAATTCCTCATCAAATCGAGAACGTTACTAACAATGCTGACCATAGATATCTTTTTCATCCAAATTTATACATGGAATCAGCAGACGACGTTCTCCATGAACATGAATCCAACTGCCTTTTTTTACAGCGAACCAATGATTCAGTCGATAAGTCAACATCGAATAACCATCATCATAATAATTTGCCTCTAGTCAATAACAGCGATTCAATTGATTTGACAAAAACAGACGATTTATTTAGCTGTCGCGATGATACTCGCGTCGAAGATGATGGCCCCGGTTCTGAAGATTGTCTATTGGACGAGGATCTCGATGTAGAAGTATCGATTGCAATGACTGGGTCTAGAACTCGTCTAATAAACAATAAAAAAGATGGCCTCAATAAAATTAATGAATCTCGTAACAATTTAACGGATAAAGGTGGCCATAATGTGGATGATGATGATAATGATGATGATGATGATGATGGCGAACAGGATGAAAGCCATAATGAAATCGATCCAGAACATTATGGCCTACATCAATATATGAGCATGAAACGTCGACATAAATTACTAGAAATATTGATCGAAATGCGTTTTATTACAGATCGTCTGCGTGAAGAAGATCAAATCAAAGAGCTGATTGCCGAATGGCGTTATGGTGCAACGGTTCTTGATCGTCTTTGTCTTATATTGTTTACTTTGTTTACCTTATTATCATTGGCCATATGTCTCATTTCTGCTCCTCAGTTGATTGTTTAGCCAAATAATATTCTTTTCTAAATATTGTATCTGATTGTTTCAATTTTCCGTTACACAAAAACGTACAATATATATGATATTCTAACTTTAAAATAAAGTATTTACATTTATCATCTATCTAATGTTTTTTCCAATATTTTGAGCAGACATTTTTATATTCTATAATGGCCATTTTGATTGAGCTTTTTTGGAAGAGGATATCCTAATGTTTAGGAAACAATCTTGTATCATTTTGTTGTTGTTTTTTTTTCTAGAGATCAGTACCTAATTGACATTACATTGTAGCAGATTAAACGAATAAATTATTATATAAATCTCGATCAAAATTTTTTCTACTTTACATTTTACAATTCTCTTGAATTCAGGTTTGAAATTATTGCTTAGATTAAAAAAAACAAAATAATCTGGCAAAGCTTTTTTTTGTCAAATGAAGCAGTTTAATTATTATGTGGTACACATAAGGTTGCTAGGCTATCCAATTCCAAATACCTAAACGCCCGATTACTCCTATCTGTATATGCATTTATTATATGAAAAAATTTAGAACAATAATAACACACACACATACACAAACAAACATACTCAAATGTCATTTTCAAAGTGTTATGAAGACTGACTTGAAATGAAATGCTCGCATCACTGAAATGAAAATTATTTTGACAATTTCTTTCTGTTGATTTACATTCAAAAAAGTTTATTCTCTGTTAATTTTTTTTTTCTTATATGATCAGTCTTGAATGTTGGAAATACGAACTGTTCTCAAAAATGGGAGCTATAATAATGATGATAATAATTTTTAATGTCGAGCTCTTCTAGATGTTTTGCAGAAAAAAAATTTTTTTTTAAAAGCTTAACAAACTGTTAGCTTTTGTTTCACGTGAATGACAATTTAAATTTTTTGACAACTAAAATGTCCAGATTTTGAAAAGATAAATAAACAAAAAATCAAAATAAAAAATAAACAAACAATATCAAATATCACCATATACACATGACTATGTTATTTGAATTGCATTTTTGATTAGTTTCACTATCTATACAATCTATCTATGTGAGAAATATATATATTTTGATTGTTTGTAAGGTATAAGAATCATGTGTGTATGGTACTTTCAAACACAAGTATCGTGAACAACCTGCAGAAAATTACATTGCAAAAAATTATCAATAAAGTCAATACAGGTACTCTATATATACCAATGAGCCAAAAAAAACGGTGCAATTAGATCTCATGTTTCTTTTTAGAAAATTTCGCCCTAACATTTCAATCCAAGGGAGCATCAATAAATGCATCGCCAATTTTTTTTTTGGCTGCAATAATTGTAGTCAACCAATTGATTCTGATTTGGCGTCATGATTTTTTTTCACACAAATTATGATCATGTTTGTATTATTCCTATGATCAATCAATAATCGACCAAGCTTGTTAAGCATATACTTTCTTCTATATATATATCGATCTAATGTTGGCTTCACTTCATTAATTATAGCAGATATCATCAAAGTGTTTATGTCAATTCATATTCTATATTGTTTTCTAGTCGTTTTACCGATTCCTTTCATTGATGATAATGTCAAAATTTTTTTTCAATATCAACAAACGCTTGATCCATATGACATTTAAATTTTAGTTGTTATGCAAATTCATTTCTAATTTAGGTACTTATAGAAGAAATATTTCAATAATAGTTTATGAGTCCATTTGAACAATCAAATATTTTTTTTTCGGTCTAATTAATGCTAAGATCAAAAAAATTGTCAATTAAGGCTTAAATGGAATTTAAATTACGGTTTTGCTTTTGCTTCGATGCCGTATTATTATGCTCGACGACAGAACGATAGAGAGATCAAGTCATAATTTTTCATGAATTATAAGATGCTTAGTTGAAAGCAAAGACAATAATTGAGCATAAATTAATTCAATCATCATCATCAACAATTTTATGACATTAAATTGACTAAATTCTTTTTCGCAATTTTTTTTATTCATTTCACTCCAGTAGCTCAATTTATGTAAAAACAAATTGATTAGCATCATTCACTCAATTCGTTGGAAAAAAGTGACAAAGATAATGGAAAAAGCGTCATTCAAACTTTTAAAAATTGAAAAGTTTTTTTGCTTGGTTGCATAGTGCATCGGTTTCTGATGTGTATGATGTGTGTGTTCCAAATAAAAATGTTAATATATGAATATGAATATGATATGATCTAAGCTTAGCAAGCGAATAAAAATAATATTAATGGTTTTTTTTCATTTTACCAAAAAAAAAAAATAAATAATTTCATGCTTTGAAATTAATTGACACAATCCGAATAGAAAAACTATTTCAATTTCCGGTGAATGTATTTTTGTTCTGATCAATTCATTGGTCAAAATTGACTTGATATTCATCAATCAACTGGCAAAACCAACACAATTTGCAGTTTATCAATTAAGCCATTACGTTTGTTTTTTTTTTTCGAATCATAAATATATACAATTTTATTTGTGTTTTAAATCCATTCAGAAAATGATAATTTCTATAAACTCTATTATAAAAGCTTATGGCCATTTGATTATTGAATAGGCATTCAACATATCTTGTGCCATAACAATTCGAAACATATGAATCAATACTATTTCTTCTTGTTTATATGATTAGATTTTGAGCCCACCAACTGTGGCTGACAAATTGCATTTCGGTAGGGGTTCTTTTTTTTAGTGGCTTTGTCTTTTTTTTCAAATTCTTAGATTCTCGAATTGAACAATCGTTGAGAATTTAGTATTCACATAATTTTAATATTATCATTCTAGATCAGTTGTTAATATATTTGTCCCCTACCCATCATAACAATCAATTATATGATATTACAATAACTTTCAATTATATATACTTATTTTAAGCATCAAAATAAGCATGTAGACATTTTTTGTTTTCATTTTATTTTAAGAACGAGAAAAAAAAATTCTACAGAAATAGGGAGAAAATTTATTTATCTATTTTTTTCTTTAGTTTTAGCACCACCTACGGCAATATATTCAATGCTCACTCAATACGAATCGCTTAAAGATTTTAACTGCTTTTTTTTTCTTTTCGTTTGTTGCATCAATGAATTGAAACAAACAAAAAAAACCATTTTTTTCTTTAAAAAAAACGGAACAGAATTGCCAAATTGTGTAATCAACATCATATCCAATGATGATAATCATTGTTATGGAGCTAATCTCTGGAATCGTATATGTGTATTTCCCTTTTATATTTTATATGTTATAATGATGACGATGATGATTATAATGCAGCAAATAATAGTGAACAATTTCAAGGGATTTGAAAAATAAAAAAAAAAATTTTATTTTTATTTTAATTATCTACTTTTCAATGCTACACATTATGTGTATGTTTGAAATAAAATTCCATTTCATTTTATTTCACTCGATATTTTATTATTTTATATATGATATTTTTTTTTTGTTCACTATTATCATCCAAATAGTAACAACAACAACAACAAAGATATTTGAAAACTTTTTTTTTTTAATTTTCAACAAATTGTTCACTGTAACAAAAAAAGAGTAAAAGAATTCTAATTTCTACAATATTAACCTTTACAGAGTTTCGCTCTAATCGTTAATCAGTATGATGATGATGATGATGATCAACTCTTTTTTTTTTTGGTTATTGTTCATGATCAATTATTTATTATTTTAATTTATATAATGATTATGATGATGGTTAATAACTTTGTCTCTTCCAATTATAATGAACTTTTGCGTAGGACATGAGCTGATTTTTGTGTTTGTTTTTTTTGATGATGATGATGATGATGATGAACAATTGTGGTTCGCGAATTATTTGAATACACATGTTTTGATTCTTTATATAGCAAGAAATGTCCGAAAAAAAGTTTCACTAAACAATCATTGTGTTTTCAATGTACAAAAAATAAATGATTGACGATCCGAATTGTACAAATTCACAAGAACCGTATGAATGTTTTGATTTTTTTTTATAATCTGCTTGATGTTCATTCATGTATGATGAGTATGATGTCCAAATGACTTAAAAAATTAGATTTCGATTTTAAAACTGGCGACCGGAAACAATTTTGATAATAACCATTAACCGATTCTCATATTACATCATTGTATTTTTATTTGACTATAAACAAATAAGATTTGTTTGTACAGTAAATATCGCTGTTAGCATTCTGTTGTTGTCTGTGTTGTTGTGTTGTTATTGTGTTTGTTGCTTGATTTAGACATCACACCATTGCATGATTTATTAAATTTGATTTTGATTCTTATTGATGGAAATCATAGCCAATCGGTCGTACAATAAAAAAAAACCAGATCATACACCCACATGAAAAAAATGTAATGCGTAAAGTGTGTCTATAGTATTTGGGTGCACGAGAGCCAATCTAGTAGCTTGTAGGCTGGTTGATATTAAATAATAAAAATAATTTTTTCAATTTTTAAATTCGTTCTTGAACATTTTTGAACAGCTTCACTTAATTCCACATATACAATCTATTCATTGATCATTGTTGGCAGTCCGGAAATTTTAAAATTTTGATTTTTTTTTCATTTAGAATATAATGATGGCGGTTGATAATGATGAATAATATTCCCAGGTTATTATATTCAATACGAAGGCAATTTAATCGGCAACATTGTTAGAATTTTTATTATTATAGAATAAAATGAAAACAGACTGGTTAATTTTTAAACGGAATTCAAATTAAAATGATGAGAAACGTGACACGGTTTGCAGTTTTTTTTTCAATATTTATAATAAAGAAGTTTATTATTCAAATCAGATGACAGCAGGCTTTATTAATGTCATCATCAAATTGATATTCGATTACAATGAAGAATTCACAAGCATTCACACATAAACGGACGATAATTAATTGCAATTCGATCTTCAATGACATATAATGTACAGAATGATGCGTTCCATTGGCAAAAAAAAATCTCTTTAGGTCGCTTTGGGCGGCATACTTTCTTTGTATATAAACAATATAATCCAATCCAATCCAAATGCGTCAATCAATCGTCTATCAATTGGAAATTTTGGAAAACAAAATCGCCATCATCATGTTTTCAAAAAAAAGGATTTTCGAGAATATCAAAAACCAATATTCAAAGCAAACATTTCAGAAAATTGAGCAAAAAACGATTCATTTGAAATTTTCATACAAAATGCTTGTTTACATTCACTTATTTTCCAATGTTTAATTTCCTAATACATACACACACACACACACACGCACACAAACAGAAATAGACAACAAAAACCATTTTTAAATGATATGATGATTGCTAACTCTCACTCTCTTTTCATGTCGCTATATATTCCAAATTATTATATTTCAATTTAGGACAAATTATCAGAATTTCAATTTTACGTGTTGCTGCTTTTGGCACATTGCAATGATATTAATAATAATGTTATTGTTTGTCGATATGTTAATATCATCAAATATTGATAAATTTCTCTCACAGCGTGTATCTTGCTTACGTCTATAGATGTGTAACGGGCAAACACGGTTTTTTTTCATGAATAAAACTTCATTGATAATTTCATTTATGGCTGTTCATTATATACAATATAATAGCTTGCCTATCGTTACAATTCACCATGTCATCATGGCAATCATTTATGTTGTGTTGATTCAGTTACCATTTTTTTTTCGTACACAAACACTGTTTTAAAAGAAATCAATATTTTTCCCTTTTGCAATTATTGAATCATATTTTTGCAATATCAAAGTTTGATAATTCACACTAAAGAAAGAAAAAACGTACAAATAACCAAACTATATGAGATTTATAGTATGCTAGAATTATTCAAGTGAATGAATCGATTCTATCTACGTCTTTTTTCTTTGAGGAATTATTCATTAATTTAACCTAGATAAAATCAGTGTCGATATATAATGACCATAGTATTTTGTCCATAATAGTATACAGTGTTAGAATTTCTATTATGGATTCAATGGATGTTTAGTTTCGGCGTTTTGTTAGTTTAATTTTTCCCACTTTTTTATGAGGGTAAATCAGATCAAGCGGGCCAAATAACAAGTATTTTTTTCCTGTAGTTTTTTAATTTGTCTTAGAGACCATATGTAGAGCAAATATGTGATGAATCTGCTCATTGGCGTTATCCATATACGCAAACATCAACATAAGGCGTGTCTTTAAGAGGCTTGTCATAGGCTCAGTCTTCGTGATATCTATGCGCTGTTATGTTTTATTCGTGGTTCATATTGTGGCGCTTTTTTTGGTATAAAAACGCATGCAACCATTGAATTCTAGACATTATTCACTTGTTTTGAACTGAATTCGATTCCAAACGAAATTTGATCAACAATAAGCAACTTCCTGTCTTTGACTTGAACTACTTAATAACCATTCTCATCATCAAGGATCACATTCAACAAACACTCGAATCTTGGAAAAAAAGCCTTTTTACTCTGGTCAACTTTGTGTTTCTGTAGCTGGAACCGGAAATATTGAATTCTCTATTTACAGCTCTATCTCATGCCAACAAAAATTCATCGACGAAATATTTGTTTAAAAATTATCGATTTTATCGACATAAAATCTCAACTTAATTCCAGAAAAAATAATGTCGTCAATTATCATAGTGAACAATAACAACATGTTGATCAAAATGCTCTCACTAGTGATGGCTATGATAATCGTACAGTCATCCATTTGTCAATCGTTAGTCATTCCCGATTCTCAAAGCCAACGGTTGAAAGCTGAAAGACAGCGTCAAGATTCCAGCAGTAGCAATGTCCGTCAACGGCGATCAACAATAGCTGGTGAACCACTTTGGGATGGTAATGATATAAATGGTGACAAAGTTTTTTTGGTTAATAATATTAGTATCATTTTGTTCATAATGTTAATAAATGACAGGAACTACATCTAAACTAGCAGGTAACCGAATTGTACTAACTAAACGATCGATTGGTGATGATAATACTGCTGCATATGCTGGACATTCAATCATGCGATTTGGTCGTGCACCACATAACATCATGCATTTCGGTAAACGATCAAACAATGATGAAGATACTGCTGCAAGTCAGCTGGAAGCAATGGCCAATCAAGTTCCAGATACTGGTTCTTCGTTTGCCGATGATTATTATGGTGGCAATAAAGGATCATCAGTACGTTACATTCTGGTACCAGTCATGGTACCATCATCAGCATCGTCACATCCGTATTCATCTCAGCCATCATCATCCTCAACTGCTAATGATGCGCTTAGACATTATCTAAGTAAAAAATCGGCAGAAAATCTTGAAACAAGTCGTGGAGTTTTTATGCATTTTGGCTAGTCAAATAATCAAATAATGATATCCAACGGCAGAAATTCAAATCACCCAAACACACAAAATACATATATACTTAAAACTTGATCAATTTCAGACATTCAAGTATTATCGCATCATTCAATCAATCATTCTTTGTTCTTAATTCATTGTGTCATTTATTTTTAAATTATGATTTTTACCAAATAATTTTATTTCTTTGTGCGAACACATACACACACACACACACACATACTATTGCAGACATTCATTGAATGATAGATACACTGACACACGCACAGGAATGAGGGTTCGGATTTAAATTCCGGTTGATGTGGAATTTTATTTCCTTTCTCTCTTTCTCCCTCTTGATCTTTCTTGTTGTTTACTCAAATTTACTATTACCTAATATATAATAATATTATGGATGTATTTGTTCTCTTTGATGATATTATGATGAAACACTGATGATGATTATAATAACAAACGGCCATGACAATAATGATGATGATGATTGATCAAACATTATCTACTGATGCATTCTTCTATTCTCTTCAAAAAACGGAAACCATTATTATTATAATAATAACAACAACAACAACAATTAATCTATTGTGGAAAAAAAATATTTGTCATTTTTCATGAATTAAATTTTCTGGTTATTTTCATTCAATTGTTGTTTTATGATTTTTAACAAAATAAAAAAAAAAATTTATTCAATGTAGATATGTGAGATCTGAATATATAGAATATATTAATCAAAAACCAAAGTGCTGCTTCTGTTTTGTGCGTGTGTACTGTGAAACAATCGTATAATTTTGAACTGATTGATGATTTCCTCTTAGGAATGTGTCAAGGCCCATTGGGTAGTGTAAAATAGCCAAAATTCCGATTGTTAGACCAATACAATCAATGTTTGTTTTTTTTTCACACACAAAAAAAAATGTAGGTGAGAAATATTGTTGAATACAATTGAAATGAATCAAACAAAATGCTGATTGTTCTAGTTCATTTTCATTCCGGAGAATTTATTTCTGGAATTGTAACATTCAATTTCATAAAAAATTTTTGTTCTACTGTTGATTTTTCATTATGATAATAGAAATTATTAATAATAGGATTTTTTTTACGCTTTGTATGATTTAGTTGCATCAATAACAATTGAAGTGAATCAAATCAATATGAATTTCATAATATTTACCTTGCATATGCATTTGTCAATATCTGCTTTCGATCAGAAAAAAATAAAAAATGTGTCACCACGAATAAAAATTTAAATACACACCAGCTAGTTGTGAACGGATATTTATGATCAACTAGGTAAGGGATTAGTCTATTCTTTTTTCTTCGATTGTTTAATAAAAATTCAAAGATTACCAGCAGATTTTTTATGTTTATTTTGATTCGTCAATAATTAATCGCATTTGATTTTAATTTGTGATGTTTCGATGAGATTTGATCTTGTTTTTGAAATAAAAAACAAAGATTTGCCAACAAAAGTTCTGTTTTATTCATCTATATGTCAACAATCAAGTCCTAGAGTTTTTAAGTATTCGATCTGCTAAGGTCCCATGGCTGCCGTTATCAATTCACTTTGTTGATTAAATTTTCAAAACAAATTAAGAAGGAAAATTCGAAACCTAAAATTGAAATGATTAGCCAATACTAATGTACATTGGATATAACGAACAAACAAACAGGCAAAAGTAATCAATGTTTGATTTGTTTCATGTTTTTAAACACTTTGTAAGTCACCATACATTTCAATGTGGGTGAATGAAGAAAAAAATCAAAATATTTCCTTTTTTTTGATGTTTTTATTTTCTCAAAAACAAGCTCGTTAAAAATTGATCTTTCTTATTCATTTCCATAGTATATAAATGACATAAATGACAATTCTATATATAGTCTATTCTAGTCATTATAAATTGAATGGTTTATACAACATTGTGCGTCAATGTTTAATTATAATGATTAGTACAATTATTTTAACATCAACATGTACGGTTTTAAATTAGTAAATTGAAAAAATTCCGTATACATTCAGTCATTTTTTCTAAAAATCCAGAATAACTGACCTAGCTACTACCGGGCACCACAACAATCATCATCAATGATCTAGCATCAAATCAGATTTTGAACATCCATAAAAGAAACTTTCTCGTTGTTTTTGTTATTCTTTCCATTCAAAAGAATGACGATTCAACAAACAACAAAAAAGTTTGCTCGATTAATTAATGATTGAAGCCAGGACATTGAGACCAAACCGTTGATATTTTACTTCAAGTTTATTTTCATTATATAAAATTTGCTTTTGCGTGTATATCTTTTTTTTCTAATTACAAATTTCAACTATATTTGTGAGTGGATCAAAAATTTTTGAAATTTTGATTTTATATGAAAAGTTTAATGCAGGTGGTATCGATTATTTTTGTTTTTGTATTCATTCATATTATAAATAGCAAAGGCTAAAAGATCGACGAGATAATTCTCCCACGAAAATCTCTTGCTGCATATTCATCATTAATTCAATGAATTCGTCTAATTGACAGCCAGCCAGCCAGTTTTTACATATTTTTTAAAAGAAAAAAGTGTTTACATGGAATCAGATTGTGAATAATCCAGAAAATGAATTTCAATTCATTTGGCTATTATATTAAAGCCAACCATGTATGCAACCAAACAATCCATTAACAATTAGAACGGTTTGATCAGAATTAGAACTTCCATTCATCCATACGTACACATATCAACAGTTGCATGTTCGATTGGTTGACGGTCCAATTTCTTCAGGTATTGGGACATCCATAGTTTGGCAACTACTTTAACATTTTGATCTCAGTTCTACATTTTATTCACGTCGTTTGCGCCATCCCATTTTCTTGTTTTTAGATTCATGGGTACGATCCATCAATAGTTTCAAAAGCTTCCAGAGAAAAAACGACCATCATTTTAATATTATCATCGGTCGTTGGTTAATCCGCGTATTCCACGTAATTAATTTCTTTGTAAAAAGAAAGAACAAATGCGCGCGCTTGTTGTTCAAGCATTCTTCCTAATCATTCGTTTGAAATCAATTATCAACATATCGGCTGCAAGTCATCCAAGGGGCAATGGTGACGTTTTCAATCAACATTTGTTTAATGACGAGAACAGGCCCAATTTAATTCAATTTTCACGAAGACGCAATTAAATTTTTCCGGTTGTTCCACGGGTATCCAATCTGATTCAAATCGAGATATCCAAAGTATCATATAACTGGCATTTTCGGACAAATATCATTCGGAGGGAAAATTACACCTTTATTTATTGTCAGCACATAACTTAATATTCCCATAGCATTTTTGCAATGGTTAGTATGGACCAAACTTACGCTCCATCATGCTGAAGCAAACGGCTTCCATAAATCGTTTGTGAACTTCGCATGAAGGAGACCGCTGGCTGTTGAAGATTACCACTTATCATTCAGCATAAAAATTACGATGACAATTGTCTCTTTCATTATTATACGATTAGCATTTGCAATTCAGACCTCATTCAAGACCATAGCCAATGAGCATTTCCACAACCACATGAAAGCGATTTTTTATGAACCAAATTCAACTATTCGTTCCCAAATACAAGGAGGTTCTTCAAGAATCCAAATAAGTTGATTTTCTAAGGATCTCGCCGGGCTTAAAATGCAATAGCCACATTTTCTCAGCAAATTGTCAGATCGTTCGTTTCGCTGGAGATAGATCCATATACGGTATGTAGCGTTCACTCTTGCGTTTTTCGATTTTTTCATTCTCCATCAATTCAAACATCCGATTTGTCCATTTCGTCATTTAGAAATTGTACCTTTTTGCTTATCATCTGAATTTCGTAACGTTTGATCAGGAATCAATGTTTCTCGAATGAGTGGAAATCAATTTCGTTCTAATGGGTTCCTGCTATCTGCCTGATCGAATTTATCCAATATCGATTCGCAAGGTTTTGCGACTTAAATAACCACGTTCAGCATTACAACCTCTATAAGAAATAGATTGACTGGATTATGTTTACCACTTATATGCCTTGTGCAGCGCATAAATCCAATCATTAGTTTCGATAACAATGATCGGCGCGCAATAGCAATTGACTATTCATTCGGTGACCCGGTTCAATTCGATCAATGTTTATTGCAGATTGTTAAATAAACTCAAGTTTTCATTATGTTCTCATAATTCTGGCTGACGCGACGTGCGCTTTGCGCACATGCTTAGTACTGCTTGGTATTTCAAAATCGGCAATGGTTCGACCACGAGGAGATATCTTCGATTTTCATTAATTAAATCGATTCCAAATAAGAATGTCGTCAATGAGCCATTTTAATGCCGTCCACGATAAGGGCACCAGCATTGGGGCTTGGATCGAAGAATTATTACGGAGGAACTCTGATTTTGTTCAATATACACCTAACTCAATTTCAAAAAGCAAAGGTTTCTAACAAAAAATCCACTTATCGAAAATGGCATCACACTTATCCTCGTATTATTGCGAATTCTTGTCGAAACAACAAGTCCACAGATACACCATCCGTTTTACGGATCACAAAAATTGATAAATAAATCGTATTTATTTTCGTTTGGAAAATATGTTATCCGGCTCGGATATATTAAAATTCATATAATTCTCTTGATGTCTATAAATTTATACCAAACCTGCCATGGCCCGTAATAATATGATCTTTCATAATTGTACATTCACGTCATAAACAGAATTCGAGTAGCATTTTATGCTATTCATTAATTTAAATAAACTATCACAATGTGTTATGATTTTTTTTTGGATTTGTTGTTGTTGTTGTTGTCGTTCCTGCTTTCAACAAATAACGACTACATGTTTTCTAAGAGTTTTCCATGTGTAAGAATATTGAATTGACCGGAAATTAAAAATTCAATGTATGCGCGTATGTAAATAACTTAAAAGTTGACTTCACTGTCATTATTCAATCGAAAGAATTGTTGTGTTACATCAATTGATGAAATGTGACTAGAATTATTTATCAATTTCTCTTTTATATCTACTTTCGTTCATTGTCGTTGGACATATTTTATCCATTGTTGATTAAACGCCTTGGGCTGGTATACATGCGAATTGTCCCAATTAATCATTGGAGAAATTGTATTATTTGAGCTTTTGTAATGAATTGAAGCATAGATGATTGTTGAGGAAACTTTATTTCAAACCTAATATATAGTTTGATTGTTATTTTGAAACAATCAATGGTAGACCATATATGTCATGGTCGAAATAATATAATATTACAATTTATGACAAAACGCGCAAGCTCATTTACAAAGATATTTGAATCAGCATAAAACCAAAATGACCATAAACACACACACACATATGATGATAATGAATACAAACATCCACTTAAGAATGGAAAGCGTTGTCTAAACTCAATTAGATAAACAATTTCTTTCTTTATTTCTAAGATTTAAATGAAATGATAATTCAACTGTACAGATATTGTCAAGTCATTTATTTATAATCCAATCATTTGCTGAAGCATCATTGTTGCTTCGGAATCTAAGAATTTTCATTTTTCCTCACTTTTGTTTGGTAGTCGTTGTTTTTGTATATGATCATAAGGACTAGATAGAATGGAAACGAGAATAACATTAGATAAAATGTCAAGTCCAAAATAAACAACAGGCTATGCTATCCAATTCCCGAAAACTTTTTTTTTCTATGGATAATGCATTCGGTAAATGTGTTAGTGTGTGTGTGTGTGTGTGTGACAAGCAAACAAAAAATACTAAATTCTGTCACTTGAGCAATTCTTTTTTTTTTTTGGTCGATCTGACTGATTATGCACTTTGTTGTCATTAATCAATTATATGATATGGCTCGATTGAAGCGTATGAAGATAATATTTCAACATAAGCACGTATATGAGACCAATAATGATCATTTACTATATCAATCATTCTTATGATGCATATTATTGCTTGCCTAGATGAAAGAATCCTTAAATTCCATTGGCATCATACACTAGCTAGCAATGAAACATGATTTGTTGATACATTCTTTGACTACAAATGGATTAAATTACACGATAAAAGCAACAGCCTTTACAGTATAAACAATGTATTTATTGTATACAATCTCTACACATATTTACACCCATTGTGATAAGAAAGAAAGTAAAATGATTTTCATTCTAGCGGCATAACATCCGATCAAAACATACAATTCTTTTATAATGACTACCCATTACCATTAAAAACCGACATGTATATGATCTTTATTTCTAATTCATAGAATTCCAGTTACGATAAAATCATTCTGAAAAAAATATTTAAAATGTACATTCCATTATGTACAAAAGTTTTCAATTTTTTTAATCGAAAAATAACAATCAAACCTCAGTCTTAAATGTTCAAACAGCAGTTTTACTACCAATAAAATCATTTCATAGATGTGAATGCTATTTCATCTATGAAAGTGGGTCTTTCTTTTTTTCCAATACGTTCATTCATACAAATAAATTCACATTTCTTCTCAAATTATAGTTCATCATCGAAATATGCTTCAGTCATTAAGGCGAATGATAGAATATTTTGAAAAATTGGTGATTGGATTGAAATGTTTAGTAATTGTGTTGTAAATGATTTTCATGGATTCTAATCATGCATAGTCTGACTCAGCAATGACCAATAATAGAATCGATTGCTACGTTTTATATGAAATATCATTTCGTTTCACCAAGTTAAATAACGAATTTACATTCATCCATCGAAACCTCATCGAATCACTAATATCATAAAGCAATAAATTGAAAAAAAATAGAAATAAGAAAAAGAGTACAAATGCTAAATAACAACCAATTTATGATATAGTGTATGAAAATGATTAAGGACAAAATTTATTATGATTATTTTCACTGTGCATTCATGTGATAAGAATTTCAAAACTTTTTCATGACTTTTTTAATCAATGCCAAACGTTGTTTATGTGCTTCAGTGATAAGACATTTTTTAGGACCACGATTCATGGCCATACCGGCAACAGCACTGTTACCGGATCCGACACTGTTACTGCCGGAAATATGAGGAGTACCAGAGCCTGCGGCTGATATTTGTTGCTGTTGCTGCTGACCTACGTTAGATGATGAACTACTGCCGGCACCACCACTATATACACCAACGACTCCATCAACACCAAATCCGGGTATCCACATATTCCAATTCATATCTAACGCTAGTTGAACATCTTTCACATCTAAATGATTGGATTTTCGATGTTTAGCTAGCATACATGCTTGCGAAACCAATGATTCGATAAAATCATCAGCCAACGATAGCAGCACATCTTCCACTTCTTCTTCCAATTGTTCATTTGGATCTACTTGCTCAACCAATTCTTTGAGTCTTTGTTTATCTAGAGCAACTACAGGTGGTGGTGGTGGTGGCACCGGTGATTTCGATTCATTGTTTTGAATGCTCTTGTTGTTCTTATCTATCGCTTCGTTATCGATTTTCTGTTGTCCATTAGGGGTTGCAACCGATGATTTAGCTGTGAATGTATTTGTTTGTTGTAAAAGGGCAGCTGTGGTCACTGGTGGCATGGTCGTGAATGATCCAGTGTTGTTTTGATTGGCAAGAATTTCTGTTTTGACCATAACCATTGGTTGGGATTGATTGGGATGAAACTGTGGTTGTTGTGTATTCATAATCGGTGCTCCAATCATTGAATTTATTGGTGGTTGTTGTTGCTGCTGTTGATAGCCAAAATTACCACTATGGATCATGGTACTTTGTTGATGAGCAGCGGCAGTCGTAGTACTAGGTGATGGATTTAAAATGAATGTCGTCGCACCAGCTGGTTGTTGATGAGTTGATTGTCGCAAACCAACCCCAGGATTCAACGATACACTTATGGGAATGTTAGCATTGGCTTGTGCACCATCATTTTGATGTGATGAAGACATTTTATTCACAATCGAATCCTATTACCTTTCAAATAATTGAAAAGTAAACATTTAATCAATTGTCAATACAAAAATCAATACAAATCAACTTACAAAGATCAGCCGTTACATATGACAAATGATAACAACAAAACTCAAAAATAATAATAATAATAATAAATAAAAAATAATCGGCGTGTGTGAATCAAGCCTTACAGAATATTGGTTGCTCAATAGTTATATTGAATTCTCGCCAACAGATGGCGTATAATTCTAACGCATTTCAGATTCTTTAAATTTTCGAATGAGTAAAATCAGTAAGTACAATTAATAAATCATATGCCGTTACTTTTGTTAGTTGAATAATTTTTGGTTCCATTTTTGGTTACAGGATACAATCTAAATTGCATTTGAAAGACACTGTTGTCAATTTTGTCACTAAACTATGCTATATTTTTACTCACGAATTCTATGCCGCTTTTATTATTACTCTTATGATGATGATGATGATTATGACATGCTTTTGCACTTTAAATCCTCTATCATTCAATTCTTGCAACATTCTATTCAGAACGTATAGGTGAAGTCTTTAATACACAGAGACAAACAAGCAAATTGTCCCTAATGGATGGGATGGAATTGTATGTTGAAGAATGAATTCTTTTTTCATGTTGCCTAAATGATGTGATCATTCACTATTAACGATGACATCAATTGCCATTATATATGCGGTTAACCACAAAACACTTTTTTCATTTTTTTTTTCACTATTTGTCAAACGATTTTGACAGAGTCGACAAAAACACCATTGCTTTTTTCATGATTATCATCATTAGATGGTGGTGATGATCGGCATTTGTACTGGATATATATGTTATTGTCATCAAACATTGACAACACAAAAAAGTCAAGTGAATCATGCCGGTGAATCCATCATAAATCGAACCAAGGATAACTATTTCAATCTAATCAAAGAAATCATCTCAAACAGAATGTGGTATTTTTCAAAATTTTGCAATTTTCTTCTTATTCAATTTCGTCCGAATTATCAATGTAAATTTTTTCTCAATATCTCAAATGTGTGCACCTCTTTTGAAACTGACACTTTTGTTAGCATATCACCTTAACTTTGAGTGAATAAAAATCTACATAAAAAATTATCACTTAACACCACACACACATCTACGCACAAATGTATTCCTAACAGATGAATGCGCTTGTATGATGAACTGATAATGAATTCAATGTAGAGCTACTTGAGTGAACGTCTGATCATAATGATTTCAATTGAAGAGTTGACTAATTTGCAATTCAAAAAAGTGTCGAATTACTTTCACCAAAGTTATCAAAGTGTCATCTTTTGGTCCAATGCAAAAAAACTATTGGTTTGATGAAACAAATCCAAATGGTGATCAGTCAATGAATGATACTGTTGACCAATACACACTAGCTATCTAAATACGAAACAGATTGTGAATTTAGTATCTTTAAAAAAAGTAGTAGTATTTAAGACAAGTGAATTTGCAGTTTAATTTTCAATTTTTCTAATTTGAAAAAATATGAAAACTATATCTGCCTTAGTGCCCGTGATTTGAAGCTCTTGAAAGGTTAACATCCATCCACACAAACAGTTTTAACACTCAAGAACGTCAGGAATAGTACCTATAAAATTTGGTTTTGGCTTGATTCTGCTCAAATTATATATCTACGGTATTTTTGGCACACCTGGATCCACAATTTATTTTGAATTTTTCTTTGGACACATGACATTTGGATTTTTTTTAGGAATCTGAGGCTGCAACTAATGACAAAATATTTTCCATCATAGTGAGTCATTAATCGAGAAAAAATCGGACAAAAGTCATACTATTCTAATCGTATCAAATATTTGTAGTTTCGTTTGAATTTGGAATTTGAAATTTAAATTTTTTCCAATTGTCAAAAGTTTGATTCGAATAGATCTGAATGTTCATTTGGTCATTATATGACAAACGAATATCTGTGGCCATCAATAGTAGTAGTTCATGGATGCTTTGGTAACGGCTGTTAAATGGATTTCATCTGATTGTGTTTTGTGTACATGATGACGCCTGAATTTTGTCAAAAAACGGTCATCATTGTAATCGTTGAACAAAGGACAAACACACACAATGTGAAAATCATAATCATCATTGTCGACATTTTATAATTTAAATTTTAAATGACCGAAAAATTCTTTTTTTTTGTTGGTTCGACCATTGAAATAACATTTAGATTTTTCGTTCGGATAAATGTGTGTATATGAAAAATCGGCCAACATTGATCGGAACATGTACACACACAAATTTTTTTCTTTTTTTGCTTGCACGATAACTAACCGAATAATCGACACATTCACCACACGGACTACTTTCTCTTTCCTCATCTTTTTTTTTCTTTTGGTTTTTCTTTCTCTCTGGTTTGATTCTGATAACGCGACCACAATCACCAAAGCCGCCAGGCTTATTCGGTCCGTTTGCTTGCTTTTGGTCTTTTATTTTTAACAGTAAAAAACAGCTATCAAACCAGATAATGATTATATACCCGACAAGACCCGGGAATCTTGTGTGTTCATGTGTGTGTGTGTGACCACAATTTTTTTTACCCACATAGATCTTCAGATTCGTACACACACACACACACATACACAATAGGTCCAAACCTTAATGATGATGGACGAGAAAAATTACACTCTTGCATACAATTTTGGTTGAGGCTTGGATGCTTTGGATGTTTGATCTTATCAGCCGATGACCATAGCATCAAAAATAGTTTATGTACGGTTCTATGGTTGATGATGATGACCATGATGGTGTCAATGTTAAATTGTGCAAACAAAGTTCCTCGCTGGGGATGTTCAGGCTTTTTGTCACACAAAGTCATTATATTCTACACAGCAATAGCAACAACAAATAAAATCTGAGGACAAAAGATTATCGAGTTATAATTTCATCGCTTAAGTTTGGTCAGATTTACTGAGAATTTTTCAGAAATGATTTAAATTTACGCGATTTTTTTTCATATATGTGTATCCTCTAGTTTAAACCACAATGATTGTAATGAGGACGGTAAGAATTCTTTTTTTCTGAGGTACCTTGACCGGCCAGATGTTACCAAATGTTTATGTCACCGTCGAACAACTGAAATATTGATCAGAGACAATATTTTGATATTATATTACAGATCGATTCTGGTTCCCATTGATATTGATTTCATGAGAATGTTTTCATGAAAATTAATAAACACAGCAGTTGGTCTGATTCTAACCAATGATCGGCCTAATGTTTTCAATGTTCCAAAAGAATGTTCTCTTATTTTTGTTATTAACGCAGCCATTGTTTCCATCTATCCGATTCTTAGATTGTGGTCGGTTTTGTTCTCGGTTGTTGGTCATCATCATCATAATAATATTTTGTAGAGACCTACTAATTCAAGACTAATTTTCTTTTCTTCACTTTTACCCTCTGAATTTTTCGTTTTTTCTTTAATGTGTTTTTTTTTGTACAGATGATGATCTATTGTCTTTTTCTGGTATTTCAAAAAGTCAAAACCAATGGTTGTCATTGTATGAAGTAAAAATAGAATTCTTTTAAATTCGAAACGTTCTATCGTTTCATCTCTTGATCATGTATTCAATGATGTCAATAACAGATCGATTGTTACTGACACTCCATGAGTCTAAACGGCCGACACTTGACTATTTGTGAATGAATCTAGAGTGTGACAATTTGTTCCACAAAAATGGATCAGTCGTCGTGTGAATTTCACTAAGGTTGAATGTGTGCGTGTATGTGTGCAAGTGTTTAGTTACAAATACAAAAACAATTTTTCGGTGAAATATTATTAAACATTGGCCAACAAAAATAGTTGAATTGACTCAATGAACAAGAATTGATTGTCAAGATTCAAGTGTCTCTCTTACTCTCTTAGTGGTAATGAATTCGGCAACAAAACATGCAACTTTTTTTGACCGACCGAATAAGGAACATTTTTCTCTCCGAACTCAGTTCATTCTTTTGTGAGAAAAAGTCACATCTTCATCACACACACACACACACACACACACACACACAAAATCATCATCATCATGGTTAGCGAATGTAATTGATTTTTCTTTTAGGCGCCCAATTCTTGTTGTTGTCATTGAATTTATTGTTAGTCATTGTTGTCGCTGTTGTATTGGATGACATATACAATGAATTGCTGCGGTGTCGTCAATATATCAATTCACACATGATTCAATTCTATTCGATTCATTTTATTCAGAACACGAGATTCGTTTCGATTGAATGCAATGACGCGATTACATGACCGACAATTTTTTTTTGGCCAAAATTGAATATAAGTTTGTGCAAGTGTATGTCATGAACATCGTGTCGGTGGGGTGTTGTTACTGTTTTTGTTGATCCAAATAAATTTGCATATTTGGCAGCCTCCAATTCGTTCATTCAATTAACGGCTATGTGCTCTCAACAACTAACGATATCAGCGACAAAAGTATATGTATGAACTGCTTGTTGTAGATAGCATATTTGACAAAATAAAAAAATCAAGAATTGAAACTTGAAATGTATGAGTGAACTTAATTATAAATCGCTGAGTCAAAATACCCATACTCATTGATATCGAATGAATGATGATTTAGATAATTAATTTATAAAATTACACAATTAAAATGTTGAAATGCAGCAGTCACCAGATCCATTGAAGTGTATGAAATTCTTTTGCTTATGGTTTATGATAATAATTATTCATTATATTCACTGTAAATATTAGAAAAAAAACCTATTGCAAAACTAATTTGTACCTAAATCAGAGTTGCAAGTATCTGGCTACCGGATGAATAACTTGAAATTTCTTTTTGTGTCCGTCCAATTGAACCTAAATATTTTAGGAATATAAAAATCATCATGACTATTTAATGTATGAAGATATTTAAAATAAATAAAGCCTTACGGCCATGTCCGGCGTGTGTGTGTGTGTGTTTGTTAGTGCATTTGATATTTCATAATGTAATCAATCAAGCAGTAGAAACACATTCCTAATATTTATTGCTCGAATATGATGATCATAACCAATAATGTCTTCAGGGTATTATTGCTGGTCATTTCCTTTTTTTGGGTATAGTATAGATGATATATCAATTTGGCTGTTGAGGACAATGTATGTGATGTTGATTTTGACCAATGGCCTCGATTCCATAT